CGATCTGGACGAAATGTATATCAATCGATAGATCTCGTCGAGAAAATGACCTGAGGCTAGTTTTGACCTCGGTAGGTCAAATAGGAACCAAGTTATAGCCAATCAAACTTAGAGATCAGAAAGTCTGAATGTGGTCAAATTTGATATCAATCGATAGGGGAGATCAAGGAGATCAAGAAAAACAAGGTCTTCAAGTTCCTAGGTTCCTAGAAGTCTAGCTATGAATAATAATAAACTTCGAAAAATCATAACTTTTTTCCTAGAAGGCTTAGAAGAAGAATTTGACCACATTCAGACTTTCTGATCTCTAAGTTTGATTGGCTATAACTTGGTTCATATCTGACCTACCGAGGTCAAAACTAGCCTCAGGTCATTTTTCTCGACGAGATCTATCGATTGATATACATTTCGTCCAGATCGGCTTCCATGACCTCAGAAGCTCGAAAAAAACCTAAGGGGTTAGACTGCACTTTTTTTCGATTTTTCCCGAAAACCAATGTTTCCGAGATTTTTCACATCAATCGATAGGAAATGACGTCAGAAGCCCGAATATTCAGGTCAAAAAAAGTCCCAAGACTGCTAGAAAAAAAGTTATGACTTTTTCAAAGTTTATTATTGTTCATAGCTAGACTTCTAGGAACCTAGGAACTTGAAGACCTTGTTTTTTTCTTGATCTCCTTGATCTCCCCTATCGATTGATATCAAATTTGACCACATTCAGACTTTCTGATCTCTAAGTTTGATTGGCTATAACTTGGTTCCTATTTGACCTACCGAGGTCAAAACTAGCCTCAGGTCATTTTTCTCGACGAGATCTATCGATTGATATACATTTCGTCCAGATCGGCTTCCATGACCTCAGAAGCTCGAAAAAAACCTAAGGGGTTAGACTGCACTTTTTTTCGATTTTTCCCGAAAACCAATGTTTCCGAGATTTTTCACATCAATCGATAGGAAATGACGTCAGAAGTCCCGAATATTCAGGTCAAAAAGTCCCAAGACTGCTAGAAAAAAAGTTATGACTTTTTCAAAGTTTATTATTGTTCATAGCTAGACTTCTAGGAACCTAGGAACTTGAAGACCTTGTTTTTTTCTTGATCTCCTTGATCTCCCCTATCGATTGATATCAAATTTGACCACATTCAGACTTTCTGATCTCTAAGTTTGATTGGCTATAACTTGGTTCCTATTTGACCTACCGAGGTCAAAACTAGCCTCAGGTCATTTTCTCGACGAGATCTATCGATTGATATACATTTCGTCCAGATCGGCTTCCATGACCTCAGAAGCTCGAAAAAAACCTAAGGGGTTAGACTGCACTTTTTTCGATTTTCCCGAAAACCAATGTTTCCGAGATTTTCACATCAATCGATAGGAAATGACGTCAGAAGCCCGAATATTCAGGTCAAAAAGTCCCAAGACTGCTAGAAAAAAAGTTATGACTTTTCAAAGTTTATTATTGTTCATAGCTAGACTTCTAGGAACCTAGGAACTTGAAGACCTTGTTTTTCTTGATCTCCTTGATCTCCCCTATCGATTGATATCAAATTTGACCACATTCAGACTTTCTGATCTCTAAGTTTGATTGGCTATAACTTGGTTCCTATTTGACCTACCGAGGTCAAAACTAGCCTCAGGTCATTTTCTCGACGAGATCTATCGATTGATATACATTTCGTCCAGATCGGCTTCCATGACCTCAGAAGCTCGAAAAAAACCTAAGGGGTTAGACTGCACTTTTTTTCGATTTTTCCCGAAAACCAATGTTTCCGAGATTTTTCACATCAATCGATAGGAAATGACGTCAGAAGTCCCGAATATTCAGGTCAAAAAGTCCCAAGACTGCTAGAAAAAAAGTTATGACTTTTTTTCAAAGTTTATTATTGTTCATAGCTAGACTTCTAGGAACCTAGGAACTTGAAGACCTTGTTTTTTTCTTGATCTCCTTGATCTCCCCTATCGATTGATATCAAATTTGACCACATTCAGACTTTCTGATCTCTAAGTTTGATTGGCTATAACTTGGTTCCTATTTGACCTACCGAGGTCAAAACTAGCCTCAGGTTATTTTCTCGACGAGATCTATCGATTGATATACATTTCGTCCAGATCGGCTTCCATGACCTCAGAAGCTCGAAAAAACCTAAGGGGTTAGACTGCACTTTTTTCGATTTTCCCGAAAATCGAAGTCTTCCAGATTTCCACATCAATCTTGAGGAAATGACGTCAGAAGTCCGAATATCCAGGTCAAAAAGTTCTAAGCCTTCTAGGAAAAAAGTTATGATTTTTCGAAGTTTATTATTATTCATAGCTAGACTTCTAGGAACCTAGGAACTTGAAGACCTTGTTTTTCTTGATCTCCTCTATCGATTGATACCAAATTTGACGATTTTTCAGAATTGTGACCTTTTCGCTACATTCGGAAGCTTCAGACTTGTCGTAAAACATCTTCTGACGTTGATAAAAATGCAGGTAAAAGTACACCGAACTTTTCGTTTTTGGAAGTGTGTCGTTTGGTTCTCCACACTGTCACTTCCTAGGGGAAATCGAGATGTAAGCTGGGTTTCAATGATCCCTTCTGGCCTATTTGTTCCCTTTTGGATGCAAGAAATTCTTCGAGATAGGTAACCATATACAAAATACACCTGTCATTGAGGTACACCTAGAATTCGTTCCGAATGTCAAAATTTTTCGAGAGTCTTCTCTTTCTCATATTAAATAGACAGAACGTTTTTTCACTTTCATGATCAATTGAACTTCTTTGTACCTTGTGCAGCTTAGAATTCCGGAAAACAGGACCTCAACTCTATTTCGCTAATAATTTTTGAAGGGAACGCTTTTTATTTCATAAATAGGGACCGCAGGCAGTTTTCTAGAAACCATTAGATTTCAATGATTTTCATATGGCCGTGTGAAAACTCAAATCCGGCTTTATGAATCATAAAGCCGGATTTTAGTTTTGTCAAAGCCAATTGAAATTGAACTTTCTTCAGAAAACACACCTTTCTACTGATTTGAATACTCACCTGTCGAATGAAAAAATCAATAAAAACAAACAAACAAAAAAAAAATCAAAATATAAGGTCTTTATTCAATAATCATGTACAAGTTTTATTCAGGAACGATAGGTCCGGAACCTATGAAGATCCAACTTTCGATGGGCTCGATGGGCCAGAACACGAGCTTCTGCGACAACGCCCTCCGCAGCAAGGTCATCACCATTGAGTGCGACTATCCGTGGACCTACACTATGGGGAACTTGCTCTACCGATGTGGCTTAAAGGCATAGGGGCAGTAAAAAATGGGGTTTCAGGTGAAAGCAGTATCTTATATAGTTTTTCTTTGCGAATCGAATGGTGTACTCAAAAAAATTAAAGATGTGACAACTTTAGAAGAAAAACGCGATTTTACTTTCCCGCTTTTATTTTTGAAAAAAGCTTTGGATCGGTGCTCAGACAACTGATTACAGTAGCCGTACACGCGAGGTTGCGGACGTCTCATTAGACTCGCATTTTGTGAGAAATAACCGGATATCTGCTTCAAATTAAAGGTTTCTTCTCTGAAAAAACATTTAATCAAACAAAAAACACACATTGATAATAAAGAAAACACAAAATATCGCTATCCCAATCGAAACCTGTGTAAAATCATCATTTTTCACCAAAAACGCTTTTTTGCGGACAAAGTTTGCAAATTATACATGAATAGAAAGATTTTGTGACGAAAAGAACTTTGGTGACAACAGAAAAAATTGAAAATTGAAAGAAACGAAGAAAAAAGCGAAAATCCGGAAGATGGCGAAGCCTGTTGTCCATAGAGCAACTTTACTGCGAAGCGCCCTTTTCGCGGGAACTCAAGATTTCCTTTCTCCGACTTTGAATTATTTTTTCTCCGAAACTAAGAAATTCGGTACGTTTTCAAGTTTACCGTTCGATTCGCAATGAAAAGCTCTACAAAGTACTGCTTTGAACTGAAACACCGTTTTTTACTGCCCCTATGCCTTTAATGAAAAAAAATGCGATGCCGCGTTCGAAAAAATTAGCGCAAAGAGCGGGACTTCTCTGCGCCCTCCTCGTTTCTCGACGACCCTCTTATTTTGAAGTGTTGTTTTTATATTTCTCTGACCTCGCCGGTGAGAAAACAGAGAGACGCAGACACCTGAGAACTGTCAAGGCTGACCCCTCTAGGGTGCACTTTTCCAAACCCTATAGGGGCCACTGAAGCTTGCAAAAATGGCTCCAATAGGGGATATGCTAGTCGATAATATTTATGAACTCTATGCGAAGAATTCGAAAAGCTAAAAAAAACCTTTTTTGAATAAATTTGAGCGACCCCTATGGGGTCTTTTTGAGCTTTAGGGGCTGAGGAGTCGGACCCTAGACCCCTGTAGGGACCCCCTTTTCGGCTCTTATAGCGGCTGTTTCCCCTCCTAACCCTTATAGGGACCACTCTGGAATTCCTGAGTCTGGTCATTATTTTTAATCAAAATCTCCAGGCCGCACCTCAAAACCCGCAAGTGTTCTCAACGTCAAACAGCGCGTCTCCAATACAACCCATCCATGTGATACTACATCATGTTAAAATATTCAAAAAAATAATAATTTCAGAAACGCTGACGGCAATTTATTGATCGTCCAATGACGTTGTTATTATGTTTTTTTCTTCAAACTAATATTTGCTAATAAAGTTGTGAAATGTGTCGGCTTCTCAAATAATTAGAGGACATGTGAGCTTTGAGAACTAATTAGGGAGCGGGCGGCCGATTTCTAATTTCGATATCTTCCCTCTCTAACGATTCTTGAAATTGAGTATTTTCAAAATCTTATAGGTACTAAGAACTTCCTCAAGGAAAAAAAGGCGATTTACGCGTGAGCTTTCGCTTTTTTGCCGAGCATTTTCATAGAACTTGACTTTATATGCCATTCTATTCCTAGCACTTTTAAAATCACTAGAAGCCGTTGTGATGGATTCCTAGTTTTACTACACGAAAAGTCCCGAAAATGAGTTCTTCTGGGACACAGCGTAAGTTTGCCGGATTTCAAAAATTACCTAAATCTTTTTCAGGCTTTTCTCCAATTAACAAAAATGATAATACTATCGACAATCTTCTCAAACCTTATATGAAAAAGAAGAGAACGCCTAAACCGGTAAGTGCTTCTGAACACTAATAAAAATAATTGAAGTTCAAAAAATGTCAATGGAAGTCCATGGAAGCCGAATTTCAGATAATAAACGACACTCCGCGAAAGCAGAGAAATCGCGAAGCTGCCCGGAAATATCGCAATAAGAAGGACAACTTGATCTTTCAACTACGAGAGGTTGAGAAAGATTTACAAGATCTATTTCAGAATAAAAGAACTTCAGCAAAATGAAACGTTGCTGGCCTTGCTCAAACAGAAAGAGGACGAAATTCAACTACTACGAGAAGCAGTTAGTTCTGAATTAATAAAAATACTTATGGATTCCAGAATGGTCCCTATAGGGGGTTAGGGGAAAAAAATAACCCCTATGGAAGCCGAGAAAGTGCTCCCTATAGGGACCGGAAAAGTGGTCCCTAGAGGGGACCCTCCAAGGACAATTAAGGTTGTCCCTATAGGGACCCCTCTGGAGTTTCTAAGTAGTCTAATCACAAACCCGTCAATTTGTTAAAGCGTTCCTGAAATGTTTCCCAAAAATTTTCCGGTTCACTTAAAATATACCTAAACCATTTCAGAAGGAATTCCAGTGGTGTCAATGCCTAATGACTCAATCTCGAATGGCTCAAATGTCAGGAAACAACGCAACTGATCCCATCGCCGACCTTCCCCTGGAATTTTTCGGAATGCAGCCGTCAGAAGAAGCTAACCCCTTGGAGCAACATTATTGAACTATAATTATGATTTTTCGAAAATAAACAATATCATATCCCCGCCCCTTGTGAATCTACAAAAATAACTGGAAAGTCTCTGATTAACTCGCCACGCCTTGAACCTTCATTTTCCTCAAACAAAAAATTCGCAAGTTACATCAATATGCTGGTATTGAGAGCAGGAGCGCCGCCGCGGTTGCCAACGGGATTCTTTGAGTGGTTCAACTGCGGAGCTAACCGCGAAGTCGATTCCAGACTCAAACTGTTCATGTTACGCAACAAAGCAGCTCAGTGTCGAAAACTTCACTTGACGGAAAATGTCGTAATCAGATGATTATCTTCAGCATTTACTGAATACTCAGGGAGAAAACGGCATGCCAGCGCGCACCTAAAAAAAGAAACGGCAGACCTGGGCGCATGCACCAGTTTAGGGAGCACGGTAAAATTGGAGAAACCAGACTCGTGTGCTGGCCTGCGGTTACATGCGCGCAGGTCCTCAGACAGTGTGTAGAGCGAGGAGAGTAAGAGTCTGGTCTCTCCAATTTCACCGTGCTCTCTAAACTTGTGCATTCGCCCAGGTCTGTCGTTCCTTTTTTAGTTGTGCGCTGGCATGTCGTTCTCCCCCGGAGTAAACGCAATTTTTGTGCACAAAAGCGGCGCAGTGTGTGCACATAACACACAAAATTTTACGGTGAAAAAGTGGGCGTGGCGCTTCCACTAAGAATAACTGCCGAGATAAACGCGAGACGCTGGTGGTACATTGACAAGCTCGCAAAAATCTCGCTTTTTTTTCTCGCGCCGGTCTCGCATTTTTCTAGGCGCGAGCTCGCATTTCTCTCGCATTTTGAAAATTTTCTGAAATGCAAGATAAATGCGAGCTCGCTCCCAGAAAAATGCGAGACCGGCGCGAGAAAAAAAAGCGAGTTGTTTTCGAGCTCGTCAATGTACCGCCAGAGTCTCGCGTTTATCTCGGCAGTTATTCTTAGTGTCTAAAGACTGCTGAAAAAAAAAAATCAAGATACGAGCCAGCATAAAAACTATCCGTAAAAAGGGTTCGAACCTTGGTTCCAGCGGGAAAAAGTGCACAAGACTCCCAAAGCCTCAATTTCCCACTCGTTCTTCGAGTGGAGACCTAGTGAATTGACCGGCGCTCGTGGAATTGCCGGCCTTGTATTTACTACACTGACCTGAAACAACGGAGTTTGGGAAGATCAAGTCACAAAAATGTGAAGCGTTTTTGTGTGCAGATTCACAAGGAAGAAGTTTGGAAATATAATAAGTAGATGCGCATGAAACGACATCACAATCTTCATCGTCGAAGTTAACAATTGTGAGCCTGTCGAATTAAGACTGATTCATTTTGAAAAGGTGAGCAGCAATGTTAGCAAATGATTAAACAAATATATCTGGACATAATGATCGCTTGGCGAATAATCAACAGAGTTCTCAAATTGGACAACAATATTACAAGAAGAAAGATAAAAATAACACAAGAAAAAAGGCAAATATAAAAGCAAAATCTAGAAATACAGGCCAATGAATCTTCTACATTCAAGTTTGTGCGGCTGGAGCTCGTCGGCTGCTGGCAATTTCTTTTTCAAATAGTCCAACGAGTAGTGGGCTTCGACAACTTGTGCAGCGAGGTCCTTCAGTGTGATCTCCTCATCTGGAAACTCATTCGATCTTTGAGGGATGTGAACGTCCGCAGAGGTTCAGGAAAATAGACCCATGGCTCAAATATATGAAATTTTTCGAATTTTTTTTCGGAATACACGGAAATGTTGGAAAGGCGATCAGAAGTTCCCGTATAAAGTCTTCACTCGAAGGGGCTGCTCTCATTTCGATACCGTCACTTAGAGCACAGTCTGCGGGTTGCATAGAACCATGCACTATATTCTGAGCTCGTCAAGACGCAATTCGTTAAATTTCGTGTAGAAATATAATGAACCGTAAGACTGTACTTTGAACTCTTTCGACTAAACTTTTGGGCTTCTTCTAGTTCGCTAGAGGCGGTTGTTCGATATCGCTTTAAAAGTTCGATATAAGCTGTGTGCCAAGACTTGAAATTTTACGGAACGACATTTCGCTGTGCCGCTGCGCGCCTTTGCGAACCTTGGTCGCGCTTTTAATTTTTTTTTATTAAGGTACTCTATTTTCATGTGCTCTCACAGCAATAACAAAAAATTGAAAGCGTGACCTATAAGTGCGAAAGACGCTTCGCGAACGCACGCAGCGGAAAAGCGGAACGTCGTTCGGTGAAATTTCAAGTCGTGGCACACAGACTATAACTTCCGAGTCTGCGTGAGAATGGCGAGGTCGGCGGCGGTACATCAATTTATTTTCGCACCGATGAGCTCGCAAACATCTCGCTCTTTTCTCGCGCACAACCTCGCACTTCTCCAGCAATTTGAAAATTTCTGAAATGCCAGGTGGCGCCTATGCTAATGGCGTGTTCATCGGAAAAACGGAAAATGCTTAAAAACGAAAAATCGTGTTCATCGGCGCGCCAAAGTTGCTTCAAAACAGTACTAATTTTTGTTTTGGAGAAATTTTTTACGTTTCGAGGCAATTTACGTTTTGTCCGATGAACACGCCATAAAAGGTGGCATCTAAGCTGAAAAATTGAGTGCTCGGCTGTGGTTCAACGGGTGATCGGCGGTAGAAACCGCGGGCGCTATTCAGCGTACGAATTAGTGTAGTACCCGGTCGCATACAAACGACCACCGATTAGCAAACTCCGATTGACTTTTGCAAGTTGTTACCCAGCAACTACTTGACGTTTTTATGCTATTCAGAGTTGAGCGAAAAGACTTCAACTCTTCGGGTTTATTAAAAAAGTCAAAAAATGACATATCTTTGTGACTAAAAAAAATGAACACACAGCCCGTCTAGAAGTACAAAAAGAGAAACTCTTGCCATGAGCAAAAATTGAATTTGCTTGCAATACAGAAGTATACACATATATTCCTACAGAACTGACAAAAGATCACTAAAAACTGTCTTAGAGCAAGAAATCTCGTGTATTCACATTCCTTCTTTTTTTTTCATGTACATGAAAAAAAAGCCAACCTAAACTGTTACACGGATCGTAACCCTTTTGCCTCTTCAGCCATTTCCGAACGGTGAATCCATTTTTGTAGACAAACGTTCGCGCTCCTAATCTGATCAACTCGGTTACCAAAGGCCAGTAACTGAAAACACGGGAAGATAAACAGAAGAGGAACGGGTGGGAACCCTTCGGAAAGGCGATAAGAGAAATGAAAAAGATTATGACGTTGGGCAGAATTGGACACAAAAAGGGCCGCCAGCGCAGTTTCTCCGTTCAGATCTTTACCATTGATGTTGGCGCCGGCTTTCACAAAATGTCTAATCAACTTGAATTTTCTAAAAATCTAAATAATTTTCACATTCTTCAAAGAATTTGTTACGAGACGAAATCCAACGAATGAACTAGGGGAATCTCCAGGGCGGTGGCGTTTCGGACGAATCGATTCAGCTGAAAAAATAATAGCAAGTAGTTTTAAAAGAAAAAAGTTAAATTGCTCACATCGAGTTTTGAATATTTTCTTTGCTCTTTCGATTTCAACAGGGTTCCATCAAGGCTATCAATCTGAATCATTACGAATGATGTAGTTAACTTTTTCCTGGAAAAAAGACCAATCTTATGTACAAGGAAGGTTAATAGTCAGTTTCCAAGTAATTGTCGTTCCTTGTCGCGAAAGAATTCATATTTTTGAGTCAGTTCTTCAGAGAACTTTTCGAAAATTCTCTAGACTGTCTGATATTCACTTTTTAGCATAGAAAAAGAATCGTAATTGTCACGATTTTTATGTCATCATTTATCCATGTATGAATTATGCCATTGAGAAAAAAATTTTAAAAAAAACCCTGCAATATAACCCGATAGCGAAGTAAGCCAAAATTGTGCACCATTTGCGGAAGTTGGGAGCTTTCAACTTTTGATATGGAGCCTGAAAAAATCAGGTTTATATTGCTCTCTCAACTCGTAGGTTCTAAAAATTTAAATTTTGCACAACAGCTTTTGCAAGCTTTCTGTATAAAACGTTCCGTTGCGCAAAAATTTCTAGGTGTCTTTCTTATTTACAAAAACGAACTGCTTCTAAAATGTCAGATATAAGCTCGAATATATGAGCTGCAAGAGCGATTTTCGATTGTTCCGTCTCTTCTGGGTCTTCTTCATCTTGTTTTCCTGTGTACAATATTCTTTGAAAGCATTCTAAAAAGTTGCCGATCGTCCTCTCGACCATCATCGGCTCATGTCTGGAAACATTTTTTGCTGAGAGGAAATAAAAAATAAATGACATACTCTAGATACAAAAAAATCATTTCGTGGATTATTTCCTGCTCTCTGAAAATTGAATTTTAAATGTGAGGGAAAAAATGTTTTTTTTTTCATTTCATGAAAAAACTTTACTTCCAATTTTTTTCATGAAGCTATAGTCTGTTCAGATTTCGAATGTCAACCAGCTAACTCCACCCTGCTGAGACGGTACCCTTTCGCGTCGATGTTTTAACGCGCGGGACTAATTTTGATCTTTTTTGATCTAAAAGATAGAAACAGAAGTCAAAAGTGCAGCCTTATTAAAGGGTCCTCGTTATCTGTAGATAAAACATTGACGCGAAAGACATTGTAGCCTTGGGGGTGAAGTTAGCTGCTTGACATTCAAAATCTGAACGGACTATAATAACTAAAACAAACCGCTCATAAATCTTCTGTGTTAATCCGATGCGCGTCATATATATGTACATTGCCCGACGATACGCCAAATTATTCCGGCCGAGGAGATTTTTGTTTATCTCGAAAATCTGTGGAAAGAAAAGAAGTTAAATTAGACAAGAATCTCTTGAAAAAAAAAGTAAAAATTTTATTGCAAGGAATTTGAAAAAGCGAATGATTTCTTTGAGGAAAAGTTCAAACGAAAATCTCGAATTGTTGCTGATAGATGCGAGAGAAATGACAGTTTCGAGTTGATGTTACCACTTTCGACTCTTTCCTTTTTCCAACTTTCAAAGTGCTTTCTCATCGCAGAAAGGACAGTACTTTCAAATAGTCGGATCTCAAGGAGCCCAACACTTTGACGTCGTCTCCAGAATCCTGTCTCCTCTCGGTAACGTCTCCTATCTAATTTTGAGATCCTTCGCATTTTTTGTTTTGAACTTGAAACCAACCGTTGAGAGCATTCGATTTTTTGCAATGTTAAAAGCTTCAACGGACTTCTTATCCGATATCAGTAGGAAATTATTACAGTCTCGCAGCAACAAAGCATCGCTTTCCATCTTCGGATCGCCAACGTAATTCAACAATCGCTCGAATATTTTTGACTGCAAAAGTGATTCCCCTTCAATTTGTAGATGTGAAATAAAAATTGCCTCTTTAGTTTCCAAGGCTGCCATGAACAGCGGATGATTGCCATCCTTATCCTTCCGTAGTTCCGCGTGTCTTTTAATCAAAAGCTTGACCAGATAAAAATTCTTTGCTTCTACAGCGAAATGCATAGCTGTTTTACCTGAAAAAATAACTATCTCGTTATCGGTTGATTGTGGACTTGACAAAGTCCATAAAAATAACTTGAAAAAGTTCAATATGAGATAAGCTAACTTTTTATTAACTTTTTTGCAACTTTCCTGGCTATCTGCAAGATGCCCTGTAACATTTCACCGCTTTTCGTAACGGAGTTGACTGATAGACCGTGATCAACTAAATAATTGAAAATCCTTTTCTGAAAGACTTTTTCGCTTCGAATACAAATAAATAAGATGGTTTGTACCGAATTCGATTCTTCAAAGTAATTAGGCACCATAATAACAGTTTTCCCATCTTGATTGCGATGTTGAGCCTGTGCTTGTCCTCTCTCAATTATTCGAACAACTAAAAATCATACATGAGTTACATCGGACGAAATGATCAAACCTTGTCTAAAGTTTTTTTTAGAAACAGCACGAAACAACAGAACCTCTTCTTCTGAAATCGTAATTAGAGCAGTGCCTTCGATAGCATCCAGCGAAAAAAGCTCAATGCATTCGAAAAATCTCAATTAATCCTGCACAGTGCAAGTCGCGTTCTGCATCCCTTTTTGAAAACAGTTCTGTTCAGGGAAAAGTGATTGCAGAACACATGAAACTGATTTCCATGATGCATGAAGCATTTTCGCAGAAGGCTATCGTAGACGCTGCTTTCGTGGAGTCGGACTAACTGTATTTGGACTCAACCATTCCTTCCTGAAACTTTCAAAAATTATCCTCGCAAAGAATGTGGAAAAATGCACGGTACGCTCAAAAATAGAAAAATGGATATGAATCGTAATTTTAATTGTATCTACATGCTCAGACCTGAGAATATGGATATAGTATGTTCAGATTTTGAATGTCAAGCAGCAAACTTCGCGCCCAATAACCTCTCAGATTGGTTTGATCTACGCATAAGGGGCGGAGTTTGATAACTTGAAATTCAAAACCTAAACAGACTATACAATTGAACGCAAAACGGGAAGGCCTTTTAAGGGTTCCGAACAGATATTTTTGATTTCACTTTTGCATCTTCTCCAAATCTTTTAACCGAAGGTTCTGATTAGAAAAATTAGAAGGAGATCTAAAAATAATGATGGTTCCATCAAGCCCATTTTTAAATGAAAGAATTTCAACATGGGTAATCTTTTATTATCAATCCGCGTAAAAGTACATCATAAAACGGCTCTTCATTGCCGAAATTGACAATCGTCTGCGGAAACATGACTATTCATTTTGAAAAAGGTGGGCAGCAATGTTAGAAAATGATTAATCGAATATATCTGGACATAGTGATCGCTTAGCGAATAATCAACAGAGTTCTCAAAGTGGACAACAATATTACAAGAAGAAAGATAAAAATAACACAAGAAAAAAAGGCAAATATAAAAACAAAATCTAGAAATACAGGCCAATGAATCTTCTACATTTAAGTTTGTGCGGCTGAAGCTCGTCGGCTGCTGGCAATTTCATTTTCAAATAGTCCATCGAGTAGTGGGCTTCGACAACTTGTGCAGCGAGGTCCTTCAGTGTGATCTCCTCACCTGGAAACTCATTCGGTTTTTAAGAGGGATGTGAACAGCCGCAGAGGCTCGGAAGGAAAGAGTTTCCAAAAAAAAAGTATGTTCATTTCGAACAGCAGGGGAATAGCAATTTTACGGTGTCTCTCTCGATCTTTTAATCAGGATTCATGTTTTTTTTTCTTCCTTTTCTTTTGCCACCGCGAAACAAAAGTTGCGTCACGCCTTTTGGCGTTTGAAGTCGGAGAACTGACAAACAGATCTCGGTAACGCAAACCGGACGCGCCGCGGGCGCTTTCGAGGATGTTCAGTAATCACTATAGCGGTGTCAGAACTCTCAAGTGATTACTTGAAAAGCTCAGAAATGTCCGAGGCGAGTCCGGTTTGCGTTATAGCTGATTCACGGCTAGCTTGAGCCATCGAAAAAAGGGTCCTGGCACGATAAGAAAAGAGGCAGTGCCTGGTTGGTGGAGCGCGCAGACAGGGCACGCCTTTTTGCGTCCCAAGTTAGTCGTGAATCGGCTATACCGAGGTCGCCAAAAAAAAAAACTGTCGCTCAATGAACTTTTTTAATGTAATGAAGAAAATCCAACTAAAATTGTTGAGCGAATTGTAGCCCCTTTGCGCCCTCAGCATTTGCCAAACACTGTGTCGTCCTTTGTGAACGAAAATTCTCGCTCCATTTCTGATCAACTCGCGTACCAGAGGCCAATAACTGAACAGACGAAAATGTGTACAGAAAGAAGCAAATTCAGACTTTTCAGGTAGGTAATAAGGAGAGTGAGCGAGGGTCTGAAGGAATGAGCCGTGAGACTTAAAAGATGCAGCCAATGCAGTCTCTCCTTTCAGGTCTTTACCGTTGATGTTAGCGCCGGCGTCCACGAAAAGTTTAACCAGTTTCACTTTTCTAGAAACAAAAACAGCGTTTAATCCTCCAACAATTTCATTACGAGGCAAATTGCAAGGAATGCAACAAAGGTACTTCCACTGCGTTGGTGCATCTTACAAAGCGATGAACCTGAAAAAAATGACAAAAGTTAGTTTGGAGAAATGAATGAAAATATTAACGTCGATATCCAAAAATTGCATTTCACTCGATCCGAAGAGGGTCGCATCAACGGTGTCAATCTGAAAGAACTTATGATCAAATCATAATAACTCTTTGATAGAAAAATATAAAAACTTTGATAAGGTCATTTTACTTTACGGTTGGGATTTTCCTGAAAATTGACCAGAGCGCTCCTTGATGTACCAGAAGACGAACGTGAAAGTTTCAACCTGCACAACTTGCTCGTTTTTAAGAAAATAGGTCTCTAAGTCACAGAAAACCCTCAAAATCCGTTAAAATGGGCCATTTTTGGGGCTGTAGTGCCTATTTCTCGTAAAGTAGAAAGTTTTGCAGTTTGAAACTTCCAGGATCTTTGTCTGGTACAACAAGGATTGTTCTGGCTCAAAGTAAAATGACCTACTTTGTGAAGTATAACTTGTGACAATATTCCTTAGACTTTTCAATAGTTTCTTCATTTTTTTTTTTAAATTTTTTCCTTATGAACGTCATTCAGAAAACTTTATCAAGTGTATGAAACCATAGCAAAATACGAAAAAAACAACCTTGCAAAAAATTTCGAGAGCGAACTCGCTCAAAGTTGTGCACCATTCTCGAAAATTAGGAATTTTCTCTTTGTGTTCGGGAGCCTGAAAAGTACTGAAACGCATTCTCGCCTTTGAAAAGAAAACCTTTTCCAAAATATCGCCTACAAGTTCGAATATGTAGGAGGCAAGGATAACTTTCGAGAGTTTAGTCTCTTCACGGCGTCCAGTTTGTCTCGCTTTGTGAAACAATGCTTGACAACGCCCAACTAAGTGGCTCACAATATCTTCGACGAATAACGGCTCATGTCTGTATATAAACATATGTAGAGGTGAAACGATAAAACAACATACTCCAGGTACAAAAAAATCATGAAGCGAATTAGGGACTTTTCTCTGAAAATTCAACATTTGACGACAAAAAATAGTTTATTTCGTTGTTCAACATTTTCAAAATTTTCAAGCTCGTTGGAAAAACGAACCGCTCATAAACTTTCAATGTCAAATCGAGTCTGTTAACATATAGGTAAATTGCCCGACGAACTGCCGGATGTCTCCGGCCACCGAGAACCTTTTCGCGCACAACGAAACACTGTAAAATGGGAGGAATTTTTTTTTTTGAATGTTTCTTTCTTCTCTGGCAGACATTCATCCCAACCCGGTCGATCCTCATGTGAACGCAATTTTTTTTTCTAAGCCTTCATTGGGCACCCATTTCGTCAAACTTGCTCTAATCTTCAACTACAAGAGGAATCTCTTCACTAAAATTTTCAAAAAACTCTTATTTTTGATGACATGAAGAAATTGGCGGATATGCTGCCATGCATGTGGGTTTATCATGATCAAACCGCGGATCAGGAGAAGATCCACTGGAATCTTTAAATTTGAATATTTTTTGTTAAAAATTCTGGAAAACTGATTACGACTACACTACATTACTTACCTTGAATTTTTTTACATTTTTTTTTTTTTGGCTCGTTCTGACCACTTAAAAAAACTATTTTTAGATGCGAATGATAACGTATGGGCAACCTAAAAGGTTCGTATGAGCATCGATGGGTTCGGAATCCGAACTTCGGATGAATGGTTGACGCATTCGAAGCTAATCCGTCGCGCGTAAAGAAACAGTTTTTCTGACTCAACAGTCAAAACGCAGCGGATTCTTTCAAAATATTTTTCTTGTCGAATGGGCGGAGCCAACCAATCACGCTGTGGGAATCTGCCGTGGTTCTGCTCAAACTTTCAATCGAGGAAGACTGTTTTGCCCCGCGAATTAGCTTCGAACGAGGCATAAATTACGACTGTAGAATGAAGTCTATTCTGATAATTGGCTAGTTTCGAGGATTTTTCAAGGAGAACAATATAATCAGCTCATCAATTTCTTCAATTTTTTCCCCCGATTCCTTGTTCATTCCAGAAAATACAGTACTTGATAAAAGGCGCTTCTCGGACAGCCCATCACTATTTCGTCCTCTTCAGGCGGCACTACGTAGAGACTGTTCACGAAGTTTTTTACTTTCAACTGAAATAAGTAATCAGGATTCTTTTTAGAGCTGAAAACCAACCGTTGCTCCCAACCAACGATTCATCTCCGCTCTTAGCATGTGAGGTTTAATGCCTTTTTTTTCTAGTTCCGACAAGAATTTAGTAGAGTCTCGTAGTAAATCGGCATCTGCTTTCATCTCAGTGCTAACGTACATTAACAATAAGTGGTATACTTTTGACTGAAAAAATGACTTTTTTGCTGGGGAGAAAAAACTAACCGCATTCAAGTTCATGGCTGTTGAGAACAGTGGATGGTTACCATCATTATCTTTTATAAATTTCGCGTCTCTTTCCATCAACAGCCTGACCAATAGAAAATTGTTCGCATCAACAGCGTAATGGAGAGCCGTTCTACCTGAATGAGAATCAACTATGCCTGGTTGTTGCATCTTATATCTTATTATCAGAGATCATGATCTTAATTCGAGATGTGTTTTTCAATGTAGTGTAGTATTTTTTTGATGGTAGGAAGGAATTTTGGGCCCGCGAATATTCGTGAGTGTGAATTGTGCATACACCGATATTGGGGGCTCGAATATTTGAAAAATTTGAATCTTTGCAAATTTTTTTATTATTTCTTCAATTATTTCTTGTTTTTTTAATTCAATTTTTTTCTCATTTTCTTTTGAAATAACTTTGTGCGTAACACTTATCTGACCAGGGAATGGTCTCCGGTCGCAGTGGGATCTCTCAATGAGACCAATTTTTTTCCAGATGTAGTTTTTTTCACGCTGATCTCAAATCTGGTCTCAAAAAAACTGCCGAAGAGCTCTGTGAAAAAAAGTTATGGACCCTCAAAAGTCGAAAATTTCAGTGTCTCCGATTGAGCTCATTTTTGGAGGGTATATAGACCTTGTCCCTCTGGTCAAGAAAAACCATTGAAGTTTTCACAAAAAAATTTCGGAGCCCAGATATGATCTTTCAAAGCCCCGCCTCACACAAGAGCTTGCGAGCGCGGTGTCCTATTGCGATCCGGCGACCGTCGAAGCAACGGCAGCAAGGAGCAGTGGTAAGGCGGCGGACTGGGGATCACGAGGTCATAGGTTCGGTGCCCTCTCTGTGCAAACTTTTTTTGCAGTTTTTTCTATTTTTTATGATTTCGTTTAAGGGCTCCTATTTTGAGTTTTGAGGCGTATAAACATGAAAAATCTTCGTTTTTAGCCTATTCGAACATCTAGAATTATTTTCGTCAAAAATTTTTTTCATGGAATTTTTCGAGATTTTTCATGTATATGAGCATTAGAGTTCACCAAACAGATCGTTCGACCAAACGTTCAACCAATATTTTCATGACATGTTACCAAAAAAATATGATTGATTAACATTTCTTGCTACCGAACGATTAACTTGTCTCATGATTATGATCTCTCGTTTTTTTCGACATGTCAACATTTCATTTTAAATGAGAGATCATTTTGAATCGATCGTTCAGTTTTCGATTGATCGAAATGTTGTATTGAAAATATTGGTCGAAAAAAATGATTGATCGAAATTTTGTTTTGAAAAATATTGGTCGAAATAATGATTGATCGAAATATTGTTTTTGAAAATATTGGTCGAAATAATGATTGATCGAAATTTTTTTATTGGAAATTTGGTCGAAAAAAAATGATTGATCGAAATGAATTTTTTTGTTAAAAAAAGTATGTTCAAAAACTACTGTTTAAAAAAACCGCTTCTCTTTCAAATGTTCATCATAATTTCTTTTTTTGATTTTTTTCGTAACGAAATATCATCATCTTTTTCTGTTTCTCTGTGTTCACTGGTCCTAAAAAGCAAAAAAATTTCTACAATGCCATATAGACTATAACAAATAAGTTCAAGAAAAAGTGCAAAACTTTAATTTGTCGGAAAAAAAATGAATATTTTTCACCTGTTTACTAGTACTCCGAAAACCTGCCCCGTGTGAGCGATCTGTTTTGAAAATCGATCGCTCGGAATTTCGATCGATCGAAAATTTTTATGCTCAAAATATTGGTCAAAAATGATTGATCGAAATGTTGTTTTGAAAATATTGGTCGAAATAATGATTGATCGAAATTTTGTTTTGAAAATATTGGTCGAAAAAATGATTGATCGAAATGTTGTATTGAATATATTGGTCGAAATATCGATATATCAAAACGTTAAAATCCAATGACTGATCATTAATGTAAGAGATCAAAAACTGATCTAATAAACGATCTCTCAAAAAATGACATGTTAAAATTTGGTTGAACAGTGACATGTCAATAGTTTGATCAATTGAAATGGTTGAATGATCGGTTTGGTGAACTCTAATGAGCATGGGCTGGGGTGAGAAAATTTTCAGAAAAATTTTTTTGTTTTTTTTTTCCATTTTTTTGTTCCTAAAAGATTTATAAGTTTATCTAGTCATAGATACGCCGACATATCCCACAGAAAAATTTTTTTCCTGGCTTTTTTAGACCTCACCGTTCAACTACGACTGATGGAAGTTTCGGAAAATTTTTGCGTAAGTGCTCTTTTTCGAGTTTTGAAGCGTTAAACTGTGAAAGTTCTCCGTTTTGAAACTATTCAAACACCTGGACTTTTTTTGTCAAAAAAATTTCTTCATGTAATTTTTTTCGTTATTTTTCCATGTGTATGAGTATAGGCTCGAGTGAGGAAAAATTTTTCAATAAATTTTTTTGGTTATTTTTTTCTTTTTTTAAAATTTTTATTTAAAAGTTATTTAGTCCATTTATTCATTGATACACCAAAAAAAAAACCACAGTAATTTTTTTTCTTCCAAAAACTTCTTTGAGAGTTGCAGTGATTTACCTATGATCATCACCTTATGCCTGAAAAAGTTTTTGCGCGATTTTTCCCGAAGTAGAAAAAAATGAGAGTGCGCAAAAAAACAAAATTTATTGTTGAATAAAAAAATTTCTTTTTCTCTCCTCGAAATTTTCTCTCGAAAAAAAGTCTGACTGGACTGTGAACTTTCACAAGTTCCATTAGAACGAATTATTTGGGGGATTTTTGGTCCCGATTGTGTTATCTATCAATCAGAAGGGATTTCTTTCAAAGTTTCAGCAAAAAAATTTGAAAAAAATGCGGATTTATTTTTTTCTTATGAAGTCGTAGTTGAACGGTGAGGTCTAAAAAAAGCCAGGAAAAAAATTTTTTTCTGTGGGATATGTCGGCGTATCTATGACTAATTAAACTTATAAATCTTTTAGGAACAAAAAAATGGAGAAAAACAAAAAAATTTTTTTCTGAAAATTTTTCTCACTCCAGCCCATGCTCATATACATGAAAAATCTCGAAAAATTCCATGAAAAAAATTTTTGACGAAAATAACTCTAGATGTTGGAATAGGCTAAAAACGAAGATTTTTCATGTTTATACGCCTCAAAACTCAAAATAGGAGCCCTTAAACGAAATCATAGAAAGTAGAAAAAAATGCAAAAAAAAGTTTGCACAGAGTGGGCACCGAACCTATGACCTCGTGATTCCCATTCGGCCGCCTTACCACTGCTCCTTGCTGCCCTTGCTTCGACGGTCGCCGGATCGCAATAGCACACCGCGCTCGCAAGCTCTTGTGTGAGGCGGGGCTTTGAAACATCATATCTGGGCTCCGAAATTTTTTTGTGAAAACTTCAATGGTTTTTCTTGAACAGAGGGACAAGATCTACACACCCTCCAAAAATGAGCTCAATCGGAGACACTGAAATTTTCGACTTTTGAGGGTCCATAACTTTTTTCACAGAGCTCCTCGGCAATTTTTGAGACCAGATTTGAGATCAGCGTGAAAAACTACATCTGGAAAAATTGGTCTCATTGAGAGACGCCATTATAGATAGCACTCCCAAAAGTCTCCTCTTGGCGCATTCCGCGTGCGTGCGCGCTCAATTCAAATTTCGTCTCTTGGACTAGATTTACAGGCTTCCAGTATATGGTTCTTTTTGTATAATTTTTTTCTTACTTATTCATTTCCAGTTTTCTTTTTATTTAATATTGACTCATTTAGGGAATCTAACTTTTATTTAAGAAAGTTTTTTTCTTGTTTTAGCGCAAATTCAAATTTTTCGCCTTCACTCAATTGCACAGGCAAATGGGGAAGGTACCATAATGTGCCCACAAATATACCTCTTAAAATGAATCTTGAATATTCCATAACGTGTCCATCATGAGACGTCGAGCATAAATTTTAGCTCTAGCTGCCCAGGGAATGGTCTCTGGTCGTAGTTGGATTTCAGAATGAGACACAGTTCACTAGATGAAGTTTTTCATGCTGTTTCCAAATCTGTTCTCAAAAAATGCCGCGCAGGTCCGTGAAAAAAGTTTGTTTTTGGAAACGTTTTTGAGCGGAGATACGATTTTTCAAAGCTCGTCGCATGATAAGGAAATGTGCTGCTGAAAATTCATTTTTCGTTTCTCATGAGCGAATGGAGAACAACGTGTACAGCTTATACAAATTTCAAAGGAAGTCTGAAAACAGAATGAATAAAAATTAGAAAACCGAAGTGACTAAAAAAATAATAATAATAAAAAAACCTGGGAAGCATTTCCAGGCTACTCGGTAGCAATCAAAAAAATTTCAGGTACTCTGCCCGTATATCCAGTTATCATAGATATGATACCCGGGTAAAAATTAATTGGAAGTTTTTTTAATGCAAGAAAAAAATTATACAAAAAGAACCATATACTGGAAGCCTGTAAAATCTAGTTCAAGAGACAAAATTTGAATTGGCGCGCGCACGCACGCGGAATGCGCCAAGAGGAGACTTTTTGGGAGTGCTATCTATAATGGCGTCTCTCATTGAGAGATCCCACTGCGACCGGAGACCATTCCCTGGTGAGAACTTCGTGACTAATTCATCTCTCTCGTAACTATTCACGATGAATTGATGTCTTTTAATGAAAAATAAAAAAACGGTTTGTCTTGCGTGTTTTGGCTCGCACAAACGTCGTCCACAAGTTTTGTGAGAGCTTCTCTTACGGCTTTATTTCTTTTTGTATGAACTTTCCATCGTGCTCTCTCCTCATAAACTTCCAGAAAATCGTTAAAAAGAGAAAAATATTGAGAATCAGGGACAACTCCGTGAAAAAATGAGCTTTAGTTGTCAAATTAAAACTTCAAATTCGAAAAACCGTAGTAGTTCGCAAAATTTATGAAAGCCGAGCAAACACAGATTCAAAATAGTTTAATCCATCATGAATAGTTACGACGGAGAGAGATGAAATAGTCACGAAGTGCTCAGGTAAGTGTTACGCACAAAAGTTATTTGAAAAGAAAATAAGAAAAAAATTGAACCAAAAACAAGAAAAAAATTGAATATATTGACATTTTTCGTGTGCTTCTCGGCGCCTTCCTTGCAAATTTGAAATTTATGTCATTTTTTTGAACTTTTTGAATTTGCTGACTTGGCGCCAAGAAGCACAAAAAAATATCACTATTCGGTAACCCATTCCGCGCGAAACCGATTTTTCTCGATACTTTTGAAATTTCTCAAAATTATCTCGAAATTTTTTTCAAAAATCGAAATTCGCTTTTTCGAAGCATCGCCGTGAACGCTCTTTTTGAATTTCGCGTTTTGCTCCTGAACGCGCCATAATAAAAAAATTTGCAAAAGATTCAAATTTTTCAAAGATTTGAGCCTCCAATATCGGTGTATGCACAATTCACGCTTACGAATATTCGCGGTTTTTTCCTTCCTACCATCATTTTTTTTTTTGGCGATCCGTGGATGAATAACCGTTAGAAAATAACTTTATTCATATTTAACAATCAATTTCGCTTTTTGCGCGTCGCTTCTAGTGCAACTGGTGCACTGCATACAAAACACTTCATTTTCCGCCGCTGAGGGGAACGTGGCGGTGTCGCCGTGGATATTTCATCACTTGAACATCCTGACCCACGCATGTTTAAGACAGTGCTATAGCGGCCGGTTGCCGGTCACAATTGCGGCGTCAGTTTCGGAGCCAGGAAATTTTTTTTCTTTTTTGCAATTTGGTAAGGGCCTTTTTCTCAAGGTTACAAGATAAGTTACGTCAAAGTGAACAAGTTTTCATTTTATTCCCGAAAAACCTAGCTTGATTACCGTAATACGAACGGCCGCCTTGAACATGCGTGCACCGAAACCGGAATCCAATGACGCAAAGTATCGGCAATCATGAGACCCATTTCAATACCATCATAGACGGCAAATGAATTAGACGGATCACTCGCGCAAGCGGGCGACATAATCCTGTCTCAACCGTCTTCCTCGCCACACGTCTACAGTCTGTTCAGATTTTGAATGTCAACCAGCTAACTCCGCCCCTACTGAGACGGTACCTTTTCGCGTCGATTTTTTATCGCGCGGGACTAATTTTGATCTTTTTTGATCAAAAAGATAGAAAAAGAAGTCAAAAATGCAGCCTTATTGAAGGGCCATCGTCAACTGTAGATAAAACATTGACGCGAAATATATTGCAGCCTAAGGGTGGAGTTAGCTGCTTGACATTCAAAATCTGAACAGACTATAACCATAGCTCATAACCAGAATACCTTTGGGATTGCAAAGAGGCGAACGCGACTGGCAGTATGACGACACGCCCAAAACTCGCCCTTTTTTTTTACTGCAGCCCCTTTCCCTTGATGCAAACAATTCATTCTGCACTTGATGAAAAGCTTCCAAAAAGCCTTGCGCAACTTTCAATCAACTTTTTCCGAACTTTAAAGCTTTAAAAAAATAATATTAGGGTAATAAAGATTATAGTCTGTTGAGATTTTGAATTTCAAGTAGAATGACATCATTCAAAAACGCTCTGTGGATGGTTCGCTCTCTGATTGGTTTATCGCACCATTATGGGCGGAGCTTGAGCGACGACTTGACATTCAAAATCTGAACGGACTGTAACTGAAGGTTTAGCAGGAAGTTTCTCGAAAACCTTCAGAAAAATATCAATAAACTCTACCATTTTTCGTTATAGCGTCGACTGATAGACCAGTATCGACCAAATAGTTGAAAATATCCTTCTGAAAACCTTTTTTTGCTTCAAAAAGGTGAGGTGATGTGTACCGCATTTGGTCCTTCAAAGTACTTAGGCATCATAATAACAGTTTTCCCTTCTTGATTTCGATGTCGAACATTTACCTCTCCACTCTCTACGATTCGATAAACTAAACAGTAATCATAAACATAATTGTATTCTGATAATAATCGAACCTTGATCATAGTTGCCTTTAGCAACAGCCATAAATAACAGGATCTGGTCTTCTGAATTCGTGTCTAGAGCAGTGCCTTCGGTAGCATCCTGCGAAAAAAGCTCAATGCCTTTTTCAACATAAGCAAAAATTCAATATGCACAGTCGAAACTCGCACCCCGCACTAGTTCTCAGAAATTTTCCAGGAAAAAGCGACTTTTTGCAAGATGCCTCAAGCTTTTTAGCAGTAAGCTATCGAAAGCACTGCTCTCGTGAAGTCGAACTTACTTAAATCGGACTCCGCCATCCTTCGCTGAAATTTATAAAACTTTTCTTCAAAAAGAAAGAAAACGAAAACGAAAAGCAATGCAAGGAGAATATTTGAAAAATTACATCAACTTCGCAAATCGACTCCAAAAAAAACCTTTCCAAGGATCGTTTTTTTAAGAGCTCTGTGATAATTCAAAAAGTCTTCGCGAGGATGTTGAAGGAGATTGAAAGTAGTTTACTAAATAATAGGGGTAACTTTCTGTTTTAAACGTCAATTTTCATGCAAAACCGCATCTTTAAACACTCCAAGAACGGAAAAGAGCAGAGTACCAAAAATTCTTGACATCGAGTCATACATTTGATCTACGCGTTTTTGCCGTGTTCAAAGTGATCCCGTGAAATCCAAAATGACAACAGAGAAAGGAAGAGATAGCTGAATTTTTAGATATTCAGAGATAATTTTGCATTTCGCTGAAATTACTGTGAATACGACATTTTAAATTCATATTTTCGAAAAAAATTCACTATATCAGCTTCATGGAAAAAGTACAAAAATAAGATATGAAAATAGAAAATTTCACAGATAGTAACGGTTTAAAGAAGACCGTTTCAAAATGAATTAACTTTAATGTAACTCAAAAAAATTTTTTTATCATGATTCGGGATAAAACAGATTCAAGTCTGGAACCATTCACAGTCAAAAGAAAAACCGGTAACATTGAAGATCGACAAAAAAAAATGACGATAACATGAAAATTCAACAACTCGTAACGATCAGTGATAACGAAAATTTTTATCACCCAAAATGGTGAATTCACGCAAATCGCGAGGCAAAATTTGATTCAGAAAAGCTGGGATGAATTTCGTTTCAACGACTTCGGCGCACATGTCTTTCAACGTGATGAAACCGCCTGAAATCTTTTGTGAAGAAGAAAAAACAACCTTTTATGAAGAAATTAGTGTAGTGCGAGACGGTTTCAAAGAACAGAAAAAAGGATACCGTAAATAAAACTTTTTCTATCCAAAACTGCAAAAAAGACAGCAAAACACAAAGTTGTTGAATCGAAAATGCTCAATTTTGATCTACTACGGTATACGGTCTTTTTGGCGGGAAGAAAAATGTGAAAAAGCAGACGTGGGAATTGGCTATATAAAATTTGATCATCGAAAAGAAAAAAATAAAACTAATTTTTAACCATGAAGTTAAAAAGAAACCTAGCCTAGCTGATAAATACCATAAGCAGATAAACATTTATTTTTTGAGCATATGAAGCAAAAAAAAAAATGGAAATTGACTCGAAAGCTTGAAAAATAAGATTTTCAGCAAGGTTTTCTTTACAAAAGTCAAAAGATCACACTTTTCCCGCCTTGGAAGATCTCTCGTAAAAACTGGAGCTATTCTCTGAAAATCCTCAAACTCACCAAGCGCGATCAGATCGTCAACTTCCCCTGAACTTTGGAAATCCTGCAGAGCTTCGAAAACGCGACCGTTTCTCCTGTCGCGCACGAAAATCCGCGATCCATTCGAAATCAAAGATTTCAACAATGGCCAAGCTCTGAAATGAGGAAAGGAAGCAAAAAAAAAAGGGGTGGATGTTATTACTTTTCGTTCAAATCATCATCATAGTCGAAATACGATTCGGTTACTTTCATCAACACCGTTTGTCCGTATTTATTCGTTTCGTTGATGTTCGCGCCAACGTTGACGAAAATCGGAATCAAATTCCTCTGTCTGAATGTGTCGAATAATGGAAGGCAGGTATATGTATAGCCGATTCACGGCTTGGGACGCTAGAGGGAGTGGCCTGTCTGCGCTCTCCACGAGCCAGGCACTATTTCTTTCATCATCGTGTCAGGACCCTTTTTTTGATGGCTAAGACGGTAAGAAGAGACACTAGAGAAAAAGGCTGTTTTCCCATTTTTCGGCAAAAAACAACCAGTGAAAATACTCAAGCAAGAGATCAACTTTGAATTGAAGAGACGTTAAAGAATCAAAGGATTTCAAGTTCTGTGAATCATCTTCAAAAATAACTACTATTTCAACAAAAAGATACAGAAAAGCATGAACGAGAGATCAAAGTTTGGAAGAGACAAGAGAGCCCTCTCTTTCTCTAGCGTCTCTTCTAGCCGCCGCTGCTCTATGTTCCCTGTTTCGTCCATTGGAAAATTAATTGAATGAAGAAAGAAAAATATAACTCTTCAAACATGGGCGCATCAAACACTGAAATATGGAGCATTGTTGCGATTTTGACAAAACGGCGCAACTGAAAAATCATCAATTAGAAATTGGAAACAATAGGAAACCTACATTGAATTCTGGAAACTCCTTTCTTTCCTTTTCACTTCCTTTCATTGTGCAAAAAGTTTGAACCTGATAAATCAGCCAAAATATTTTTGAAATTGAACAGAAATAAAACCATCGAAAAGATTTTAACAGCGACATTCGAGTAGCTTTGTAAACGTTCACTTTTGGCTTTCACTTTTTTCTCGTGTGCCTGAAAAAATATGAAGAATTAGTCGATTCTTCCACGACTTGCAAATCCATCTAGCAATCAAAACAATGTTTTTTTTTTCGTTTTAAGAAAAGCCAAAATTCTTGCAATTTCGCAAAAAGCTGTAGACAAGACAAAGAACTGATTTAGAGTAAATTTTTGGGTATATGTCAAAAGAGCTGTGAAAATCGAGCTGAGAAAAAAATGAGCTGATGAAAAAAACAGCCAGCGATAAAACTGCCAGCGAAAAAGCGAGCTGCGAAAAATTTTGCCCACCGTTGGCAAAATAGTTGACTACATATTGGCGCTCCACCGATAACGCGCCGATGACAGATTTTGAATTTTTCGGAAAAATTTTTTTCATTATTTTTTTGTTATTTCTTATTTGTTTTCATCCATTTTCTTTTTTTCATTTTGTTGTGATTTCGTGCAGAAAAAGTTTTTATTTAATTTCCGCTTAGAATGAAATCGGGCGAAGTCAGTCTATAAGAGTCTGAAAAAAACATTTTTAATAATGAAAAATGTTTCAGGACGCTTAAAAGCAATCAGGGTGGATTGATTTCTTGCGATGAGGAGAAGTTCGAGTATTGGTTCCGCAACTTCACGAAAGACAATTTTCATCGGAAAACCCTGTCATGCTCACATTTTGTTCTTTTTTTAGGTTTTTTTAATAAACTGATATTTTGTTATGTTCATTATTTTTCAATACGCAACGGGCAAATAAAATTTTTAAATAGTTCCTTTAACGCAAAATCCGGGAAAAAAATTATGTAGATAATTTTTTTACTATCCACTTTTAATCACTTCTGCATGTTTGTCCTTTTTTCTGACATTTCAGTAATTGCTTCCAAAAAAATTCAACGATGTAGTTTGAAATCATTCAACATAAAACAAGAAAAAACTATATTTTAAGATACTAATGAGCGGAAATGGCCGAAATTCGGTTACTGTTCTCGATGGAGCGCAGAGTCGCGCGATTAACCTGCCAACGGCGGGCGAAATTTTCGTAGCTCGTTTCTCTCAGCTGATTATTTTTCTCTGGCAATTTTTTCGGCAGCCCATTTTTCGCTGGCAGTTTTATCTCAAACAGCGAGGAGGCTCGATTTTCGCAGCTCTTTTGACATATACCCAAATTTTTTTAAAACCTGATGAAAAACTTCTGATTTACTCTTCATTCTATTATAGTCTATTCCGCGCCAGCTTGTCACGTTTTTCTTTTTTTCAAAAAGACCGTATACCAAATTAGATCAAATTTCTGCTTTTATAACGGCAAGAAACAAAGGTATTGAAGCGAAAGTTGGTTAATTTTGACCTGACCTGTTGGCGGAAAGAAAAACGTGACAAGCTAGCGCGGAATGGCCTATACAAGGCTTTTTTTCAATGGATTCATGAAACTTCTTGTCAAAAACGAACCTTCTCCAAACTGAGGCATAGTTTATCGAACATGTAGCAAATGAGCTTCATGCAGGACTCAAAACTTGTTTCTTCGTTTTTGAATAGCGAGTCGAGAATCGTATGTGAAATGGCAGGGCACAAGGCATCGATCGTGTCCACCAGGACTCCCGACGACAAATCGCCATACCTCAAAAGAGAAAGTGTCTGACCCCTTAGTCCCTAAAGCTCAAGTGGCCCCTATAGGGGTCTTTCAACCTCGTTTAAAACGCTTTATTATTTCATTTTTCGCATGGGAACGCTTCCTCACATAGAGTACATAAAAATTATCGATTAGCGTGTCCCCTATAGGGGCCACTAATTAAAACCCCTATGTAGTCTCTAGAGGGGCCTTCCAAGGGTCCCTAAGGCTCTAGGGACCATTCTGGAGTTCCTAAGACCATCTCATTCGACATCCCAAATCCGGAAGGACTACTCAACAACTTTAGCGCAAACTAGGCGTTTTTGAGCAACTAAGTGGTTAATTTATAGGCTTCAATGCCCTTTTGGTGGTCATTCTTCATTTGGCTCCGGTCAGGTTTTCATGACATTTCACATACATCAACACTGAGATATCAGAACATTAAAAAGATGATTGAAATCATTCTGAAAACACTGAAATATACCTTTCTGCCAAATCCAGTGTGTAGCAGCAGAGGTCGTAGTTCCTGCAGTAAAAAAAATAACCTCATTTTGTTTCAAAAAGATTCTTAAAAAATCTTTTTGAAGAGTCAGAACCCCTTCAGGCCCTTCAAACTTACCGCGGATCGTACTTCGTGTGATTCAAATCACAGACAATTTTAACCAAGCCTCTCAAGACTTCTGGATGAGATTGGCCGAGAATCCTTTCCCGCATGATCAAACACTGAAAGTTCGAAAAAAAGTGAAGATTTTTTCAGCGAAAAAAAAAATCAAGTAATCGTTATCTTTCCAGAAAAAAAGAAAGTTCAAAATACAGGAATTTAACTTTTTTTTTGGGCATAAAAACATGAAGCAGTAGGCTCACAAAAAAGGTAATTTGATGGTTTTTTTAAGCTCCGCCCCTTTTACCAACTTACCCCTAGAGTGAATTCCTTTTCACATCGAAGTCCACAGAGTAGTGTCATTCAAAATGAAAAGTTTGGCTAAAAAATTTTTTCAAATTACCATTTTCTCCTTGCATTGAACCTACTCTAAACATCAAAAAGATCCAAAAGCACAAAAATTATCGTTTATAGGTTATAGCTTTCAATGAGTCAGTACCTGAATTCCAATGAACCTTGAACGATCTTCTGCAGCTTCGACTTCTTCCAAAGAACGCGCTTCCCGAAGCGAATCGTATGCCGGGTTCGGTTCCACTTGCTCTATTTCCTTCAATTTCCGAAATCAACTTTCATTGATTTCTACACAACCTCCTCAATGCCATCGTTCATCTCCAACGCCTTTCTAAACAATAAATAAGAGACGTCCTCCTGTCGTTTCAATAGACTGGATGACGCTTTGAGAAGCAACGCGTCTTTTTTCAATCTTTCATCTGTGGCATAGTCGTACAGATATAGGAACATATCATTCTGAATCATAAAAACTTGTTTTTTTTCTTCTTCGTAATAGAAAAGCTAACATTCGGACTATTTGTAAGAGCCGCGGTGGAGAGTGGGGTTTGCCCTTTTCCGTCGGGAATCAGTTTGGCACCTTGGGCGAGCAAAAGCTTCATGAGAAAAACATTGTCGTTTTCTACGGCGTAGTGAAGGGCCGTTCGTCCTGAAAAGAAAGATTCAGACGAAAAAGTCGGGAATATCCATTGTGGTCTCTTCTCAGGCAAATCCTGGGAAGATGTTGGGAAGGTAACCAGCAGAAAGTTGGAAGGTGAATGGAGGCCTTGAGAATGTCTTTAGAAGGTAATTAGAAGGTCTTAGGAAGGTAATAAATTGAAAAGACCTGGCAGAAGCCTTCCAGCAGGCTTCTGGAAGGTAACTAGAGGTGTTAGGGAGGTATGTGGAAAACTTTTGACTGGGAAGCTTTCAAACGCCTTCCGAGGAACCGAAAACTGAAGGTTCCAGCTTTTAACTGAGTTGAAGGCTTTGAAAGGAGTAATGCATTTTCTAGGATCGGAACTAAATAAAAATATTTGAAAAACTCAGGAAAGGCTAAAAAGTCTATTTAATGATCAGAAGTAATGAAAACGGCTCATCGCGTCGAGACCTTAAGGAAATAACCCACGCTAATTTATTGAAAAATGGCCTTGAATATTCACAGAAAGCTTTAAGGTACAGAAAAACTCTATTAACGTTTAAATCTCTGCCATTCACACGTTACTTTCTTGTGCTTTAGAAAAATTCTTGACGCGGCGGCAAAAAAAAAAAATGAAAAACGCCAAAAATTTTGCACGAAAATTTACCATTAGGCGTGGTCGCATCAACTGAAAGTCCTTGGTCGATTAAAAATTTGAAAAAATCTCTCTGAAAAAAAAATTGATCAATATGCAATCAATTTCGGGAAAACCGATCGTTCAACTCTGAAGAAACGAGAAAGCATCAAGCACGTCAAACCGTCGTCATTCCGGTCCAAAACACTGGCGCCATGTTCACAGAGGTAAGCCGCTTGAATAGATTGAATAATATTCGACAAAAAAAAAAAGATAAATTTCATAAATCGTTCTTACCGATTTGAAAGGCGATATTTACCGTACACTGGTGAATCGAGAGGTAGATACAAGTAGGTAACGGGTAGCAACTCCAGTCAATCGGCGAATCGTAATCGGTGGTCATTTGTATGCGACCGGGTACTGTCTCTATGGTACCTGGATAGTACCTGATCGGTATCTGGATGCTACCGGGTAGGTACCTGAAATTCGCGATTGCCATTGGCTGGCACATCGGTCGTTTATATAGCATCAGTGTTTTTTTACACCTTCTCAAGCCTTCCAGGGTCTCATTGGATAAAGCTGACACAAAAAATAACGACCAGCAATTCCAGACTTTCCGAAAGAAATCGCGAATGTCAGGTAGCTACCCGGTAGCTACTTGCATCGACCTTCGACCCAGGTACCATAAAGATGGTACCCGGTCGCATACAAACGACCACCGATTACCACACGCCGATTAACTTTTTCAAAAGTTGCTACCCGGTATCTATTTGTATCGACTTCTCAATTCACCTTTGTGGTAACTTTTTGCAGTCACGGAACGCTTTATTTCAGACGTAGGGAAAAAAAAATCATTTTTTGAAACTCCTTTTTATTCATTTAAAACTTCCCACCGTTTCCGCGTTCAAAGTATAGCTGATTCACGGCCAGCTTGGGACGCTAATGGGGCGTTTCCTGTCTGCGCTCTCCACGAGCCAGGCGCTATCTCGTGCATTACCTTGTCAGGACCCTTTTTTCGATGGCTCAGGCCGGCCGTGAATCAGCTATAATTGCGCAAAATTTAAAACTCCCATCTCTTCAAGTTATCTTTTCAACAATCATTATTTTTTCACCAAAATTACTTTTTACGGACCGTACAAAAAAATACAATAACAAAAAAACTAAAAAAGTGACTCGTTTTTGAAATTTTTTATTTTCCGCGAAAAGCGTCGCGATAGCAAACATACTACGGTAGAGTTCGTCGATCTCCTTTCAAACCAGAAAAAAACCGAATATATATACCTATTTCGACATTGGAATATTTGCAGCAAATGAAAATTGGCGGATCGTGTCCCAGCCCTAAGGGCATCTTTAGGTTGCAGTTGTCTGATTCCACTACAGCCCGGAGGATCTGAAGGCTTGAAAAACTATGATACGGAACAAAAAGGGAAAAGCCTTGAATTCATCACGAGTCCGTCGGATCTTTGGTAATTTTCTGTTGCCGATCTGCTCGATGGCCAAACGAAGGGCCGTTTCCGGAGCTGAAAGTGGTAGATTTCAAGAATTTAAATGGTTTAGAATGAGAAAAAAGTTTTTGATTCCTTATATTTCTTTTTTTATTTGAAGACATTTGGCGATTCTACTTTTTATCAATTCAAAAAATCTCGAGTTAACCTGCTTTTGTAATGGAGAAGGTACAACGGGAGTACCTAAGAGCTTTGGCGCCAAGATTGACCTCAAAAATATATATTCCAAAAGAATTACAAAGCAAGGTACAAAGTATTCAACGCCGTCTGAAAATCCGACGCGGCAAGCTTCAACAAGCGGAATCGAGTCAATCGATAAATTCAGAATCTCTTCAATATCTTCTTTCGTCTCACTTTTTATCATCGCCTAAAACTTTTTAAAAATAAACCAGAAATTTTCGAGACCTTGATGCTCTGCAAGTCACGCTTCAAAATCGATCTCTGAATCCATTTACGCTGTTGACATAACGAAGGTCTCTTCATTTTGCTTGAAATGATATCAGGAAGCTACATTCGAAAAACTTCTTCAACTCATAAGTAAAGCGGATTAGAATTTCAACCAACTCCATAAAACATAACTATTCTTTGCGAATTTCGAATTATTTTATTTGAATTTTCGTGAAATAATAAGGAAAAAAGAAAGAAACATGTACAACATCATAACGGTTCATACAGTTTGATATACACAGATTATAAAAAAAAATCGAAGCGAAAGATTCTGTAGCGACGGGGGCGGTTTCAGCTGCTTGACATTCGAAATCCGAACAGACTGCACAAGGCGAAAAAAAGTGAAAATTTCAAATTTTAAACGAACCCGTAGCGATGTTCTTGTTTTTCTTCCTATGGTTTTGTACTTCCTGCCGGGTGTCGAAAACGTGGCAATCTTCAGATTTGCGGATGAAAAGCCGCGCTTCAAGATAGGTATATCTGATTCACGGCCAGCCTGGGACGCTAAAGGGGCGTGTCCTGTCTGCGCTCTCCACGAGCCAGGCGCTATCTCGTGCATTATCGTGTCAGGACCCGTTTGTCGATGGCTCAAGCCAGCCGTGTATCAGCTATAAGTTCATTTAAGACTCGAAACCGAGAAAATATAGAACAAACCTTGACGGAAAACGTGATGTTCACTGTATCTCGAACACAAGGCGATAACGTAGAAAATAAAAAGATCGATTCTGAAAAAAATTGTTTTATTCTCAGGGATGGTAATCCATCACTAGCTGTTGAAGGAAGTGATAATGAAGCTTCATATCGATCCATAGAAGGAACTCCTGGTACAATGCCAAAAGTCACAAATGCAGTACTGAAAAAGAAAAACGAAGAATTGAATCTTAAAATTTTCATTTTAAAAAAAAATATTGATAGAAACCTGCATCTATGCGTTCTTTTTATTATTTCCAGCGTTTGCAGATTCTTCTTCTCGGAGGTTTCCGTAGGCCGGGTCCAAATGAATCCGCGATCTGCGGAAAAACAGTTCCGAACACATATATCTTTGAGTAGACAACGAAGAGAAGAAGATATAATTATATATATATATACATGTTATAAAAAGAAACAAAAATAGAAAGAACGAAAAAAAGACTTGCTGCCCGAGTTTCACAGAAGTTCCAACTTTGGATGTCCGCCAAGTAGATCAATTTGACCGCCCGAATGGCGCGTGGCGGCGACGTGGAAAAGTGACGCCATTGTTCCAGAACTTCTGCCATTTGGCATTTCGCATTTTTTTTTAGGATTAAAGCTTGGTTTTGTTTTTTACCTTTTTTTTCTCTTTTTTTGTTGTAGTTGTACATTTTTTTGTTTTATTTGTGTTACAAAGTGAAATACTTGAAGCTATTTAGCGTAAGGCTTCGTTTTTTTCTCGAACAAAATTAGAGAATTGTGCCAATTTTCCAATCAGCATTGCCAGATTTCCTCTGAATTATAGTTTTATAAAAGGATTCGCCAAAATTCTACGAAGTTTTTTTAGTCGATTCCGAGAGCACGAAACCGAAACCGTATTTTTGTATCAATTATTATATACACATCTCGGTTCGATAAAAAAATAACCATTAGAACTGTATACATTTTATATAAAAAGGAAAAAAAATTAGAAAAATTAGAAAAAAAGAAAAATTGCAATTTGAAATTTTTTTTGCCTGTAAGGTGCTTGCACCACGAGCGTCATATCTGACGATTTTTTTTTTCGCGGAATTCGGAACCTTTCGAAAGGCCGCGGTTGTAGATATAGCTGATTCACGGCTGGCTTGAGCTATCGAGAAAAGGGTCCTGCCACGAAAAGAGACGAGACAGTGCCCTGGTTGGTGGGGAGTGCAGACAGGCCACGCCTTTTTGCGTCCCAAGCTAGCTGTGAATCGCCTATATCAACTGCTTGAACAGATTCGTGACGAAAATTCTCAGGAAAGAAATTTTCCGTCTCATTTCGCATATAATTTCGCTAGCTGCGGTCAATTATCAGTGATTAACTTTGATTTGTTGCAGTGCACGAAGTTAAAGCAAGTTAAATTATTAGTGAAAAGCCACATTCAGCGTGGATGCGTGAAGGGGCGTTTTGTGTTGAAAAGCTCCGTCAGAGCCACCTTTTGGACACACCGGGCCCATTTTCATGGATTACCCGATGGTTAGATGGGTAATGTCGAGCTCTATGGCTGCACGGCCATATCTCGACATTTCTCAGCAATGGTCTCTTTGGAGATTACCTGGGATTGCCATTTTATCGAGCTTTTCAACATAATGCGCTCGCGAAAACCTGGAAAACTGGTCCCTCAGCGATCGGCCCGGGTGGACGCCAAAGCCGCCTGAGAGTTGCTTCAGCTCTCAGGAGGGTACACCGTTTCCGCACACTGCTGATATGGTGAAGTAACTGTTTTTGACGTGTCTTCGGCTGGACGTTGGAGGCGGCTCCGGAGTAAAAGCTAAGGTACTTTGATAAATAAACTTCAATTTAATTTAACCGAATTTTTTTAGCAATTGTCTGAAACAACGCAGCCTCGTGATTTCCCGAACACCGTTTTGACCTATAAGGTAAGCACAGAATTTAAAACACCAAGAAGAAAGGTAACGCTCTCATCAATCAATTGATAAATCAGATGATTTTTCGAATGGTTGATGAATAATTTGAAGAAAATCACTTCTCTTCAAACTAAGCGCTAGATATAACTGTGGTCAATATATCTGAATAACATTGCTTTGTTGCAGTGCGCAACGCTCGAGAAAGTTGAAAAAACAGTGAAAAGCCACATTCAGCGTGGATGCGTGAAGGGGCGTTTTTGTGTTGAAAAGCTCCGTCAGAGCCACCTTTCGGACACACCGGGCCCATTTCCATGGATTACCCGATGGTTAGATGGGTAATGTCGAGCTCTAGGGCTGTACGGCCATATCTCGACATTTCTCAGCAATGGTCTCTTCGGAGATTACCTGGGATTGCCATTTTTATTGAGCTTTTCAACACAATACGCTCGCGAAAACCTGGAAAACTGGTCCCTCAGCGATCGGCCCGGGTGGACGCCAAAGCCGCCTGAGAGTTGCTTCAGCTCTCAGGGTACACCGTTTCCGCACACTGCTGGATTGGTGAAGTACCTGTTTTTTGACTTGTCTTCGGCTGGACGTTTGAGGCGGCTCCGGAGTAAAAGCTAAGGTACTTTGATAAATAAACTTCAATTTAATTCAATTGATTTTTTTTTCAGTTCTCTGGAGTGCGTCAAACCGAACTTTCGTGGTGGGGTATGTGAATTGAAACGCTTCGGATGACAAATATCCGGATTTTCAGACTACTCCTACGGCTACGTGGTCGATGACTTCCGACTTCAGGCCCAAGGTCGACGGTTTCCTGCTCCGGAACAGAGGCCGACGCTCCGCTTCATCGAAGGTGGAGCTCCACAACTTATCTCAACCGTCAAATAATCACCGGCTCTTGTTTTTTTCATCAATTTCTAGCGCGCAAGTGTTTTCGAAAAAAAAAATAATAAATCTAGGCTAGGCCGTAGCTAAAAATGAAACCTTTCAGTTATTTTTTCTGGATATCCCTTTTCTAAACCGACTTATTCATTTCTATTACTTAACAATGAAAAACATTAAAAAATGATGTTGATGGATATTTTAAATCTTTTGGGAAGCTCTTACTTAGAAAACTTTTTTTGGGAAGACGCTCCGAGCTCAAACGTATATAGTTTTTAAAAAAATGTGTTATTTGTGCTCCTTCAATATTTTCTTCGTGGCGAACGGAATTTTACGCACATTACAAAAACCGTTTTCTTCTTGTTTGTAAATTTAAACCTAATCGAGTTAAGGTAATTGGTCTGATGCGATTTTCGGCGAGCCGTTCTGATCCTCGTTCGGGCGTTTTTTTTGTGTTGCCGCCTGGCACCGTTTGTCCTAGATTCGAACAAGACGCAATCATTGTTTGAATTCATCGTTTAAATAAAATTTTAATACGATTTTACAGACGGCGATGAATCAGACAATCGAAGCAAATCCAGAAGGCCCAATTCCGGGAAAACCCCTTCGACTTTCGCTCTGATGGACGCCAATGCTTCGAAGTATGGGCCGTTGTCGTACATTTCTTCAAAAATTTCCATTTTCATTTTGCCATACCTCTTTGCGATTTCCTGTTTTTAATAGTTTGTCACAGTTTTTTGCTTTCAGGATGCGAAAAATCTTCTCTTCGACGTGCGCATAGAGCGAACGGGATACGAAAAACGAGAAAAATTGTCGTAGAAAGTCTGGAACCGGCCAGACAACTCCCAGACTTATTCGCCGGTAGATCGTGTGTCCCGCGCCATTTCAGTCCTTTTTGGGTGTCTAAAACTCACAAAAAGGTTCGTAGTGATCGTTTTCTGCTTGATAGTTCAGTAAAAATGATTTAGGGAGCAATCGACAATGTGACAGCAGAAGCTTCGAAGTTCTACAGTTTTGCTGCTCCCTGACACCTGCATCGCTTTTCACGAGTTTGAAAAAGACGGTGATTAATGTATGAGTTCATTATGTTGACATCAAGCGTTCAATACGATTTTATAGGCGTCCGAAAATACGACAACTAAAGGGAGCCCGAACCAAACTACAGAGTGCCCAGGGCCGAGATGTGTCCCTCGACTTCCGTTGTGAGGGCCAACTTTTTGGATCAAGACGCCTTCGAAGTATGAGCCGTTACTCAACACGTCTTCGAAAATTCCCATTTTCATTGTTCCAAAAACATACCTTTTTGCGATTTCATGTTTTTAATAGCTTGTCACAGTTTATTCTATCGAAATATAGAAAACCTTCTCTTCGATGTGCGCAGCCTGTTTCTGTGCATGCGCCTTCAATTTAGTCTTCAAGTTTCCGTTATAATGATGGCGCATGCGCGTGGAAGGGCGCGCGCTTCGAAGAGAAGGATTCTTCATCATAACACAATGCCATTTTCTTGAAGAAAATGGTGGGAAATGGAGCGAATGGGATACGAAACACGAAGAAAGTCTGGAACCGACGTCACGGATTTTCCCGCAGCCCAGCTACTCCCAGACTCACCGGCAGATCCTGGCAGCAGTCCTGCTCCCGTTGCAGTTCGATCTCGTTTGGCCCGCGCTCTTTCTTTTCTTTCTGACCGTCCAAAACCAATCCAAAATGGTTCGATTTGATAGTTCTTTGCTCGATAGTACGGTCCAAATGATTTAGAGAGCGATCGACGGAGTCCTTTGGGACAGGATGACAGCAGAAGCTTCGAAGTTCTACAGTTTTGCTGCTCCCTGACACCTGCATCGCTTTTCACGAGTTTGAAAAAGACGGTGATTAATGTATGAGTTCATTATGTTGACATCAAGCGTTCAATACGATTTTATAGGCGTCCGAAAATACGACAACTAAAAGGAGCCCGAACCGAACTACAGAGTGCCCAGGGCCGAGATGTGTCCCTCGACTTCCGTTGTGAGGGCCAACTTTTCGGATCAAGACATCTTCGAAGTATGAGCCGTTACTCAACAAGTCTTCGAAAATCCTCATTTTCATTGTGCCAAAAACAAATCTTTTTGCGATTTTATGTTTTTAATAGCTTGTCAGTTTTTTTTTCTATCGAAATATGAAAACCTTCTCTTCGATGTGCGCGGCCCGTTTCTCTGTATGCGCCTTCAATTAAGTCTTCGAGTTTCCGTTATATGTTGGCGCATGCGCGTGGAATGCCGCGTGCTTCGAAGAGAAGGTTGCTTTTCATATCAAAATAACCTTTTTTCTAGAAACACGAAAGATGTCGTCGAAGAGTCTGGAACCGACTTCACAGGCTTCTCCGCAGCCCAACAACTTCGAGACGTTTGGCGCCAGGTCTTGGAAGCAATCCTGCTTCCAACGCCAACAGTTTGATGTCGTATGTCTTGCGCCATTTCAATCCTTTCTGGCGGTCCAAAAAATGTAGGAGTTCATCATGTAGACATTAAATTTTTAATACGATTTTGCAGGCTGCGATGAATACGTAAACCGAAGTACAGAGTCCCCAGTGCCGGGGGATCAGCCAGTCTTCCGACCTTCGACGCACGTAATTCAACGCATCAAAGTAATAATGTGAAAAATAACATTAGGATCTTTTTTGAAGAAGAAATGCACAGGGCTGGGCATAATTATAGAACTCTCTTGCTGCTTCTGTGGACCCGCTGGGCATAAACTTCATAACTTTGCAGGACGGGTAGTTAATGGATGCTTCAATGTCCCACCCGCTTTTTTTTAATAAACTCCCTCATGTCCATCCCTGTGTATTTTGTTCTTTTATCAATTACTTTTTATAAAAAAAATTAATTTGAGTTTTTGAAACTTTTTGATCAAAAATATTCAAACTTGAGTCTATAAATATGCCTATTAAGTTTTTTCTTCTTTTCAGGTCAATGGCAGTCAGGCAGAAGACAATGAGGCGGCTATCGTTCCTGTTAGAAGGTACCTTTTTAAGACTCTGCTGAAAGTTCATAAAAGAAACTGACGGTAGAGTCGCTTCGATATGCGGGCGCAAAAAGATTGCTGCAACTTGTCTCTTTGCATAAAGTCGCGAATTTATGCTTCAAGGCGAGCTGTGGTGGTTTCTGTGCGCCTGTATGTTGGAGTCTTAGTGTTTGGCACACAAAAACAAGGAACACATGACAATATATGACACCCGGGTGTAAAAAAATTGAATTGCTCAGCGATAGATGATCATACTGAGCATGCACTATTAAAAATGATATATAAATACAATCAGAGATGGGCACCACGATTCAGTTTTTAAAACAGCCACTTTCAAGAAGGTTTTTGAGCATGGAAAATGTGAGCTGAACGTTTTCTTTAGTGACCGACACTCGGCTCATGTCTCTCCCGGCTTGAATCTCACTTGAAAGCGCCGCTGATGCGTAATGGGCCCAAACTTTCCACTTTTTAAATTTATGTGATAACTATCCCAGATTTTGCGACCTTGAGGCGTAGTAGCTAGTTTTCCGAGAAAACTTTCAAGGCTGGGGATTTCTGTTGTTGCACACTTTGCTATGAATTTTCTTTTCACTTTGAATGTAGGGTTTTAAAGATTGAGCTCTCGTTTTTTTCGAATTTCAAGTTACACTATCAAGAGAGCAGAGCATGTAGAAATTATGTCTGAACGTTTGAAGTTCTAACCTTCTTGGGTGTTAAAGATTAAATGAGTGAGTACCATCTTGGATTGGATGATAATCACTCATTTAATCCCTCATCCAAAAAGGCGTTTTCGTTCATAGGGTATTCTATCAAACTTGATCCACCTTTGAAGTAAACTTACGAATCGGGGCGCTCAATCAGCAGCAATTTCTAAAAAGTATTTCAGTCGTGATTCTTTGACTTGATGGCCTAATTTAAAGGTTTAGTCCGATTAGGTTGACTTCCAAATTTCAGTCGTAGTTTCTATTTTCAAAAATGAATAATTTAGTTTTCTTTTTTTGAAAACGACTTAAATTTCCAAATAGGAGAAAAAAAGAACAAATCTTTTTCTTTCTAAAAACTTTGGTTCAAAAAAATTGTCAATCATTTCTTTTTTTGGGTGTTCATTTAAAGCTTTCTTGAGACGTAACTTGAGAGGGGAACGCACTACACATTTAAGGTTCGTGTTCATTGCACGGAGAAGTTTTTTTCATTGCGTGTATATTGAAGCAGCGTTGTCCTCCTGTAAAACTCTGAAAAATGGTTTTACAACATTATTGAAAGATGTTTCTTTACCTCCTGGTAACCAGAAACTATGCCATATATTGGCTTGTGGGTCAGTTTTATCAAGGCTTTGTAAACCATATACAATTTTAGTTTGCTGGAGAGACGATGCTTTAAAATAAAAGCCGTTTTAGTGAGTTTGTTGTGAGTTTTTCCGTGGTAGCTCATCTCTGAAACTTCCTATATAGTTTCAAACTGATATGTACTGAATATATTATTGTGTTAAAGAATACATAGGGACGATCAGCACACAAAAACTAGTTGGGAATCGAGAGGTTGTGTGTTGGTTGAGCAGGGTGAGAGTATTCGGAATCAAAAAAACGAAATTCTTCTGAATACCTCAGACGGTGGTATGAAAAAACCACCAACGAAAATTCAAACGACGACTTTTCCGATTTTTTCATATCGCTAGGGAACTTTCCGACGGATCCCTTTCCGACTTTTTTCCCTCAAGTTTTTCGGTTTATAAAACATCTATAAACACTGTTCTTTTCTATTTCTTTGTGTTTTAATCATTAACAAACTAACTATATATAGGAAGGTTTAAAACGAAGACTTTATCGAGAAAAAAAGTCGGAAAAAGATTCGTCGGAAAGGTGGCCGTCGGAAAGTTCCCTAGCGATATGAAAAAATCGGAAAAGTCGTCGTTTAAATTTTCGTTGGTGGTTTTTTCATACCACCCCTCAGACAGCCGAGGAAGGTATAGACGATTCACGGCTAGCTTGGGACGCAAAAAGGCGTGGCCTGTCTGCACTCTTCACCAACCAGGGCACTGTCTCGTCTCTTTTCGTGGCCTCAGGCACTGACGGCGCGTGTTTGTTGCCAAAAGTGCGCATGCGCGCCGCCTGCTGCGCGCGGGGTGTCTCTTTTGTTTTTTAGCTTTTTAACTAATTGAAAAGTTATAAATTTAATATTTTTCATGTCTGTTCATCTCTCAACATTGCTCTGCGTCAGTTTATAACAATTAGATTGCACAAAAATTTGAAATATCAAAGTTTCACTTGACAATTTTTTTTCATAAATTTGTTTGGAAGTGCTCGGAACAACTTTAAAACGTGAACAGGAGCACTAGATAGTATCACAAAAACATATTTCAATACCGTATTCCAGTGGAAAAGGCGAAAAAAGAATCAGTACCCCCACGCGCGTGCGCATCAGTGCCTGAGGCAGAACCCTTTTCTCGATGGCTCAAGCCAGCCCTGTATCAGCTATATAGTGAGAGATCGGGGCTTGTGTTGCCCCCGATCTCTTTTGCCGGAGTTTCATTGTCCCTTTGCTCATTCATGATGGAAAAGATTCATTAATAAAAATGGCAAATTAAATCATAAAATGAAATATAAAATAAAAAGAGATGGCGGCGTCGGGTGGTGGTCTGCGGGTCCGTTGCCGGTCCCCGGTCTTGTCCTGCCGTCGTCGTGGTGGGCTTTTATAGTTGTCGACGGCGGCCCTGAAAGCTTGAAAGTTATAATTGGCTTTCAATAGAGCGTGGGCTCGGGTGAGGGATTGTATGATCTTGGAGGGCGTCGGGGTCGACGCCTCCGCGGCTCTTAGCGTCGCGATCGGCTGATCGTCGCGACGGTAAGAGCTGATGTTATCGGTGCGCATCGGAATATTATCTTAAAAGCCTTTGGGCCGTCTGGAGGAATTTGTCCAGTGTTTCAATGGAGCGGAAATAGCTGCAATGAGCTATGGGCTCCTACAATATTTGGCGCCGTGGCGTAATGGTCTTCCACACTGTCCCAACTATGACCATGGTTGGAATTTCTTTGGCGGATATCACTTTCGCATACTGATACCTTTATCATTTGCACAATCATTATATTTATTTGAGAAATTTTTCCATTGAATATTGAAAAATTTTTTTGTGCATTTTTCAAATATTTTCATCAACTTAGATGTGATCTTCCAAGAACTTTCGGAAAACCCTCGTTTCTGAGTTTAAAAAAATACATGAAAAATATGTGAAATCTGGCTTCTTATCATTTTTAAATGAAAATTCCTGGAAAAAAATCAAAATAAATGAGCCAATGATAAATTTATTGGTTGTCAAAAATGATATCCGCCAAAAGGATTCGACAGTCTTCAATTGGTTGATAAAATGTTCAATATGAGACGGCTGCGGGTGATCAGCCAATTAAAAAAAAAAAGTAGCTCAGTAGCCAAACTTGAAAGCAGGTGACATGATGCCCTCACCGAGCCAGTGCTATAAAGTTGCCTCGGATTCCGGAAACGGCAGGTAAGCTCCATTTCCAACTCCCCTTCACGAATAAAGTTTCTGACCCTTACTCTTTTTGGAAATGGTCATGTGTTGCGAACAATAAACAAAATCCTCCATGTAAAAAGAAGAAGTCGCAAAGCAGACGCTATAGTCCGTTCAGATTTTGAATGTCAAGTAGAATGACGTCATTCGAAAATGCTCTGTGGATGGCTCGCTCTGTGATTGGTCTATCGCACCATTATGGGCGGAGCTTGGGCGACGACTTGACATTCAAAATCTGAACAGACTATACAGAATCAACGCTGGAAGCTGTTGTTTTTCTCAGTTTTTTTCAAACGGCAAGTCCATGATTTCTCCGTTCCCAATCGAACAATCTTCAGTTCTGTGGGGCCCCCGTGGAGCGGAGTTTCATCTCTTGTCAACTTTATGTCTTGTTCAAAGCGATTCCGCGAAATTCAAAACAGCCGCCAGTGAAAAAAAAAAGATAATCAAATTTTGGCCAGTCAGAGCAATTTGCGGAAATTACTTTGAACACGGCACTACTATTCAAAAAATAATTCATTTATTCGGAAAAAGTTATGATGAAGCTATACAAACGATCGAAAGTTAATTTGAAGTGCGTGCGGGAACCTCCGGAAATTTCGGCCCTCTGACGTCATGGAAGCTAGTTGATATGGATCATACTCGATGGAGGATATCAGGGAAATCAAGAAAAATTGGGTCTTCAAGTTCCATTCCTCTAAAGAACCGAGTTATGACTTTTCAAAAATGACCAAATTTTTAAAATCAACGCCCACTAACCACCCTCTTTAGTTTTTTTTGAAACGCCGTGGTGAGAAACGAGTTTTCATCCGGTAATAAGCTCAGAAATAACCAACTTGGAAACATGAGCTTGAAATTTTTTCAAAATTTACATTCAAAGTTCAAATATACTCGGCTGCATGAAACCAGATTGAACAGAAAAAAACTTGAAGAAAACGAAATAAGAATCTTCATTCAACCTTGAAGGTAACATCAACAACGAAAATTCAACAGTGTAAACATTTTCACAGGGGGAAAACGGAGATCAAAAAAATAAATTTTTTGAAAGTGCAATAAAATAACAACAGAAAAGTGTGAAAAAAAAATATACATTCATTGTTTGTAAATGTTAACTAAAGAAAGGTATTCACTCAGGTCGAGGGGCAAGTTTTTTCGCAAAAAGTGTGCCGGGTAAGTGGCTTCCACAATTTCTGCGCTCATGTCTTTCAGCGTAATAAATTTTCCTAAAAGTTAAAAACGCATTCGGAAAGCTTATAACAGATTATCCAGGTTGATTAAAAACAAAAATGCACAGGTGACTTTTTTCTCTCTTTATCGTCAGCTTTCTTTTCTCTGTGCCATTATAGCCCATTCCGCCCCAGCTGGACATCGTTTTAAATTTTTTATCCGACTTACGGAATTCTTTCCTTGAATGGATGCGGCCTGCCTCTTTGTAAAATTAGTCTGAAAATCTTCAATATTTTAAAGACGCATGTGCAGAGACAGGCCGCGTGTTTCAAAGGAAAGGGTACTGTAGATCGGAGTGTAATAAAAATTGCAAAAAAAAGGTCCTGACATGATAATGCAAGAGATAGTACTTGGCTTGTTGAGAGCTCAAACAGGACACGCCCCCTTAGCGTGCCAAGCTAGCCATGAATCGGCTATAAAAAATAGAATCTCACCGAGAACCATGGGATCTTCAAAGTTGGGCCAGCCTTGAGCTTTCACCAGCGAGGCGAAAATTCGATTTCCCTCTGCATCACGTTGGAAAAGCCGCGATCCGTTGGTCACAAATTCGCGCACAATTGGGAATTTCCTCGAATAAAGATGGAATGAACTAAATTGGCGAATGATTCATACTCGTGGCGGAACTTTTCATTTATTTCTTTGGCGGAACCCAAAAAATACTGGAAAGATGCGGCCAAGGCCGTGCGCCCATCGGAATCCTTCTCGTTGATGTTGGCGCCAGCTTGGACGAAAATTGAAATCCAGTTTGGGTTTCTGAAAAGCGTCAGGGACAATCAAAGACTCTGCAAAAGCTACCTGAAAAACGTCCCCGAATGGAACAATGGTATTTGGTGAATTGCGGCGATTCTCAAGATTGGACGCAACTGAAATCAATTTTTAAAATAATTCAGGAGCGAAAACCAAGAAAACTCACACTGGGAATCGAAAATCCTCTCTCGGTCTGATCCTCATTGCTTCTGGGAATACCGCCAATCTTAAACGAAACATTTGAAGGGCTGCAAAACAAAAAATATCAAAACCATTGTGAAAAGGGTCATGAGGATTTCGCCAACTTGTTTCAACTCATGGCTTCTGGTGCGCAAAATCAATTCCTGAAAACTTGAAAAGTTTGTAGAAAGGCTAGACAAAAAAGACGTTTTCGGTCCTTTTGAACATAGAAAAATGATTCTTTATCATGATTTTATCGACTTTCCATCTTCTTTTCACACAATTTTTGTCTCTTATCAGTGAAATTAACATTTTTACCAATGAAAATTTGCCTTATTTCGAGTGTAGCAGGGTTGCACGGAATTCCGTTACCCGTCTTCCGCATAAATTTCTCTTCCTTAACCCGTGTTCCGTCTTCCTTGAAAAATTTTTGTTCTTCAGCTCCTAATTTAAACATTTTTTGATAGAAATATGCACTTTTTCGGTGTCGTGAGTGATATGGTAATGAAGATAATTTCGTCTACATATCATCTGTAGAAGGGCCAACTAATCTCTCAATTCCAGTATCAAAGCATCCCAGCTTAAATCGACATTTAACGAGTTAGAGAAACTCTTCTCTGTGTCGGGGCTAATAGCCTGGCCCTTGTGAAAGAGGCTTGAAGCTCCTCGATACTTTGAATTACACCAAAGTTTAGTCAAAGGTTACGAAAGTTCATTATGATTTCAATTGGCTACGAAATTCAAATTTCACTAATTGTGTTTTGTTTGAAAAATGTTCACGTTACTCTTTTAAAAATTTTTTAGTGAATTGGTTCTGGTAGTTTTGGTTTAATCCCCCAGGGTATTTCGCTTATTCATAAATTAAAAAATTTTTTTATGCAAACCTCTTTCCTTCTCCCTAAAATTCTTCTGTTCCGTAACCCGTGTTCCGTCTTCCTCAAAAATTATTTTTGTTCCTTAACCCGTGTTCCGTCTTCCTCGAAAAAAGTTTTATTCCTTAACCCGTGTTCCGTCTTCTTTAAAAATTTTTTTGTTCCGTAACCCGCCTTCCTTCTTCCTTTTTTAAATTTTTCACTTCCGCGCAACCCTGAAGTGTAGGACAAGGGCCTATTTAAAGAGCGCAGTATAAATGAGAATTCATTCTTCCCTTTTTCTACCCTTGTTCATCTATTTTCATACACGGCTCAAATAAGTTTCGGTCAAAAAAATCTGTTAAAAAAAGCGAAAAAATAAAGTTTCAAAATAATGGCGCCAACAGAATCGGCGTAGAAGAAAGCTGACTCTGCATACACGCGACGGCGCATTGCGGACCGGAGCTCTTGGAATCGGCGTCCTTGTCCTACACTCCTTATTTCAGAACGTTTTTTCTTTCATAAAATATAACGAGTTTGCTCTTTCTCCATAGCTTTTACTGAACTACAGTAAATAAAACAAACCGACTTCAATGCCAGGTAGACTTCCTCAAGCAGATCTTCGCCGAAATACATACACTGATCGTAAGCTTCTTCATTTCCATGTTCTCGCAAATATCTCAAAGCGTGAAAGGTGATGCATTGTAACGCACATAACGAATGGCCTGAGAGCCCGAGGTTACTAAAAAAAATTGACTTTTTTTTTTCTCGCTGAAGAAAAACGTCATTACCTGAGAAACAGAAAAGCAATATGAAGTAAAAGGTCGCTGTTCCTGAAAAATAAAAATCAATAACATAGAGCTAACGACGCGGATCAGTCTGAACTTTCTGCGGCCTCTTTTCCGCCACCGGCAAGATCATAAAGATCCCGTAAACATGAGGAAATTGTCGCAGATAAATCAGATTTTTCCAAGTTTTGGCGGAGTGCACACTAGTTTAGATCTACAGGAACCCGTCCGCAGATATTTTCGACATTAATAGATAGCAAATTACAAAAAAAAAAACGAAGTTTTACTTTCTAAGGACGGATCTCTCAAATTAGGCCATTTTTAAGACTTGCTAGCGTTTGCAAAAACTTAATTTGTATCATTTATAGCGTGTTCAACGGATACACGAAAAATGCTTCAAAACGAAAAATCGTGTTCATCGGTCGGCCAAAGTTGCTCCGAAGCAGTACCATTTTTTTTGTTTTGGAGCAATTTTCGTTTTTACCGCTGAATAGGTTTGTGCGTCAGGCTAGGCGGCCCGGGCCTTCATTTTTGAAAATTTATTTTACTAGTTTAATCATAATTTCTAATAACTCCATGAGAAAATCAACCGGAAACATCATTTTCCTCGTGAAAAAAGCGAAAAACTCGACTTGACGAAATTGTGAGCCTATTGGGCCGGGCGGTCTGGCCCTCGCACAATCCTGGAGGAAAGGCTGGAAGCTAGCCTTGGAAGGCGCTTATGTCTTTATAATGCACAAATTTTTTTTTATCGTTCTTGTCACGCATGTTAAAGACACTGCTACGGTGGTATGAAAAAAAGACCAGCGAAAATTCAAACGGCGACTTTTCTGATTTTTTCGTATCGCTAGGGAACTTTCCGACGGCCACCTTTCCGACGAAACTTTTCCGACTTTTTTCCCTTATAGTTTTCAGTTTGTAAAACATCTATAAACATTTTTTTTTCCCATTTTTTTGTGTTTTAATCATGAACCAACCACCTACTTTATAGGAAGATTTAAAACGAAGAGTTTATCGAGAAAAAAAGTCGTAAAAAGATTCGTCGGAAAGGTAGCCGTCGGAAAGTTCCCTAGCGATATGAAAAAATCGGAAAAATCGCCGTTTGAAAATTCGCTGGCTTTTTTTTCATACCACCACTGCTACGGCGGCCGGTCGATGATGCGCCGCAAGTTTTTGAACCAGGAAATGTTTTAAAAGTGATTTATTCATCGCAACTTGTTACAAGATTAGTAACGTCAAAAAAAGCACAAAAGCTTTCACCGAAAAACCTATCTAAACTACCGTAATACGACCGGCCGCTTTAAACAGGCGTATTTATTGCCAAACTTTGATGGGAAAGCTAATTTCCTCGCCTTGGATCGTAACCGAGCGGAAAACGAGGAATGAAACTGAACAGTGCGTTTCGAACTTCTGGATGGTCTCTGCCGAGAATTCTTTCCCTCATGATGAAGCACTGGAAAGAGTCATTTTTCTCATAATAAGATAGAAGGTCGCGTACTTGCATGACGGTGAACCTCTCGAGGTCGTCCGCCTCCTCAAACTCGCTGATCGAGGTCGCTTCGCAAAGTTCATCATATTCGTAATAACGATATTCATAGTCTTCCATCTTTAAATTCCTTGAACAAGGTTCGGGCATATTACAGTATAGCCCCCCGCATATGTTGGATATCACCCCCTTCGTGTTCTTTTTGTGAATTTAGTAATTTTTGTGATTTGATTTGTAGATCATGGAAGAAATTAGGTCGCTGACCGAGTTTCATGAGAAGTTCAAGTCAGACAAAGAAGTTTAGGTGATATGAAAAAAAGACCAGCAAAAAATCAAACAGCGACTTTTCCGATTTTTCATATCGCTAGGGAACTTTCCGACGGCCACCTTTCCGACAAATCTTTTTCCGACTTTTTTTTCTCGTTAAAATTTTCGTTTTAAATTTTCCCATATAAAGTAGGTAGTTGGTTCATGATTAAAATACAAAAAAATAGGAAAAAAAAATGTAAACAGATGTCTTATAAACCGAAAAATATAAGGGAAAAAAGTCGGAAAAAATTTCGTCGGAAAGGTGGCCCTCGGAAAGTTCCCTAGCGATATGAAAAAATCGGAAAAGTCGCCGTTTGAATTTTCGCTGGTGTTCTTTTCATACCACCGAAGTTTACGGGTACGTCTCGCCGAGATACGTACGAATATAGTCAATTTCCTGACTTGAAAGGCGAGGGAGGTGGGGCAAGGGGCGGGACGCGTAGCGTGTGCGTACGCGGTTCTTGGCGCCAGTTCAATTCAGTCCCCGCCGACTATTTAAAAAGTTCGGCCACCGCTCTTTTTCTGTATTTTCTATTTTTTGATGCACACATGAACATAATCAATAAATAATTCAAACAAGTGAAAAGAGCAATAAATAAGCTCTCTGAATGCTCGCTAGCGGTTGAATTGAACACGTGCCAAGAACCGCGTACGCACACGCTACGCGTCCCGCCCCTTGCCACGCCTCTTACGCCTTTCAAGTCGGGAAACATTGACTATATCATAAAACTATGGGGCGCTGACCACTTAGAAAAATTTAAGATGAACTTTATTAGTTTTCAATCAAGTAATTGTTCTGAGGAATAGAATTTTTGCTTTTTCTTTTCATGCACATTAATTAATTAATTACTTAGGAAAATAAGCTTGGTTTTAAGGCTTCACACGGAGGCGGAGCGCGCATAGCGCGAAGCCGACTGTGGCTCGCATCGAAAAAACTGAGGCACAGTGAACAATTCGTCAAATAAATAAAATACTTGACATAGAGGGGGTCATTCTGTAATGGGAGGGGGCCATTCTGAAATGGGAGGGGCCATTCTGGAGGGGGCCATTCTGAAATGGGAGGGGGCCATTCTGAAATGGGAGGGGGGCTTGTTCGAATGAGCTCTGGGGGGGACTATTTCAAAGCCGTGCGGGGGCAAATATGAAAAGATTGTCTAGGCATTTCAGAATCGCCCCCCGTTTTTGTACTGCGGGGGACCATTCTAGAATACTTATTCACCCCCCCCCCGCGTTCGATTCTTCCCCCACATGAAGTTCTCCTATTTTTAACCCCCGCAGATCGGAACTTGGCTTGGTGGGGGGCTTGTTGGAACGCGGGGGGGCAAAAAAACAGTGTGGGGGGGGGGCGATTCTGGAATTTTCCCCAAGGTTCCAATTTGATCAAAACCTCCTCTTCGGTGGTCATCTCCAGAGGCTTCCTCAAGCACTCGACCAGCTCCAAGCTCAGTTCCTTGTGTCTTTTCAAAAGTTCGGTCGTGGCTCTGAGCAACAGTCCGTCTTTTTTCCATCTCCGTTCTTTGACGAATTCGACCAAGTGTTCGAATACTTCAGACTGGAAAAACGATTCAACGTGAAGAAATAAATCGAAAATCGGGAAACATTGGTCCGTTGAAGAGCAGCGACGAATATCGGATGCAGAACCCTGGGATCGGGGATCAAGTTGGCTCCTGCTCTAGTAAGAAGCTTCACGAGGTGAAGATCCTTCTCAATGACTGCGAAATGGAGCGCCGTTAGTCCTAAAATAAGACAGAATAGAAAAAAAAACCCGTTTTCGTTTTTTTTTTCTAATGATAAACTAGGAAAAAAATAAAGGGTTTTTCTGTCCGCCACGACTTGATAGTTTTCGCGTGTCTGCGTCTCTCTGTTCCCTCACCGGCGAGGTAAGAGAATCATAGAAGTATAGTCTGTTCAGATTTTGAATGTCAAGTAGAATGACGTCATATGCTCTGTGGATGGCTCGCTCTCTGATTGGTTTATCGCATCATTATGGGCGGAGCTTGAGCGACGACTTGACATTCAAAATCTGAACGGACTATAGCACGTAAACATGAGAGAGAGACGTCAAGAGATGAGGAGGGCGCAGAGAAGGTACCGCCCTTTGAAGTCGCGAAAAACGGACTACACTGAGCAAAGGCCAAGTGACAACTTGAGGGACTTCGACTTGAATTTCCTGTTCACCCAGGGAGCTTTCGCTCTCCCTTAAGAGTCCACTTTACAAAAAATTTTCACGATAGATTTTTCACAGAACCTTTTGAGCGTAAAGTAGAGATACATCAGAAAAATCTCCAAGTGACCTTCTAAAAATGGTATTCTATGCTCCAACTCACCGCCCCTATCGACGGCATCGATTGAAAGGCCTTGGGCGAGAAGGTATTCAAAAATATCAGTCTGAAAGTTGGTTAAGAACAGAAAAATGCATTTTTGAACCGAATCTTTTGACTTGAAAAAATCGGGTTTCATGAATAAAGTTTTGCCGTTTTCGTCGCGATCCTGTACGCAGGCGCCTTGATCGCAAAGGTATTTCACTACAAAAAACTATGATTTTTATTTCTTTTTTTCCTTTACCGAGCCCGAAATTGGCAAATCTCAAGGCCGTGAAGAGGGGCGGCTCGGCCTTGAATCCAACAGGCATTGTCAGCGGAACCTTCCCGATTTTCAGTAAAACTTGTAGAACCTGAAAATTCCATAAAACGAAACCATGTATTGGGTTAAAAAACCATAAAACGGTGTCGAGTTTTGCGATTGAACAGGTCCGAAATGTCCGTCGAACCGATTTTCTCGATTGCCACGCGTAGAGCCGTTTTGTGTTTTAGAAATTGATAATATACGAGGGGATTTGCGCCGAGACGAATCTGAAAAAGAAATATTGGGTCCATTCTGAGGGTTTCAATACAGACCAGAAGTTTCACAATATCGAATGAGCCTGTTTCGCAGGCATAGACCAGAGGAATCTTGTAGAACGGTTCATTGAGCAGCTGTTCCAGATCTTCTTTTGACAACCTTTCCGTTATCTTCTGAAAAAAAAACTTATTTTTTTAATAAAATGTTCCTTGAATGAGCCATTTACTGTTTTACATTGACTCGTAAGACTTTTGCGGTTTTCAGAAAAATGCAACAAAATGATGAAAAAAAGCCGAAAAAACCTTAATTTTTTTGAAATCCCGCTTATAAATGGCAGCGCTAATTCTATCTCGATCATGAAAAAAAGATTTTCCTATCTTTTTTTTGCCTCCATTCATTTATCGAAGCTGAAAATTCAAACATTTTGAAAAATACACTTGCGAAAAAAAAAATTAGAAGAAAGTTTTCTCATTGGAATACGATAGCATTTCCAGAATTTCGAATAAATTCAAGCGCTGAAACTTTTTTATTTCAGGATCTAAATTCAGTGAAGTATTTGTAAAATGCTTTCGCATCGAATGAAATGTTGTTTTTCGAGAATTTTTCAACCTCAATCGAAGACTCCCCCATAGCGTTTCCAAACACTTCAGCATTACAGTATAATATCAAAAAGTGTGCTGAAAGAAAAAAATATGCCGGTTTTTACGCACAAAAACCAACATTTTTTCAATTTAATTACTCAAATTGTTTCAAATACTTGGTAATTTATTGTGCAAGAAAAAAAGTTTCCACAGCTCAAATTTAAATAATTACTGATTCAAACAAAAAATATCCAACGAAAAAAAAAAAATTAAGAAGTGAATAATTACACTTTATTACGTGCAAATATTTGCAAATATCAAGAAAATGTTAGACTGTATGTTCAAAACAGAGGTGAAGAAATGGCGCCCCTAACTAGGGAACGTTTTTTACCCCCCGGTTGAACTTTTGCTGAAACATTGGGGCCCGGGGAAGTGTACTTTAGGACCCCCTGATACCAGAACAGAAAGAAAATTTTTCGCAATAGATCTCGTTTTCGAGTTATCGAGCTTCAAAAGCCTGAAATAGCGCTTTTTTGGCCTAATTTGCGTATTTTGCAGACTTTGTAGCTCCATAACTCGGAAACAAGATCTATTGCGAGAAATTTTTTTCTTGATCTGCAATCAGAGCATCCTAAAGTACACTTCAGCAAAGTTTCAGCAAAAGTTCAACCGGGGGGTAAAAAACGTTCCTGAAACTTTTCTTCTAAAGAAAAGAACAAATATAACCGCACTTCACATAAAAAATTTAACTGGACATCATATCCACTGAAAAATTAAAAAAATCAATGAAAAATTGTGAAAACCACGATTTAATGAAAAATGAACAAAAATGACAATTTTCGCCCAAATTTTGCAACGTGGTATTACACGCCATCGACACGTAGTCTGTTCAGATTTTTTAAGGTCAAGTGCAATGACGTCATTCAAAAACACTCTGTGGATGGCTCGCTCTCTGATTGGTTTGTCGCACAATTAGGGGCGGAGCTTGAGCGACGACTTGACATTCAAAATCTGAACAGACTATAATGACGCGGCTCATAAAAGCACTGATTTGACACCTTTGCACCAAAAAGTCACCAAAATCGCACGGTGCAGACCCCAATTACGCACCAGAGTGCAAAAAAGCAGAATGCACCGTGCGGCATCCGTGCTGAGTAGAGGCCTGATGGCTAAGGCGGGCATGTTGCGCCCGGGAGGGCCCCTCATTTCTTCCACCTCTGGTTCAAAAGATAAAGCGACACAATTTAAGGCCCAATAACAACATGAAAACGTGGAATAACGGTAAAAAAACAACATTGTGAGAAAAGTATATCAAAAACGGCAAGTACAGGCATGGTTGAAATCCCGCAAAGCGAGATATTCCAATAAATTTCTTGGCAAAACGTCTTGCAGCGATTTTTTCACGTACCAGATCTCGACAGCTTCCGCGCAAATGTCTTTCAGAGTGATGAAATCCCCTGAAGATTTATTTTTATCGAAATCTTAACTTCACGTATTTCATGTACGCATCATCGTGATATTAAAAAAGGGAAAAAAAATGTGCGGAAACGATTTTTTCAAGCCCACTCCGCGAAAGCTAGGCTTCAGAAAAACAGTTGGTGGATAATCATTGTTTCTTTTCGCATTTCTCTTCAAATAAATTATCTGAAACGGAAAATTTCGTTGATTTTCAGGGAGAAAATGAGATTCACTGGCCTAATTTTCAGAGTTGATAAAGATGGAAGGAAAAAAAGGATAGCATTATAAAAATTTCTTTGAAAACGGTACAATAAATCTTGAAAAGCTACTAGTATCGCGCCGGGATTCCAAAAAAATCGTTGCTAAATTTTTTTTTCACGAAAAAAAGTTGCGCAAAGTTCGAAAAAAAAAACCGATTTGAATCAAGTTCTTCTTGTCGGCGAGTTTGTTCTCCCGCTGGAGACATTCGAAAACTCTATGGTCCTTGGAGACGGAGACGAAAAGTCGAGAGCCGTTGGTCAGGAGTCCGCGAATGACAGCAACACTGGGAAAAATCAAAGCTGATCTCTTGAACTTCTAGATTCCTAAGAACTCATGGACACAGAACGGTTCAGGGGAGGCTCGGTTCAGATAAAAGCCCTTGTTGTGGAGTTTCTGCGCCAAGGCCGTCCGCCCCTCAGAATTTGTCCAGTTGATATTGGCACCGGCTCGCAAAAAGTATGGAATCAACCTCGCCGACCTGAAGCCGAGTATTGGAATGCAAGAAAAAAGGAGTTGAATAACCAATCCTCTTCATTATAAATAAGAAGGAAATGAAAAAGGGACAGTCTGAGGGCGACAGCCACCTTCACGAAACGGCATAACTGAAACAAAAAATTAACCCCGTCCCCAAATAGGCTCTTTGGATTGCTCGCTCTCTGATTGGTTTGATCTATAGCTGATTCTCGGTCGGCTTGAGCCATTGAAAAAAGGGTCTTGACACGATAATGCACGATTAAGCGCAGACAGGACACGCCCCCTTAGCGTCCCAAGCTAGCCGTGAATCAGCTATACGGATAAGGGGCGAAGTTTGAGCGATGATGGGGGAACAACCCTTAAAGAGACGAAGAAGTGGTCCCTATAGGGGTAAAATTATGGTGCACCCTATAGGGGTTTGACCCCTTAGCCCCTAAAGCTCAAGTGGACTCTATAGGGGTCTTTCAATTTTAATTCAAAAAAACGCTTATTCATTCAGTTTTTCCCATGGAAATGCTTCTTTGCTTAGAGTTCATAACAATTATCGACTATCATGTCCCCTAGAAGGGCCACTTTTGCCAGCTTTAGTGGCAGGTAAAGTGGTCCCTAGAGGGTACCCTTCAAGGGCCCCTATAGGGACCACTCTAAAGTTCCTGAGTAGCGTCTTTCTAGAGCAAGATATTTCTTTTTTTTTTTCAAAGCCTAACAGTGTCGCCTGTGAACTCACATTGCAAAAAATGAACCTCGTCAGGCCTTCATCGAAAGAGCCGTCCAGCCTATCACAATGGATAACAATCTTCAAACAATCTATCATCATATATATTCTAAAAAAAATGGTCAAACTGTGGCGAGGAGCTCAATGACGGTGCAAGTCAAATTCTCACACCAGATGTCGCGATCCGCATAGTTACTGCACCTTTGCTCTGTCTGAATGGCGAAATTCGTAAACGTTTAATGGAAAAAACTAAAGTAACATATTCCAGTTCGCAGCACACCAAATCAAAAAGGAACGCGGAAACGTTTAAGACGCCGTTCAATTTCTCTTCGATGTCTTCCTCGTCATGAGCAAGGTCCCTCGAGTAGTTGACCCACACCAGAAGCCCGCGGATAATTTCGTATGACGCGTCCGACATGGGTTCTGTGTACCTGAGAAAAAGTTCATTGGGAACGGATTGAAGTTTCTTGAGAGAGAGGAAATAGAGCGGAAAACTTTCGGAACAGGACAATTTTGAAAAAATGACACAGGAAAATATTCTAATTTTAAAAAAAGTGATTGTAAAACTTTCGCTCCAGCAGTGTGTAACTTTGGTAAACTATAGCATTGTGCTGATAAATATGAAATCAATCAACCAAATGAAGTAATCTTAGGAAATTTCTCTTAAGAAGTTTCGAATTCCTGATGATAATGTCAAGATAGAACATCAGCCGTCAGGGACGCCATTGGATGACCGTCGCCAGAGACCGGGATGCATGGAGGACGTGGGGTTCGCGCTGACTAGGGGAAGACCATTCCCCTAGTGAGAAGGAAGATCATCAGCGAAGACGAACCATCAAAGTAAGTAAAGTAAGTAAGTAAGTAATGTCAAGATAATCGTTTCTTCAGATACTTTCAAGGACAAACGGTACCTATAAATTAGGTTGAGAGCGTAGCAACGGATCGTGTTATCACTGAAAATAAATATCTTCACATTTTTCAGGGTTATTAAACTCGCCATGGTTTGTATGATAGGAAGATATTTTCACGGACGTAATAGAGCAATTTTTCGAGGAACTCGGGATGAAAATCGCCGAGGATCCTCTCGCGAACGATAAGACACTGTAACAGATATAAAATATTCTAAATTAGGAATATTAGCAAGAAAAATTTTATATTTTTTTTAAAATCAGGGCACTAATTTTTGAGATCATGAACCGATAAATGAATGCGTGTTTTAGAAAAGTAAAGTTATATTTTTGTGATATCAAATTCACCGCACTCAAACAATTTCATACAGAATCTTCAATCAAAATTTTCGAGGAGAAAAAATTCTTCCTTTTCAAATTTTGAAAAACCTGTATGAATAGATTATCAGTCTGAAACTTTTCCATAACAATCACACCAAACTTATGATATAGAGCGTTCCGCGCGAACCTTTACCTTTAAAAATAACAGAATAGAAAAAGCTACCGTAAATTTGAACTTTTGCTCTACAAAACCGCAAAAAAGACAACAAAAAACAAAGGTATTGAAGCGAAGATGCTCAATTTTGATTGAATGTGGTATAGGGTATTTTCGGCGGAAAGAATACTGTGACAAGCTGACGCGGAATGGGCTATATATAACTCGATACTTTCGATAGAAGTTTCAAAACCCGAAAATCTTTGACCAAATGCCGATTTCCATTTATTCTTCAAATGTTGATGAAGCGATCGAAATGAGTTGAAACAGGTTCGACACCTGGATCGTCGCGAATCTCTTCCGATCCTCTGCAGCTTCATATTCGCTGTAGGATCTCGCTTCCACGAGCCAATCGTAGGCCGGGTTGGGCTTCATTTCCTTTTCAGATTCCACTTGCTAAAAGCATGTGTTTTTATAAACTTTTTCTTGTAAAATTTCAGACTTCATTGGGATCGATCGGCATTTCGAGGGCCTTTTTCCACCGTTCCAGATTTTCGTCGCTGATTTGCTGCAGCAGGTGACTCGAAGCTTTCAATAACATCGCGTCTCGTTTTTTCTTTTTGTTACGCTCATAGTCGAGTAAGAGATCGAGCATCTGCAACTTTGAACTCACTTAAACTCAAGAGAACAGAAAAGCGTCAAGTAAAGAAAAGCCTTTAAAATATAAACTAGTAAACATTTAGGCTCCATACACAATCTGAGGAAGAGAAATTTGTCGTTTGCAAGACACTTCCAACTTCTTCAAATGAAGACTAAAATGGCGCTAAAGTCACTTCAGTGACCACTAAGAGGCTCAGAACCGTCGGAAAACCGTTTCGGCGTTTGAAAACGTCGGAACTCGGACTTCCGTAACGGAAAGGGGACCATTTTGAGCGTTTTTAGAATCGCTTAGAAGCGCTGACGCATCGATCACTAAAATTCTCAGAAACGTCTGAAGAGCGTCCGGTCCGCGTTAAAGTCACTGTTAAGCAGTACATGAAACAATTTTTTTTTTCGTTAAATTTTCATCACGGCTGTTTTTCTTCAAGACTTTCTGCCCTACAAACCTCTTGCGATCCACTCAACGCAGCCATAATTAGTGGGGTGTCGCCAAAACAATCTTTGGCGGATTTCGCGCCATTAATGAGCAATATTCGTGCCAGCGGAACAGCGTCTTTGGCAACAGCGATGTGCAGAGCGGTTTGACCTGGAAAAAATAATTAGAAAAAAAAAAAATTCACTGTGAAATCTGTTGTGTCTTGTTTCAAAACATTAAACATTGGGAAAAATAATAGTCACCAAACTTTTTCTCGAAACTGAACCTTTATCTTTTTTCAAATTTTAAAAATTACCTTTCTGATATTTTAAACGAGTGGAGTCCCTTAATGGACTTTTTTGCACAACACTCCATTCTTCCATCATTAGCTCCTTATAGTTTTGCTTATTATCCATACCTTTTACTAAATAAATTTAACGAAAATTCCTCAAATTTTCATCTTTAACTTTACTGATGGCTCACTAGTAAGTGATTTGACTTCAAATTTTCGAAACCCTTTTAAATCTGAAAGATAACTCTCAATATAGGGCAAACTTTTACCTTTATAGTTCGTAGCATTAATCGGGACCCCTTTTTTGATCAAAAACTCAGCTAATTCGCCCTGCAAAAATCGAATTTGTGATCAATTTATTTACCTAGCTTGATAAAAAATGGCTTATCGAAATCATATCCTGGAATTTTCTCAATTTTCACGGATTGAAGCCATCAAAGCAAATTCCTATCATAGATCTGAGCGTTCACTGAAGGGTTATATGACTGGATAATTTCGCCTTTCATAACATATGATATGATAAAAAAACTATAGAAGTAATGTAATCAAGAAAAAAAAGTGATAAAAAAACATTGCTGAAAACATTTTGCGCTCAAATGAGTCGCGCGAAAAAAATTCTGAATAAAATAATTAGTATTTTTTTCTCCCAAAGCAACGATGAATAGAACATGAAAATAAAAACCATTTTCTGAGGACACATATTGCGGGGAATGGCCATCAAGCATGAAAATCCACGCGAATCCTGATATTTGGCGTCGGCCCCGTGCTGGCAAAGGTATTCGGCTGAAAAATTGAAATCGGCAAGATTTTCAAATAAATAAAAAATACTTGGAAGTACTTTCGATTCAAAACACAAGTATACATTTTCATACCCATTTCTAGATTCCCGTGGGAGCAGGCAGTGACCAGAGGGGGCTGGAGACCGTCATTTCCAGCATTTTTCAAATCAATCTTTGCTTCTTCAACCATCACTTTGATCACCTGAAATTTGGGTTAACTCTTTGAAAAAATACTTTTTCTCATACTTCGAGATAACATTCGTTTTCACTGTTGACCATCTCTGATAGAGATCTTGATCCGATACGGTCAATTGCCAGTTCCAGAGCCGTTTCTGGAGCTGAAAATTGCTCTATTTATGAAAATGGCACCCATTTTTTTGAACGCACCCGTATATGGATCATTGACCAAGGAATAAGTGAAAGGGGAGGCGCCCAAGCGAATCTTGGAAGAAAATTTTGAGAACTTGGGAGCTTACAGTAACTCACCAGAGTTCGCACAACATCCACAAAACCTTGTTCACAAGCGGTGATCAACGGATTACTGTAGGTTGCCATGTTCAGTGCTGATTTGACTAATTCCTCGCTCTTTCCCTCTACCAGCGACTAAAAAAAAAGGTTTATATTCAAAATAAGAAAATCGTCGCTAAAATGACCTCAATCCCAGGAACATCCTCATCGAGAACGGCTTCATATATAGCTAATTGAAGTTCTTCGGGATCCTCCATTTCTGAAACCACATATATACTGAAGAGATAAAAAAAAAAACAAAGTCATGGCACGGGAATACCAACAAAATAACAAGAATCAAAGAATAAAATTTTGATTGACTGCGCGCGCGCGCACGGGGTGTCTCTTTTTTATTTAAGCGTTTTAACTAATTGAAAAGTTATAAATTCAGTATTTTGTCTGTTCATCTCTCCTCATTGCGCTGCTTCAGTTTATAACAATTTGAACGCACTGAAATTTGAAATAACTTTAAAAAAAATTTTGTTCAGAAGTGCTCGGAACAGCTTTGAGAAGTAAGCAGACGCCCTGGGTAGTATTATAAAAATGTAAAAATTCTAATTCAGAATAGTATTGCCAAGGAAAACACAAAACTAGGAACCCTCGCGTGTGCGCGAATGAGATATAACTAAATTTTGGAGAGTCAGAAACCATTTTCCTTTCGCGGAAATCACTTTGACCACGGCATAAGATAGGCGGTATGAAAAAACGACCAGTGAAATTTCAAACGACGACTTTTCCGATTTTTTCATATCGCTAGAGAACTTTTCCGATTTTTTCTAAACGCTAGAGAACTTTCCGACGGCCACATTTCCGCTGAATCTTTTTCCGACTTTTTTTCTCGATGAAATTTTCATTTTGAATCTTCCTATATGAAGTAGGTAGTTTATTCATGATTAAAACACAAAGAAATAGAAAAAAACAATGTTTATGAATGTTTTATAAACCGAAAAACTTAAGGGAAAAAAAGTCGGAAAGGGATCCGTCGGAAAGGTGGCCGTCGGAAAGTTCCCTAGCGATATGAAAAAATCGGAAAAGTCGCCGTTTGAATTTTCGCTGGTCTTTTTTTCATACCACCAAGAAATAGGGAGAAAAAGTTAATAGATGTTTAATAAACCGAAAAATATAAGGGAAAAAAAGTCGGAAAAAGATTCGGCGGAAAGGTGGCCGTCGGAAAGTTCCCTAGCGATACGCAAAAATCGGAAAAGTCGCCGTTCAAATTTTCGCTGGTCTTTTTTTCATACCATCATAAGATAAGATCGGTTTCAAACGAAATTATCGATGGTAAGACAAAATTTCAAATCCGCAAATCTTAAGGACCGTAAGCCTGTGTACGCACATCTCAAGACCAAAATCATTGAGACCTGAATTCTTATCAGTTCAGACCTACAGGGACCCGCCCGGTTTGCAATGCTCTGTCCTTGTTGGTCATACTAGACCATTTTCTCTATCAAATAAAATAAACAAGGCTATTTCCGATATTAATAGACAAATAATTACACGAGAAAACGACATTTAACTTACTTAAGACGAATTTCTCATATTACCAAATTTTTGGACTTGCTGTCGATTGCAAAAACTTAAATGTTAAAATTTAACCTGTACCATTGAACGTTTAAAATGGGTTTTTTTTTAATTTTTCTATTTTTGTACAAAAAACTCGTTATATTCCAATATTACGAAACGATCACATAGCTTATAGCTGTTTGCCCTTATGGTCTGCTATAAGCTATGTGATCGTTTCTACGTATTAGGATATAATAAATATTTTACTTCAACAACTACGTTGTCTAGCAAAATATAACATTATAAACGAAAATATCGCCCAAAAACCGCTGATCGGTGTATGCACAGTTCAAGCCTACAGTGTGCCAAACCGGAGGGGCTGAACAGACACTACACTAAGAATAACTGACGAGATAAACGCGAGGTCGGTGGGGTTACATTGACGAACTCGCAAACATGTCGCTTTTTTCTAGGCGCGATCTCGCATTTTTCTTGCCGTCAAATGACATGCCGCAGAACTTTTGATATTTTTCGCCCAGCTGAGACACCGCTTTAGCACAGTTGTGTCACAGATTTTTGAAACAAACACAGCTGAGACACCTTTTTTTTTCATACACTCCTTGTTCCCCCGTTTTTGCCCAACTGAGACTCAAAAAGCCTCAAAAATACGGGTTCAACACGGGTACACCCGCTGAGGCAGCTGGCCATCATGAGAGTCAGCGTAAAAAAAAAGACAGCCATTAAAAAAAAAAACGAAGACTTCACCGAGATATTCTCATTTCTTTTTCGTGAAAACCACTTTGAACGCGGTTACAAACATACAGTGCTTTTCAGTGAAGCGCAGCACTTCTTCGTTGAGGTTTTTCTTTGGCTCCTGATCATATTTTTTGAATCAAACTCCATCTACAAACGTGCTAATCATTCACCTATAAAATTTATAAATTTGCAGCAAAATCCTGACTCTTTTTCAGTGAAAATGGACGTCTCACCTAAGACGTTTCAATTTTTAATATATCATGCGACTGTTAAGCGAAACTTGAAGAAAATTGAGGTGCCATTGTTCGTTACGAGTCTATGTGAAATCCAACTTTTAGGGTTTGACCAAAAATAAGTCGAGAGAATACCTTCAGCGAGCTCTCAACCTGCCAACTAAAATAAACCCATTGATTGAAGCTTGCAGAAGTGGATATATCGAAATTGTGCGGCTATTAGTCAGTATCATACAAAAAATGTTTCGAAAATGTTGTTTTGAGATTCGTCTCGGCTCAGATCCTCTGGTTGGGTTAAAGAAAAAAGCTTTTATCGCAAAACATGGTTCGATTTACATTTCTACGTAAAACAATTGAAACAAATCAGGAATTTTTCAAACAGCTCTGTTTTTTGCGGTTGATCGAGTCGGTCCAAAAAAAGTGGAGGGAATTGTCGAATACAAGACTCGTCAAGATTTCAAGGCATTTTTCGAAAGAATTTTGAAGTTTCCAACGTCTTTTGGACCTTCAGATTGTCCGTTTGCTCGTGGAAACATCAAATATCGATTTGAAAGACTCGCTTCATGAATCGTTGTTCGTCACCCTCCACTACTCAAATTTGGGAATGGGTACCAAATATCGAGTTTTATTCGCGTTATCTTGAGGTTTTTCAGTGAAATACCTTTGCAAGCATGGGGCGAACGTACAAGTTCGCGATTTGGATGGCAAGACGTGTTTCATGATAAATAAGTTCTTCGAAATCCAAAAAATCGGTTTTTTTTTTCTTCTAGTTAACGAGATATAGCCTGTGTGCCACGACTTGAAATTTCACTAAACGACATTCCGCTGTGCCACTGCGTGCCTTTGCAAACCTTGGTCGCGCTTCAAATTTTTCCTTTCTTTTGTTTAAGGTACTCTACTTTCATGTGCTCCCACAGCAAGAACAATCAATTGAAAGCGTGACCTAGATTCGAAAGACGCTTCGCGAACGCACGCAGCGGAACAGCGGAGTGTCGTTCCATGAAATTTCAAGTTGTGGCAAACAAACTATAATAATCGACAAAAAAACTCGCTGGCATCAAAAAAAGGTGAAAAAAGTACAGAAAGAATACTTTTCCAGAAAAAGATCTTCGATTATTTCATTGAACATGGCCTTTCAGTCGATGCTACTACGCCTTTCGGTAAGTTCACAATTTTCTGAATATTTCTAGCGTGGAAAGATTTTCTCTCGTTCTAAGGTAAAACGGCCCTTCATTTCGCTGCGGAGGATGGGAATCTTTTTCTTGCGAAGCTTTTGACTGCCGCCGGCGCTCAACTGATCGCTGACAAAAATGGCGATACTCCTTTGATCAGTGCCGCTTTGATGGCCTATCCTAGAGGTCCAGTGGTGAGTTCTCTAGGAAGTTTCAGAACAAAAATAAATTCGCAGAACGACACTTTCGAACACTTTTTGGATCACTACAAGGACAAGCAAGCGAAAAATGACGCGATTTTGATCAACGCCGCCATTTACTTGGTCAATTACTGCGAAGAGAACAGAGTGGAGGCCTTGAGAAAGCCCTGGGATGAGGCTCATAGCATGCAAGAAGTTGGGGAACATGATTAAATAAATGAAAGTTATTTTTCTAGGGAGATGCTATGGGAGAGCTACATCCGGCGTACGATTATCTTCGAGAAGCGAAAAGTTTCAGAGAATTTGAGGCGGCTGAAGACTTGCACAGATTCTCTATTATGCAAGTAAGGCTGTTAAGAAGAAGTTAAAGCTTGAATATTTCTCAAATTTTGGCTCTTTTAGGTTGTGCATGAAAAGATTCATAGGGAAAGTCGGAAAGGGTGGAAAAAGGCTCCCATAGGTAAAACTGAAAAGTTCGAGGATCCTCAAAGGATCCCGAGAGGGAGATAAAAAGCTTCCTCTAAAAGCTCCAAAAATGATGTAAAAAAGCTTTTGAGCACCTTTTTCATAGCCTCAGAGAATCCTTTTTGAATCCTCTCGGATCTTTTTAGTTGCTTTCCAGCATCCTTTTTGTCAGCGGATGTGAAAAAGACGCAAAAAGAATTGAAATGATGTAAAAAAAGATCTGAGCCATACTCGGGCAAAACTGAAAAGCTCCTTAAAAGCTTTTCTCAAAAAAAGACCTTGAAAGGGTCCCCAGCAGATCTTTTTTACATCATTTCAATTCTTTTTTGCATCTTTTTCATATCCGCTGACAGAAAGGATGCTGGAAAGCAACTAAAAAGATCCGAGAGGATTCAAAAAGGATCCTCTGAGGCTATGAAAAAGGTGCTCAAAAGCTTTTTTACATCATTTTTGGAGCTTTTAGAGGAAGCTTTTTATCTCCCTCTCAGGATCCTTTGAGGATCCACGAACTTTTCAGTTTTACCTATGTAGCAATGTTTCTTTTTTGCTGCCTTTTTGGTGCCTTTCTGCGGCCTTTCTGGGGCTTTTTTGCGGCCTTTCTGGGGCCTTTTTGGTGCCTTTCTGCGGCCTTTTTTGAGCCTCTCCCTTTTAGCACTCATTATCCACCATTCCTACCTTGAACTAAAAAGAAAAATCACCTAACCTTCTAAAAGTCCCCAACGTTCAACTTTTCCAGTGCTTCATTTTCCTGGAAAGGGTTCTTGGCCCTGGTCATCCGGAAGTTCGCGGAAACCTCTACGACTATGTCAAATACGACATTTCAGAGAATTTCGACCCACGGTTAGTAGAAAAATTGTGAAAAAAAAACAACTCAGTAATGAATTTAGCGACAACCAGCTCCGTTTCCACATGCTTGATATACATTACAAGTATGACCTCATTCTGCTAATTACCTTATAATTACCTATGATTAAAGGTACACCGAGCTGGCGTCTAGGGCTTCGATCTCCGCGATCAAAACGGTCTTGAAGTCGATTTTCCGTTTTGAGGAAATCACCCAATGGAAAGAGAATCAAGAGGAACGCCTCGCTCTTTTGGAACTTTCGGCCTATCTTTTCGATCACATTCATGACAATCTATACATGGTTGATTTTTGAATGTATTTTCCTCAAAACTTCCATTTTTCCAGCTCGAACGGAGTGGCTATCGTAACGCTGATAACCGAATCTTGTACGATCAATTAACACAATTTTCCGTCGAGCTTATCGCTTCGGTCAAAAATTTTTCAAATTACAAGAAAAAATCTTGGTTCAGATGGTTCGTATAGGCAGCTACTACAAAGACCATCGGGCCTTTTGCGATTTTTGAACTCAAGTGTTAGTTTCTCAATATGTTCCAAACATAGTCGATCATTTCAGTTGCTAAGGTTTGTTTCGTTGGCGCACCGTTTGGATCTTCAAATGTTTCACGTTACGGCATGGGATCGGTGAATTTTTTGGAACTACTTGAAATTCAAAATTCAGAAAGATTTTTGATTTTTCATTTAAAAACGAATTCGAACAGATTTATAAAAGAGTTGCAAAAATGCAATCTATACTTTTGAAAGATTAAGCCTAGTCCTAAGTAAAAAAACTTCTTTTAAATAACACTGCTAAAGTAGGAGGTGCGGTAAACGGTTGCAAAATGGCCGCTAAAAGGGTCCTGTTTTGCAGCCTTTATTGAGCCTTTTTTCTGTTGGTGAGCTAAAAAGCCTGAAAAAAGGTGAAAAAAGAGTGCTGAAAGTCTCGGCAATTGATTATTTCCGATTCTACTACTGTAGCACATTTTGGTTCATACACAGTCAATGGTGAAGATAATTCTCAAAAAATTCTGTGTTTCTTTGAAGAGTCCAAAAAAGAGGCCGATGAAAGGACGGAAAAAGGCAGTAAAAAAAATTTTTTTGAGATGAAAAATGTTAAATCTACAGGGAGCCCAGTTTGATACGGCTTTTCGTCGAAGCTGGCGCTGATATCAATGAACTAGACGGCATGGGGAGAACGCCGCTTCTATCTTGCGTCTCAAAGACAGTCCGATCATCGTACGATCTCTTCTTGTGAGCAATAACTGATATTTTTGTTCGCAATTTCGAGAATTTCGGATGGTGGAACGCGGTGACCGAGTTTGTGGCCAACGGAGCGCGGATCTTTTTGCGAATGGGTCGATCGAACCTTTTCACACGTCTTCAGACTGAGCAAGAATTCAATTACGTTGTTAAGCCTATAGTTTTTGGTATGGATTTTTTTTTTCAGTAGTTTTTTCAAATCTGATTAACAAAACAAAAAATAAACGCTTCCTGAGTAGATTTTGTTTCAAAAAGTGTACTAATTAAGCGTTTTTTCAATCAAAAATCCACTTAAAACTTTTGAAAACTTTTCGTAAAATGACACGGGAACCCTAAAGGGGTCGAAAAAGTGGCCTCTATAGGGGTTCAGGGTCTGTGTCTTCAAGTGTCTGAATATGGTCTTTCAATTTTCATTCAAAAAAAGTGTTTAGTTTTTCGCATGAAAATTCTTCTTCACATAGAGTTCATAACAATTATCGACTAGCATGCCCCTAAAGGGATCACTTTTGAAAGCTCCAGTGACATAGGGGTTGGTAAAGTGGTCCCTAGAGAAGACATAAAAATAATGAAAAAGGAAACCTCTTTTTAGTGTTAAAATCCTGGATTTTTGCAGGAAGATACATCAATCTCAAAGACATGGCTGCCGAAGTTGTCGAAAATACCTATTCAAAGAAATATTTGAGTATTATCCTGCCTGACGAGGTGATGAAATACCTCATTTTCAAAAATTGAGAAGCTTTTTTTGAAACTCGTATCGCACCTTTTTCTTACTCGAGAGATTTCCCGCGTTACTACTCCTTTTGCAGCCTCATTCATTTCCCTATTTTCCCGGTCACGTTTTTTTCCCTGTTGATTGAGATTCTTTTTTTTTGGAGCTCGATTTCTTATGTACTCTTCAAATTATTTCTTATTCAAACAACTTTTTCCATTGTTTTTTTTTCAATGAGGTCAATCCTAACTGCATTCGAATAAATCTGTTGATTTGAATAGAAAATCGAGTTTTAACAAAAATCTTTAAAATTGACATTCCAAGCGATAGGCTGACGGGCCTGCCCTTTAGCTTTTCGTCATGATATATGATATATGATGATTTGGACTTCGTACGATAATTAGGCCCACCCCTGGAATATAGATTTTCAAGTTTATCCTAAGCGGGCGAGTTGCGTTTTTGGCGCAAATTTGAGGATTCCCGCATTTGTGCGTACGTTTTTTGATGACAAATTCGATTCATTAACTATTCGAATAATTTTCCTGCAAGGAAGGCAATTTTACTATACGATTGCGAATTTCTAAGATTTGTCAAAATTCTCCTTCAGCTACATCAAGGAGTGTTCTGGCCAAACTTAGGGATTCCATAGTGGTACCTATAGGGCTCTTTGAATTTTCGGTCACTTTGAAAATTAAAAACGCTCGATCATTTTTTCCTATTTTGACAGTTTCCAAAATAATCAACCGGCATGTCCCTCAGGGCCACTAACTGAAACCCCTATAGAGAGCACTATCGCAAACTTTAGTGGCCCTTATAGGGGTTAGAGGAAATCTTCCCAGGGTCCCTAGGGTTGTCTCTATAGGGACCACTCTGGAGATCCTAGGAAAGTGAGAAAAATTTGAACAGCAAACTAAAATGAGCTTCCTTGCTCGCATTTTTAATGAATAACTGTGAAATTTTTTCTAAAAATGGATTTAGCCAAAATAAAACGCGACCGCTTCGAATGCGAATTGCAATAAAGCATTCCGGCGTTCCGAGCCCTGAAAAATGTGATACGAAAGATGAAAAGGTAAAAGCTGGCAAGCACTACCGACCAAATAAACACACAAAAATTAAAATTAAATAGGAGTTTATTGTAACATGTAGAAAAAAAATGAGTTGAATGTTAAAAAGAGGCCAAAAAATTGATTAATACACAAAAAGTTCAATCGGAATTCTGACAATTAGAAGTATTTATACGATTCATCGATATATGGCAACACATTTCTTGACAAAAATCTTCTTAAAAAACTCGAAGAGTAGTTCGCTTCGACGACTTCTATGCAAATATCCTTGAGGGTGATGAACTGACCTTAAAAATTCAAAATTTTTTTCTTGAATTTTGAAAGCAATTTTAACACTAACCTATGGGTATGGGGTCCTTTTCAGCGAGTTTATTGTCCTCCTGGAGACAATCAAAAACGCGTTGATCCAAAGAAACTGGGACGAAAAGACGTGAGCCGTTCACCAGGAAACTCGCGAACAACAGCCAGACTTCAAAATTTTTCGATCATCCGGGGGTAATGACAGTATTTTGGAACTAATCCGAAGCTGATAGTTTCTCGACTTCTGGTTCCGAACTACTCCGCTGTTCATGAATGATCTGCGACAGAGCCGTTCTACCGTCTTCATCCTTGACGTTGATATCGGCTCCATTTTGAACGAAAATCGGAACCAACTTGAGGGACCTATCCAATTGGCGTGTTCAACTAGAGGTCCATTGGGAGAAAGTTTATGAAAATCTTTCTAGAATTTTTTGGAAGACAATGCAAACTTTTAAAATTTCTCCAATGATTTTTTCTCGATCAAGTGAACACTAAAAAGCTCATTTCCATCTCTGACCTGGAGCGCCTGAAGGCGCGCCCGAATGTTTCTCTGCCGCATGATATTTCGTCGTTTTCTCGCAGTCAGAGAGTGTAGAAATAGCATGCGGCAGAGAAAAACTTGTGTGCGCCTTTAGGTGCTCCAGTTCAGAGATCAAGCGAGTGTACGACAGGTCCGCAATGCGCCGTCGCGTGTATGCAGATGCCGTTTTTTTGCGCCGTTTTTTTGAGCTTCTATTTTTTCGCTCTTTTCTATCAGTGCTTATTTATTGTCACATTGTACACATTATTCGACAATTTGTATAATTTCCGCGCCATTTTTTGATATTGAACAATAGAAAAAAATTTTTTTTTTCAAAATAACGGCGTACCAGCGCGAATTAAAAAAAAAGATCCAACAGGCTAGAGCGCATGCAGCAATGGACTTGGAGAGTTTTAGATGGGAGATCTCCTCGCTTTATTCACTGTCTGAGGGGACCTACCCGTTGCTCTGATGTTTTCTGTAAAATTGACATGCCGTTTCTCTTTTTACATCTGTGCTGGCCGTTTCGTACATGAGCAAAAGTAAGAAAGGAAGAAGCGAAAAAAAGCGGATTCTAAATAGACGTCGCATACACTCGACGGCGCATTGCGGACCGGCCTTGTACAATTTTTACGGCACTTTCGGAATCTGCGGCCTTCACCTACACTACCAAGGTTTTGCAAACTGCAAAAAAAAAAAGGAAAACCACTGATCCGGAAAGTAGTAAACGTTGTGAAAGACTGAATAACCAAGATCGGCCACGAGTTTCACGAAACGGGGAACCTGAATGAAAAGTTGATGATTTCAACAAGAAAAAAAAAGTTGGAGCTCACATTGATCCCGAGGCAGCCAAGAGGATTTTCATCGTCAAACAAAAAAGGGAATGATTCGCATCCAATGTGAGCGATCTTCAAATTTTGTCATCGAAAGGCCCAAGTCGGACGTCAAACCAGTCTTAAGACGTACTTCGCGTCAGAGATTATTAGCCAAATAGATGTCAAGTCCTCGTGACTCGAGATAAGTTCCTGGTTAGCCTAGATTGAAAAAAAAACCATTTTATTGGGATTTTTTGGTTTATAAGAAGTATCTCCGACAAAATAGCAGCAACAGCCAAACAAACCAAAAGCAAACTAAACTCTAACTTTTTTTTTTGAAAATGGTCTTCCTGAATTTTCTGTTACAGCTATTTACCATGGAGCTCAGACATCGGCGCGGTTTTCACAAACGTACTTCTTCCAACGCCTTGCATACTTCATGGATCAGAAATACGGCAACTTCTATGACGCCGGCGAGTTCTAACTCATGGCCAGCCTCTTCAAGAAGGTCTTGTGAGCTTTCGATCCATTGGTAGAATGATGAAGCCACCTGATCAAACTCGGACCTCGGCACCAGACAACTAAATATCGTCATTTTTCCCGACTTGAAAAGTGAAGGAAGCGGAGAAGGGAGCTGGACGCGTAGCGCGCGCGCACGCGGTCCTTGGCACAAATTAAATTCAACCGTCAGCGACTATTTTGAGAGCTCTTTTCATTTCTTTTTTACATTTTTGCATTAGGATAGTATAACTGCTATAGTCTGCGTGCCACGACTTGAAATTTCACAGAACGACATTCCGCTGTTCGGCTGCGCACCTTTGCGAACCTTGGTCGCGCTTTTAATTTTTTTTTTCTTTTATTAAGTACTCTACTTTCATATGCTCCCACAGCAATAACAACCAATTGAAAGGGTGATCCAGATTCGAAAGACGCTTCGCGAACGCACGCAGCGGAATATCGGAATGCCGTTCCGTGAAATTTCAAGTCGTGGCACACAGACTATGTCTCGGGACGAAATCTCGTCTTGATCAAAAAAATTGACGATCTCGTCTCGAGATGCAGGAATGGATCGGATCTCGTCTCGATTAAAAACGACTTTTCAGATGAAAAAACGACTTTCTACGCAGAAAATTGGACCACTTTTTGAATAACTAATGTTTACTTGATGCAAAAAAAAAAACTTTACCTTTGATACAGAGAAAGGGCATAGCAACGAATCGCGTTGTCACTAAAATTTTCGCAATTCCCATAACTTTTAAAATTCTCAGCTTACCGTGGCTGATAAGTCGTCATTAGATTTTGATTTATATACTTATTCAGTTCGCTTCGAACTTCAGGATGCCGCGAGCCCAAAATCCTTTCCCGGATGATAAAACACTAGAAAAATCGAAAATGGATGAGATATTAGAAAATTGGTGGGAAACCTGCATGATTGCGAATCTTTCAAGGTCTTCAGCGGATTCGAACTGGCTGTAAGAGCGAGCCTCTTGGAGGGAATCATAGGCCGGGTTCAAATCGGCAAATTCTACCGCAGGTTCCTGCGAAACACACTCTTGGTTCGAACGATTTGTTTTTCCACTCAATTATTTTGAGCACAGCTTTGGTCTCTACATAGGCAAAGGGAAAAAGTTGGAAAAAAGGCTTCATAAAAATGCTCCTTTTTGCTACCTTTTTGCGCCATTTCATCAGCTTTTATGCACCATTTTTGCTGCCTCTTATTTTAAAATCGCAGAAAAAATGGGAAACTCGATAAAGGGACTCTTTTTGCTACCTTTCTGCGGCCTTGTTTTGAGCCTCTCCCCAGTTGAAAATTTTAAAGGTTCCGCAAATCGAAACTAAAAAAGGCAGGTTTTGAAAATGGATTTCAAGAGAAACAAACAATTCAATTACAAGAAAAAACGTTCAAATTCCAAATTTTCTACCTTTTTTAAATTGTAATATTTTCCTATGCCAAACCTCCAGGTTAATCGGTGACTCGAGAGCTTCTCTCAAAATATTCAGACTCGTTTCATCATATTGCTCCAACACCGCTCTGGTCGCATACAAAAGTTTCGCGCCTCGCTTCAATTTCAAGTCGTTTTCGTGACCCAACAAGAGATCAAAAATCTGTGAAAAGGACAAGGTTTCTTTCTTTCAAATAGATTTCAAACTTTCTGTTCTCCGTACAGGGCAGCAGTGGTCAGCGGCGTCTCGCCATAACTATCCTGGATGAACTTTGCGCCGTGATTCAAAAGTACTTTAGTGATTAAAAATGATCCGTTCAGGACAGCTATGTGCAGTGCCGTTTGTCCTGAAGGATTTCAGAATTTTCAAGTTAAAACTCAAGTTAAAAACAGCCTTAGGTGAAAGAATAATTTCGTCAGAAAAAAACTGTCAAAAAAATGAGAGAAAGTCTTTGATAAAAAACAAGGAGCTGTATTACTTAATTCTATTTTTTTCTCTTAATGAATAATGGTCCCACGCACTAAGAAGTACAAGAAAAAACTCTAAGTTTTCAAAAAAAAAAACCATCGTGGTTGGTGGCATCCAAAGAAATGCCTTTATGAAGGAGGTACATACAAACTTCGAACTGAAAACTTGGAAATAAAGTGAGATTTATATTGATAGAACCGATTTAATCGGACACAAGTCCCACGGGAAGACCATCAAGCCCGTGGATCCTTTAGAGTCATGGTCATGAACGGAGGCGCCATGTTCGCATAGATACCAAACTGAAAGCCCAATCTTATGATCCTTTTAGATCTATTTATTACATGAGTTTTTTTAAATCTATTTCTCTAGACTCAAATTGTGTACTTTTTACAATGTGTTCTATAAAATTCTATAACCAAGTGAACAAGTTCAAGTTTATCTTTCACTATAATATTATTTTTGTTCATTGAGGAGCCCGAAAAATCGAGGGTCAAAATCAAAGTCAGAGAAGCTTCTCCATTTGCTCAGGTTGAAAAATAAGAACTTTGACATAATTTTTTTCAAGGTATAACTTAATTAAATAACTTTTTAACAAAGTGTGACTTGTGATTTAAAATTAGCCTGATTGATGGAAAAATCTTGGCTCAAAAAGAAAAAGCCGAATTTCTTTTAGATAGAGCTGGCCTCGAGGTTCACGAAAATCTGATCAAATTTCATTTTTTGAAAAATATGGGTTAAAAACAACGTTCAAAAAAAACGAAAAGAAAAGAAAGTTATAGATAATATCGTCCACATGTTGGTCTACAAAAATCTCACTTTTTTCTTTTCATCTGAAGTTTTTAGGAAAATTCATAGACCTTAGTTAAAGACCGCCAACCCTTCTTCTCAAGTATTCAGAAAATAAAGTCATTACTACCTCCCTGAGGTTGAAGCTTGTTTTTATTGTTGCCAACACTATCGCCGTAAGCTTAGTCCTTCATTTTTTTGAATCCCCCTCAACTTTACTCGGTGTTTTGATCAATTTTCGTAAATCAACCCCTCCTGTACAAATTGAGTCCTGTACTTGCTTATGTAAGATCTCGACTATTGAGTTATTTTTTCGTAATGGTTTTTTTTTCTCTAGAAACCCATACCGATGAATAAATTCCCCTGTGCACAAGCCGTGAGTAAAGGCGGCTCAACTCGGGTCGCCTCATTTTTTCCCAAATCGACCTTTGCCTCTTCCACAAGCACTTTTATCACCTTAGCTATTTGATAAAATACTTCCTTTTTATAGAAAAACCTCAAAGTATTTTTCTCGCTCTTTCTCGTACAATTGGAATAATGAATCGGAGCCGAGTTGCTTGATAGCCAAATTGAGTGCCGTTTCGGGTACTTGAAATTTTCAATTTTTTTGAAAAGTGTGTTAAAATTATTTCTTGGGTTCAAAATAACCTGTATCCGAGAAAAGAGCAAAGGTAGGATACACAGATGGGTCGGATCCCAAGTGGATCTCAAAAAAAGCTTGGAACTGTGCCAGAAATACGGAAAATCGTACCAAGAATCTTACGACATCGGGGAAACCTCCCTCGCAAGCCGCTATCAAGGGAATATTCTCTGTCGGCAAGTTCAGGGATTGTTCAACAACATGCAAACATTTTCCATTTATTAGCAACTGCAAGTTTGAGACTAAAACAAACTTTTTGCGAGAATAAAAACCTCAATTTCTTCCACACTTCCTTTTTGAGCAGCGTTGTGTATAGCTAGTTGGAGTTCCTTGGAACCTTTCTTAGTCATTCTCAAATTAAAATGTTGAAATCAAAAACAAGTTAATGATCAGAAAGGTATGACAAGCTGGACTTTTGATTAAACTTAGCGGAAGTGTACTTTAGGACCTCCTTTTTTTTTGAGTGAGATAATCTTGTTTTCGAGTCTTGAAAGATCCAAATAACGCTTATTTCATATTTTGTTGTTTGCGACCTTTAACACGTGATAACTAAAAATGAATTTATATTCTAATTTTTTTTTGTTCTGAAGTCAGGAGGCCCCAAGTCTGACCAAAATTTTAACTTCTTTGTATGCTTTACGAACTATTACAATGATTCTCTAATGTTGAAAAGGGTTTTAATAGTGGCCACTCCGCTTTAAAAAAAATTATCCCATCTTCTCCCAGGAAATTTAAAAACTTATATCCACTTGCTTTATATCTCGGTTCATTGTAGTTCATAAAAAATAATTTAGTTTCTGCGAATGTTTTTTTGAGTTCAATTCAAGAAATAAAAGTTTCAACCTAGATGAGTCGCACCAGGAGCGTTTTCGAGTTGTAATAGGATCAAATTTACGTTTCACGCAAATTATCAAATTAAGCAATAAGCTCACGGGAAACTTCATTCACAACTCTTTTCTAAACCAACTTTATAAGGCTCTGAGGTTATTCATAATAAACCGAAAAAATCGTTTCAAAACGAAATTATCTTCTCATTCTGATGACTGTTCCTGTGTGAGTAGAATAAAGCTCAACTGAGTGTGAGTCCATTTTATGACAAATCGTCTTAAAAACTCTGTAGCTGTTTGAAACTGTCTCCTCATGGTGCCTTTGAACTATATGATACACTTTCCCTTCCGGCTGAAGCAGAAAAGTCCAACGGTCCTCGCTCAAAAATTATATAGATGCGCTATCGATCGCTGATGTTCGCGATTGCCTCCGAGCGAAACTGTCGCGACTTTGGGAGCCGTCGGAAACCTTATAGAAGGAAAGGGCGAGCCAACCTCATCTCCGAGCGGAAGAGACAATACAGTCATCTGAGATTCAGCTCCACAGACGTCTAGAGACGTCTCCTAGCGTGTGAAGCGCGTGAGGCGAAAAAGCAGAAAAGTTCTTTTTTTATTTCGAATTTGGTCGTGGCTGCCGGCTCGCGTGATCAGTCTGCTATGCTGCTTGGTTTCGTATTTATTTCTTTGTCTAGTTCAAAAGGAGCTACTTAACTGCTGAAAGTAGTAAATTTTATAGAATATGAGCTGATGGTTAGGCTAGTAATTGATCGTTAAAAATGAAAAAAAGAAATTATTGATTCGCGAAAAATCGATTGCGATTCGCAATAGTCAGTTTTTCAGAGCTACTTTGGACCATTTTTTCTTCGTTTCCGCCGAGCTTCTTAAACTTTCCCACACTGTTTCCTTTAGATTGCCGAAAAAGCATATGTTCTTGTTCTCCATCATTTGTTTACATATTCTCAACTCGCAGAACGGTTTTTTTTTCTTACATCTTCGTGTCACAATTTTTTTTTCTCGCGTGTTCTTTTACTATTCCTGTTGGTCTTACTTTTCCTTCTTATTTCTATTTTCTTTACGTTTAATAAAAAGTAGGTTCACAGACGCCTTAAAAATGTCTCCTTTTTATATTAGACTTACTGATGAATCGTATATTTGTAGGCTATCAGGACGCATTTGCTTCAAAAACTAGGATATATTTTATATGATTTTTCATAGATTGGCTCAGTAGATTTTTCTTTTGAGCGAGAAAATTTTGAATCAGTATTGTGTTATGCGATTTTAGTCAATTGCCGCCCAATAGCTGAAATTCCTCCCAGGTTTTTCCTAATGATACTATTCGGAAATCAATAAATCGCGGGAAAACACCTTCCGTCTATCTTCTCCACCGTTCTCACACTGTTTCTGCTGAACTGAACACGAAAAGCAGCATTTGTTATCCTCGAACAATCATTTATCTTCTTACAACTTGCACCGCAGTGTTCTCAGATCTCTAACTCGCAAAGTGCAACTTTCTCTCAACTTTTCTTTACGTTTCTTTTCTCGCTTTGCGCGGACTTTACTCATTTCAAGCTTTGAGGGATTATGCTAATTAAAGAGTGCGCGTTGCGATTATCACAATTATTCAATCTTTTCTGACAAGGGAAGTCCAAAAATAATCAGTCGTCGTATAGCAATTTTAGAGTGAAGTTTGGAGTTTTCTATAAACTTCCCATAGAAGGTTACGCTCAACTTTTGAAAGCTGCTTTCTGAAATCACTTTTACTTTCTAAAATTATTTCTTCCAAAGTTTCTGACCGGCGCCAAACAAAATTTCAGCTACGCTTCTGGTGAACAACACTACGAAACGGTTCTCGGGTAAAAACAGGTGAAATTCTCGGAATTTTCAAAGTAACCTTGAGCTCTAGATCTATAAGAACATGCTGGACCTCGCTGCCGTCATGCGAAAAATGCAAGACAAGCAGAAAGATAATCTGCTCAAAGCTTCGGCCCAGTTTTTGTATTTTCACAACGATTATGTCCTTAAAAAGTTGATAAAGACGTTGGATTCGATTTGTGGGATCGAAAAGGTTGATTGAAGAATAAGAAGAAAAAATAACGAGAGAGATTTTCCAGATGATAAAAAATCCAGCGACGCGGAAAAAGTATGGATTGCTTCGAAAAGTTGGCTCCTTCGAAGAACTTGGAACTGACCGAGAATTGAAACGTTTTGCGGAGATTCATGTACGGGGGAATTTCCTTCATTGAAAGCTTTTTTCGAAGGATAATGTTGATGACTTTTCAGTGTGTCTGCGTTCTAAAATTACTGATCGGATGTAACCATATACATGTTCGTCAATTCATTCGAAGATACCTTAACTACAAAAAAAACGTTTCGCTCTGGTAAGCCTTTGTTTAAAAAATCGAGACAAAAACAATTTTTCAGGCCCCGCGGTCACCTGCTTGAATTGTCGGCGAGGTTAAAAAGTTTCAATTTCGGATATAATGTAGTAAAAAAACAATTAGAGGGATTTTGATTCTTGAAAAAGGCTCCATGAACTCGTCGAAAACCTTCACAACTATCTGCTTTTTTTCAAAAGTTCGAAACGGACCGTCATTGTGAATGTCCTCGAAAATCACTAAAAATTTCAATTTCAGTTTCACCGAACCGCTTTCGAAAGTGTTGGCGATGGATTTTGAAGATCAGTTTAACTGGTTGAGCGACTTGAAAGCTCGAGATGAAGGAAGTTACATGGTACAACGCAGCAGTCTGACTGTACTTCTAACTCATGGCCTTCAAAATATCTGCGTCGCTATGGAGAGGGTTTCGTCATTCAAATATTCTCCCTAATAATTAGAATCGTGATGTTAAGGCTCAGAAAGAAGGCGTCAAAGATTATACTTATGAGGAGAAGTGCGATAAATTCTTCGATTACGGCTTGCTAATACTTTCAAAGGTCAAACTTTCGTGATCGATACAGAAGTGAAAATTTGTTCAGATTTGCGAGTTTGGGTACTACCGGCTCGACATATTTTTTCGGGGAAATCTTGAGACCGAAGTAAGCGAAAAAATTCGATAGAAAATGAAACTAAAATGACATAGTTCAAGGCGTTTTATAAAGGAGTTCTTTTTAGTTTTCTTTAGACTTTTTTGTCAAAAAGGGTCAATAACTTGAGGTTGAACCAACAAATGAGACTATTTTCATTAGATGTAGTTTTCTAGTCTGCTTCTAAGGCTCAAAATCGGTCAAAAAGGTCTGTGAAAAGAGATTTGAGCGCTTGGAAGTTTAAAAAAAATCAATGCTCATTTTCGGATTGTAGAAAAGATCCGCTTCTGTGAAATAAGACCATGCGCTCCTGAGAAAAAACTTATTTTCAAATTTTATATCGACTCCTCAATTTACAGCCGAAATTTGATGGTTGATTAGTGGACATATCAAGTTTTTTGGTCAAAATGAAACTTTAGCAAGCTTCAAACGAACTAAACGTGATGAAAAGTATATCTTACAGCAGAATTTTGTGAAAAAAAAAACCATATTGTAGTCATTTTAAGGTCCGTCGGTTCGTGCGAATTCTCAAACTAGTCAAGATTCTCCCGTTTCATTCTTCACGCTTTATGAAGTAATTTGTTTCAAACTTCCATTCAAAATAGAACCAATCAATTCAGTAGCCCCACGATGATACGGATTTTCTCCCGGGCTGGTGCCAATATAAACGCCAAGAACAGCATTGGACAAACGGCTCTGGAAGTTCATCACTTTAACTATTTCGTTGTGAAACGCAAGCAGTACCACAAAGCGTGAGGATTTCCTTTCTATTCGTATTTTCGAGATTTTTCAGTTCTTGGCTAGCTCTTCACGAGTTCGTGCGGAACGGAGCACGTGTTTTCGTCAGCCAAAATGACGAACCACTCCTGGTTGGCTTAAATAAGGTGGAGCGAATGTGCAAGGATAAGAACGTTATTGCTTTCAGTAAGTTGTTTTTTTCTTATCTTAGTATTGCCGATAATGAGCTGGCAAGTTATCAAAAAGCCTTGGATATTAGTAGAAACATGAAACCGCCACAGTCAAAGTTTAAAATTCCTTAAAAAGTATCTGAAAAAGGGCGTAAATCAGTTCTTCTTTGGCTTAGGGTCAGAAGAATATTTTCTTAAGAGGATCAAAAAGCTGCAGCAAATTAATTTGGGAGTATACGATAGAGCAGGTAGCCTGGAACCACTTAGGCGGCGGATTGAAACCTCTCTTTAAAAAAAGTTAAAAAAAGTGACTAAATAGTTAATAATATAATCATTATATATTTGGCTCTTCTCAAAGTAGTTAAAAGGAGCTCCTTGTACCTTCTCAAAAATCTCCAGCTACCAATCTCCCGTCTCAAAAATGGCCCCTTCGCCCTGAGCTATGTTTGAAGGACAAACTGACACCCCCCAAGGATTTTTCGTTCATTATTTTTTTCTAAATAACTTCCATCCTTAAAATTGCTCATTTTCAGATAGCTTCATCACTTTGAAGGACATGGCCGCAAGAGCGGTTGAAAAAAACTTTTCGCAAGAATTTATTCGTGAAGTTCTACCCGCGGATGTCATAGACTATCTCGAAATGGAATTTTAGCTCATCTACATTGTTTCATGCTCCTATGTGTATATAATCAATCTCAGTTTCCTTTCATTCACGGAGAAGAGAAATAAGGGTTCACTAAAGTGATTTCCAACTGCCCGATTCGCTTCTCTTCAATATTTCCTTTCATTTTTTGCGTTGTATTTTGATCTTTTCTGTTTGCCAGCTTGTAATTTACTGATTATGAGGAAGCTTCTTTATCGTTCCTCGGAAAAAAAGGTCCAGAGTAGTTGATAGATAATACTAGATAAATTGATTTCTTGCGTGTTAAGCGAAACTGATAACGCTCATCGGAAGTGTCTTATAGAGATTTTTTGTCTTTTGGCGATAACGTAAGTCGCCTGAGTACTCATAATTAGTTATTTTACTAATCACTTGCATAATAATTTGAAGCTTCGAAGGCCTTTTCACAATCAGCACGACTGATAAGATTTCGACTTACATTTTGGGGGCTCTGAAGTTACGTTTATTTATAAGAGACCGAGAGATTGCTTCAAAACAGAAGATACCGTTTTTTTCATATTTATGCCTTAGTGAGTAGATGAAAGCTCAATTGAGTTAACTCTGTTAAAATTCTCCCGAAAAACTCTGTAGCGGTTTGAAACTGTCTGCTTGTGATGCCTTTGAACTATATGATACACTTTCCCTTCCGGCTGAAGCAGAAAAGTCCAACTGTCCTCGTTCAAAAACTATGTAGATGCCCTATCGATCGCTGATGTTCGCGATTGCCTCCGAGCGAAACTGTCGCGACTTTGGGAGCCGTCAGAAACCTTTCAGAAGGAAAGGGCGAGCCAACCTCGTCTCCGAGCGGAAGAGACAATACAGTCATCTGAGATATAACGCGACAGACGTCTAGAGACGTTTCCCAGCGTGTGAAGCGCGTGGAGAGGCGAAAAAGCAGAAAGGTTCTTTTTTTTTATTTCGAATTTGGTCGTGGCTGCCGGCTCGCGTGATCAGTCTACTATGCTGCTTGGTTTCGTATTTATTTCGTTGTCTAGTTCAAAAGGAGCTACTTAACTGCTGAAAGTAGTAAATTTTATAGAATATGAGCTGATTTTCAAGCTAGTAATTGATTGTTAAAAATAAAAAGTGAAAAAATTTTTTCGCGAAAAATCGATTACGGTTCGCAATATTCAGTTTTTCAGAACTACTTTGGACCATTTTTTCTTCCTTTCCGCCTAACTTGTTTCCTTTAGATTGCCGCAAAAGCATATGTTCTTGTTCTCCATCATTTGTTTACATATTCACAGCTCGTAGAACGATTTATTTTACGATATCTTAGACTAACAACTCGATAGTTTTACTCTTTTCTAGGCGCTTCGTGAATGTTCTCCTTTCACTTTTGTTTTTTTTCTTCTGGATTAAAGAGCCTGTTTCTAAAGTTCTTTGCTGAGTTACCTGTTGAAACAGTTAAATACCTAAGAAATAGAAAAATGCTTGTTTTCAAGCGGTCATTTTATTTTTAACGTTGATTTAGGTTAGCGAAAGTATTCTGGAATACGTTAGCAAAAATGGGACTTCCGTCTCAAGACCGGCAAGTTCAACGAATCGAAAGGTGACAATATTTCAACTTGATGAAGCCACAAATAAAAAATTGTTTCAGGAAAAGTTTCCAACTTCAAAAGTGTGCTGTGATACAGGCTCGCGAGAGAAGGATTAGGAATTTTGTAGGGAAATCGGTCAGTTTTTCGTTCAAATAATTTTCGAGGAGATAGCTTTTTTTTTTAGGTTCGTACAGGCGCGGTTTCATTAGCTGAGTTGGAAAAAGTCATTTCACAGAAGGAAGGAATAGGTTTTTTTTTTGTTTGAAAATTAAAGTTTTGAATCACGAATTTCAACGGTTCGAGACGGAATAATCTGTAGGAAATGGCTCAAAAGCCGTCATGGACCAGGCCTCTTCTCACATTTTTTCCCGGAGAGAGAAAATATTTTCCATTCAAACTTTAATGACTAAATAATATAATTATTTGATTCTTTGGATATATAACGATCAGAATCAACTGGCCCATCAGTATTTCCAGTAGCTAAGTGATAATAATCCCAGTTTTTGATCATTAAATTCATTTTAAACAATTGTCTTCCAAGCGAAATTGCTCCATGATCCTATTTGAAATGCTGACTTGCACGAAAATGAGTTGACAGGTGTAAAACTATCGTACGGCCGTCAGGAACAGCACTGTTACTTCTCCTTCAAAAGGAGAGTATGGGATTCCGAGCATAATTCATTCCGGTCTCGCTACAAGGCTTGTTTGAAGTCCGTTTCTACTCAATATAACCAAATCTTTAGGTTTTTCGAATTCGTTTGGAAAAGGCAGGAAATAACTTGAGGGAACCGTTTGACCCGCCGCTTCTTTTTACTGGGAGTTACGCAGAAAATCTCGAAATACGTACGAAGATTCCATTCATTCGAATGGACTAGATTGTTTTTCTTCCAGTCAGACGAATTCGCCTGAACCGTGGAAATTTAAGAGGGGTCAAGAAGGAAACCAGAACAGAGCCTTCGGAATTTCACAAAAAACTGGTTTTAAGCAAAACTTTGAAGAGAAAGAAATGAATCTCAGGAAAAGTTCTTTCTGATGTTAATCCGCAACGGTACAACATGCGAAGCTCTCGAAAGCGCTGAGTCCGATGGTACGTTTTTTTTTCTTCTTCAAATTTCACTAGTCTCTCAATCTGAAAAAAGTATAATATGCCATTGGAAAAAATTTTAGTGTCCACTATAGGGTTTTGACGTTTTAGTGGCCATTATAGTAATCGAATTAGTGACCACTTAAGAGTTTGAAAATTAGGGGACACTATAGAGGTCTAAGTTCTACTACTAGATCACTAAAAATTTTAATGGCCACTTTAGGGGTCAATGGATCAACATAACTGGTCCCATAGGTTTGTTTTTAAATTATCAGAGTTACTGAAAGGAATACTGGATGAAAAACTACTGAAGTGGCCACTATAGAGGTGGGTTTAGTGGCCACTTTAGTTTCCTCTCCAAGTAGTCCTTGGTGAGCCTCTATAGGGGCCACTAAAAATTTTCCCAGTAAGGAAACTTTAGTTTCTAACAGTGGGGTTTTTGTTAACATTCCGAATTTTTTATAGGATTGCGTGTTGTTTCTGAGGTATTTAGCGCCCGAAAATTAGTTTCTGCCCAAGTATGGATCAAGGATAAAGAGTAAAAAACGCTCCTTAGGCAGCTTTTGAAAGTTTTTTTAATGGTTAAAAAACCTTAAACACTGGAAAAAGATTAATTTTTTGAAGACAGGAAACTGCAACTCAAAATATTAATTAATAAAGAAACCTTTTTTCAAATTTCAATCATAGCTGTAAACTTCTTGGCGATGAGAGAGATGTTTTCACGCGATTTCGAAAAAAAAAATGTCTGAACGATTTTTTCATTTTTCTTCAGGTCGAATCGGAATCAGTGGCCAGGTGCTGGAGGAGCAAATTTCGTTTTATAACCAGCTTTCGAGAGGAGTTGACCCCAATGAAATCATCAGCAATCATCCCTACAAATCTCGACTCAAGGCGGAAATGAATTATGCAAGTTTTCTCAGAGAAATTTTCGAAAAAGGATAATTCCAAGATGAGAAGTGCAAATAGACACAGCGAGATGGATTTTCGCTAAATATCAGAAAAAAGAGCAAAAGTCGATAACTTTTTTTTTCTTTGGCTGTGATCCGATTGAACAAAGTCTTATCGGATTTTCAAAATGGGTCTATTTCAAGTAGTTGGGTGAGTAAAAATCTTGATAAGTCCGGGAGAAGAGGATGACTTACGAAAATTAAAGAACAAGGAACAAAAGTTTATTTTCCCTTTACCTTTCAAATTTTCTCAAAGCTAGAGGTCCAAAATAACATAAAAACCAGATCAGTCGAAAAAATGTATTCTGAAATGAGTTTTGCGCCACTGACTTTTCCCACAGACATCCCCGTAAATTTTAAAGAACGGAATTGGAATCAGCAAGAAAACGGCCTCTAGTGGACTAGTCTTATTCAAAAAAATCATTAAGAAAGTCTACCGCTAGGAATAAAATTTCTCTTTATTTCAAATTCTTTTTCCCTGAAATTCGAGAAGGTTTTTCTTGCTTATAAAACCACTGTATAGACGAAAATAAAATTATCTAACCAAAATAAGGAAAAATTACCAAATTTTGAAGAACTTCTGTATCAGAAATTGGACTGCTCTGGTCCCTTTCTTGAAAAACTTGAACTTAACTCGGAAGGTTTTTTTGAAGGGGGAGGGTTTTAGCTCAATTCCGCTGATTATTTTTTTAAAACTAACTTCACGGTCAAATGGTGGCTCGAAGAAAGATGTCGGTACAGTATCGTAGAAAAAAAAAGATAAAATATGATTTTATCGATGAATTTACAGGAGGAAACCATACAAAGATACCCTGAGCATAAAAGAGAACTCCTAGCCCTCCGACAAATGTCCCTCTACGAATTCGAAGATGCAAGGAACGAGAAACTGTTTGCTAGAAAACTTGTGAGTGGAAAATTTATTCGGAAAACGAAAACAATCTCGAGCAGAGGTGATTGTTCTTTTCTGATATCAACGAAACTCTGCACACGGTGTTTTTATTTTTGACGACGCCCCGCCCATATTTATCCGTAAAGTGTAATGTGTAATGTGCATGCGCTGCGGCGCCTAAGCCGTATCAAAGTAAAAATTTCGTTTTTTTAAATGAGAAATTGATTCGTCTCATGACCAATTGAACACGCGCCTTTAATATTCCCTGCTGTTTACGCTTATTTTTCATGAAGTCCCTTCATTTTTGGTCTCGCATTTTCTTCCTCTAACAGAAATGCGCGAAAGCGGCGCCGTGCTTGCACACGACACACGACACTTTACGGAGAAAACGTGGGCGTGACGTCGTCGAAAAAACGCCGTGGGATCGGCTATTTTGATCCGTAGGGGTAGACTTTACAATTCATTTTTCAGTGCCTCTTCACTATCGCACGGTTTTTTAAGGCTTTTAATAGATACGGTCTCAAGCCTTTAAAGCAAGTCTATCTATGCAGAACAGATAAATGGGAGTGAGTTTGAAAATTTATTATTAGTCTCAAACTTTCAGCGATGCATATATTCGGAGCTGGATGGTTTTTTTGGTTCAGAGGTGAAATTTAATCGCGTAAGGAAAAAATAAAGCAGTGGCAAAAAAAAATTTATTCGAAAATTCTTCAAAAATCACGAATTCTCGAAAGAGCCAAACCAAAAACAGGAAAAGCTGTTTATCAATACATCCCAAGAAATATATTAGAACAAATTACGTTGTTCCTACGCGTTCAACAAGGGTACGAAAGGAAACTTTTATCAGTCAGGGGTTTTGTCATCATTTTTCAACGGTATATCTTCATACTTTTCCGAAAACCAAAGTCTTTTTGTACAATCTGCTATCTGGTGATAGAGGATTGGACTATACCGAAATCGTATGTGTTGCCTGACTAAGAGCCCTCAAAAAAACGCATTAATACTTCGACGGCTTAGAAGTTTCAAGCTCGATGCGCTTTTTAAAAGCTCAAAAACCAAGACGAACATTTGAGAAAGAACCTTTTTTAGATTAATGATAGCCTCGAGTTCAGATTCAAGGAACCTGCTTCAAAGGATTTGTTCTGCAAAATCAAAGACTTAGTGGACTTTATCAAAAATGGATGGATGTACAGAACAGAAGAATTCCTGAAAGAACGGCAAAGAGTGATGAAAATCGCGGCTTCGGCTTTCGGTCAGATTTGCCAAACATTTGAAAGGGTTTCTTTTCGAACCTTTACCCAAAAACCAATGTCTTGGCGTTAAGGTTCATGCCAGAGGCGATGCTACTTGCCATGAAAAAAATAAGTTCCTCTCTCTCGCCTTGGAAATCATCAGCATGGTTAACTTTGATTAATAAAACTAAAGCTGAAATATAATTTTTTCAGATGGCCAAGTTTGGGTACGACCTCACCGATTTTCGTCATAGGCAACAGATTGAAATCGACGTACGTCATCAGATTGAATAGGAAAACGGCAAAATTAAAATGTTCATTCCATCTTTGAAGGCGTTTCTTGAAGTTGCTTATTAATGTCTGACTCGTTAGGTTGATTCGCAACAGAATCCTAAAAATTGCAAAAAGAGCAGGGATATCTCAACCGAAATTCGTATACAATCGTCAATTTTCACCACGGTAGCATTTTGTGATCGAAAATATACATGAATAATAAGTTCTCCTGACAAAAAACAACGGAAAATTGAAAGAAAGGAAGAAAGATATTCAAGTCCGAAAAATGGCTTAACATGTTGTCCATAGAGCGGCTTTACTGCAAAGGCGGGAACTCTCTCCGACTTTGAATAAATTTTTCTCCAAAACTAGTAACTCCTGTTTACTTTTTCTAAATAAACAGTAATCAGTTCATTTTCAGATCCCGAGATTCATTGAAGTTGTCAAACTTCTCAATTATGCACTATTTCATCTGCCACAATTCATAGAGTGAGTTTTCTTTCACGGCGTTCCCAAACGGGGTGGAAAGACGTCAAAAAAAAAAAAATTTTGGCGCGAAAATTGAAATCTCAAATACGCAGCTAAAGGCGAACAAACAAACAAGTTGTTAACGTTAAATACTCAGTGTTTTTATGACGTCATTTTATCCGGAGCGCGCACTCAATTCTTTTTTGTAAATTCAGAAACTTTGACGCCTCGCTCACCCCATTAGGAATGCCGTGCTTTCTATTTATTTCCTCAAGGCTAAATGTTTTCCAGTAAATTTGACCTGATTCCTATTTTCGTCCGAGCTGGGGCAAATATCAACGCGAAAAACGAAAACGGCCTAACAGCCTTGGAGCACACGTTTTTCCAAAATTTCGGAAAACCATTCATTCCGAAGACTTCACAAGACGGCCGTAGGCTTCCCAGAAAGTAGGGATTTTTCTAAAATTCCAATTTTTGAGGTTTTTTAGAGTTTGGCCAGCTGTCCGCGCTTTCCTTGAAAACGGAGCGCGTCTTTTCGTGAGCCAGAACGACGTCCCGCTTCTGAAGCGTTTGAGATGGAAAGAAAAGCATTTGAGGGTTGATCCCATCCCGTTCAGTATGTTTTTCTTCAACTTTGATGTGGATGAAAGCTTTAGAATTGTCAAAATCGAAAAATATTGAGATTGATATGAGCTATAAAAAAATTCACAGCAATAAAGGGACGCGAAATAAAAAGATTATGGTCGAAATTTTTTCGGAAAGATACCGATTAAGAAACATTTTCAATCACTTTAAAAGGAAAAAAAGTTTACTGTAGCCTCCCAAAAGCCTACAGAAAAGCTAATGTTCTCTTTTATCAGAGGGAAAACAACTTTTGGGTGTCTATTTTTCGCTTTTTTTCTACAACCTCTATTTTTGAGCACTAGACAAGACTGACTCCTCAAAAAACCGGTTCCTACTTGGGAAAATTTTTAGTGGCCTATAAGGTTTTTGACGTTCTAGAGGCCACTATAGTAGTCAAATTAGTGGCACTATAGAGGTCTAAGTGCTTTTACTAGAATATTAAAAGTTTAGTGGCCACTTTAGGGGTCAATGGGTCAACATAACTGGTTCAATATGTTTGTTTTAAAATTATCAGAGTTACTGGAAGGAATACTGGATGAGAAACTACTGAAGTGGCCACTAAATAGAGAACCTTTGTAGTGGCTACTATAGAGGTTGGTTTAGTGGCCACTTTAGTGTCCTCTTCAAGTAGTCCTTGGCGAGCTTCTACAGTGGCCATTAAAATTTTCTCAGTAATTTTCAAAAAATGCTCATTTTCAGATAGCTTCATCACTTTGAAGGACATGGCCGCAAGAGCGGTTGAAAAACATTTTTCGCAAGAATTTATAAATGAAATTCTACCGGCCGATTTGCTATTTTACCTTGACATTTCCCTACCTGTTTGCATTACATTAACTGATTGAATTTCCTTGTGCTGTTTGTATATGATCCAAACGCAGTTTTTTTCTCATTCATATACGGGAAGAGAATAAGGGTTCACTAGAGTGATCTCCAACTGCCCGACTTCTCCTCATTATTGCCTTTCATTCTTTTTCGCGTCTTGTTACGAACTTGTTATAGACTATTCCGCGCCAGCTTGTCACGTTTTTCTTTCCGCCAAAAAGACCGTATACCAAATTAGATCAAATTTCTGCTCTTATAACGGCAAGAAACAAAGGTCTTGAAGCGAAAATTGGTTAAATTTGACCTGGCATTTTGGCGGAAAGAAAAAAGTGACAAGCTAGCGCGGAATGGCCTATACTTACTTATTTAAAAAAGCTTCTTTATCTTTCCTCGACAATAGGCCTGGAATAATTATTAAATATGTAGTGCAATAATTTTTCTACTATTTTTCTCTAGTTTGCATTTTTACAATTTCCTTTTTCTTCTTTTGTTATTAGAAAAAAATTCAAACCTTCTCGTGTTACTTTTTCCGAAAGTGAATCTTCAGTATCGTTTGGATAAATATTTCCATTTCCTTCCTTTGCATCGCTTCATAGTTCTGAGCGTCATCAACATGATCAAGTCTTACAAAAAAATCAAGAAAGTCTTGTAAATTTACAAAGAAGTATCCAATAGCATAAAAAAACAACAAAAAAATCCAAATATTCGAAATAAAACAGAATTTTTTATTGCATCTTCGATTTTGAGACGACGATTTTAATAAGTGGGAAATCCGTTGATAATATTTTAAGAAAAATCAAAACTTTAGAGATCTTCAAGTCGAAAAAGACAAAATAAAAAAAAGGAAAGTCCACGAAACTGAATAAAACTTAGTCAGTCTTGGGAATTATCATATATATCAAGAATTTAATATTAATCGAAAAATTCCAGATGATATGCGAAATAAGAAAACTTCGGAGCTATTAAACATTATTTTTAGGGCAAAAAAATATTGAAAAAAATTGAACACGAAATTCAAGTAAATCTCTTGTCAGAACAAAATAGATATCACAAATTGAAGATATTAAAATGCGGAAAATTCATCTCGGGCAAAGTCGGGATGGTGGTGTGGCTACAAAAAGGCAGCAAAGAGAGTCCCTTTATCGAGCCTTTCTTTTTTTCTGACTAGTGAGACCTTAAAGGCTCAAGAAATGGTGGAAGAAGGGAGAAGCAGAAAAAATGGTTCACAAGAGCCGATAAAATGGCGCAAAAAGGTAGCCTTCATCACCCTAAAAGGAACGTTTTTATGAAGCCTTGGACCCTAGGAGGATCCTTCCGACTTTGCCAAAAATTGAGGATCGAAAAAACTTCGGAGGTATCAAACAGAGAGCAAATTTACAAGAAATCAATCCATAGATACAAGATATTCAGGAAATTCCACGACGAGCATGCGAACAGCATTTTTTCATCGGCAAGCTGCTCAGAAAATCTTTTCCACGTAGACCGATATATTCGCAAAGACTCTGGGGCAGGACTTTTTTCAAGTAATTTCCAGAAAAGTTGGCTTCGACCGCCGCCGCCGCCATATCCTTGAGCGTGATGAATTTTCCTGGAATTTGAACTTTTTATGAAATTACACCGTGACATTACCGAGATGCAATTTACTTAAGTTGGACACACATTGCAAATCGCCGAAAATATTGCCGTTATTCTTGGTGCAAACGAACATCCGCGCCCCATCGCGAAGGTAAGCCTTGACCACGCGGTTGAAACTGGAATATTATACTTTTCATGGGAATGTGTGAGGAGGAGTAACTGTTTATCTGAAGCATTTCTCAAAAGAGTTTTTTTATCCTTCTCGTCAAGATATTTGGCCAATGCGGTACTTCCTTCTGCATCCAGTTCGTTGATGTTGGCGCCAGCATCGACGAAGACACTGATCAGTCGAGGTTTCCTAAGGAGAAATGGATAGATCATTCTGTTCAATTTTTCTGAAGTCGTTGGGGACCGACAGAGTAGACACTAAAGGGCCAGCCCGCTGGCCGTTTTCTGGTAAGTCCGGCCCGGAGGTCAAAGTTTTATCAAGTCGAATATGATGTTTTTCACGAAAAAAGTCATGTTTTTGCTTATTTTTTCAATTTCGCGTTCCACAGAGATCAAGTACAAATATACTTCCCGTGATTTTTGATTCAAAATATTTTTCGAAGCCTGGTCTGGCCCGAGTCCGCGCAGGTTTTTTTCTCAAAAATGAGGCCTATAGCCCGGTCCGCAAGGTCTGACGCACAAAAACAGAATAAAAATCCACTTTAGTGAACCCTCCCGATTCTCTAAGGATCACTCGTCTTTTCCACCCTGGAGCTCCGGGCTTTTTCTCTTTAACTTAGAATAAGTTTAACATTTTTCTCGAACCATACATGTAAAACACTTCGAAGTGGAAAAGTGGAACTCGTCGAAGCGTCACGATCTTGGCGAAACGGCGAATCTAAATTTTAGAAATTTATAAATCTCAAGGTTTGCAAACACTTACAACAACGCTAAAACGAATAATCAGTTCAGTGTCGTCCGAATAACCAAAATTCCTGACCTAGAAAGAAAATCTTCAGACGTTTCGCAAAGGAGGGATTAGATAAAAGTGCCATCTTGTAAGAATATGCGTCAAATTGTTGAAGTACAAAGATTTCTACTTCTGAAGAAAAGCAAATTGAAAACGAAAACTAAAAATTTGAGTTTCGGCGCAAAAAATTAAATTTTCTTTTTTGCTTGATCTAAAGAAAAAATGCACTGCACTTTTTTCTTCTTCTGTCTTAGAATCTCCAAGTTGATTCCTATAGGGGCAACTTTAGCGTTTATGGGGGCCACTAAAGCTCGCGAAAGTGGTCCCTTTAAAGCATTTAGTTAGTGGTCCCTATAGGGGACATGCTAGTCGACAATTTTATGAACTCTATGCGGAGAAGCCGAAAACTGAATAAATAAGCGTTTTTTGAATAAAAGTTGAAAGACCCCTATAGGGACTACTCTTAACTTCTATAGGGATCACTCTTAAATTTCTAATGTTGTTCAAAAAAATATTCTCCTTTATGTAAGATAACCATAAATATAAGATTATTGATAACATATGATGTGCCATTAAGTTTGAATTGAATATACCCTTCGATACATTTCAAAACAATCTAACCTATCTGTGTATCTTTTTTCTCACCGGCAAGACTATAGAGAGATGAAAAGATCACTTAAAAACGGAGAATGAGAGGGTGTAGAGAAATCAGGCTCCTTTAAGTTGCGCCGAACGAACTACTTAATTCCAGAGTTGTTCCCATAGGGTTAGGGCAGAAAACATAATCCTACAGGGGCGCGAAAAGTGGTCCCTGTAGAGGTAAAATTAAGCTGGCCTCTATAGGGGTTTAGGGCCCGAATTCCGAGCCCCTAAAACTCAAGTGGACTCTATAGGGTTTTTCAACTGCATTCAAAAAACGCTTTTTTATTCAGTTTTTCCTTCTTCGCTTAGAGTTCATAACAATTATCGACTAGCATGTCCCCTAAAGTGGCCACTAACTAAAACGCCTATAGGGACGACTCTTGCAAGCTGTATAGGGGTTAGTGAAGTGGTCCCTAAGATTGCCCTATGGGACTACTCTGGTAAGTATACCATAGAGATGAGCCTCGCAGCGGCCTCACACAAATTCATGCTCCATTTCGCCGGATAAACTTCCTTGAAAGGTCTCTCGCTCTCCTTAAGACAAAATGTTCTCTTCTAAGTTATAGATAGCCAGAAGACGAACAATCAACATTTGGCAGATCTGATCGAAGACGAAAAAGACGAGATTCGCAGCGGCACGGCGTTCCCCGTCCAAAAATAGTATCCTTTCCCGAAGCAAGGCAATCAGGTATCCAACTTGTTGAGCGTAAACGCCAGAGGACGGCCTCTCGTATCTGGAAACAAAAAATGGAGGTTGAGAATCCATCTGATTTCACCTTTTGTATAGAGAAAGCATGTAGCATCGGATGGGATTATCCCTGAAATCAGAAAAATACTAATCAGGGTTTTTAATCAGGGTTTTTTGTTATTTTTCCTTCGTTCTCTTTTTCAAAGACCCTAGAAAGCTTTTATATTTCGTATTTGAAGGCCTAGGAGTATTAAAAAATGGGTTTGAAGATAAAATGCGATTTTTGTAGAGTTCTTTCTCGCATGTCGAACATTAAACTTGAGACTTCCTAGTTTTGCAGAAAAATAATTTAAAGTCGGAGAGAGGAAAGTTTGAGTTCCCTCTGGAAGGGCCAGGCTTGTGCGAGGGCCGGCCCGTCACCCTCCCGGCCCCCCGACCATTTCGTAAGCCCGGCCCGGCCCGGCCTTAGCGGGCCTCAAGAAAAAATGGCCCGCCCGGCCCGAATCGCGCAATTTTTTTCTAGTCGGATATCAAGTTTTTTTACGACAAAAAAATTACGTTTTGGCTTTTTTTCTATTAAAGTTTAACAAAAAAACTATGATTTCAGAAGTAAAAGTCACATTTCGGTGAAAAATTTTTTTAAATGAAATTTTTAAATTTTTTTGAAGCCCGGCCCGGCCCGAGCCCACGTGGGCTTTTTTTGAAAAATGAGGCCCAAAGCCCGGGCCGCTCGGCCTGACGCACAACCCTGGGAAGGGCTTTTTGTAGTAAAGTCGCTCTATGGACAGCACGTATCGATATTTTTCGAATTTTCGCTTTATTTTTGTTTCTTTCAAATTTCAATTTTTTTTTTACTGCGTTTTTTTAGTGGAAGAAAATGCGAAACCAAAAACACGGTGGGCGGAGCCAAAATATCCACCGTTCTCACGTGGCATGAGAACGGCAGAGATTCCAGCTATAAAAGCGTAAATAACAGGGCATATTAAAGGCGCAGGCCGCCGTATTGCCAGAGGTCTTTAAGACAAATCCCTGCGTAAACGCAATTTTCTGCGCGAAAGCGGCGCAGTGTATGCACACGACACACGACACTTTACGGATAAAAACGTGTTTCCTGTTCTCGACTGACTGAATATCCAAAGCCGTTTCATAGCTTTCATTTTGGATATATTCAAAGAGTTCATGGCGAACATGCGGATGATTCTGGCCGAGAATCCTTTCGCGGATGATGAAGCACTGAAATTGGGGAAAAATCAGAGTTAATAGTTTCATTCACTCACTTGCAAAATGGTGAATCTTTTCTTATCTTCGGCCGCTTGGAATTCTCTGTAGGAACGGGCTTCCCGTAGTGAATCGTAGGCAGGATTGGGCACGACGTCTTCTTTTTCCAAGTTATAATCCTGGAAAGGCGGAATAAAAATATATCTTCTGTGTTAACAAACTCGATCTTGACCGTAAGCGTACTCGAACGCATATTCCAACTCTTCCCTGGCAAATTCATCATATTGACGTAAAATTCTTGTGGCGGCTCTGAGTAACATGGCGTCCTTTTTCTGGGTTTCATCTTTGACGTATTCGAACAAGTGATCGAAGATCTCCGTCTGGAACAATAATTATGAATAATCGCAAAAGAGAGGTTGTGCCTCGGGGTTTTCGAACACGGGGGCGACCCTGAAGAGGAGAGGATCTCCGTTTTCGCAACAAGTTAACTTGGCGCCCTCGGCTGTCAGCAACTTCACCAGGAACGGATTCGCCTGGTGCACAGCGATTTGAACCGCCGTTTTTTCTGAATTATTATTATTTTTGGATAGGTTTACAGTAAGTTGGATGCAGACTTTTTTCTGCGCCATTTAGGTTTATTAGAAATCGTTTTTTACCCATACCGCTTTTTTGTCCTATTTTACGGATCATGAAGCTTCATACTAGGAAAATTTTTAGTGGCCACTATAGAGGGTCGCCATAGACTACTTGAAGAGGACTCTATAATGGCCACTAAACCCACCTCTATAGTGGCAACTATTTTCCGTTTCAGTGGCCACTATAAAGGTTTTCTATTTAGTGGCCACTTCAGTAGTTTTTTTTCATCCAGTATTCCTTCCAGTAACTATGACCATTTCAAAACAGATTGGACCAGTTATGTTGATCCATTGATCCCTATAGTAGCCACTAATTTTTAACCCCTTAAGTGGCCACTAAAAATTTTCCCGGAACTCGGAAAAAAAAACCATGTCCGAGAAAATGTTCTCTTGTCTGCAATCTGGGGGGTCCTAGAGTAAACTTCAGCAAAGTTTCACCGAAAGTTCAACCGAGGGATAGAAAACGCTTCCTAGTTAGGTTAAAAAAATCAACCCCATAATAAAACTTCAATTTTGTTAAAAAGCACACCATTCCTAGAAGTTTTCGAAAAAAAACTAGATTAAAAATCGGATGAAAATAATTAAAAAGGTGAAAATAATTTCTATTCACCCCTAATAGTGACGGCGTCGACTGAAAGGCCTTGCTCCACAAAAAAGTTGAAAAGTTCCCGCTGAAAAATTCTCATTACGGAAGACAATAAAGAAATCAAGATTTATACTGATTTGGGTGATTTGTAACAATCAGACATCATCAAGCAGGTCATTCCTTCAGAATTCCGATCCTGAACGCTTGCCCCATGTTCGCAGAGGTATTTAGCTACAAATGACACATCAGATAGTTCCAGCAATTTTTTCTAGCTACCCAGTTCAAGATTACAAAATTCGAGAGCGAGGAAAAGAGGCGGTTGCGATCCGAGGAGCTTTCTCAAGTCGACTTTACCCTCCTCTACAAGGATTCGGATTATCTGGAAGCGAACTTGCTTTTCATTATGAAATAGAAACGCTCGAAAAGAAATGCGACTGCGTTTTTGTGCCCCATAGTCAACTAGTGAATAACGAAATTTATTCTCGTACCTCACTAAAGAGAACCGGATGATCCTGGACGGTTCTAGGGATCACTTAAGAGCGCTAAAGCTACTAAAGTTGTGACTAAAAATGCGCTGACACGTCTGATGCGGAAAAATAGGAGAAGCTAGAGAAATATTCATTTTTTAACCCGCTATCCATTCGGAACGAAAACCGGGTGCGCTCCGGACGTTTCTGAGCATTTCTAGGGATCACTTAAGAGTGCTGACGCTACTAAAGTGGTCACTAAAAATCCCTAATTTATTGAGACGTGACTACTCTGTAACTTCGAGAGATAAATCCTTCACAAACAACAAGAGAGTAATTTTTTTCCATTCCTAAAAATGCTCCGTTTCGAAATTGCTCCGAAACAGTCCATGTCTTGTTTTGGAAGCCTTTTTCTCGCGTTTTCGAACAAGTCCATTGATAATTTCCTGGTGATAAAAAGTGCAGTGGAAGTCTGCCGCAAAACTTTGATTCAAAACATAAAAAACAATCCTATATTATAACAATAAGAAGAAATATTATGATTTCTAAAAAGCCTTGTTTGTTCACTAATCAGCAATAGGTCACAGAAACGTTCATAAATCCTAAAATGCAATTTTTCGGTAAATAACCATGAAATCGTCTTGAGTCCGGATATCAGAGATATCAGTGAGATCTTTCGATCCGACTCGTCTGATCGCCAATTCCAGAGGTGATTCCGATGAGCTCCACACTGAAAATCGCAGTTTTATGGACTAAACTTCGAATTGGTTTTTTGAACCGTCGTCATTTTGGTTCATCGTGAATCCTGCGGCGTGAACTTCGGGATCGGCGCCCAATTGGACCTCAAAATATTTGATGAGCAGTTGAAATCGGACAGGACTCACCAAAAAACGCACGATATCTACAAGTCCCTCTCTACATGCTTCCACCAAAGGAATCCAATGACTTGGGAGATTCAGGGCGGTCGCAATGAAACTCTCCGACTCATTTTGTGTGGCCGACTTCAAATTTTTGGTATGATTAGGTTTAATTTTCCTTTCTGGAATGTTTATAAGTTCCAAAAAACTGTCATAAGAAGTTTCGGTCAAAACTGAAAAGCCACCCAAAAGCTTTTCTAAAAAAAAACCTTGAAAGGCTTCCAAGCAGATTTTTTTAAAATATATATTTTGTATCTTTTTCACATCTTTTAACAAAAAAGGCTGCTGGAAAGCAACTAAAAAGATTCGAGCGGATTCAAAAATTATCCGCTGAGGATATGAAAAAGAAGCTGAAAAGCGTTTTCACGTCATTTTAGAAGGATCCTCAAAGGAACTTTTTCCGTTTTAACTATGTACAAGTATTTCAAAAACTCTAGCAGGGATTTTCAAACAAAATAAATTTTACCTTGATTCCTTGCAAATCGTTGCTTTTGGTGAAATCATATATCAATGATTGGAACGACTGATAGTTCACCATTATGTCTTCTGTAACTCTTTCCAGCTCTTCAAGTATTTTGATAATCAAAAAAATGACACTGATTTCCACATTTAGTTTTTTTTAGGCGTGCTCAGAAGTTTCTGGGCATTTCTAGTGACCACTTTAGTAGCCTCAGAGCTTTCAAGTGATCCCTAGAATTTCTCAGAAACGTCCGGAACCCTTCCGTTTGCGTCACCAATGTCCGAGTGGCAGATCAGAGGCATATTTTTGAACAAAATTGAAAAAAAAAACTTACCTTCATGACATCCAAACAAACGAATAAATTCTTGAAAATCTACTTTTGCTTTAGAGAAGCTCTGCTGGTAAATTTCTTCTTCTTGCAGAACCTCTGAAAAATAAATTATTCGCTCAAAAAATCATTTCTCGGCCCCGCAGAAGTCTTCTCTGGCCAAAATAACATAGCAACATATATTATATGCTTTTTTTAAACCATTTATGCAATGATTTTAGCCAAAAAATTAACTTGAATGAAATATATCGTGAAACATTAACTGTAAGATTTTTTTAAATAAGTTTTACGTCTGAAATTTGAAAAACGAGGAAAGAACAGGTATTTTTCAAGAATCAATACGACGCGCTAAAAAAATTTTTAAAAAAAGGGTAAAAGAAAAATTTCATTGAAAAAATCATTTTTTAAAAACAAATATTCCACTTTGTAAATAAACAAGAATTTTCAAGTTCGAAAAGAAATACTCTGATAATATCTTCATTCCGGTAAGTCTGATAAGCTTCAAAAGTTTAATTGAATTCACAAGGAAGGAAGTAAATCATGGGGAAAAATCGCAGACAATGGCAAAATTAAACTTTCATGACTCTATACAGAAATGGGACACGAACGGGAACAAGTAGAGGTGCAACAAGTAACGGAGTAATTAAATGTAATAAACTCGATTAAAAAAATAAATAGAGCTCCGATTTCTGGAAGCGATACCCTCGCAAAATTTTTGGCAGGGTTGCCCACAGAAATTCTGCCGAATATGTGTTTTCGACACCTTTGGCGCGGATGTCCTGAAGCGTGAAGATTGCCCGAAAATTAAAATGAGTAATAAACACCCACGCAAAATATTAATCAAGAGGCTTCAAGAAGTGATAACGCGGGGGAAGCTCTTATCAAGCGTGAAATCGTGGCCAAGATGGTGCTTCTTGCAGAAAATCGAAAAATCGTGAACCATGCAGCGTGCGGAAGAAATCTCTCGTTCCCTTTTTAAAGAAAAGAAGCAAAAGAAGAGCACGAACTGTAGAGCAAGAAATTTTCGAAAAATAAGTCAGTTTATCACCAAAGACGATCGGAATCCTTGAAATCACCCCTTCCCAGCAGATGCACCTTAACATATTAGATGGAATTGACGATTGCACAAAAACCGTCGAGCTGAATGAAAAAACCAAATTTCATAAAAAATTAAAGATCAAACTTCAATGCTGTTTCCTAGATCGTAACGGCATTAAGCAAAAGCAATTATCAGCTTCTTTTTTCATCTTCCTCGTCCCCCAAAAAGAGTTGATACGCCTTAGCCTATAAACTACAACATTATAATAAACAAACTCGACTTATCGTCTGACGAACGTCCAAAACAGTTTTCAAAGCAATTACTCAATGAATTTTCTCGTTTCCTGTTTATCCGATGAACACGCCACAAAACTTTAATGGTGTGTTCATCGGACAAAACAAAAATCGCTTCGAAACGCAAAAAAATTGCTCCAAAACAAAAATTAGTACTGTTTTGGAGCAACTTTGGCGCGCCGATGAACACGATTTTTCGTTTTGAAGCATGTTCCGTTTCTCCAAAAGAACACGCCATAAAAAAAAATGAAATAAAACGATCGTTGACCATAAGCTCGTCAAATAAAATGCATCCGACGTAATGAGGCGGTGCTTGCGGTAACAAAGGGTATCGTAAATCGAACCGCTAAATTTTGAGGTTCTTTTTTTTTAAAGCACATCTTTCTCTTTATAACAGCTTCAAACGTCTCTGATCGCCATTTTGATGAATAGAGCTAGTCAATCTGAGACGCAAATAAGAAAGAACAGTACCGTGTTGACATGGCAAAGGTGAAAACAATTTTATGCGTGTATTGTCATAATCATTCACAGAGAAGGTCATGTTGACATGGGTACACTTTGCAAAATACGAATCGAATCCATAATTTTCTGGGTAAATGAATTACCTCTTCACCTCGTACACGAAAAAAAAGTTCGATGAGGCTATGAGAAAATATATATACTACATTTAATTTCACTTTGTGTGAAATTTTCGAGCTATAAATTTAACAAGATAACAATAAAAAAAGAAAAAGGTTACAGAAATCAGACTGGGCCTTCAAAAATCAGCGACTTTTCAAACCACAGTATGCTAGCAAATTTGGTGGCAATGTTTCCCGCAGAAAAGATTCCGAAGAAGTGTTTTCAACGACTTCTGCGCAAATGCCCTGCAGGATGATATATTTGCCTGAAATTTCGGAAAAGAATCATTACTAATGAAAACTTATCAATTTAAAATTAGCTTTTTTGGAAACGAAAAAAAAATGCATGATAAAGAAAATTCCGGGTTACTCATTATTATTTTTTTCTGAATGAAATACAATTATTTTTTTCTTAGACACGCATTTTTGATGAAGAGCTAAAACCACTGGCCGGTCAATATTGCGTCATCTGTTTCGAAGTCCGAAAAATTGAATTTTTTTTTCGTTGCAATTTGTTTAGAGCCTTTCTCTTGAGGTAACAAGATAATTCGCACTTCGGAAATATCACAATCTTCCATTTTATGACCGAAAAGTCTTTCTCAACTACCTTAACACGACCGGCGCGCTTGAATAGGCGGGTCTATAGATCAATAGATTGAATCTTACCAGGTTAGTTTAATGGAGCGAACTTTCAAGACACGAAAGTAAAAAAGAATTAACCCTACCAAGAACAATGAGATCCTTCCTGTCTCTATCGTGCAGAAGACGGTCAATAACTCGACGACCAGCGATGTCGCGCACGAAAAGCCTCGATCCGTGGCGAAGCGAAGCGCGGAAAACATTTTGCCATCGAAAATCACTTGACTACACAAAAATGAGGCCCGGAGAGGTGTTACTCCAAAATTTGATGATTTCTATGCAAGTTTATAAGGGATGTGTGCCGCCAAGGCAGTTCCTTCGTTTGCCGACCTTTCGTGGATGTTGGCCTTGCCTTGAGCCAGAATATCGATACAATGACAGGTTCTGAAAACTTTATTTCGCGACAAATCACTGGGAATGTATTAGATTGTTGATTCTACAGAATCAGTTCTACGGCTGGACACAACGTTTTTTGTAGCGTTATTGTCATTATCCAGTTACTTTCACGTAGTGTAAAACCGGTTTCGTGTATTTTGGTGTCAAATTGGATTGGACATGGCTGTTTGAAGTTTTATTTTAAATAACTCAAATTTCATCATTTTTTCTAGTTTTTTGATGATTTTTCGAACTATATTAAAAATTTCGCTCTCAAAGGTTTTAAACTTTTGCTTTCTATCAATCATTCGACTTTCTGAAGCGGAATTTCCAAGGTATAAAAAATTCTTCTTTTTTACGGGGCTCTTCTCAAATTTTTGTTTATTCTCAAGTTTATCATATTTTTATTGATTTTCGGACGCGAGGCAACCTACCAGAACAATTTTTCTGTTTTTCTTTCGTTTTCCGCAATTTAGAGTTTTTATCTTTTATGATCGCTGCTATACATTTTGTATGATGTTCAAATGTTTTTAAACATCATATTCTTCAAATAGAAAAGATTTCGTGATGTTCGGAAGACATAAGCTTGGTATTCAAACTTTAAAATTGAAAAAAAACATTTTTGGAGTATGCGATCATGCGTCCCGGTGTTTTTACACCATAACTAGCATAATTCACAGAACGTTTCGACTAACGTACCGAAAAAAACGCAGTTCAGTTCAGAAGTCTTCTTTTTTTCTGGAAAACAGGAAAGTTCAAAGAGATAGTTGGAATATAGCTTCTTATGAAGTCTTAAGATTATCGGAACTATTCATAAGGAAGCAAAAAAAAAGATTTACAAAAAGTTTCCAATTTTGCTCGATTTTGAGGTACATCGGCCGGTTAAAAAGCAACTGAATTTCCCGAAACCAGGAATTGTCTTTTTTAGTAGGTTTGAGGAGTTCTGATTTATTAGATTTTTTTTTTTTGGTTCGGAAAAAATAAGTAGTTTAGGCCGTTGGTTTTCAGGTTTTTAGAGCTGCGTGAATTATCGAAACGACTTAAAATTGTAAGAAAAAAGACGCTGACGTGGGAATGCAACTTGGTAATAGAATGATAGTATATAAGCAAAGTGGTGAGCTGATCTAGCCATTGAAACAAATCGTCAGCCAACAGCTTGCAGTCCAATATCGACCAGTGTGAGTCAAGATCCCGGCAGAGCCTGCGGGAGACGTCTGGCTCCTCGAGTGATCACATAAGGGGCGCCACTTGAGGGACCACTTGATGGCTGAGCTCCTCGCCTGACAGTACGATCTAGTTGATCAATGAGATGTAGCCTAAAGAATCTTTTTCATTTGAGAATACTAAAAAGCTGTGTAACTCGTAATCTTACCGCAGCTCGAGGCAATTCTCGGAGCAATGGATAACTTGAAAAAAAAGCTTCCAATTCAAAAAACTACCTTGAGAATTTTCGGATAAGCTTGTTGATTGTTCTCATCAACCGTATGTATCCTAGAGATGAATATTTTTCCTTTTCGGCATTTTTTTAAGCTTAGATCTCTATCCACCCGTATTTTGGGCCGAAATTCGGAACTTCGGGTCATATTTTATTTGTTCATTTTTCATATTAATGAACCAAAACCGAACCTTAAAAAAATTTTTTCCAAATGTCGAAGTTATTTAAAATTACGCTGGGTTTTCACGGTCCAAGGCTTTTGAACTTTTTTAATTTTTTTGAGCATTTAGAAACCTAGATTTGCAGAAAATTTCATCCATTTGAAATAATCTGTTCTGATATTTTCCATTCATTTTTTTTGTTTTCGTTATGATGAAATTCCATTTGGAAATGGTGAGTTTTCTGTTGGAACCAAGTTGAAAAGCAAGAAACTTTTGGATATTTCAACTTGGGCTAAGAATATTTTGACAATGAATGAACTTTTCTCTTGTGTTTCTTTCAATCAAATGACTATTTTTCAGCCACGGACGCTTCGCCAAGAATGAAGTGGAACCGTGCTGAAGGTTTGCTCATTTTCGTACTTTTCCGAGCTTAATGCTTTTTTGATTTCAGGAAAGTTGAACCTCAAGCTGTTGCTCATGATACCGATGCTTTACGCACTTCCTACTACTGCTATCCGTTAGTAACTTTTTTTTTGTTCTTCATGATTGTAGCTCGGATTTGCTCACTTTTCTTTGAAAGAAACTCAAATTGTGATTATGATGGTTTTTTTTTTCAAATAGTTTCTGTTAGCAGTCCTTATAATGCATTAACAAAATCTTCTATGATTTTTTTCACTTTCTTTTTTTGTTACTGGTATAAAGAAGATTGTGTTTATTGAAAAGTGTGTCGCGATTGTGATATAGAGAAGATTGATCTCGTGTTTCTTGGAAAGTGTGTCGCGATTGTTGGACTCAAGTACCTTTTTGAAAGATGAGAAAAGAAGTTTTATCACGGACTACTGAGTATACGAGATCAAATGCCCAAGAAGAGATGGAACAACCGCCAGGAACCGATACCAGATGAATCACCGGAGCAGTCAGCCATAATACGACGACCATCCCGAAGCGGAGGCTAATAACAACAGCCGTCCGAAGGATTTACCAATGGGAGAGGCTGCATATAAAAGGACGAGCCATCGCCGACAAAATGCACCTCGCCGCTGACCCGAACTATGGCCACCTCTATACCATTATCATATCAACTTCTTATAAAAACCCCATCTTATATATAGCTTAGCATCAGGGTTGTGCGAGATCTCGTCTCGTGCTTCTCTCGAGGAGAAATTCACTTAACGTGTCTCGTCTCGATTCACCGAGACACATTTTGAAAATGTCTCGTCTCGAAAAAAGAAAAAAGATTTGATTTTAAACGAGATATTTTCGAGAGATAATCAGTAGACGTTTTTGAATATTGAGTAAATTTCGCCCAACGGGCGGAAGCCTTGGTCAATGGACGTGGCGGACTGCAAGAGCGGCACGGTTTATTGCAAAAATGAGAGCCGAGTTATGTGGATCTAGTGTTGTAAACATAGCATTCAATGTTTTTTTTTTTGAATGAAATTGAAAAATACGACAGAATTTTTTTGTTCAGGTGGTTGTCATTAGCCTTGTACACTCAAAAAAAAAAATGTTAAAGAATGAGTTTTTTCAATCATTATATTTTTTTATTGTTATTTTCATAAATTTTTAGTGTACTTATTTGAAAAATTTCTTAAAAATATGAAAATGATGAAGTTATAAGTCGGCAAAAATGATATCTGCCAAAAGGATTCGAACCCTGGTCACAATATTGACAAGCTTTGGGAGACCACTACCCTCGAATGCTGAGCAGGGTACCCCAGCCGTGCTAACACGGGGTCTCAGCGGGTGATCCCGTATTAAACCCGTACAAGCCCAGCTAGCTTTTGGCAATTTTCAGCCCAACTGAGACCCCGCTTTAACCCAGCTGGGTCACATATTTTTCTTACACCCGTTGTTCCCCCGTTTTAGCCCAACTGAGACTAAAATAACCACAGAAACACGGGTTTAATACGGGTACACCCGCTGAGACACCTGCTCAGCATGCGAGCCACTACATCACGCCGCCAGTTGCTAGCCGAAGGCGCCGAGCGCGGGCATATACGTAGGGACCGCAGACGAATTTTCAAAAAAAAATGTTCAGCATTCAGCTTTGTATGGCTTGATAGCTGTTTTGATTCAAAACTCAGAACCGTTTAGTTTTTCGAAAAAGATTGAGGATGAAAAAAGTTACGACGGAAAATGTGACGCGCCGCTCAACATTTTTTAGTACTGAAACTTTGGTATTATCCATTTTAGACATTTTTCTCGATTTTTCTTCTAGAACAAGTTTCGATACTGGTCTATTATGATGTAACGAATCATAATAGAGTGCTGAAATGATGCTCATCAGCTAGTTTGCCGAAAAAGTCGGTATTTTCCAGAAAACAAAAAACTGACGCTTGCGGGTATCGAACTCGCGACCTCAAAACGAAATTTCGCAGCGCACGCGCTGCGCCAAGCTGTCAGGTCTAGCAAAGGGAGCTTCCATCCGCCATACCCGTGAGCCGTTTGAATAGCACAGATTGCCTATTTCAAAAATGAAAATTTGAAGTAATTTAGCTATTTCTATCCTAATATGTTCGCAAATCTTCACTCAAACTTTTCGTAGAAATTCACTTCGAAAAAAACTGTTTTTTTTAGTGACTTTTTGCCTCGTTAAACGATCGCTACATTAAAACGGCCCCGTGATATTTTTGGCAAAGACGATTTTTTTATTCTTTTTAATTGAAATATTTTTTTACTAATAAATGCATAAATCGTTAAAAACCTGCGTTCGACCGCTTTCTGTGTGATAAACGCCGCTAATTTTTATTATCTAGTTTCAAGAGCATTTTTGCGTATTAAACAACTTTTTCAAGCAAAGATGCTGTGGAGAAAATTTTAAGTAAGCCCATGATCTAAATTTTGAAAAAACAAAAACTCGAATATATTCGCTAACGATGTTTTGAATTATGACTTTCGGCACTCCCTAAAATTTTTGGCAAAGACGAATTTTTTTATTTTATTTTTTTAAAATTACCGTTACTTGAATCAAAAATCATTATTTAAAAAAAGAGTGCGTTCGACCTGAAAACACATGAAAAAGCAAAAAATGACAAATTTTTTTAGTTCCATTCACGTTTTTGTACGACATTCCGCGAGAACGCTTCAAAAAAGCGTGAAATATTTTTTAAACGAAAGAGGAAGCTTTTTTGTACATGAGTGTCAAATTTTATCAGCCAGTTCCACATATTTTGCAACTAAAACAAAATGAAAGTTGAAAACCAAAAAAAAGCCACTTTTTCTATCGCGAAAAGGGGCGTGGCTTTGCGGTCTCTACTTATACGCGCTGGAAAAATTTCGACGAGCTTTTCCTCGGTTGTCTGAGGGGTTTAGCAGAATTTTATTTTTGATTCCGGGTGCTCTTACCCAAGCCTATCAAACCCACACGGTCTCAATTCTCAACTCGATGTTCAGGGGAGACCATACCCTAGTGAGACCATTCCTGGTTAGAGAATCATATAGTCCGTTCAGATTTTGAATGTCAAGTAGAATGACGTCATTCGAAAACGCTCTGTGGATGGCTCGCTCTCGGATTGGTTCATCGCGCTATTAGGAGGCGGAGCTTCAGCGACCACTTGACATTCAAAATCTCAACAGACTATATCCGGTTAACGGCAGATCTTTATCGCTAGAAGGCGTGGCATTGTCTTGATCGCATTTCAGTGAATGTCGGAATACATTTTTCAAAAAATCTGTCAGCAGTCAGAAAGGAAATAAAATCGAAGTTCCGCATCATCACTTGAAACACATAATTAATAATTTAAAAAAATTTAAAAAAAATTTGAAATTTTTCTCTTTCTCTGAATTTTTGAGAATTGATAATCGATTATTTGCTGCGGATCTAAGGGAGCTGACCCCGTGTCTCTTGAATGAAGTTTTTCTTGAAAAAAATTTTTTTGGAGTTTTTAGAAGAGACTTTTTTTGAAAAAAATAAACGGTATTTCAAGTTGAACGTAACATGACTTTTACTTTCAATCAATGGGAATCATGATTTTTCAGAAACTTGCTGCAAGCGTCCCATAAACGCATACAAAGATGTAGACGCTATCTCAGTTGAATGTCGAACGGATGTCAGATGTACCGAAGCGCCGATTTACGCGTATAATGCTCGAAGTGGCGAAAAAGTCTATACGTTTTTGAATTCGGCGGTGAAGATCAGTACCACCGTTATAATCGGAAATACGACGTCGTTCTATTTGGATAATTTGGAAGAAATCGACCACAATGGAACGGGTACGTCCAATTGCATACTAAAAACTAACGTAGGATCTCTCTATTAGCTTTGGTTCTAACAGAAAGTCGCTGCAATTTGAGTGGTTCAGTGGTTTTTGGGTGTAGAAAGCTTTTGGTGTATTTCTCACAAAGGAACTGTTTTTACCCCTCGGTTGAACTTTTGACGAAACTTCACAGGGATGTAATTTAAGGAACGCTGATTCTAAATCAAGAATAAAATGTCTCGAACTTTGCCTCGCATACGAGGAAACGCAAGTCGAGCTAGTCGAGCTACTCAGCACGGATGGCGCACGGTGCATTGTGCTTTTTTGCACTCTGGTGCGAAACTGGAGTCTGCACCGTGCAATTTCGGTATTTTTTTGGTGTCGCACTAGTGCAGCACTCTAAAAGCACTGATTTGACGCCTTTGCACCAAAAAGTCACCGAAATCGCACGGTGCAGACCCCAATTACGCACCAGAGTGCAAAAAAGCAGAATGCACATCCCTGCCGAGAGGTTTTGGCTTGAAATTTATCAAATTTCTGCTTTCTTCCTTCTTTTGGCTGGAAAAAAGTTTTTTGGAGTATATCATGATATGCATAGCCGGATCATCCAAGGCGATTGTATAAAAATATAAAATATGGTTAAAAGCATTATTCTATAAAATTTCAGGCCTAATTTTCACATTTCCTACTAATGTTTTCTCAGTTCCTTTACTGGAAAGAGGTCTTATATTAGATTTCAGCAAAGTTTCATCAAAAGTTCAACTGGTCACCAAAAACATTTCCCTTGTAAGTTTATTTGGGGAAATTGCTATCTCTATATATAAAAAATTAGTGCGCGAATTTTTCCGCTTGACCTTTGTTGAGGGTTAGGGTTACATCTCATATTTCACTAGGCTGTTTTTTCACTCCAATTGTTTAAAATTTATCTTCTGTTTGTAGGACCAGCTTTAACATTGCTGAACGCCGAGTTGGGTCTTCATTCTTTCATTAAATTGAATATTATCAAAGTTCCTGACTACTCTGTTTTTTGCAACGGCGGTGCTGAACTAATCAGGATAGAAGGATATATTCCCCAAGTTGTACTCGACCGACTGTACAAAGTGGGAAATGACGTGGGTATTAATTTTTTTTTTCGAAGTCACGAGAAGAAAAGAAGTATATTTTACTTTGTTCAAAATTTCTGGGTGACCTTTTCAGGTTACTAAAAAGTTTGTCTTGGAGTGAAATGACTCAAAAAAACTTGCTTCGAGAATATCTTATTGCATTTAAAAAAAAAATGCACAAGCAGTTCTATAGCACTCAAAAAAATCACATCATGCTTACTAAACGTGGCTTCCATTATTTGTAATATCAATAAGGTAGGCTCACATACACGGCCTCGTGAGAAGCTTCGTGAGAACAACTGTAATACTGATGAAATTTCTGGAACTATTGAAAAAAAGTTCCTCAGGGCTGTGGCGGGGGCATATACTTTCCTCCCGCTATGTAACCGTGAGGAACTCGCATGCTGAGCAGGGTAACCCCGCCGTGCTAACACGGGGTCTCAGCGGGTGCCCCCGTATTAAACCCGTAAAAGCCCAGCTGATAGAACTTTTGGCAATTTTTAGCCCAACTGAGACCCCGCTTTAGCCCAGCTGGGTTACATATTTTTCTTACACCCGTTTTTCCCCCCGTTTTAGCCCAACTGAGACTAAAATAACCTCAGAAACACGGGTTTAATACGGGTACACCCGTTGAGACACCTGATCAGCATGCGAGAAATCGCTTAAAATGATCAGATTTTCCCCAATTTGCAACAAATTGAGAGAGAATCAGTCAAAAATGTTCATTTCAACCTAAACACTTATTTTAACCCGAACACCGTTGTGTTTGATTAGCAATTAACTTGCGAAAATGGAAATTTTCACTTAAATGGAAAATTCTTATTTACTGGCAAAATAGGCACACATTTCTGATGAAAAAACAAGTGGATGTAACTATTTTAAACAGAGGAATCAAAAGCAATTATATAAAAATCGAGGAAATACTTCAATGTTCTTTTAAAATCCAGTTTTTTTGCCAGTAATAAGTTATGAAAAATCACAAGTTATGAAAAGAAATGTATTGAAAGAAAAAATTCTAGAATATTTCGTTAAAATTTTGCGAACATGAATCATTTTTTCAAAGACTAACGCAAAAACATTTTTAAGAAAAATACGATTATTTTTTTCAGACTCTTAAGCCCTGCAAGTCATGGAAGGCGACTACTCAGGCGTCTGTTCTCGGCGCGACCCAAGGAGCAGGCGTCCCGAGCTCGAACTCTTCTGCGGTGATCTCCCGAATGTGCACCCAGAAGACAGACGCCGAAGAGGAAAAGTGCTCTAGCAACAGTGAGTTTGGACAAAATTGAGTAATAAAAACACTAGAAACACGATTTTAGTGAGAAAAATCGGAAGTTTCGGAATAAATAATTAATCGTCTTTGATTGGTTTGAAAGGCTGTGATTGTAGAAGTTTTACGGTGCATAAATAGAACCAAGCCTTTTTTTTTCATTTTTCACACGATATGAGTCCTTCGAATTTTCCACATAGCAGAGTTATTTGGACTTTAAACAGACACGCTCCTCTACATCGCCTGTGGAGTAATAGTGGTCCTTCTGATTGTGAGCGTCGTTTCGACGATCATCGCCCTCAAGTTCTACTTCTGGCGCCACAAAAAGGACCTCATTCTAGCTTCTTTGGGTATTGGTTTTTTGATAGAAAAGTTTAGTATCTTGCGTTTCCAGGCAAACCGCAAACCGCTACTCCATGACGTCATTCCTATAACTAACCTGGCCCTTTGCATACATAGCAATAATAAATTTTATCAAAAACGACGTGAAAACTTTTCGATTCGCATGAGAAACCGAAAGATAAGATATTTAATACATCTGAAAGTCACTTTTTAGTTGGAAAGTTTCTTTTTACTAATTTCCTCAAAAATTATCAAAGTGATTCCCTTTCTTCAATTTTTTACGTATAATGTCCTAAAAGCACGTCAGGGAGTATTGGTTTTTTTTAATTGCAAAATCAATAATTCCGCTAGCTTTTAGTTACCAGTAAAAGAACTTTACGTTTGAGTTTTCAAGCAAACATGAGGTGTCAATTTTTTTTTTCAAATATTGAATTATTTTGCACTTTGTGACGAACTTCTTCCAAGATTCGTTGATTTTTTCCCGAGATATAGGTTTTCGAAGCTTTTTACAGTAATCGTTTGAGCTATCGTATTTCGAAAACTAGCCGAATGAGGATATTCGGTTTGCGTTTAAAAGTCACAAAAATCATGTTTTCGATTAAGAGAAAAAATTTAACGAAACGTTTTAGTTTTCCAACTCAGCCTAAACCCGAATGGCGCAGAACAAGTCTGCGCCTAATGAAATTTATCTTCGGAACGTTTTTGAGTTTGTAGTTGGAGGCTCTTTTCCTAGAACATTTTCTGACCAATTTTCAGAAGTTTCCCAACTGTAGATTAAGGTTATATTTCTTGCTGACGCTCTAAAAAAAACATTTTTTGTTTTCAGGTTCTCACGCCGCACAAAAGATCGATAGAGCAATATACCAGCTTTGCGACGATGATTGTCGATTGCGTTAGTTTTTTGTTTTCAATTTACTTGATTAGTCAAAAGAATTCCAGTCAGTCGAATCTTTTCGGATACTTATGCTGACCCTGCCCTTGATGCACGTAAGTTTTATGAAAAGGTTTCAATTTGAGCTTTGTTTTCTGAGCTCAATTTTTTTTAATGAGCTTTCATACTATTTTCTTTATAATAAAAAAACTGAAAAAAATCTAGCAGAAAAATTTGTTCTCTTTCAGACGCCATTATGGCAAAAGAGAAAAAGTTAGCCGCCCGTCGATTTTGGAAAGTCCAGCAAGGCAAGAAGTTGGAGCCCAAAGATGACTTCGGGATTCCGCCTGTTCAAAAAACGTTTATCACGGGTGATGAAATCTACCGGAAGGCCAGAGAGAAAATAATGCCTGAAGACGTCCAGGAGGCGCTGCAGAAGTACGAAGAAGTCAGGATGAGCATCGTCAAAAGTGGAAAGTTCGATCCTCCGAAAAATGCGAACCCCATTTCGGACACTCGTCAGAGGAATCGTGAACTGATGGCTGCGATGAAATGTGCGAGTCGAAAGACAGTCAAGCCCGGCGCCCCCTTTTATAAGGACCCGTCGATGCTCTTAGACAACAGAAAGTTGATCAAGGGCAGTAATGAGGGAGAGCTGCCGAAAGGATCTGAAACGCAGTCCCAGGACCAAACAAAGCCGTCGGTGCCCGCCTCCAAGGACAAGGGTCCCGCTCCTCAGATCAACCGCGAACCTGCTGGCACTGAAGCTGTTCCCAAAAAGGCAGCCCCGGCAAAGAACCACTCCAAGAAGCCGCCCTCGCAGGAGACCACCTCGAAGGGATCCGTCGGAAAGTCAACGATTAAGGTCAGTTTAGATGAAAAAATTCGGTTTTCGGATGTTGAGAAAGCTTGGCTATCACTTGTGAAAGTCGGCAGAAAAAAACTTATTAGGGAACTTTTTTTTTAAATGTCTTGCAATAGATTTTGTTTTCAAGTTATGGTGCTTCAAAGTTCGCAAAATACGCAAATTATGACAAAAAGCGCTATCTTTTGCTTTGAGGCGTCCTAACTCGAAAACAGATCTATTGCGAGAAATTTTTTTTCTTGTTCTGCAATCTGGAGGATCTACTGGGAAAAAAAATTATTGACCCTTCTAGGGGAGAAATGTCACCAGTCATACTGGACACTACTGGGCATTTCAAACTCCGTTTAGTGGCCCTTCTGAAGAATGATACTGGCCATTAAATGGAGACGACCATAAGAAGGTACACACTCCATGTAGTAGGTACTTGGGAGAAACGTAAGAAATCTCGTAGTAGGCACTGACCGTCGCGCCAGGCTGACTTTTGAAAAAGTCATTTCTGCCTTCTGGGCGTTTATGGCATGGCAGGCATGGCGGCAAGTGGGCAGACATCCTCCACCTCTGAAACTAACCATTGAGCTCAAAAAGCGCAACAAACTTTTTCACGACTAGCGAAAGGACAAGGAATGACTTTAAGATTAAGGAAGGCGTTTTGCGTCTTATCTTTTGATCTTTAAGTGGTCCTTCTCGCAGTTAGAGGTACTAAACCCAAACTGTTTTGCGAAATGACCCCTTGGATGCCTAATTCATTTTTACTCTTCTTAGTGGACATTTTCGCTCTCTTTCCAGTGGGCCATAAGTACGCGTCTCCCTACAAGGAGCACTTCCCTTTTTTCTAGTAAAGTGAAAAACGTTCCCTAGTTAGGAGCTTCAGAGCTGAGAAAACTTTAGAAAAAAAAAAATTAAAAGACGCAGAATTGAGCGCCTTTTAAGTTGATTTCGGTCTCACTTTTCAGCTCACCAAAAACAAGGCTGCTGCTGAGGCTCCGTCCCAAGCTGCAGGTTTTACTGAAAAACCACTGCCGCCGCCAAGAGTCAAGGAGCCGGAGGTCGATCCCAAATACCCTGGACAGATCCCTAAGGAAGTTAAGCCCCGATCTCTCTGCAAACCTATGTGGATTGATACGACTTCTTGCGCGAAAATCGCAGAACAATTCTCCGGAGAACCCGACGAGCTGAGTTAGTAGCCTCGAAAAACGATTTAAAAAACGTTTGCCATTTTCAGTCCATACTTTCACAGCTCTCTCGATGATATCCGACAAGTTCGAAGAAGTTATCAAGGCTCACACAATAGGTAAATAACTATCTTGCGATTGAAGCTTTAGAACGCCGAGAACCAGTTGATTATCAACCGATCCATAATAATGTAATTCAGCCTCGAGCGTTATCCGAAAAATGATAGAAGGTTCCGTGTTAGCCACGCGCGGAGCCGTTTTCGAAACGACCATTCTCCGTGACCGCGAGAACGATCTGCGAGTTCCCTTGGTTCGGGGTTGCCCGTGCAAGGATGACGGCAATAAAGGGTACAACGTCCAGGGTGGGTAACTGATTTTTTTTTACTTTATCTTTTTTTCCAGATTTTTTGATGGAATTAAAGGCGTTGCGCCACGAAGGCGGGGAGGGGGACAAAACCCTCTACGCTCTTCTCGAAAGTGCCGAACGCCTCCGCGCCCAGAAGTTAGGCATGGCGGGAAAAAATTACACCTACTACTGGAATAGTTCGTTTTACCTTTATGCGAAGAAAAAGGATATGGAAAAAGAAAAAATTTCTAGTTGGACCAGTAGTGTCTGCTGACGGAACGCCCCAGATTTTCCTGCTATTTTGAGTGAAACTAAATATCGTGGGAAACGGATAATAAGGAGTCAATCAGTGAAAGAAAATGAAAATTTATTCATACCATTGAGTACCGAAGAAATCCTAACAATGTGACCTCTTCGCGAAGCGCGTTGCGGTCCATAACCTTGAAATATTGGACATTTTTCAAAAAAACAAGTTTCAGAGAAGACGACTACGGTGGAGGCGGTCCTTCCGGGAGAAACATACGAAAGAGCCATGATTCGCAAGGCAGGTGAGAACTTCCGGTTTTTAATTCACGGCATAAACGTGGAATTGTTTTTTTTTTTCATCAAAAAAATTGTCTGACAATTTCAAAAATTTTCAATTTTTTTCAGAAGAGATGGACAACCTTGCTAGAATCACTGAACTGTACAAGATTCGCAAGTTCCGCCTCCGAGCGAATCGTAAGGCAACTCGGAGCGTCAAAAAGGCGAAGATGTGCCACCAGCTTAAAAAAGTAGACACCAAGAAGCCGAAAGACGACAAGATGGTCGTCGATAATCAGCAGAAGAAGGAGTGGAGGAATGAGGCGAAGAAAAATGAGAAGGAGAAAGAAACGAATGAGCAGGAAAAAGAAGAGAATAAGAAGGAATAAGGAGCGGAGGAAAAGAAATAATTTTTCTTATTTGTCTTTTATTACTGGTTGCCGATACGGCCATTCTACTAATTGCCTTTACGGCTTATTACGTGCGTAAAATAAAATTTTCGCAGAAAATAGATTTGTTTGCTTCTGGGTTTTTGGGAATAACTTTGCAATTTCAAAATATAACTCCCTTATTGTAGACGTTGACTGCATACACGGAGCTCGCGATTCGAACTGTAAACATCTCGATTGACGAATGAATGGTTTTCTTATGTCGTGTTCAAAACTGATTTGACGCGCGTATATATATAGGACTTCTGAATGAGACTAACAAGGGAACGGTCACCGATCGCAGTAGGACCTCTCAATAAGACCAAGTTTTCTAGATGTAGTTTTTTACGCTGATTACAAATCTGGTCTCAAAAAATGTCGCGGAGGTCTGTGAAAAAAGTTAGAGGCTCTCAAAGAAGAAAGATTGATGTCTCCGATTGAGCTTATTTTTCGAGGTTAATAGATCTCGCCCCTCTGGTCACAAAAAACCATTCATTTTTCATTTCATTTCAAGTGTTTATTCGCCATTCCGCAATCAGCACGACAAATACAAAAAAAAATAAAACATCAAGACAATCAAATAAATCTAACAGCTGATCTGTGGAAACGGCTGGAGGAAAAAGATTGTCTGAGTAGACGGTGCTAACCCCCATTTGGTATTTAAGTTTGTTCTTTGTATTTTTAATAAGTTAGAATTTTTCTAGATTTTAGTAGGATCTAATGATTTCAAAAACGATGTGTTTGATTCGAACCATGAGGTGAGCATAATCTGAAACTTGCCGATTTCGTATTCAAAGATAGTTTCTCTCTCCAGTTGGTTCCAAATGGGTATGACTCTATGATTTAGGAAGCGTTGTTTGATCAATTCATTCATTGGTTGAACAAGTCTCATTCCATTTCCTCTGAGTTGATTATTTCTACTCGAATTCATCATTAATTTAACAGGCGACTCACTCCAAAAATATCCATGAATGTATTTGTGAACGCAACAAACGTCTTTAAAAAGTCTTCTAGTCCATAACGTCGATAGTTTCAGTTTGGCTAATCTACTGCGATAATCCAATTTCGGATATAATCTTTTGGTAAATTTTCTCTGGACTGATTCTAGTTGATTTATATCATTCAAATTTAGCGGGCACATTAGTTCGGATCCGTACTCAATGATAGGCAAGATTTTTGGCTTTATAGCATTTTTAGAAAGTTATTTTTGAGAGAAATGAAAACAGCGAAATAAATTATTTATTATTTTTCATACATTTTTTTGTACTACTATACTCACATGGTGCCCCATTTTTCAGATTACTCGTGAAGAAGAATCCCAGGTCTCTGACATTTTTGTTTAGTGCTAAGAGTTTGATCGTTAATTTTGTATGTACTGGGTTCTGTCTTTTTTCCAAACTGAACTAACATGCACTTCTCAGGAGATATTGATAGTTGACGGCCCTCTAACCATTGGTATACATTTTTTAAGTCTTCTTGAAGTTTGGCTTTATGGTTTGTTACATTACTAGATAAATACAGTTTACAATCATCTGCGAACATGCTCAAGTTACAGTATTTAATAACTTCTGACAAGTCATTGATATATACTAAAAACATAAGAGGTCCTAATGAGCTACCTTGCGGTACACCTGACGATATTTTTATCTCATTCGAAATACTGTTACTGACTTTAACTTTTTGTGATCTATCTTTCAAAAACTCTTCGAACCAGTTGAGTATTACTCCTTTACATCCGTAGGATTTCAAGACTTCAATCAATCTTCTATGACAAACCGTGTCAAAAGCTTTTTTAATATCTAAATATATGACTTCAACGTAATGATTTCGAGTTTCCTCAAACAGATATTTTTTTGAAGTGGCAACAATTGGGAGATAGTACTGCGATGATTTAAAAAAATCCATGCTGGCTATCAGAGATGAGCGAAGATTGCCACATGTGGTTTCTCAAAGCTCTCACCATTAAAAGATTCTAAAACTCTACACGGGACTGATGTCAAACTAACTGGTCTATAATTACCTACGTCGTTTGGATCTCCTTTTTTTGTATATAGGTACTACGATTGATTTTTTTCCAAAAAAACTAGGCAACTTGCCCGAATCTAAACTTTTTCCTGTATATCAGTGATAAAGGGAGAGCTATCGATATAGCTAGACCTCTGCAAATTGAACTAGGTAAACCATCAGGACCTGCTGAATTTACGTTTTTTTAATTCTTCTAAGGCACTCGTACACCACATGAGGTGCAACATCAACGTCCATTAGATTTCTGCTTGTTTTAGTAGCTATGTTGAAAGGCAAATTATTATCATCTGTGAATACCGTCGAAAAGAATTTATTGAAATGATTGGATTTCTCCATGCTATCTTTAATAACTTCATTTTCTACAATTAGGTCTGGTATTTCATTAGGACTTGTTGATTTTTTGCGAACGTATTGCCAGAAAGCTTTCGTGGATTTATTTTCTCCTAGTGCCAGATTTTCTAAGTGAATCGAATGAGATTTCAGAGCTTGGGTGTACTTTTTGTACGAGAGTGAATATCGCACTTTATTTTCTTCTGAGTTCTGTTTACGGTATCGAACATAGTCCCTCTCACACTTTCGTTTAAGTCTCAAAATCCACTGAGGTTTCTTTTCGGTATGAAAGACTTTTTTAGGGACATATTTTGTTATAGATTTTTGGATTATTTTTATGAAGATATCATACATGGCCTCAACCGTTGAGCAAGTGCTGAAATTAAATTTTTCTCAAAAAAATTTTGAAGCGCAGATATGATCTTTCAAAGCCCCGCCGAACACAAAAGAATGCGCGCGCGGGGTGGTATTGCGATCCGACGGTTGTTGAGAGTTGATTATCATGAGGTGATAGTAAACTCTTGAAACTTTGAAACTTTGAAACTTTATTCAGTCTTCAGAGAAGGTACTCTGCTGAATCATGGAATAATTGAAGAGTTGTTCGTCAGTTTGCGAAACTGTCGTTGATCAAACGTAGACGGCGCGTAGAGCATCTCGTCTTTCTTGTGATAGCAGTAGACGACTTTCGAGCGTTTCCGACGATCACTGCTTCTCCATGTAGGAACGGTACGGCGCCCAGCTTGTCCAGGGCTGACGGGCGTCGGATTAAATCTCAGACGAGAGCGGAAATGAAGACCGACCACTCGGGTGGTAGAAATGAGATTTAAAAAAATTTAAAAAAATTTTTGAGTTATTGTTAAAAAAACGCTTAACAAAAAAATTCCTTTTTTTCGTATGTGTAAAAGCTTTTAAAAAAATCTCAGAAATAATTTATTATTTTTTTCTCAAGCTCCCTCACTTTATTCGCTCTCCAGAACTCCCAACCTAAGTAGGTCCGATTTCGAACCAAATGATTCGAAGCGTTCATGCTCATTTTTGAAAATCAGAATATTCTCAATTTCTTATATCAGATTTTGAAACTCTTTCCGAACATTGGTAAATAATATACAAATACTACGAAACGATCACATTGCTGTCCCACTTTGCGTCCATTACTGAAGTTATTATAATTTCCACGTGTTCGAAGATCACGTGGCGATACAAAAACAGCAGTTTCTGCTGAGAAGTGTATCTCATTCCCAAAAACTTCATGCGCCCTCGCCGATCGGTTCTCCACTGGAGAGCCAGCTGTTTTCCAAACAGCCCGTATCAGTTTTGAAGTCGTCAAAGTCCCGTACTTGGGCCAGAAGCTATGCTTCTGTGGATCCTTGTGATCCCGCTATACTAAACCGCTTCAAGCAGCGTCGTAGCTTGGTCAGAGGTCTTTCAAGTAAGACCTCCATCGTAGTACTACTACAAGGCATAAAGCCATCCGAGTTAATCGGAATCTGGTGAGGCTAACGCCAAATCACCAGCTTGCTCCAAGCAGAGTTATGCTTGGGGGAGGTACGAAGCAATACCTCGATCGTAGTACTACTACGTGGCATAAAGCCATCCGAATTAATCGGAATCTGGTGAGGCTAACGCCAAATCACCAGCTTGCTCCAAGCAGAGTTATGCTTGGGAGAGGTACGAAGCAAGACCTCTATCGTAGTACTACTACTACGCGGCATAAAACCATCCGAATTGATCGGAATCTGGTGAGGCTAACGCCAAATCACCAGCTTACTTAAATCATAGTTATGCTAGGTGGGAGGTATGAAGTAATACCTCAATTGTAGTAGTTGCTACAAAGGGTCTAGTAACCTGAATAAAATCCCCATAAAGACAAGGGATAAAGCACTAGATCGCTCCAAGCATTGGTCGCTTTCTTAGACTCTCACTTCTCGAACTCTACGGGCATGCTGCCACAAGAGTAGAATCAGGCTCTGAGGAAGTTAAGACCTTGTATATATCAAGTTAGATATATACATATATGACGGCATGAACAAGCCATCTTCAAGATCAACCCATCGAAGAGAAAAATAGTTCAAAACTCCAGAGCTTCAATTATAGCTAGGAGGAAGGAGCACCCGAAAAGGGGGGCTCTGTCAGACATCGAGTCAAGAAGACTTGATCTGTGTTGAGTTGAGGAGCGACCAAATAAGGTGTTCCTTAGACAATGGTAGAGAAAATCACCTCACTGTCAAAGTTAACCAGATCGAGAGTTGCCCTAGAGGATCTCAGTTTATTAGAACTTACAGGACGGGTTTGTCCGGCTAAGATCCAAAAGTCGAAATCTAAATATATCATACTGACACCAAAATCAGTAATCACTCGACTAAGGGTGAAATCGCCACCTCAAGCATGTCTCTCTCTCGCAAGACGGCACTCAATGTTATGAGTGCTCGAAGAACCTTCCAACGAAGGTCGGTCCCGAGCACAGCGTGAAAGTTTAAAAGGGATCAGAGCGGGATAACGAGACCCAAAGATTTTGAACGCTCCGAAATTCTTCCAGCGTATCAAATCAAATCCTCCGCGGCACAAAAATGCCCAGAAGGACGACATCAGCTCACGGCTGGAAAGTTTGTCATCACAAAGTGAGACAAGACCTCGTACTCCAAAACTGGAAATTGCTTCGACACACTTTGAAAAGCATTCCAATCAAAAGCCCGATAGCCGGAGTGATAGCGCATGCTAACAGTCTGGAAAGGGAAAAGAGTTTCAAGGTAAAAATTATGACGATCGCTTCTTCCGTGCAAAAACGTTGCGTTACGGATGACGACCAGTTTGATTCTATATCTGAATTAAAAACGTCATAATGTCAGATTCTACCGCAAGGCTGATCTGATATAAGCCGATCGAGAGCACGCAACAGTGCCAAGTCCAGCTGAGACTTTCCATCATATGGTAGGATCCAACAGGAAATATCGATGGAAAAGGGCCTAATAGGAATTAGTCGAGAAATCGACGGAGCCTATCAGGGCCAAACGGGGACAGTCTGCGAACTAAAGTGAGACGTCCTCGTGGATCCGAAGCTGCAGTGATTTGGTAGCTGACATTCCGAACCTTCGCTCTAAGCGATAAAAAAGATTTGGAACGTCCGAAACGGATCGCAATCAAGAGGAACGGCCATATCTAGTCATCCAAAACGAACAAAATGTTCGGGGTTCGACCGGAGGCGTTCAAGACGCTTAGGTGGGAGCGGAAGGCAATAAGCCTACGTGAGTCGTCTACCGCGACGGCGATTCACCGGAGTTTCTCTTGAGTGCTTTGAAAACTCAGAGGTTTCATCGCAAGAAACAGTAATCGACAGTCCAGAGATTCCTGGACGGCGCTGTGTGCTACAGTCATAGCAGGATTACTGGGCGAAACCTTATAAATGAGCGTATTCGATTGCTTAAATAGGCGAATAAGTATAATCGAAACCCTGGAGAGCAGCTTCCCAAAACTCTATCGAGCAAAAAGGATGCCCTAGCTACCAATCCTCCAGAAGTACTATCAGCAAACACTCTTATGACCGTCAACTGAAGGCTTCGGCTAAGAGCCCATGAAAAGAATTCAGTGATGCGTAATCATAGAGAACTTCTGAGAAGGGAGAAGCCTGATAGATAATCCACGACAGGAAAAGGAAATTTCCAGAAGAATCCTTGCAAAGAGGCGAAGAGGTATCGTGGTATGCGACCTCAGCGGAAGTTACGTCACAAAGTCTTCCAGAAAGAGGTCACTAGACTTGTCCAAGTGCTTATTGAAATCAATCAGATGGTACATTCGGAAAGGTTCAAAGACCGAATAAGAGGACCAGGGAATTGTTCCACTGGCGTCTCCATTGTGATCATAGATTTCCAATAATATGTACGCAAGTCAGTTCAATGAATCAGAGATCAAGAAATCCCAGAGCGGGTAGGAACTCAAAGGAGGCCTCCAGTGGGATAGTATTGCATCATATATGATCTCTGGAAAGAGCTTAGCCGGTAAATCGAGTGGTTCAACCATCAGAAAATACCGCAAAGCAGACCAATGAGGAAACGGAGAGCAAGCATAACAAGGGAAGAACCTCAAACGCTGGTCGCTACGACCTCTCGGTTCCACCAGATTCATTGGACGCCACGGATCGCACAGGAAACGCAAAGAAAGGGACTAGAAAATGGACGAATCTTCGGATGAACGGTTCATAACGGTCCTGGCGAAATATCATTCCTGGAGAGGCGAACCTTGGCAGATTCGTAGATCCTGACGGATCCAAGAGTGTAGATTATGCACCAAGTGAGAATCCCAAGTTCGAGCAAATCTGTGTAGAGAAAGCGAGAATCTGTTTGGAACTAAAAATACGCCCTTCTATGAAGCGTCGTTATTTCCAATAAGCCTAATGAGCTATTGGATTCAAGATTCCAGTTTAGATTTTTTTTTTTCTCAGTATGGAACAGTGCAGTAGTTCCATTGCTTACTAGCAGGATTGATTCGAACAAGTTTTGAATTCAGAGGTGCTCGAAGAGAAGCAAAGACAAACCTCTCCAATTGCTAGAATAACGGTGTCGAATACTAAGAATTCGTCTGAACAAATAACTAACAGGTCTCGGACGATAGCAATCGCTAGAGTGAGACCAGGGCAAGCTATGCTCTCAGTTATCAGACTGAACGGGATTCTTAGCTATTAGAACGGTGAAAAACTGGCCACGGACCCAGATAGGCAGAGCAACCCTCGAATCGGTTGGCGATCCGTAGAGGAGCACTGAAAGAAGTCCTGAGAAGCAGTTCTCTCTAAACTAAGCGAAATTGTGTCAAAATACACATCGCGAAATCCTGAAACAGGACCGTTAAGGCCTCAGGAGACCCATCAAAGAGAGACTATCATCGTGCTCACACCGAGCTAGTTCAGGAGGCACACACAACAAAGAAGTTGAAGGTTGAGGTTTAGAGGCTGAGCTATCAGTCGAAGGCGTCGCCAGATGGCCCCTTCGCGAGGAGAGCTTCAGATAACGCTCAAACGCCTTGCAAGCAGGAAAGTTCCAAATTCCGAGGCTTTGAACTAGCAATGTGATCGTTTCGTAGTATTTGTATATAATTTTATATTTTGCTAGACAACGCAGTTGTTGACGATCAGATTTTCCACCCTAGGTATCTTCACAAGAGAAGATACATTTTCCCACCCGTGGGGAATTTGGTGAGGTAATCAAAGCGTACAACAGGCGCAGAAGGTCAGTGAAAAATACGGGCATACCCGCATGGCCATCGTTACTGTTAACAGCAGCTCAGCTGAACCGCTACAAATTGGCAAAATGGTTGTCTGAGGTGAAGCGAAGCACAAATGTGAAGCCGCAACGCTCAGGTCATGCCGCACACAAGAGCTGCGTCATTTCCAAAACAACAAGTGTGAATTAACTTCGAACATGGTTCGGCCTCGGACGCATGAAGTTTTTGGGAATGAGATACACTTCTCAGCACAAACTGCTGTTTGTGTATCGCCACGTGATCTTCGAACACGTGGGAACTTTAAAAACTTCAGTAATGGACGCAAAGTGGGACAGCAATGTGACCGTTTCTTCAACCGCCCTACGAACTTCCTACCGCGCATTGGAGCGTGCTCTCATCGGCACCACTCGCTTCGTGCAGTGGAAAAAGAACAGAGGAGCACAGACCTCCGTCAACAACAAATCCGGGATCCGCAGACAAGACGACCGCTGGCCCACGAGATTAACACACTGGATTCCGAGAAACATCAAGCGCCCACTCGGGCGCCCACCGACCAGATGGACGGACTACTTCCACAAGAACATCAGTCAGCCAGGCCGCCACTGGATGACCGTCGCGCAAGACCGAGCCGCCTGGAGAACGTGTGGTCCACGCTGAGAACATCAGCGAAGATGGACCATCAAAGTATCAAAGTAAAGTAAGTACCAACGGGACCACATTCTTTCCAAACTCCAGCTGTCCCGCCGGGACTTATTGGACAACGATTGTGGACCGTAACCCGCGCCGACGACTAACTCTTCGATTATACCATGATTCAGCATAGATTTTTTCTACATCTTACTCTGAAGACTGAATAAATTGTAATTGTAATTGTAATTGAGAGATAGCGCGCCCGGTGATGAATCTCTTATCAATTTACGTGAAGCCGTAAAACCGGAAGCTTAGTACATGACCATCATCGAAATGAGCTCAAATCATGAAAAAATTGACGATGGCGTAAGATTAAAACGATGATAGGAATGAGAGTATATAAACGAAATGGTCCGCTGGTCAAGCCATTCAAAAACAACTCCAGTGAGCTACACCTCAACAAGCAAGCACCAAAAACATGTTTATAGTGAGTTTGCATCCCGGCGGAGCCTGCGGGGGCTTCTGGCTCCTCGTGTGGACACATAAGCGGCGCTGGGGCTTCTCGAGTGATCACTTGGTGCCTGGAGGAACCTTGCTGGGCTCCGCATATGGTAGTGCGATCTAGTTGATAGTTCATTAAGAGTAGCCCAAAATATTTTTCATTTAACAATACTCAAAAGCTGAAAAACGCGTCTCTTTTTTTAAACTGTTGTTTGAGCCTGAAGCTTTCGGTTAATGGTACTTGAGTATTTTGAAACTCAAAATGAAGCTTCAACCTTCTACTTTTGTATGAGCTAGTTGATAATTGTTGCCAATTTTCCGTAGCCTAGAATTTTTCCCCATTTCAATATTTTTGAAGTAAGTCTCTATGAAGCTATAACTTAAAATTAAGGTCAAATTTGGAACTTCGAGACGTATTCGTTGATTTTTTTTATGGGACGCTGAACTGAACACACTAAGTTCCATAGTTCAATTTTTTTAATTTTTTTTTAAAAAGATGTGCGGTTTGTTCCCTTTGAAAGTTTTGGATTATTTCAAACAATTGCCCTCAGAAACCTAAATGTGCAAAAAACAAACTTTAAAATGTTGGAGTTCCTTTTCTTTCAAATCTAGACTGTGAAAAGACTCATGATCTCGACTAATCATTATTTGAATGAAAGTTCGTTTCTTCAATGAAATTCTTTCTGAGAAATTAGATAAAATTTAAAATTTAAAACTCAAAATTGTTGGAAAATTGATCAGACTAGCATTTCCAAGAATTACAAGTTTACGAGGGGGTCAGCAACCAATGATTCTAGCTTGTCGCAGAGAAGTTTCAAGGATTTCCTGAGATAATCACCAAAAATTAGTTTCTACTCATGCTGAAATTTCTCTACTTTTTTTCGATCCTTAAGATAAAGGAAATATTTTCAGATTAAATCTATGACGGCAAAACGACCTCCGCGTCCCATTCCTACTGCTTCAATAAGCAAGGCGGAGGAAAATGGTGATTTGTTTTTCCAAAAAAAAACCGCGAAAACTGCAAAAAAGTAGAAATTTAGTTTTGCGATTTTCCTAAATCTCGAAAAAGACTTCAAGACTTATTTTTTACTCCAAGATATGTTCTTTTTTTAGAGTCTACTAAGATGATCAAGATGATCTCTCCAACCATTTCGAAAGATCAATATTTTTGATTATTTGATTCATATTGATCAAAGTTTGACACATCATATCAAAAGGTCTCTCATTATAAATGACATGTTGACCAGTCAAAACCATAAGTCACATTGTTTAGACATTTTAACTTTTGATCGAGAAAAATGTTGAAATTTCATGTTTTAGATGTCATGTTGTGAATCAAAAGCATAATCGAAAGACCATTTTTGCAGATTCTCATTAGAATCTTGCCATAAAATTATATCACATCAGAAAAAAAGTGGAACCTGGCGAACTAATGGCGAGTGTCAGGCCTTGTCCATTTTTCAGTAGAAAGGAGTGAACCTATTTCATAGCACGTCCCAACTACTAGTTTTCAAAAGTTTTTAGTTTTCGAGGAAATATGGAAAATCGAAAAAGTAATGACAGAAATATCAAAAAATCCGTAAAAATTATTTTTTTAATATCGAAAAGTCGATAAAAATTAAAATAGTATAAAGGTGCCGAAGATGGTAACAAGGCCCAAACAATATATCGCGAAAAAAAGGGGCGGGGCTTCTCTAAACATAATTTGATTTATTTCAGTAACGGTGCATGAGATCCTCGTTCCCATAAGAAAGGAGGCAAAACGAGAAGAAGTCAAAGTCTTGTCGTCGGCAGACCTTGCTCGCAAACTGCCATTCTGCCATGGGTTTGATATTTAATTTCCGAAAAGGCCCAAAAATGATCAATTTCAGGTTCATGCCGGCTTTCGAAGCGATGCAATTGCTCATTCGCGCGGGAGATTTTCTCATCCGCCTTCGCGAGGGTAATTTGGTGGAAACCTTTGGAATCATGTTCCGAAAAATGACATTTTTCAGTTGATAACAAGATTCGAATTGTCTTGAGCGTCGGCCTAACGTCCAAGCAATCTTATAAACTGAGAGAGATGACAGAACCAGAAGAAGAAGGACCAAAAAGATGGAAGGTGACTGAGAAAGCGGATCAAGATGAAAACGACGACAACGACGCGGCCACAGACCTGGGTGAGACGGGGGATGGCGAGTAAACCTGGGAAATATTTATTTTTGGGAAAAACTGATCCCTTTTATGTAAATCTACAACTTTAGTGCTAAAAGGACGCAATGGCTCTATTTAGTTCTAAATACAGCTTAATTTCGTTTGAAAGCAGGGTGGCATTCAGAAAGGATCAGTGTCTCTTCCATATATGTTGATCAAATCAAACTTGCTCAAAATACCAAATTCTAATTCGAATTAAATTTCGGAGAAAAGTCGGCCGAAAAAAGTTTGACTATACTTGCCGCAGTTGGAATGACTACATGCCTTGGGCATTTTGAAAGCAACCCCAATTTAAAGATTAACGATATAAATATAAGATTACAATCCCTATAAACCCCAACTATAAGCCTTCCTGTTCGCATTCGGAATGTCCCAACGCCTCAAAAACCCAAGAAAAAAAGTCTTTAAAATTCGAAAAAAGACGACTCCAGCGGCAATCTGATTATTTTCAGAGAATAGGCAAGGCACGGGCTCTTGTTCCGAAACTCGAGCTGTACCATTTTCCGAGACGATAGCAGTGAATATCCGGCATATGCAGTTGATTGACGATGAAACCGGTTGCTCTATCGACGGAGAGACGTTTTTCTCGAATTTAAACGATCTATTAGCATACTACATTTTTGTGGCAACAGAAGTCAGTCAATTAAAACTTTAGAAAAAATAGTGAGGGAAAGCGACCGTGGAAAAGTTCATTTTAGGTGCCAAAAAGCTGAAAATTTGGAAAAATGCTTCTTCATGCTCTCACAAACTTCGAAAAGTGAACACAAAGCGGCAAAAATCTTAAGAACTGAGAAAAAACATCCGCCGAACCCTGATCTTTTGCGCTCCAGGACTAAAATTTCGATAAGATTTTTACGTTTCATTTTCATCACTGAAATCTATAAAATCAGCCGCAGAGCGCAAATTTTCCGTGGGACGGAAAGCACAGCTGTAAAATTTTGCGCTCTATAGAGATAAATATGAGATTCACATGATTTTAAGTTCAATTCATCCTCAAGAGTTATGAAAATTAGGCAAAGAGCGTAAATATTCAGATTGTCGCGGCTATCCAATCCAAAACTTGATCTTTTTCAGGATTCGCGAGATTTCAATCTTAGCAACGGAATAAACCGACAGTACGGCACGTTCCGCTCGAGCGAGATCAAAATCGTCAAAATCGTGAGGATTTTTTCTGCGAAGAGTTTTTTCGGTTTGAAAGAACGGAAAATTTTTTTTTTGATTTGCTTCAAATTTTCCAAAAACAGAACTTTGAGCTAAAGTATCCAATTTTTTGTACAGATGGATATTAACGTTCTTTAATTTTGCAGCTCGGGAACGGAGCGTTTGGAGAGGTTTCCTTAGCAGAGATAACTCACCCAGCCTTTAAACAAGACAAGGCCGCCGTTAAGACGGTAGGTCTTCAGATATCGAATTTATTCAGTGGTATAGAAAAGATTGAAAAAGAAAAATAATGGCCTAAAGCTGAAATTTGAAATTTCGCTCTCAAGTGATCACTGGAGAAATGAAAGTTACAGATGCTTTTTCAAGTTACTTAGGTCCGAGTCCTGTCAAAAATGCAGTTTGCAATAAAAATTATTTTGGGGACAAAAAGGGACTCAAGTTATGGTTTTTTTTAGGTTAAGAAAGGTTACCCTCAGCAGCTATGTTTGGAAGAGAAGTTCCTGACAGAAGGAAGGATTTCAATCCCCCTCGACCATGCCAATGTTGTGCGAACATTAGGATGGTGCTACGACAATAAACCCCTTCAGCTTTTGATGGAGTTATGTCCCGGTGAGGCTTCCAAAAAACATTTCTTGCAATGAAAAGACTCTGTGAAAAGGATCAGTTAACTTTGAAGAAATTTTGGAAAACAATGTCAAACGAAAAATACTAATTTGGGGATCGCCGGAATTAATTAGAAGAGGGCATAATTTTTCGAAACTGCCCAACATTCGAAATTCTGACGCCGGTCTTTCTCCGTCTAAAGTTTTGGTAGAAGTCTTCGAGATCACAGACCTTTGAGATTTGATTTAACGTCATTTTTTGAAGGGGGCGCTCTGAGTACATACCTCATGACCAAGTCTGATAAAGCTTCGAATCTAGCCTTAACTAGGCTCTGTCTTGATGCCGCTAGAGGCCTCGATTACTTACACGAGGTTGGCGTGTTGCACAGAGATGTTGCAGCACGCAATTGCCTATTGGACGCGAAGGGAACGGTATTCTCAGGGAACCTGCAGAAATTTCACCAACGTTTTCAGTTGAAAGTGGCCGACTTTGGCTTGTCGGTCAAAGCGTACTATTACGAGATGACCACATCGGAGAATCTACCAACCCGGTACCTGTCACCTGAATGCCTTACCTATTTCGCATTCAATGCCGAAACCGACATCTACGCCTACGGGGTTTTCTTTTTGCTCATGCCTGACTAGATTGAAAACTTTTTACAGCATCTCGTGTGCGAAATGTTTAATAAGAACCAAACGCCGTATACTGGAATGACTGGACCACAGGCCCGCAAAAAGGTCAATTTTTTTTTGTTTTTAACAGAAAAAAAGTCCGTTTTTTGCAGATTCTCGCCGGAAACGTCCTAAACGTGCACAAAAGAGCGCCTGAGGCCCTGCGCGCATACGTTGGAGATCGAGTTTTTGCCTACCACCCAATCTACAGGCCCCCCATGCATCAGGTACACCTTTTTTTTTCAGAACGCATTTTCCGACGAAAAGTAGCCTTAAAATTTTTGATTTTCAAAAAATGGCCTTGCGTTATATAACTCATAACTTTAAAAAAATCGCGGCTTTTTTTTTCTCGACACTTGAAAAAATCCAAAAACTTGGAAAGAATTTTTAGATTGTCAAATTTTTGGAAGAACTCGTCAGCTGCTTGCAGAAGGTTGGACATTCAAATTTTTTGCAAAAATGATTTTTTTTTTCTAGTAAATAGCCCTAGGGAAATTCAAAAATTCTTTTACAGGACAATCCGGCGGAAAACGGAAGAGTTGAGAGTACGATGGAAACTGGAAATGACGAAACCATGCAGCCAAGCAATGTAACAGAGGTGAACTTTTGGTTCAATCTTTGTCTTGTCCATTGAAGGCCAATGGTCACACTGGAAATGAATCCAAGCACCCCGAATCCTTTGAACGAACGCCCGACTGGAATCGGCTTGCGCATGCAGACCTCAAGGAGCGTTGAGCCATTCCCAGTGCGACCATGTTGTTTCTAGTAGTATAGAAATGGGGAAGGAAAATTGAAAATTAGTCAAGTCTATCAGGACAAGCCGAAAAAATCGACTTTTTTGAGCCAACTTCTTTTACAGGACGTCTTTGAGCTGGTCGAGCCCAGCTCAGCCGCCCAGTCGCCACCTATCGTCGTCGCAGAATAAAGCCACAACATTGAGAAACCCAACTGGTTATTCACTACTCGCTTTATTTCAATAAAAATCAAAAATATGTTTGTGTTCGAATTTCAAATGGTTTCTAAATATTTTAAGCGGATTGAATTGAAACCTTGGTGAGCTCTTGGGAACAAGGGAGATTCCATCTGCTGAACCTATAGTCTTTTGAGAAAAAGCTCCTCGAAGAAGTTCAGGAATAGTGCTGCTGGCCAGGGTTGCACGGTCGGCTTTCCAAACGAAAGATGGGAGGAGAAAAACTGCGGAACACCAGAAAAAAAAAGTGCTGGCGCGGAATATGATACACTTCGGATTAAACTACTTTCCAGCTTACCAAGAGCCCTAACCCTAAATCACAAGGCCAGGTTGATAGGAAGATGCCAAATCTATGAGTCAAGCCCAAATATGAATGAAAATAACTTATGGTGGTCCTGTTTCTTTCCCCACTCATCAAAAATTTAAAAAAATTTTGTCACAGGTGTGGTTTAATTTATCCACCTAGCGGTCTTTTTTTCTCCACTGCAACATCGCCATACCATTCCGATGTTGCAAAAATGAAGATATTGATCGATCCAAATGAAAAAATTGTCGCTGAAAGCATTTTTCAGCTTTAGAAGGGATATTTCGTCAAAACCGAGCAGTTATTTCGAAATTAAAAAACCAAAAATTCCATCGCATTTTGTCGTCGCAATGAAAAATATTTACCTTAAATCAGAGATGAACAGATAAAGATACAAGTGAAATAAACATGAAAAATCACTTGAAGCATTTGAGCAACAAGAAATTCAAACGCTCGCGCGCAAAACTGTCAACCGTATTTCTAAATGAAGCAATCTTTTAAAAAAAAACCCAATCCGCGATTTCAAAATTTTTACTTTTTCTTCTACTACGCAGAACGCCGTGCGCTCTGTCCCCCGTGTTATAGCTGATTCACGGCTGGCTTGAGCCATCGGAGAAAGGGTCCTGACACGATAATGCGCGAGACAGCGCCTGGCTCGTGGAGAGCGCAGACAGGACACGCCCCCTGAGCGTCCCAAGCAATTTCTCGACAAATTTAATTTTGCCAAACAAAAATGGGGAAAATTTTGATAAAACCATCAAAATTGAAGAGGATCTCCTCATAACTCATGCGCCTTGTCTTATCAACGATAAAAGTGTTGAGAATGTACTGAATAAGAGAGTCAGTTAAAAAGAGGAAAGATTCTTGAAAATTCGAGTAAAAGTTTTTCGGAATTAAGTTTCCGATCCGATTCTTCAAAAGAATTTTCATAACTTACATTTTTGAAGTTTCAAATAACTTCCCACAGATTCACGTCTAGCTTTCAAGACAAAGGGGCGTGGCTTTTGTGGGTTTCTTTTTGTCGTGTCAGGACCCTTTTTTGATGGCCGGCCGTGAATCGGCTAAAGATTCTTTAAACACACCCTTATCAATTGAGCAATGTCGATCCCGCGACTATGGACCATCAGATTTACTTTAGCCGTCCTGGCGTTTGCTGGTATCAGCATCAGCCAACGGACCAACTGCACCATTTTATGTCTGGAAAAACTTCGCTCACTGTACTTTTAACGAAAATCTGATAGGAAGTCAGCCTAAAACTCACAGAAATGAAAAAAAAAACAAGAAAGCGATGGCTGGAAAAAACCTGTTCAATTTTTGAGCGCCTACAGAAATATGGATAAAAAAAACGAGAAAATATCTACTTGACGGTTCTAAAGCGTTTACTCAATTAATCAAATCAGTCATTTCTTCAATCTGCCACAATTTCGATTACTCAGTTTATTTCTTAGAAAAGGACCTAAAACGACTTGAGAAACAAAATACAGAAATTGGACATTTTTCTAGTGACAAAATTCAAAGTTGTAAAATTCAGCCAAAACATTAAACTCGATACTATATGAAAAAATACCTCTCTTATCAAGTTTTCAAGCAAGATTTTTGAACAGATTCTTAAAAATTCAATAAAAAAAATCACCTGGAGATCTGCCCAATCCCTCTGCGTAATGGCTCCATACAGTTTGAGTTGAAACGTTCCCCTTTCTAAGTTTTCTGATACGCTCATGGCAATGCGCTGAAAAGAAATCTTAGATTGTTCCTATAAAAATGTAATGCCGTGTTCAAAGTAATTTCCGCGAAATGCGAAATGGTCTCTGACCCTCCAAAATTCAGTTATCTTTCTCTTTCTCTGATGGCTATTTTGAATTTCGCGGAATCACTTTGAACACGGCATAAGAAGTAGGATTGAGAATTTCTAACAAATTCAAAAAACGGAGAAAAAGTCGAGTTTGAAATCTTTGTTTATTGAGGCAAGTGACGCAAAATCCTGTTAATATCGATAGTCATATTTTACTTCGGAGTGAAACAAGTTCAGGCTTTGAAGAAGGAAAAAAAAAGCAAATGACTGAAAGGAACAAATCCGGGAAGCAGTTGCAAGGAGTTGCAAGATGGAAAAATGATATTGGTGAGCCATTAAAAGCCATGCGCAAAATGAGAAAATTGAAAAAAAAAGAGGAATTGAGGAAATTACATCGATTATCAGCCGATATCGGCTAGATCCCATCCCCAGACTTTTGCGCGCGAAAAAGAATTTTGAAAATGCGTTGGAATAGGCCCCACTTTTCGAGGTGGGATCCAGGCGACCTATATTGAAGACTGAAAAAAATTCTTACTGAATCCAGTTGAAATTTTGATCTAGAGATTTTGAAAAAGAAAGGAGAAAAGAAAGGCACAACTGAGAAATTTTTTTGAGAAAAAAAAGAAAGAAAAAGAGAAAAAAAAAGAGAAAAAAAGGCTGGAAAAATTTTTTTCAACGAGTTCCAAGATGAAAAAAATATAATATTGATGCGCAAAAAGAATTATTTTTTTCAACGAGTTTCCAGATAAAAAAATATAATATGGATGCGCAAAATGAGAAAATCTGGGCAGCAAACATTTCAGAGAGTTCAGCTAAAACTTCAAGGTATCGAATGGAATTTAGAGAAGAAAGGTTAGACTTGAAAATTCGGAGCTCGACGAGGGAGAACGATAGTCACTGTAGTTGTCGTTGTGGATACTGAGGTATTCTTGCAAATTTTGGGTCAGGACCTCTGCCAGGTATTCTGGCGAGTAGTTTTTCTCGACGACTCCCGCACAAATGTCCTTCAATCGGACGAGTTTGCCTGAAGATCGGCTCATAATGAAGTGGTTGGGTGATGGTAAGAATAAAAGATCAGTGAAATTTATGATCGCGACTTATCCGATGTTTGCCCTTGATCAAATTATAGATTTGGTATAGCCTGTGTACCACGACTTGAAATTTCACGGAACGACATTCCGCTGTGCCGCTGCGCGCCTTTGCGAACCTTGGTCGCGCTTCAATTTTTTTTTTCTTTCATAAGGTACTCTACTTTCATGAGCTCCCACAGCAATAACAACCAATTGAAAGCGTGACCTAGATTCGAAAGACGCTTCGCGAACGCACGCCGCGGAACAGCGGAATGTCGTTCGGTGAAATTTCAAGTCGTGGCACCCCGGCTATACAAGGACATTTAAAACGATCATAGCTTATTCACGGCTTTTTTTATGAAGCAAAAGACGTGGCCTGTCTGCGCTCTCTACTTCATATCGTGTCAGGACCCTTTTCTTCGATGGCTCAAGCCAACCGTTAATCAGCGATGATTCATTAAAGGAAGAAAAGTTATTTTTCGTCGTCGGACCGTTTTAGAAATCCTAGTGATCGCTTTAGGGGCGAGAGAACATTTCAGTAATCACTAGAAATGCTCAGAAAGGTTCCGGTTTGCACTACGGGGCTCTGAGTCAACCTTAATTCTCGGACCTTGGTAACGCGAACGGGACATGAACCGGACGTGTCGGGGCATTTTTAGTGACCACTTTAGTAGCCTCAGCACTCTTAAGTGATCCCTAGAATCGCATGTCCATTTCTAGCATTTATAGGTTTATAGCGCGAAACGCCCGTTTCGCGTTACCAATGTCCGAGTTCTTACCATCGTTTCGCTAGAGCGCGATAAGTAACTTACCAAAAATGTCCAGCTGTTTGATTTTCAGCTCTCTCTGAAGGTCCCGATGAAACTGACGCCCTTCATCATCGCAGACAAAAACTCGCGCGCCACATTTCAGCAACACCTCGACAATTATCCACCGTCCAAAATAATTGTAATGAGTGAGATCAGTGGATTTTCACCAACTTCATTTTCAAAAAAGTACTGCGGAAACTGTTTTGGGATTTGAAAAAGTGTTCCGAAAGAGCCGTGTTGCCGTTTTCCTCCTTCTCATTGATGTTTGCGCCTGCGCGGACGAAAAAGGGGATCAGATAGGGATAACTGAAAGACCCAAAAGATTTGTTTGTTAGAATAAGAAATTACTCAAAGATTGGATTCAAATGAAACAATGGGACATGAAGAAGTGTGACGACTTTTGCGAAACGGGTTTCCTGAATATATAAATTATCTGATAGAGGTCACGAAACACGAGAAACGCACGTCGAAACCCAGGCGTTTCAAACCATCATTGTCGGTTATTTTTATACCAAAATGGTCAACCTGAAAAAATATACAGTTTATTTCGATCGAGTCGGCCACCGAAAAAATATAGCTGATCCACGGCTAACTTGGGGCCCTGAGGGGGCGTGGCGTGTCTGCGCTCTCTACCAAACAAGCACTATCTCTCTCATTATCGTGTCAGGGCCCTTTCTGATGACTCAAGCCAGCCGTGAATCAGCTATAAAAGGTGGCGGGGAACGTTTCTGGGTCTTATTTTCGCTTTTCGAGTGGAAATACCAAACTTAAATGTTTTTATTTTTATGATATTTATTGGTATCCTTGATCATTTCTTAAACCTTTCTCAAGAACTTTTAAACCATGTTGAGTGTAAAATTAAGTTCTATGCGTCAAATGTGGTTCAAACCCAAGCATCGATGAGAAAATTTTCCAAAAAATAAAAAGCTTTCAATTTATTAGATTCTATAATGTTGGAGAATAACACTAATTTTAGGCTTGTTATAGAATATTTTATCCTTTCCGACTTTCACGGCTGTATTACGTCATAGGGATCACACTACCCTTCTAGAAAAATCAATAACTTTCTAGAAGGCTCCAAATCGTTCCAGAATGTTTCAGAACCTCCGGGGAAAGATTTTCAAGCCTATAGAAGTTTTCCGCATACTCCTCGGGCAGGTGGATAATGGCCGCTAAAAGAGAAAGGCTCAAAAAAGGCCGCAAACAAGCAGCAAAGAGGCAGCAAAAAGGATCCCTTTATCAAGCCTTCCATTTTTTCTGGTATTTTGAAGGCTCAAGAAATGGTGGAAAGAGGGAAAAAAAGGTAGCAAAAAAGGATTCTTTGTCACCCTAGGATCATTTTTATGAAGCAACTTTCCAGCCTTTCAGACTTTGTCCATGTATGTCTCTACCTTATATAACTTCACCTTTTTTCTGAAACATTCCAAAGTCTTCGGGATTCCTCCCTCTTAGCCTATTTAAACACCTTTGTTTATTATTTTTAGTTCTGGCGCACCAATACAATAAACTTCCTCTACAGCTCCGCTTTCTCTACCTGCGGGCACAAAAATGAACAAAAAACGAGAAGAGACACCCGGGGCGTGCCCGCCTTCCCTCTAACTCTACTCGCTTCTGTACATGTTAAACGTTATTGAACAAGAACCTTCAGGAATAGATTCACGGCGAGCAAAACGAATCGGATACACTCCGAGTTTCTCGAGCAGCTCGTGAATCCCTCTTTTTGAGCCTAAAACCCGAAAATGAGCGTATTTCATTCCAGAGATAAAAGTAACCTCCTCCAAGGCACAGCAAATCTGATCAAACAAGTATTCGGCCATTTCGACGACTTGAGGCGGCGGATCTTTTTCGTCGACCGCCGGACAATGGAATTCCCAGCCGGTAACCCATTGGTAGACTTTTTCAATCATTGCAAACAACGAGTCCGACAGCGGGTCACCGTATCTTAACAAATACAAATAGTTACGGAAATCGGAAAATATCACCTCTGATACAGAGAAATCGTGTGGCGAATGAGCGCAGCATATCTGAATATGAAAAAATTTTTTTTAATAGAACAAAGATATTTTAAAATTTCTAGGCTCATTCTCCGTCCGTCACAATTCGAAAAGTTGTCAAAAAATTCTCTAGCGACATAAAAAAAAAGCAGGAAATCGGCTAATTTTCTAATTTTCACCATCAAATAAACGGACTTTTCATCATCAGATAAACAAAAAAAAAAGTTTTTTACCATCAAATAACGAACTTTCTTGACAAATTTCTCGTATAAAACATCTGTTGTAGTGAGTCTCTTTCAAAACCTTCACAGTTAACGATGGAATATCAGGTTATTACAATAATTGCTTTTTATTCAATTATTTTTTTTCAAGTGCTGAAAACATGAACCTTTGATGAATGAGCACAAAGAGAAGGAAAAATCCGTAAAATGTGCCAAGAAAAGCTAAAACTTTTTTCTCGTACTAGGATCAAGGTCATGTCATCAAATTCTCGAAAAAAATTTTTTGCTGCTTTTCCAGAAACTTAAACCAACAGTATATATTTCAAACCCGAACCCAGAGAAAACGGTAATATTTGAGAGTTCCACGTATCGCAGCAGTGTATTACGGAGCCCTGGACTCCGCTCATTGAGGATTCTTTCCAAGACGATGAAGCACTGGAAAAAAAAAAGTAGGAGCAAAGAGAGGGACGTTTGAAAAAATTCGGTTAGCTAGATATCCAGCTTGAGATATTAATGTCTTCTTGGAGAATTTTAAATGGTAAGTCAAACTTTCGATACGAAGTTGTGAGATTCTCTATAAAAAATATGTGGTTAAAAGCGGAAACTTCTCCGACGGAATATGAAAAAATCGGAAAAGCCGCCGTTTGAAAATTCGCTTTTTTTCATAAAACCAATTTACTTCAAAATACCAAGTTGGGACAAAATTAATGTGAAGCCATGGTTCTGCATAGAGCAAATCTATAGGGGCGGAGCCTAGGGTTCGCCTTCCTACTCAGCCAGAATGGTGCACGGTGCATTCTGCTTTTTTTGCACCCGGGTGCGGAACTTTCGATTTTTTTTTTGGCGCAGCTCTGGCGCCGCACGCTCAAAGCACTGTTTCGAAGCACTTATGCACCTGTAAAGGATCAAAAAATCATCGAGATAGCACGGTGCAGACCCGGATTACTCATCAGAGTGCAAAAAAAGCAGAATACACCGCACGCCATCTTTGCTGAGCAGCGGATGCCGCGTTACTTTATGATAAAAGTGATGGGGCACCCCGCAGTGTAACAAGGGACGCACCATGTTTTGCTTTAAGCGCCTGTTAAGGCACTTATCCCATACGCAATTTCGAAACGGTTTATACTTAGAAATTTAAGAGTGATCCCTATAAGGGTGAGGGGGGAGAAGAGCCCCTATGGGAGCCAAAAAAGTGATCCCTTTAGGGGTATAATCAAGGCGATCCCTATAGGGGTTCAGGGACTGCCCCCTTATCGCTTAAAGCTTAAGTGGTCCCTGAAGGGGTTTTTCAATTTTATTCAAAAAACTCTTATTTTTTATTCGCATAAAAATGCTTCTCCACATAGAGTTCATAAAATTATCTATAAGCATGTCCCCTATAGGGACCACTTTTGCAAACCTTAATTACCCTGTAGGGATCGGTACGTGGTCCCTAGAGGAGATTCTTCAAGGGTCCTTAAGGTTGCCCATAAAGGAACCACTCCGGAGTACTTAAGTTTCTAAATAGTGAAATTATCCATAGTTCAATGCTAAGTTTTATAACAGTGACTCGAAAAAAAAATTTTTTCTTACGACCAATTGACCCAAAAAAACATTCTTTTTTTTGGAGAGGGGGGGGGGGCAAAAACATTCACGAGAAGTCCACCTAATTCGGGGTTCACTGCGGGGTTTTTAATAAAAAAATACAGGCTTTTTGTAGAATTTCGATATTCGAAAATGGACAAAAGGTCCACAAGAAGACATAATACCTCAAAACCCGAATTTCAAAATACGCGAAAAATTATCTTTATTTCATACTTGCATGGTGGCAAATCTCTTCAAATTTTTGGCCGTCTCGAAATCCTTCAGAGAGTGAGCTTCTCGGAGAGAATCATACGCAGGATTTGTTTTTACTCTCTTCTTAGCGGAAATTTTCTGTAAGGGCAAAAAATTATTTTTATAAAGTTAAAAAAAAAAAACCTGTTTCGACTTATTTGCCGCTGTCAATTCCGACTTGAAGCCATCCAGACTCATCACATCAGGCATTTCCAGATAAGTTACGGCAGCCCGGATCAGTTTGGCTTCATTTTTCTCCTTCTCGTCTCTAACGTAATTCATCAAGTGGTTGAAAATCTCCGGAGCGGATTCCGTTTGGAGAATCTTGAATTAGAAATAAGTTTAGTTCAGATAAGGCTTTAGTTTTCTTACAGAGCCGTAGTCCGAGGAAAGCAAAGCAGCTTTCATTAACGGAGTTTCTCCATTCTCATCAGGACAGTTTCGGGCGCCTTCCGCGGTGAGAAGCTTCACCAAATGCACGTTGCGATTTTCCACGGCGAAATGAAGCGCAGTGTGTCCTGAAAAATTAACAAGTTCGAGAATTTCAAAATCTTATTGAAAATTTTGTAGCAAAACTTAAACGATGGATAAAAATCAAGAAACTTTTATGGTTAGAAAATGGCAACGAGGGTCCCCCATTTTGCCAACTCAGGAAAAGTCCGAAATGGCAAAAAAAAAAAGGGCCATTTTTGCAACCTTTTCTTCTTTGAGTGAAATCTAGAAGGCCAGAGAAAAGGTGAAGAAAGAAAGGGGCAGCAAAAAGGGTGGGAAAATGGTGAAGAAATGGTGGAAAAAGGCTCCTGAGAGGGAAATGCTCAAAAAAGGCAGCAAAAATACACCCTTCATCGAGCTTTCCAATCTTTCTGGGATTTTAAAGGCCCAAGAAATGGTAAAAAAAAAGGGGGAGACAGTGAAAATGATGCAAAAGCGCCGATGAAATGGCGCAAAAAGGCAGAAAAAAGAACTTTTGTCACCCTTAAAGGAACCTTTCTATGGGGCCTTTTTCCACCCTATGCGTTATTTTTTTTTATAACTAATTTTTTTGGAAAATTCCTTCAATTACGTGCACTACACTGTGAGTACTTTCATCAGTTCAAAAAAAAAGTTTCAACTAACCAGTCACAGTTTTTTCTTCAACTGACAAGCCTTTCTGGATGAGATACTTGAAAATCGGGAGCTGAAAAACTGTATTAGGACGAACAAGTCGAGGAAAAGAAACCGAACGTTCCGAGTTCCAAGACGTGAAAAAGTCAGGAATCATCAGACACGTCTTTCCATTAGCATTGCGTTGGCGAACACTCGTCCCGCTCTCACAAAGAGACTTCACTGAAAAAAGGTCTTTTTTGTAACAACTATTCATATTCAAATCATCAAACCTCTTTCGAAATCGCTATTTTCGCACAGTCTGAAAAGGAGATGGCTGCGTTCGCCAGAGAACCCTCCCATACTTCGTATAGCCTTCATGAGTCTCGTATCGAAGAATAAAAAGTTTGGATCATACTCAAATGCCATTATCGATGTCCACATCACTGAAAAGCGAAATAAGTAAAAAAAAATCTGTAAAAATGATCTTTTCGTTTTAATTTGCACTGAACGTTCTTGCATGTTATCTCTTTCAAATACTTCGTCCGATTATCTGTTATATAAGTACCCAAAAAGATAAATTGTTGAATCAATAAACGAATCAATAACTCAAAAAATATGAAAAAAATATCGGGAGTTTCAAATATTTACTTATTTGTGTAAGAGAGGATGGTAAAATAGAAAAAGTAAAAAAATTCGCAGACAATACAGAGAACCTTCGAGGAAAGAAAAAGGGGAAAGACATTAAAATGATTCGAAAAGTACAATAACATAACGGCGAAGAAAGTGCGCGGGTGAGATGTCGAAATGTGAGCGTGAAATGGGAAAACTTTCCCAACGTTTTGTTCAATAAGAAATAATGGAAGCGATGGATTGAAAGAATGAGACAAATAAAAATGAATTTCATAAGTTTGAAGACCATAGATCAATGTTACTGAGAAAAATCATAGGGCAAGTCGAACAAAGGAAACGTAACACTTTCGTCCAGAAAAACCGAGAAGCAGCGTTAAAAGTTAAGCATGTCCGACTCGTAGTCAAAAATGTAAACGAAAAAGATTTGAAGTGAAAAACAAGAAATAAAAAATGATAATTTTTTGTAATGCGGCGGAATAAGAGAACTTATAATATTGAGATTTCGAAATTGGTCTTCCAGCAAGGGCAATTATTGTCGCTGTATTTTTCGTTGTGGACACTGAGGTACTCGCGCAGATTTCGTGGCAGCACCTGTGCCAGGTATTTTGCCGAGTAGATCTCCTCAACGACTCCCGCGGACATGTCCTTCAGCGTTATCAATTCGCCTGAAGCCACTGTTTCCTCATAGTTTTATTTTTTCAGATTTTATATTACTTTTCTTTTTTTATTATTACTCCTTTTTGAAAAAAAAATCGCCTTTATGCCGCAAAAGTGGAAAATGGCAAAAAAAGTAAATTTTTCCAAAAAAAAAAAACGGTACATACGCGACATCTCATCAACACCTACAAGCTTGCTCCAGCTTACTGACACTAAAGAGGCGCGAAAATCACTTGAGTGGTCATTCAATCACTTGGAAGCGTCCGGAAGATGTGCTGCCTCTCTTCGGATGTTTAGAGTGGTCCCTACAAGGGTTATGAGTAAAAACAGTCTCTATAGGGGCCGAAAAATTAGTCCGTATAGGGGTAAAATTAAGGTGGTATGAAAAAAACACCAACGAAAAATCAAACGGCGACTTTTCCGATTTTTTCGTATCGCTAGGGAACTTTCCGACGGCCACCTTTCCGACGAATCTTTTTCCTACTTTTTTTCTCGATAAAATCTTCGTTTTGAATCTTTCTATATAAAGTAGGTAGCTGGTTCATGATTAAAACACAAATACATAGGGAAAAAAAAAATAAATAGATGTCTTATAAACCGAAAAATATAAAGGAAAAAAGTCGGAAAAATTTCGTCGGAAAGGTGGCCGTCGGAAAGTTCCCTAGCGATATGAAAAAATCGGAAAAGTCGCCGTTTGCATTTTCGCTGGTGTACTTTTCATACCACCAAAATTAATGGGGTTCCTACAGGGGTTTAGGATCTGACCCCATAGCCCCTAAAAGTTAAGTGGTCTCTATAGGGGCCGTTAAATTTTTTTCGAAAAAGGTTTTTTTAGTTTTTCGTATGGAAATGCTTCTTCGCATAGAGTTCATGAAAATTATCGACGAGCATGTCCCCTATAGGGGCCACTGTTGCAAACGTTAGTGGACCCTATAGGGGTTGGTAATACGGTTCCGAGAGGCGGCCCTTTGAGGGCCCCTATAGGGACCGCTCTGGATTCCTTAGGCTCTATAAGTATTTTCAATTTCTTTTTTTCACAGCGGCTCGAATCAGATATTCTGACTTGAGGCGCCCCAACTGTTTCTCTCACCTCCACTATTTCGTCGTTTTCTCGCAGCTAGACAACAACGAAATAGTGTGTGTCAGAGATGTGGCGATTTTTTGGCGCCCCATGTCAGAGTACTGCTCAGTGAGAAACGACTATTTCACAAAAAAAGCTCACCAAGGCTCATTGAATAACGTTTCATCGTGCCTGGTCGCAAAAGGCGGAAAACTTGGCGATCTTCATGGCTGCGAACGAAAAGGCGCGCTCCGCATGAAATCAATTTCCGTACAAGATCCCAGCGGCTTGAAAGAAACAGTGTGGGGACACAAAGAAGTTGTTGGCAAACTCAGACGTGCGCGCTGCCTTTTTGAAACAAAAGTAGAGATGTCCAGCGAGCGCCGTCCGTCCGTCGACTTTTTTTTCGTTGATATTCGCGCCGGCTTGGACGAAAAATGGGACCAAAAAAGGCAAGCTGAATCAATTTTTTTTTTTTTGTTGATTATGAAAAGTTAAAACCGGGAAAAGGTTTCTAAATGGAAAAGGGGAACGTGCAGTAGTTTGCTGGCTTTCACGAACCGGAGAACCTGAACATAACTTTCGATGTAGAAGTCTGAAAATGCAAGTTTCTAAACTGACGTCAAAACCGACGACTTTCATTTTCTCTTTATCGTCGATTTCGCAGCCGAAATGTCGAATCTAAAATGAAATAAACACAGTAGCGAAAATGATTAAATATTTTTTTGGTTTATAACTTTGTTTAAAACGGTTTTTTTGACCTGAAACTTCGAAGAATCTTGTTGTTGAAAAAGATTCTTTAGGCCCAAAAATTTCGTAAAAAGCAAATGGAAGAAGATCCCAATGATTCTCTATATAATTTTTTTGAAATTTTTTTGAATCGGTTGAAAACTTTTTTTCAAACTGTCAATAACATCATTTTTTTCTCTATTGGTTTGAATTTCAGGTCAAAATGCCTATTTTTGCCGAAGTTATGGACGAAAAACCAAAAAAGATCCGCTAAAGTAGATCAAAAAACTTTATAAAGAACAGTATTTTTGAAAAGTCTATTCATGAAACTTTATTCGATCACTTTGAGTTTATATTTTCTGATATCTGTTTTTTTTTTTCCTCATCTTATAAACAATCACAAGCATAAACCGAAGCAAATAGAGCCACGGGAAGTCGGACAAATCGTACACATTTCCACGATCTTGCGCCATTTTTCATGACTTCCCTGTGAGCCTGAATATCAAAAACTTCTTTTTTTTTCTCTTCAAACGAACTATTAACCTTTTCCAAGGCACAGCAAGTCTGGTCGAACAAAAATTTAGTCAACTCGACGACTTCAGGTGGTATTTCTTCGTAACCCTCTGATGAAAAACGATTTTTCCAAGTGATAACATGTTCGAAGACATCTCGAAGGACATAAAATAACGTGTCCGAGAACGGTTCTGCGTATCTTAAGCGTTCAAATCGAAACATGAAAAAATATAAGAAATCACTTTTGGTCCAGGAAGACCACGTGGCGTAAGAGCGCAACATTTCTGAAAATGAAGAAGAAAGGCTCGAAAAAAACGTTGTTGAAAATCAATAAAATTTTTTTTGACCAAATAACGTTATTTTTCAAATGAATTCCAACGCAAACCGAGGATCGTGGAAATTTCTACAGGCTCCATAGGAAAAGTAGCCATGAAGCATTCCCGGAATGTCTGGATGACGCTGCGTGAGGATTCTTTCCATGACGATGAAGCACTAGAAAAAAAAAATGATGCGTTTTTTTCTGAGTCTTGACTGTTTAGAGACTCAAGCGCGTGTGAACCCAAAAACAAAAAAAGTACAAATGGTCCCCTCTTAAAATGGGAAATGTATAGGAAGATCTGTTTATCGAATTCAATTTTCAGATGGTTTTGGAGATGAAATTTCGATAAATAAAAAGAAAAAACTTATATTGTAGTTATCTTGAAAGCACATGCGACCATTTTTATCCGAATACATACAAATTTTGATCTGTTCTTTTTTCTGTTCACGTATTGATATTTTCCAGTCAATCTAATAAAGAACTTGTAGGCTGGTAAATCTCTCCAAATCTCGAGCTGCATCAAATTCGTCCGAAGAGCGAGCTTCTCGAAGAAAATCGTAGGCCGGATTCAGTTCGACCTCTTCCTCGTCGTCACTTCCCTATAATCCTGATCTTGAATGAATCTTTCATTATTACAAATAGTCAGTTTTTTTGCGACTTGAAAGGGCGGGACTTCTCTGCGCTATCCTCTTCTCTCGAGGACTCTCTCATGTTGACGCGCTATTTTAGCTTTTCTGTGAGCTCGCTGATGAGGGAACAGAGAGTTTTCGTTAAATCGCAAACCGCTACTCCCTGACGTCATTTCATGACACCATTCGTAACACTAGAAATAAGCGTAATCGAAATGTTTGGCTATATATTCATTTCTTTCACGTGAACGTCATTCAGCAGATTATTATTATCTCATTTCATCACGTCGACTGGTCGGTCTCTTTGCCGCTCTCTCATGGGATAATATTCCGACGCCCGTTAGCCCTGGACAAGCTGGGCGCTGTACTGTTCCAACATGGTGAAGCAGTTTATTCGCTGGTACTACCAGCGGGCCCACATTATTTCCCAACGCTAGCTGTCACGCCGGGACGTATTCGACAACGATTGTGGACCGTCACCCGCGCCGACGACTAACTCTTCGATTATACCATGATTCAGCAGAGATTTTCTTCAACTTACTCTGAAGACTGAATAAATTGATATGAATTGAAATTGAGATTGAAAAAATTGAAGAATGGGAGGAGCCTGAATTGCGCCTTTGCGTTAAAACTGCGCCTACAGGTTCATGCCTTACTTAAGAAAATAGGCTTAGTTTTAAGGCTTCACACGGAGGCGGAGCGCGCATAGCGCGAAGCCGACTGTGGCTCGCTTCGAAAAAACTGGGCCACAGTGAAAAATTCGTCAAATAAATGAATACTTGACATAAAAGGCATTTAGTTTTGAAACGTGGACACTAATAACACTACCTGATAGCTCTAAACGATTTGCAAACTTGATACGCTTAGCGAAAAAATATGTGAAAAAAAAAGAAAAAATTTTAAAGGAGCATTCTATGCGTAAGCGTGGGCCTCGACGCCTCGGATTATTCCAAACCTTTAAAAGGTTTCTAAAAAAAGTAAGAAAATAAAAGAATGAAAAAGTTTTCCGATCAAAAGGGGATTTTCAAGTGTGATATCTTTCTGTTTCTCATGTGACCGGAAAAGTTTTCACGTCGAATCTAATTTTATAAATTGGAACGTAAAAAATGAATAAAATGATATGGCTGCGTGTGCGAATTTTGCAAATGAAGATGATGTCATAGGGATGACGTCAGGGAGTAGCGGTTTGCGATTTAACGCGAAGTGGGAACAGAGAGACGCAGGCACACGAAAACTGCTCAATTTTCAAGATAATATGAGAAAATTTTTAAGACTAATTCATTGATACTTTGAAGCGCCGTCACTTTGAACTGATCAAGCCCGAAAAGTTTGCACGAAAAGAATTCTTCTGAACCTGGTTATCCATAACCATTTCACTAGCAAATCAAAACTTGAAGAATTCTCAATAAGTTATTTGAAAAAACAAAATTGTATTTAAAACCAACCTGCTCAGAACTGTGGGCTGCCACTAACGTCATTGCAAACTCATTAAGACTTTGATTTCCAGGATCACGGATATAGTTCACCGCAGCTCTGAGAAGTACTGCGTCTTGTTTCACCTTCTTATCTTCAACATAATTCATCAGGAGATGATAAATATCGTTCTGAAAAAATTTTAAAAAAATTCCCACATTTTTTCTGAGTTTACAAATCGTTTTTGGAATGAATCTAAAAATGTTCCACCGCCCAAATGTGAATAGAAATTCAAATTTCACTTCTGAAATGTTCGCTTACAGAGACATCACACCGTGGTGCCCTCAAGGCTGCTTTAAAAAGTGGAGTTTCTCCGTTTTCATCACGAAAATTTTTGGCGCCTTCAGAAATAAGTAGTTTCACCAAATAATAATTAACTTCTTCAACTGCAAAATGAAGCGCACTTCGTCCTGAATTCATAAACTTCCTTTTATTAACAGACAACGCTTTCAGTGACCATTCGAGGTTACAGCGTCCACTGATAAGCCTTGCTGGACCAGATATCTGAAGATTGCTTCCTGGAAGATCCTTGTGAGCCGCGTAATTTCAATAAATAGAAACCGCCTCTTTCGACCTCCAAAAGGAAAAATCAGGAACCATCAAACAGGTCAAGCCCTCGTCATTGCGTTGGTTAACATTAGCGCCATTCTCACAGAGCTCCTTCACTAAAAACCGTTTAAAATTTAAAATTTTTTGAAATAGTACCCTTTTGGAGGTCGCCTCGTTCGCATTCTATGAAAAGCGGCCACTCTTTTCTCAAGCCTTTGTCATCAGAAGAATCAGATCGAGTCCAGTGCGGGTCGGAAATCATTACTTTGGAATAACTCAAAACAACTGAAAAAAAAACATATAACTTAATATTTGTAAGAAAAAAAGAACAAAAAAACTAGGTCCATATTTTTCTATTGAAGATTTCACTTGAACAAAAATAGAGCTTCCAGTTTTGCTTGGGTTTTTCATGAGACAAAAGCCGCAAAAGAGAAATTCACAAAATTTGTTCCTTGTTCGAAATAATTTCGGCGATTTCAAAATTGATGCGTTATGCGTTTGAAATTATTTCAAAACTGAAATTTTGCGAAAATGCAGAAAATTTGAGCCCTTACAACGGTGTATCGTAAGAGATTCATTTACGCGCGAACTCGAAATTTTGGAAATATTTGGATATTTTCTACGAAAATTTCAAATTCGCGCGTAAAATTCACCTTTAAAGATGCCATTTACAGATAACTTCATTGGATAAAACAGGTTGAATATTAATTTTCAAAAAAATTCTTTACTTGAAGCTTGAAATTTTTTTATTCATTCGATAAAACACTCTTTGAGAAAAAAATTAATCTGTAACAGAAAGTCAACGAATAAATACAGGAAGTCTGGAAGGAAAAAAATCGCCGTAAAATCCAAGAGGGGAAAAATTGTGAAGGAAATGTCCAAACACAAGTAAATTCAGAATTCTTTCAAAAAGAGGACCAACGGGTAACATATGGCGATTTACAGGCCGAGGTATCTCGACAAATGCGACGGCAATTTCTTCTGCAAGTATTCTTTTTTGTAAGTTGCTTCGACGACTTCTGCGCACATGTCCTGGAGCGTGATGTAGTTTCCTAAAAAAAAAAATAACTTTTAAAGACTGATATGAAGAAAAAAAAACCAAGAACGAAAAGATCTTCGACGTCTTCATGTTTCTGTAGATGCCGGAAGACGCGACGAGTTGTCTTGTCGCGGACGAAGACCCTCGAGCCGTTTTCGATAAGCAGTTGTACAGAGACCCACCATCGGAAAATGCAAAATAAGAGTTCAAAAATGATGATGCAAAATTAACAAAATAGTGCGTTCCGCGGTCACATTTTAAATGAACAGAAAAGAAAAAGCTACCTTTTGCTCAACAAAACTGCTAAAAGACAGCAAAAAAGGAAAGGTCTTGAAGGGAAAATGCTCAGTTTTGACCTAATTTGGTATACGGTATTTTTGGCGAAAAAACGTGATAATCTGGCGCGGAATGGGCTATAGCGACCTAATAGCTTAAATAGCGGAATCTGAATATTTAATTTTTTTCATTAAAATACGAAATTTAAGCTAAAAATTTTATAACGGTAGCGTTAAAAACACATGAAACGGAAATCTACCTGTCAAAATTTACATCATCTGCATAATAATTGTTTTCTTCAATGCTATCAGAATCACTGTCCGAATATCTTAGAAGATCGAAGTCGTCTTCATATTCATCTTCACACTGGCTATCATAATCGTAATAATCATCCGAGTCGTCGTCCTCATCATCAGAATCGGAATCGGTTTCAGGACGACGCTTGAAACGGGAGTAGAACATTGAGGCCAGAGCCGTTTGGTTATCGTAGTTCTTGGCGTTGACATTGGCGCCGGCGCTTGCGAAAACCGGAATCAATTCAGGATTTCTAGAAAAAGAAACTTACTAGGGAACTACTCGGACTCGGGTACGCTTTTCGAGTTGAATCTTTGGTGGATTGTAGACCCGGGTAAGAGTACTTGGAAACAATAGAGATTATCTGCTAAACCCCATAGGCTTCTGAGAAAAAGCTTTTTAAAAATGAACAGTTTAGGCTTGAAAATTATCAAATTTCTGCTTTCCTCCTTATTTTGGCTGGAAAAATTTTTTTTAAAGTATATCATAGCCGGATCATTCAAGACGATTGTATTAAAATATAAAATAAGGTAAAAAGCAGTATTCTGAACATTTTCAGGCCTAATTTTCACATTTTCTACTAATTTTTTCTCAGTTCTCTATTGGGTTTAACAGATATTCACTCTTGTTTTCAAGTATTCCGACTTAGGTCTATAAACCACTAAAATTTGAACTCGATCCGCGTACCCGAGTCCGAGTAGTTTCCTAGTTAGTAAAGCTCAAGTAGTCACTTTAAAAGGCGTTCTGAAGCCTGGGGCCTTTTTTTTCAAATTTTTCAAAAGGTCATTGTATGCAGCTTCCCACGCTGATTACGAATCCTTGGTCAAAATCTGCGAATGAAGTATGGCCTGTGTACCGCGACTTGGAGTTCCACCAAACGACATTCCGCTGTGCCGCTGGCGCTTTTGCGAACTTTGGCCGCGCTTAAACTTTTTTTTCCTTTTATCAAGGTTTTCTACTTTCTTGCGCTACCACAGCAATAAAAGTCAATTTGTTGGAGCATAACGCTTATATTAAGCTGATTCTAGAATGTTCTATAGAATACTATAGAACATTCTAGAATCAGCTTAATATAAGCGTTATGCTCCAACACAATTGAAAGCGTGACCTAGATTCGAAAAACTCTTCGCGAACGCACGCAGCGGAACAGCGGAATGTCGTCCGGTGGAATTTCAAGTCTTGGCACACTGACTATATTACAGACATGAGAAACATCGAAAAAGACCTATTTCAACATAAATACCTAGCACTCCACTGGAAAATTTTGAAGAGACCTTTCAAAAAAAAGTTCAAACAGGAATAATGATTTGTTGAACTTCAAGTGTTCATAATCTTTTCCACGGACCTCCTCGGCATTTTTGACTCTTAGATTTGGGATCAGCGTAAAAAACTGCTCCGGTTTCGGTTCAAAAGTTCCACTGCGAGACCAGTAACCTCATCAGCAAAATAATAAGACTTTTCTCGCGCGACAAATCTAAAAATTTGTGAAAAACTTTCAAGGGATACTCAGTGCTTGAAGCAACATTAGAAAATCGTAGAATTCCATTAAAAGCTTTCAAAATTAAAAAAATGAATCAAAACTCGATGATTTTCTTCAAATGGAACAGCGGGAACTTGAGAAGGTTGACGATGGAGGAGAAACGAGAAAGCTGAAAATAAATATAAAAACGTGAAGAAAAAAGAAACTGACGTCAAGCACGACGGCTGGATCAGTTTTTTCGCTATGAGACGGAACCTCGTCTTTGATCTGTTGAAAAAAATTTAGTTGCTAGAAATCCAAACTTGAGACTGTATTTATTACAATTTGAAGCTCAATATGCATTGAACAAAATAAAAAGGTATTGAAAAAAATTAGACACAGAAACCTTTTGATAAATGCTAATCGCAGCTTCAGGAAGACGTACCAGATAGTTATAGGGATCGTTCAATTTTTCTTGATAACTCTGCAAAATCGCTCAGAATAAAGTTATTAACAGTAAAATTTATGTTTAGATTTTCAAAAGCACCTTCGAACCTAAATTTCGGTGGTATGAAAAAAACACCAGCGAAAATTCAAACGGTGGCTTTTCCGATTTTTTCATATCGCCAGGGAACTTTCCGACGGCCACCTTTCCGACGAATCTTTTTCCTACTTTTTTCCCTTATATTTTTCGGTTTATAAGACATCTATTAACATTATTTTCTCCTATTTCTTTGTGTTTTAATCATGGATAACTAGTCTACTTTAGGTAGATTCAAAACGAAAAGTTTATCGAGAAAAAAAGTCGGAAAAAGATTCGGCGGAAGGTGGCCGTCGGAAAGTTCCCTAGCGATATGGAAAAATCGGAAAAGACGCCGTTTGTATTTTCGCTGGTCTTTTTTTCATACCACCTAAATTTCTTTATATTACTAAAAAAGTTTTTTTATTTCCTTTATATTACTAAAAAAGGAAAGTTCTAATATTTCAAGTTGAAATTTTCAACTTCCAGAATTTTTTGGAAATTCGCTGTAAAGAACTTCGAAACAACTTTTTTGCGACCTAATAAACTTTTTTTTGGATTTCTCCTTTTGATCGAGTTAGAAAGCTTCAAACTAGGCAGACCACAGATTGAGGCAAAAAAAGTTTCTAATGAGTTCAAATCAGAATCTTTGAAAGTATAGCTGATTCACGGCTCGCTTTAACCATCAAAAAAAGGGTCCTGACACGATAATAAAAGAGATAGCGCCTGGCTCGTGGAGAGCGCAGACAGGACACGCCCCTTAGCGTCTCAAACTAGCCGTGAATCAGCTAAATACTTATTTTCAGCAAATTCCTATAGACTGAAGGGATTTTCTCAACCCTTATAGTTTCTCGAAATATCGAATTTTCCTTATTTTGGGTCAATTTTGTCACTCAAACCTTCAAAAATTTATATCTCGGCTTAAAAAGCAAACAAAATTTTTTTTTAAACGAACCCTCTCCAAAGCGAGGCAGATATCATCAAAAAAGTCGATCAAGAAGTCCAGAACTGGTCGATTTTGTTTGACAGAAGCCCACCCAGCGGGCAAATCTTGGACACGACGATAATTCAAGTCGAAGATTCTGGTGAGATCGCACGAGATCTCAGGCTCATATCTAAAAAATACTTTTCAATTAAACATTTTTTGGATACCGGTGATAAAGCGAAAGAGTGTATAGTAGCATGGCGTCGCTTCTGAAAATTATTGAAATGAAAGTTGAAAAAAATTGAGTTTCATGAGCATCTCATAGAGAATTTATACATAGACGATGACAAAATTGAATGATTCTATCCAGTGAAACGAAAACGAACATTTCAACACGATGTATTCCGGTTTTGTTTTGTAGAAGTCGGTACAATGAGGTTCGAATTTCTGGATGAGCCGGGCCGAGAATCCTTTCCCGGATGATCAAACACTAAAAATGATCAAGGGCGTCAAAATAAAATTATTGCGTTTTGGGTTTTCTTTTTTGAACAGTTCCTCGGTCAGTATTAAAACTTCGCCGTTCAATGAAAAATCAACACTTTTAACCGAGCCAGAAAAAAAATCCTGAAAGTTCGTAACTAATGACGCCTTTATATTAATACGAACTTACTATTCAGAAATATCTAATCGAGAAAATTTTGAAGTTGCTCGAAATATGGTCTGTTCCGATTTTGAATGTCAAGCAGCTAATTTTGCCCCTGCTGAGACGGTAGCTTTTCGCGTCGATGTTTTACCGCGCGGGACTAATTTTGATCTTTTTTGATCAAAAAGATAGGAAATGAAGTCAAAAATGCAGCCTTATTAAAGGGCCATCGTCATCTGTAGATAAAATATTGACGCGAAAGATATTGTAGCCTTGGGGGTGGAGTTAGCTGCTTGACATTCAAAATCTGAACAGACTAACTGGATATGATGGTGAAACGATTGTTTGAAAAATTTAATATAAATATATACCATATGAGCAATTTTTGAAACTAAAATAGCAAAACCTAAAATCATCTCGAACCTGCATCATTTCGAACCTCCAAAAATCTTCAGCCTCGTCAAATTCTTTGTAGGAACGCGCTTCCCACAGAGAGTCGTATGCCGGGTTTGGTTCAATATCTTCATCAATCTCTTCTTTCTGAGCGAATTGAGTTGAACTATTTTTTTTTCTCTTCCAACCTTTTCTGAAAGATCCGCCTCCAACACGCTTTTCAGGTAGTTGGAGGGACTTTTATCATCTTTATTGTAAAGTTTGAGGCGATAATTGAAAGATCCTTCCATAATTATGGTCGCAGCATTAAGCAACAAGGCGTCGTTCCTCGTTTTCTCATCGTTGGCGTAGTTCAACAGGAGTTCGAAAATGTCCCTCTAGAACATCTTTTCATTTTTAGAAATTTTGGCCTTGTTTAGCGTTTTCGTGTACAGGTAACAAGCTCAGAACACACATTTCCTAAGAAGGTCTCTGCAAACGTTTTTAAAAATCATCAAATAATATTTTTAACACGCGTTTCAAGTCATTCGCCAACTTCCGGTTAACGAATCGGTAAATTTATAAAAATGTAATTTTTTTGAACCAAAAATTATGAAAACTTTTCAAACAGTTATAAAAAGAGAATTTTTTAAATAGTACTGTTTCCGTCGAAAAACTCGCATCAGGGTCTTCGAAAGTGGTCAAAAGTGCCGTCGCAATGAGAGGAGAAGATCCGTGTTTATCAGGGCTCAATTTTGCGCCAGAATCAATCAAAAGTTGAACGAGATGGTAATTCTTAGCCTTTGCAGCGAAATGAAGCGCCGTTTGTCCTGAAAATTAGACTTATTTTCTTGATTCTGAACATATATCCTGACCATCGGTCGTCGTGGCGTCGACTGATAAGCCATGCTCAACCAAATATTTGAAGACGTTTCGCTGAAACTCAGTTTTAACTATTGCGTTCAACATAAAGTATTCAAATTTCAGCTCGAATTGAAAGATTTGATTTTGAAAATGATTCAGGAACTGCACGAAATATTTATATAGTCTGTGTACCACGACTTGGAATTTCATCGAACGACATTCCAATGTTCCGCTGCGTTCTCGACCGCTTTTTAATTTTTAAATTTTATTTAAAAACTCGACCAACACGTGTTCTTAGAGGAACAGTCCATCTATCAGAAATGAGAAACAATTCAAAGCGAGACCGAGGCTCGCAAAAGACGCTTCGCGACGCAGCGGAAGAGCGGAATATCGTTCGGTGAAATTACAAGTCTTGGCACACAGACTATAGCCGTTATCAAAGTTTTCGGCTTTTTTTTTTGAATTTTCATCGACCTTTCCAGTATGTCAGAGTCCATGAAACACTTCAACCTAAAATTTCTTTCCTGAAATGAATTTTTTGAAAATAAAAATTTGGATAAACCGATTCCTCCGTTTTGTAGAACTCTGGCTTCATAAGGCAGGTCAAACCTTCCCTGTCGCGATCTTGAACACTCAAGCCGTGCTCACAAAGATAATTTACTGGAAAAAAATTTCAAAACTTCCAATAACTAAATAGTTCAAATACCCATTTTCAAATTGCTGCTTTGACACGCTAAGAAAACAAGAGGTATTTCTACTCTTTCGGAAGCCAATTTCAAATCAAAATCCGTTGCTTCGACGATAGCTCGGAGCACCTCAAATTACAAACATTAAAAAAAAAACAATTTCGCTAAATTTCCATACATCCAGAGAACCAAGTCTTTTGACGGCGATTTCCAGAGCTGTAAGGTGGCTTTTCCTACAAAACGAAAACAAGGGCTCAGCCCCCAACCGAACCTAAAAAAGACTTACTGGGTGGAAGATTTTTTGAAAACTCACGAAAAGTCTCACTATATCGTGAAAACCTCTTTCGCAAGCCTCAACCAAAGGATTGTGGTCGGACAACATATTGAGACACTTTTTGATATAATCATCCGACTTGTCCTTGATCAAACTCTGTAAAGTTTCAGTTAGAGTAAACTTTCAAGCCAAAATTTTTTTGAAGCTTTTCAAACTTAATTTCATGACAACGGTTTGTCGAAAAAATTATTTTAAACAGTTTAAAAAAACAAGCTTCAAAAATCAGCAAAAATCATATACTTCAATCTTCTGTATATTCCTTCCCGTGGTAGCATTATGGATCAGAAGTTGAAAATTTCTGAGTTCATGTTCAGGATCAGGCTTGATCTCGAATTCCATTCGGATTGTCGAAAAAATAGATCAAATCTGAAATTAAAAAAATACGGGGTCAAACGAAGGAAAGGTTCTGAAAAGTAGAACATCTTCAAGTAAAAAAGAACGCTTTCTCTACATAGTCAATCTTATTCCGCCTTCAACTCTAATTAAAGAACTTTATTTCAGTTTTTCAATTTCCTTTCATACACAAATAACCTGTTTGAATCGAACAGCTTGAAAAGTTTCCATAAAAATCTCATATTTTAAAGAGCTCGAAGCTTTTATTCAGTTAGTACACGAAAGTTTGCGTGAAAAAACGAAAAGTCTAGAAATATGTGAAAAAGTTGCTCAACAAATGCATATAGGAACACTCGGGTGAAGTAAAGAAATGAAAAATAACAACTTAACCTAAAAAAAAACAAGATGTACAACAAGGAAGAAAAACTGTGAATGATTAGAAAGTGTTAAAATGAGCATGAACGTGGAAAGAAATTTTTTCAAAATAAAAGATTTATATAACAAGGTGGCAGCTTTTCTTGTGAATTTCATTCTATAGTCTGTTCAGATTTTGAATGTCAAGTGCAATGACGTCACTCAAAAACACTCTGTGGATGGCTCGCTCTCTGATTGGTTTATCGCACCATTATGAGCGGAGCTTGAGCGACAACTTGACATTCAAAATCTGAACAGACTATATAGACGATTCACGGCTAGCTTGGGACGCAAAAAGGCGTGGCCTGTCTGCACTCTCCACCAACCAGGGCACTGTCTCGTCTCTTTTCGTGGCAGGACCCTTTTCTTGATGACTCAAGCCAGCCGTGAATCAGCTATACAAGCCAAGGTATCTCAACAAATGTGGCGCAAATTTGTTCCGCAAGAAATCTTTTTCGTACTCTTCTTCGACGACTTCTGCGCATATGTCCTGGAGCGTGATGTTTTCTGAAAACAGAATTATCGACATTGGGGCCAGGTTCTGAGCTTTTGAATCTTCAACTCGTTGAACCACACGTCATTTAAAAAAAAATAAAAACTTCAAAAATGCAATGAAACATTTTTTGACAAGAATAAAAAATTTTTTCTTAAGCATTTAGTATTAAGCTTTTACGGAAACATCAAATCAAACACAAAAACTAAAAAACCAGTGCATTTCACCATCGCAAAAAGGGGCGTGGCTTTGCGTTCTCTACCCATGGCGTCACGTCGGAACGGCAGAAGTTTTGGCTCCGCCCACCGTGTTTTTGGTTCCGGATTTTTTTCCTGCCGTGTTCAAAGGGATTGCGCGAAATCTAAAATAGCCGTAAAAGCAAAAAAAAATATATAAAAAAAAACTTGGAGAGTCAGAGATACCGTTGCAAAAACATCTTTCATGTAAGTCATTCTTGTATGTACCGAAAAGGTTCGTAGAACCAGATTTATTAAAGCCAAAAATTGAAAGAAAAAAGAAGCCAAGTTACATAAAAGACGAAAAAGAGACATTATATAATGGATGTATTACAATGGTTCTTGTGAAAGGACAAATTCACATCAATCACTTTCGACCAAGATAAAGTCGTTGGATCCCTAACAATGAATGGAATGATCAAAAAAGTGTCAGTTTTGGGAGCTTGAAACATTTATTTCGTTACTTTTGGAAAACGAAAGTTAAGGAAAAACAGAGAATGAAAAGATTGCTCAAAAATGTACATCCTAGATATGATTGCAGTAGGAAATAATTACATGGCAGTACAAGATTTTTGACACTGAGAAAAATGCTGTAGGAACATTAATTAAGTAAACAAGGAATGACATTTTTCCTCAAATATGAGGTAGAACAAGAAGAAGATGGCCCGAACTTCAAAGACCGAGGTATACCAACAATTGTGGCGGCAATCTTTTTCTCAAAAATGCGGCTTTATAATTTTTTTCGACGACTCCGGCGCACATGTCCTTGAGAGTAATGAAGTTTCCTGAAAACGCCGATTTCACAACTGAAATTTGAGTTTATACTTCAAAAATAGTTGCAATAACTGTCACAGCTTTAAAAATCGAAGTTCAGGTCATAGGATCCAATCTATGATGAATCACATTCACTTAGTTGATTTTTTTCGGAAGTCGTTAAAGAAAAAACTTTCCTAGCTTGAGAAAATGAAGTATAGGCAATCAAAGATCATTTTGTGGTGTCTTTTTCTCGATTTCTTGCTATTCTGCGAGATTTGGAAGTATGACTGATATTCGAACGTCTAGAAGTCAACTATGCGAGAAAAGCTACAGAAAATACGCAGAACTAAAAAGATAATGAGAAATAACTGCTCGTAGTATCTTGAAAAAATGTAGAAGTTTTTTTTTGTTTCAGATCTACGAAGGTCTAAAGGTTTTACGACAAGGGCGAAGTTTCATTTTTCTAAGCGTACTGTAGATGAAAGTCCGCATTTGGCGTGTGCTCCTTGCGTGTTTGCGGAAAGCTACATCTTATCGAAATGGATTACATATATAGAAAATAGTTTAATTAGATCATTTATTCATTACAAAACAAAAACTGCAAATTAAAAAAAACGCGGAAATGGACCATTCGCAATGTGCAAACACGCCAAATGCGGACTTTCTAATACACTACTCTTCGGAAAAGGAAAAATCGCTTTTGTCCACGGCATTCCTATTGGGGTGAAGGAAGGTGAGCGAGGCGTCAAAGTTTCTGAATTCACAAAAAAAAGTAAGCGCTTCGCATAAAATGCGCTAAGTATCAAACGCTAATAACTTGTTTGTTCGATCGCCTTTGGCTGCGTACTTGAGATTTCAATTTTCGGGTCAAAAAAATTTTTTTTTTTGACGTCTTCCCACCCCATTTGGGAACGCCGTGTGTCGTAGCCACGGTCTGAACAAGATTTTTCCCTATTTAACCTACCGTTTTACTATCCTTCGCCAAAAATGAGCTCTATAACATACCGAGAACAAACGGCTTTGCGAACGGCGTATTCCTTTGGAGGGTTTCGAAAGCGTTACGGTTTTTCTTGTCGTGCACGTAGACCCTCGAGCCGTTCTCCATCAAAACGCGCATATAGTTATACCATCGGAAATTGCGAGGATTAGAATGGAGAAGTTCAAGGGTGATAGTACTGTTTAACTTGCTCAACATTTTCGGCGGAGGTATGCCAGCGCGTCGAAGTGTTAGAAAAGCTCAAAGCGAGCGAATTGACCGTCGCCATTGCCGTTTCTCCGGATCTCATTTTGGCGTTGATATTGGCGCCGGCTCGCACAAAAACTGGGAGCAACTGCGGGGACCTGAGAAAGACGCTCATTTATTGTTCACGGGAGAGGAAGAGGCGTATTCCGATTTTTTGCCGTATGCAGATGTGGAATTGGAAAGGCAGCCATTGGCTTGGCGGCCAAGCCAATTAGCCAAAAGATAGAAATAAGCCATTAATTTACGTGGTCTTTGGCAACTAGGTCGAGTACGTGGCAATAACGCCCTGAACTAATCATTATCAATTTTGTAAATTTTGAATTTTTTTTTTCGCAATTTCGTGTTAACGTTTTCAATCTGCTGTAACAGATATTTCAGCAGAAAATTTTCACTGAAACGGGTCAGTAGGCTCATTTCCAATCTCACCAAAGAACTACTAGGACCAAAACATTTTGAGATACAGCTCTCTTCCTGGATTTTTCGGTGGTATGAAAAAAAAGCCAGCGAATTTTCGAACGGGGACTTTTCCGATTTTTTCAAATCTCTAAGGAACTTTCCGACTTTTTCCCTTATATTTATCGGTTTATAAAACAGCTATATACATTTTTTTGTGTTTTAATTATGAATCAATTACCTATTTTATATACAAAGATTCAAAACGAAAAGTTTATCTAAAAAAAGTCGGAAAAGGATTAGTCGGAAACTTCTCCGTCGGAAAGTTCCCAAAAAAAAAAAAACCGTTATGTTCTAATTTTTTTAACAATTAAAAAAATTCTGATTCCTTTGTGTACACAAGCTTCATACATTGTTAGAAACAAGCTCTTCTAGATGTTAGGGCGATTTCGCCTTACAAATGACCGTCGCGCCACGCTGACTTTTGAAAAAGTCATTTCTGCCTTTTAGAGGTTTATGGCTTGGCAGGCAGGGCGGCCAGTGGGCAGCCATCTTCCACCTCTGGCCGTATGCATGAAAGTTTACGTTCACGTAACGTAAATGAGTTAAAACGGATGAAATTTTTACGTAACTTAAATGTTCTTTACGTAAAAAAGGACAAATAAGTACTTGATCATTGTTCTCATGCTGAACAACGGGAGCTTGAGAAGGATGACGATCGAAGCAAAACGATTGACCTGGAAGGAAAAGAAAAATGAAGAGTTGTACGAAAAAAGACAGACATCGATCCCAAGTGGTTTTGCCGGGTCTGTTGACCTGATGAGTGATCTTTCCATCTGAAAATCCCAGTGAAAAAAAAACTCGTTTAAGTTTTGATTTACTTCCTTAAATTTCACGGGATGGCTCAAAAGTGTTTCTGTATATAAAATTATTAAAAAAATTCAACCGACTTTATGAGTTTTTATGGAAACCTTTACACACTGCATTTTGATAATAAGGTAAGATTTTTTTCTATTTTTTTGGAAAAAGAAAAGAGTAGAATCGAGCCTTGAAGGCCTTTTGATACACGTATAGTCTGTTCATATTTTTGAATCTAAAGTCGTCACTCAAGCTCCGCCCCCTATTGGCGCGATAAACCAATCAGAGAGCGAGCCTTCCACAGAGCGTATTCGAATGACGTCATCGTACTTGACTGTAGCTGATTCACGGCTGGCTTGAGCCATCAAAAAAGGGTCCTGACACGATAATAAAAGAGAGTGTCTGTATGTTGGAGAGCGCAGACACGACACGCCCCAAGTTAGCCGTGAATCGGCTATATGTGTCATGTTGAAGCTTTCATTTTTTTTTTCAAAGCTCAGAATTTTTTTTTTTAAGTCGTAAGTTTAGATACAACAAGATCATGATCCGAATTTGATACTCAAAAAAAAGAGGTTTGGACAAAATTTTATGGAAGTATAATGAGAGGTGCTAGGTAAATAAAATCAAGCTCATTCCCAACAAAACTAATGTAGCGTCTCTTAAAAATGATGAATTTTTTTTTTGCGACAAGGCTTCTGATCCACATTGTGAACTGAACTTCTACATAAAAGTTCGAAAAATATTCTCAAAAGAAATCTGGTGAGAATAGAATATCTGAACATCTCTTCTTTCCACTTGAGCACCAAACCTTTTTATATAAACCCATGCCGAATCCACTAATACGTTCATAGTAGAAGGGGACATTTCCTCCTTTTGCTTTTTCTCGGTATCCCTGGAAAGCGCTTTAACACTGATAATACATCTTTTGAACAAACTCGCTCCAAGGCGTAGCAGATCTCTTCGAAGAGTCTTAGGGAAAACAGGAAAACGTGTCTTGTCCGGTTATCTCGCAACTGCGAAAGTCCTTCCATCAGAATTTTGTTTCGATCGTAGACCGCTAGAAGAGCTCCAACCAAATACTCGGCGACCGCAACGTCATATCGAAAAATAACTCGTTAAGGGGGACCAAAGTCCAGAGTTGTCCCTATAGGGGTGAGGGGGAAAAGAGTTCGAAAAAAGTGGAACCTACGGGAGTTTGAGTCGGACTCCTCAGCCCCTATAGGCGTCTTAAAAAACGTTTATTTGTTCAGTTTTCCCATGGAAATGCTTCTTCGCTTAGAGTTCATAACAATTATCGATTAGAATGTCCCCTATAGGGACCACTTTTGTAAGCTTTAGTGGACTCTACGGGGTTGATAAAGTGGTCTCGAAACAGCGTGACTTAAAGCCCATAAAGTTGGCCCTATAAGGATCACTATGGAGGCCCTGAGAAAGCGCGTTTCCTGCGACTAGAAACATTCTGCCTGTCTGCGTCTCTGTTTCCTCCTCGGCGAGGTCAGAGAAACATGAAAATAGCACGAACACGCAAGAGCGCCGCCGAGAGACGAAGAGGGCGCAGAGAAGTCACACTGTTCCAAGTCGCCGGAATGGACTATTTCATACGAACCTTTGATATAGAGAAACCGTGTAGAGAAAGATGGCATTGTCGCTGAAAAAAAAAATCATTTTCAGGATGAATATTTGTAATCCTATAGCCTGTATACCGTGACTTGGAGATTCACCAAACGACGTTCCGCTGTTGCGCTGTGCCGCTGCGCGCTTTTAATTTTTATCTTCTATTAAGTTACTCTACTTTCATGTGCTCCTACAGCAAGAACAATCAATTGAAAGCGTGACCTAGATTCGAAAGACGCTTCGCGAACGCACGCAGCGGAACAGCGGAATGTCGTTCGGTGAAATTTCAAGTCGTGGCACACAGACTATATTGCGTGTTTCAATGTTCAAGAAATCATAAATGTTCTCATAATTCATCAAATAAATTTCCAGAACTCTGTTGAAAATCTGACCGCATGTTCGCGGAACTTTTGAGTGCAGGCTGGCAAATGTAGCGGTACAGGGTGGTACGGACTCGGGGATGGGCGGGGCCGAGAACCCTTTCAATGATCATGAAACACTGAAAGAACAGTGAAAAAAGCAGCTTGATAAATCTGAAATTGAATTTCTTCATGCAGCTGATTCACGGCTGGCTTGAGCTATCGGAAAATGGGTCCTGGCACGAAAAGAAAAGAGATAGTGCCTGGAGAGAGCGCAGACAGGCCACGCCTTCTTAGCGTCCCAAGCTAGCGGTAAATCGACTATAACTTGAAACCGCGCACCTCGACAACACTCTTCCTTTAGCATGCTATTTTCGTTTTTCTATGACCTTGCCCAGAAGTTAAAAAAGATCAGCCCCTTTGAATAACTCCAATAATCAAATGAAAAAGCAATTACAGAAAAAAAGATTTTTCGAAGTTTTGGAATATTGAAAAGATATCTTTTTTGATTAACTCAATATTCTAAGGAAAGAAATTTTCGCGAATTTTCATCAAAAGCTCAGGGTGAAAAATAATTATCCTATCAGGTAAAATATGGATTTTGACCCATTCCAACAAACTTGAATTTTGGTGAACCACTGAATATTTTCCGCCTGTTCAAACTCTCTGTAGGAACGAGCCTCCCGAAGACAATAGTAAGCCGGATTCGGTGTAAAAACTTCATCGACCTCTATTTTCTGAACAAATTTATTGAAATCTCACTATTTCTTCTCCAACCTCCGACGGATAGACCATCTCCAAAACTCTTTTCAAGTTCATCATGCCCTTCTCGCTGAAATTATCCAAGAGAATATTCGCCGCGTTAAGTAACAAGGCCTCATTTCTCGTTTTTTCATCGTCGGCGTGGGTCAACAAGAACTCGAACACGTCGGCCTTGAAAATTACTTTTTGGTATTCATTTTTGCAACGTACAAAAATTTTTCCTACAAAAATAATCTCAATATAACTAGAGTGGTCCCTATAGGGGTCACTATGGAAAACGGACCTACGAATATGTGGTTATAATGTTAATAGGGAAAAGCTCTTTCATTCCAAAAATTTGAGCCCTGCTGACCTTGAATTTTCAGAAAGGTTTCTATAGGGATTAGGGGGAAAACAGCTCCTAAACGGGCCGAAAAAGCGGTCCCTTTAGGAGTTTAGGGTCTGACCCCTTAGCCCCTAAATCTTAAGTGGTCCCGATAGGGATTGTTAAATTTCATTCAAAAAAAGTTATTATTTCAGTTTCCCCATTAAATGCTTCTTCGCATGGAGTCCATATCGACTAGCACGTCCCCTATAGGGACCACTTTTGCGAGCTTCAGTGGTCCCTATAGAAGTTGGATCCTCCAAGAGCCCCTATGGGGGACCCCTTTAGAGTTCCTAAGTTGACCTTTTAGAGAAATTTCTGAAAAACATTAACAAAATTATGTTCAATATATGACTGAAAATTGCACTTGGGGATCAACTTTTTTCCTTAAAAGTTCCATATCGATCCAAATCTCGCCTCTGGATCATCCAAGGTGGTCGCAATAGCAGAGGAGTGAATAGCCGATGTCCCGTTTTTATCAAGGATCAATTTGGCGCCGGCTGATGTCAGAAGCTGCACGAGGAGGAGATTTTTCGCCTCTGCCGCGTAATGAAGAGCCGTTTTTCCTGAATTTTTCTTGACATTTTTCCAACTTTCATGTCCATTTACTACAATATATAGACACGGACACAAAAAAACCACTGAAAAAATTCTTTTAGGGAAAGAAATAACTGAAAAAAGCTGTTTTTGTTGAATTTCAAGCTTTTCATAGACTAAGATCCGAAAAATTCACAATTTAAGTGCACCAGGAGCAAAGAAAACACTTCATTTCAACTTTTAAAATTTTACCTTCGGGTGTAACTTCGTCGACTGAGAGACCATATTGAATCAAAATTTTGAAGCATTCTTCCTGAAATTTGTAGGTTTTTCTGAAATTTTCACAACACGGGGAGTACAAGGAACAACTATTTGAAGATTTCGGGCGGTAAATTTAAATTTTTTTAAAAATTTTTCTTCTTGAATTTTGAATTTTTCTACTCGAAAAGCAATACGGAACACGATTTCAAACAACTTTTTCTTGATTTTTCTGGATTTGAGTTTTTGTCAGAACTTGTGAATAGTGGAAAAACTTTCAAAAAAATAATGCACTAAAAAAATCAACAAAAAAATCAAAGCAGTGATATTTCTTGTTAACAACATAAGAAAACAAAACTGGAATACATAAAGATCGTTGTTCATAAAAAAATTTGTAAGGACCGATTCTTCCGTTTCGAAGAGCTCAGGTCGCATGAGACACGTCAAACCCTTGGAATCCTTTTCCTGAACGTCCATGCCTCGTTCACAAAGGTACTTCACTGAAAAATCTCCATTACAAGGCGCGAGAAATGCATTTATGAACCCATGCTTAAGTTACGTGTTTCGAATGCCGTAACAACGAGGCGTTTGCGTTTTTTCCGTTTTTTAGTCAAATTCAAGTCGAAATTATTTGCTTCTAAGAGAGCTTTGAGCACCTGAAAAAACCAAAAATTGAAAGAAGTCTTGATTGAAATTCAAAAAGAAAAAGAGAGATTGAAATATATACTTTCAGAGAACCACATCGGGTCATTGCAATATGTAGAGCTGTTACAGAGCCCTCATCTCTATAAGAACATAATGGATCAGCGCCGAGACGAACCTTCAAAAAACAACATTATAAACGAAGAATATTATGAACATCACCAAAAACCGTACGACTTGATGAAATCCCTTTTCGATAGCCATAATCAAGGGATTACTCCAAGAATTCAGGTTAAGAGACTTTTTAACAAAGTCCTTCGATTTGCTCTCGACCAAATTCTATGAAAAAAGTTTTTTTGTAAAAATGGTTCAACGATTACGAAAGATGATAAAAAAAGCAAACCAATAAAAATATTTAAAAAAATATACTTTAATCTTCTTTAAATCTCTTCTTTTAGTAGCTTCAAAAAAATCAATCGTTGGAACCTCTCGAAATCATCTTCCGGTTCGGTCGTGTAGAGCTAAATATTCAATTCACTTCTCGAAAATTTAAAAAAATGATAAAAAAACTTTATGTCAAAAAAATAAACCGCGAAGGTTTCAGTTCTTTGAAGTAGGTGAGAAGCTGAAAAAATAATTAAGGGTTCAACTAACGGAATTTGGACGAATTGGACGGTGCAGGCGGCTCATGTAGTGTCAAAAAACGAATTGCGGGACAATCAGAAGCAGTGATTATTTTTTGCCGCTCTCGCAACGTGCCTCTTCTGCACTCACAGCGACGCACTCGGTGTGCCATTTTTTCAAAAATATTTTTCGCGCGGCCGGCCCGCGTTTTTTTTTTTCGCAAAAAATTCAAATAATGTTTTTAGCACATGTATATATATGCTACGGTGTGAGGATACCTTCAGGATTTTACGATGAATGCTCAGCGTTCACTGGAAGAAAAGCGGTGCGTTTTTTTCTAAATTAATAATTCTTTCAAATGGATAGCGTCTACTGAATATGCGTATAATTTATCATTTTTTTTTAATCGTTTTTGATACTTTTCAAATGTTTTCTTTCATCTCAAAACTAAAACCCGGTCAATATATGTCGGTTTTACACAAAACACCGTCGGAACTGTGTCCGATTTACACTATTTGATAGGGCACCAATGAAAAAACTAACAATGAGAATGTTGGGAAACGAGAACAGTAGTAACAATCCGCAAAAAAATGGGCCAAAAAAACAGAAGGAGAGGTACACGATTTCCATGAAACAGTCGGCATTATTGATGAACTTTTCGATTTCTTCTTGTGGGTTTTCCGTGTTTTCTGAGTTTCTTAGGATTAAGAACGTTTTTGATAGTTTTTAAGGTTAGGAGTGAGAACTTATAATGAAAAAGAGTTGAAAATTGTTTTTTTTTTCGAAAAAGGGAAAGTAATTAAAAAAATTTGATTTTTCTTTGTTTCCATTTTTTTCCATGAGTTTCTCAACTTTGATATCAAAAATAAACAGATTAACTTTTTTTAATTTATGTTAATAAATACGCTTTCAGTTCAGAGTCTGGTTTAAAATAATAATTTTAAAGACCGATAATCAGAATTTTTGAGACGTCAGAGTTTGAAAAAAAAGCTCATTTTAGTGTCCTTTCTACATCTCCGAGCAAAAAGTTCAAATTTTACTCCTTTTTTTTCAATGTTATCCATTTTTTAAACTGATTTGTTGCCAAACTGCTAATTGAATGAAAAAAAAAATTCCTTCGCCAGAAATATATTATTTTTTCTTATGCCTGAAGTCCAAAGGAAGCTGAAAGTCCAACTCAAAAAAATTTTTTTAATTTTCTTTTTTTCCGGTTTTTTTAAGTTTCGTGACACCTTTCTGGCGTCATTATCAAGTTGAAAACAAGTAATGTAATTAAAAAAATATCCCACAGGAATAACATTACAAATACATATTCGCAAGCCATTTCTTATTCATCGCCTTGTTATGAGTGGAATGCAAAATATCTCTCTTTCTCCTTTTTTTTTGAGTTAAAAAAAATTGAAATTCGCATGGCTTTTGCTACATTTTGAAGTTCCAGACATACCATATCTTGCTTTTTTTTTCTTTTTGAATGAAAAATGTCTAAAATGTATTATTTATAGGCGAGATCTCAACGCGATTACATTCTTTTATGCTTCCAGTTTCTAGAAATTCGACTTGGTCTCATTTTTTGAACTCAAACTTCTTTTCTGGCCTTTTCCATTTCGAATTTCAATTCATCGCTTCAAAACTCGATTTTTCTAGGTAAAATGTGGCGATTTATAAGCTTGATTTCGTTGGCTTCTTGCCAAATCTCCTTCCATTTCGATACCGACCGACGGCATTCAATTTTCCCGCGCGATTCGCTCCTTCTTCCACCCTTGAGGTATCACTTGAGGGTTTTTCCAACTTTTGATATTATTTTCAAGATCGCAAGACGATGGAGTACTATCCGGAAGGCTCATTCCACTAACGGACAAATTTGTGGGTTTTTCCAAGGCGTAAATATTTAGAAATGGGGTGAAGAGTCTTTTTTAGTGGCTTTGAAGCTTGGGAAATCTTAAAAGAAAGTTTTGGGGTCCCTATAGGGGCAACCTTAGGGGCTCTTGGAGGATCCCTCTAGGGACCATTTTGCAAACCCCTATAGGGGCTACTAAAGCTTGTAAAGTGGTATCTTTATTTGACATGCGAGTCGATAACTTTCTGAATTATTTGCGTTCAAAGGCCCCTCTAGGGACCACTCCAGCTTTAGGGGCTAAGGTGTCAGACCCTAAATCCCTATGGAGACCACTTTTTGGCCCCTAACACCTACATGGACCACTTCTTCGCCCCACAACACCTCTAGGGATTTCTTAAGAACACCCTCTGAAATTCCTAAAAATATCCTTCAGATGGTCAACCGTCCATCGGTTGCCGTCGAAGAATCGCCCGTCTCCAAATTGGACCTGACCCCTCCCCCCACCACTTCAACCACCACTCCAGAACCCACCACAACGACCTCGATTCCGCCTTCAGAAGCTCAATTCCTCCAGCCTTCAGACCCGAACGAAGAAGAAGAAGCGTTCAGAGAAGGCCCCTTGGATCTCACCAGCAAATTGGCTGTGGTAGAGCATTCTCACACATTGCTCATGTTACCTCAAGTTACAGCGGCTCGCTTGGAAAGCCTTCGAAGAAGACGTCAACGAGCGAGTTGAGGAGGAGTTCATGTGGGTGCCGCTGAAGGTTTCAAGCAGCTACTTGAGTGATCTCTCAAGTGATCCCTAGGTTCTCAACGGAAATGGGCAGATTGTGTCGGGGATGCTGTACGACTTGAGTGTGCTGGCCGGCGTATCCAACTGCTCTCGATATGAAGTGAGCACTTGAGGGGTTAGGCGTCATCTAAGGAAATTTCCAGGTCTCCACTTATTCATTGCGTGATTATCATTGCGTCTATCGACAAGGAAAGCCTCGAGGGGTTAGTTTCTAGATTTTCTCTTAAAACTGATGTGGTTTTTACTGTAAAATTTGGATGGTTTTGATGAAATAAGGATGAAAAGCTGTTTTTTTTTTTCCCGAAAATTGAAAAATTTTATTCTACTTGAGCAAAAAAAACCATGCTCCCATAAATACATAGAAACTGGGCCAGTAAAAAAAATGCAAAAAAAAAATTCATCGCAGTGAAGTTGAACTTTGCTCCTCAAATTGGCACCTTAGCGTGCTAGCCACTAGGTCAAGTGAGCTTCCGCCCCTGGGCTACAAGCTTTGCGAACAATAAAGCCGTTTTCATGTATTTATTCACTTTTAAAGCCTAAAATTTGTTATTTCATCTCATTTCTTTCCAGATTTTCAACGTGCTCGTCTCCGAAAAAAGTAACCAATGGTCCCAATTCATCCCCGACTCTTCCCGGGTTTACTCTTTGCTGGAGAGACGTGTCGCCGAAGATGAATTCATCGCATGATCTTTATTAAAATACATAAACTTGTTCATAAACTCAATGTGTGAGGAGCGGATCTTCACGCCGCGGACAGTTGCAGTACTGAAAAGAAGTTGAAAGTCACATTTTATGGAATATTTTGGTTTTTCTAGAAATGGCATATGGGTTTTTATGACGGTCTTGTAGCTTGAGGTCAGCTTTTTAATAAATTCAAAAGAAAAGGTTCAAAAAGAAGACCCACCTCGGCATCATGGCCTTGCCGACCTGGAGCTCCTTGAGGTCCGATCGGACCTTGGGCTCCATCGACCCCTCGTAGTCCGGCCATTCCTTGGAACCCTGGAAGTCCGGGCTCACCGCCAGGTCCAGGGAGTCCCAAGGGTCCTTCCTCCCCTTCGGGTCCCGGTTCTCCGGGTATTCCCTGAAAATTTTCTTTGAGAAAAATGAAGTTATTGGCAGCCTTGTATGACAGGAAATGGAAAGAACATGAAAATAAGAACCTTGGGCCCAGGACGGTAGAAGTAAGCCTCAGTGTCATTCCCCTTGGATCCTCGCTCTCCAGGCGGACCGTCGAGACCGGGAGCTCCGACGGCTCCGATCTCGCCGGGCATTCCGGGCTTCCCGTTGAAGCCAGGCGCTCCTGGAGTTCCGATCGGCCCTCGTAGGCCTCGCATTCCTCGGAATCCTGGCGCTCCCATTTCTCCTGGAGGCCCTGTCGGACAGTAGATCTTCATCGAGACTGGCTCCTGGAGTTGGAAAATTTTGGAGTTCAGCAGCTTTAGGAACTCTGGAGTGGTCCCTATAGGGCAAGATTATGGGCCCTTGGGGATTCCCCTCTAGGGACCACTTTACCAACCTCTATAAAGGCCACTAAAAAGTGGTCCTTATAAGGGACATGCTGATCGATTATTCTTATCAACTCTAAGCGAAGCAGCATTTCCATGATAAAAATGAATGAAATTGAAAGACCCCTATAGGGTCCACTCGAGCTTTTGAGCCTAAGAAGAGACCCTAAACCCCTATAGGGACCACTTTGGAATTCCTAAGTCTTCACTTCAACATAAGAATACAGTAGCCACTCGAAGTACTATAAAATTTTGACCCTCAAGGGACCACTTCCGAGAAGAGTCAACTTCATTCTTTCTCACTTGGAAAGAGCCAAGGGGACACTTAAGAATTTTTGTCACTTTTCGTCGAAAAAACTGAACAAATGGAAGTGGTTACTAAAAAAAGACCCTATGATACTCTTTGAGATACCATGTACGGAAGATCGAGTGGCCCCTTGAGAGGTCGAAGACTACAGAAACATCTCTAGGATCCCTCAATAACATTCAAGTAGCCACTTCAGGGATGAAAGGGATTTTGACCGCTCAGAGGTTCTCACCTTCATCGGCCCTTCCAAGGCATCATTTCCATCCAGACCATCGATTCCATCCAATCCATCCAAACCGTCATGACCTGCAGCTCCAACGTCTCCAGGCGAACCTGGAGGACAAGGAACGATGGAGCAGGAGCACGGCTGAAGGCCTTGAAGCTTCGGAGGACGTCCGATGTCATCCGGAAATTCTCCAGACGACTCGCCCTCACTGTCGCCGGTTACGATGACGGCGGCTCCTGGAAATTCGTCAGAAGTCCTACAGTAGTTCTCTTTATTACTGTATCCGTCGTAGTCGCGACGAATTCTGGTGATGTCCACGTCTTCTCTCAGCACGACCATCGATGTCCAGATGTCATCCGTGTGAGTCTGAACTCTGACCGTCTGCGCTCTCTTTTTCCCTCGTACAGACCTTCAAGAAGCTCATCTCGTCATGTAGCTCATTGAAGAGGTTGGTGACGTCATGGAAGAGAACGGATGACGCGATGAGTGACGTCATCAGAAGGAAAGTCGTCGTCGAGATGGAGACGCAGAGAGTTCTCGCCGTCATCTCAAAATAGAAGAAAAATGAAGCTTAAACCTTTGGAAATGCCCTTAAATACGTTGAACAACTTTCAATTGGGCGGCGGTAAATCCCCGTTTTTTATTGGTTTTCGCCCTCGTCAAAACCCTTTTATGGATTCGTCCTGTTTTATCCGGCCATCTTTGCCCTGTTTTTATTGACTCTTCTCGGGTGTTATCGGCCTGTCATTTTCAATTGAAACTTGACGGATGTCACTATCTTGTTGCTCATGTTAGCCGAATCGAACTGAGGAAGTTTTGTTTCTTAACGTTTTTTAGTGCCCACTATAGGGTTTTGACGTTTAGTGGCCATTATAGTAGCCAACTTAGTGGTCACTTAAGGGGTTAAAAAATAGTGGCCACTAAAGGAGTCTAAGTGGTATTACTAACCACTAAAAAATTTTAGTGGCCACTTTAGGGGTCAATGAATCAACATAACTGGTCCAATCTGTCAAAAAATTGTCAGAATCACTGGAAGGAATACTGGATGAAAAAAATGCTGAAATAGCCACTGAATATAGAACCTCTATAGTGGCCACTAAAACGGAAAATAGTGGCCACTATAGAGGTCCTCTACAAGTAGTTCTTGACGAGCCTCTATATTGGCCACTTGAAATTTTTCTAAAATGAGTAGGGTAGCGATTCCTTGTGACTTTGGGGTAATCAAGAATTTTTTTTTCGTTTCTTGGAAGCTTTCGGCTTTAAGATCAGAATTTTATGAACTTATGCCGTAATTATGGGCCATTTTTTTTCGGTCAGAAGGTTATAACTGATCGAAGAAAGGCTGATATTGATTTGAAGAGTTTGAAGAATTCATTCCTGTTTTAACCCATCCAAAGCACTAACACACGAAGAACTTTATTCCAAATCTATCAACCAATTTCAAAACGAAGGATCATCCCCAAGGGCCTTTCGGACCTTTCGGACCGTAAGGACCGGGGTGAGGTTGGGGACCTTTTGGTCCGGGCCTCGGAGCCGATTGAACAATGCAGATATAGTTACGGCAGACGTAGTGGTAAGGACAGTCGCTGTCTCTTCTGCAGCGGTTGAACAGTTCTGAAGCGTTTCATGTAACAGAAATAAAGTTGTTCTTCTTCGGAACTTTCTCTTAATTCTTTCAGAGTCTTTTAAATTCTGGTCTGAGACTCCTTGAAACTTGAAAGTTTTTGAGAGATGCTTTTCAGAGTATCAATAAATATTATTTTTCAAAAAAGAACCTCAGAAGCTTGTAATCATCCATTTGGAGATCAAAAACTCACTTCTCTTGGCCTCGACGTTCAGGACGAGAAGCGCGATAATCAGAAGAAGGGATGGAAAAAAATCTGAAAATTTTTAAGGAATGAGGAATTTTTTAAGGGATGACCAACCTTCCGAAGCATCTTCGGTGTTGGAAAGTGACTTTAGAATTCGTTGTTTCAAGTATTCAGTATCCCAAATCGCAATTTTTAAGATAATTTGAAATTGATTGATCGGTGGGAAACATGAAATTGAATATCTTGCGAACGAGGGAAGTTTGTGAGGTGAAGATATGGTCCAAACTTCTTTTTTGGTAATCCGAGGAAAACAAGAAGAAATATATGCTAACCATAGGGTACCGAGAAATAGCCTGTCGAAAATGTACAGGAAAAGCTTAAAAACAAACTTTTTTCAGGTTTTTTCTGGAAAAAAATTCTTCTTCGTGTTTCTTATGATATAGGAATAACAGTAGATGTTTTGAAAATCGAAAAATTAGTTTTTGAACCCCTGGGAAAATTTTTAGTGGCCACTATAGAGGCTCGCCAAGGACTACTTGAAGAGGACACTATAGTGGCCACTATTTTCCTTTTTAGTGGCCAATTCAGTAGTTTTTCATCCAGTATTCCTTCCAGTAACTCTGATAATTTAAAAAAAAAACCGATTGGACCAGTAATGATGATCCATTGACCCCTAGCCACTAAAATTTCTAGTGGTCTAGTAGTAGCACTTAGACTTCTATAATGGCCACTAATTTCTAACCTCTTAAGTGGCCACTAATCTGACTACTATAGTGGCCACTAAAACGTCAAAACCCTATAGTGGCCACTAAAAATTTTCAGTAACTTTTCGACAGGCTATTTTTCAGTACCTAATGGCGCTTAGCAGATATTTTTTTTTATTTTCGATTAATCATACCTATGATTATAGTCAATGTTTCCCGACTTGAAAAGCGAGGGAGGCGGGGCAAGGGGCGGGACGCGTAGCGTGCGCGTCAGCGGTTCTTGGCACGAGTTCAATTCAATTGCCGCCGACTATTTAAAAAGCTCGGCAACCGCTCTTTTTCAATGTTTTCTACTATTTTTTGATGCAAACATGGATATAATCAATAAATAATTGAAAAAGGTATGAAAAGAGCAAAAAATGGGCTTTTCAAAGAGTCGATGGCGGTTGAATTGGAAACGTGCCAAGGACCGCGAACGCACACGCTACGCGTCCCGCCCCTTGCCCCGCATCCCTCGCCTTTCAAGTCGGGAAACATTGACTATATCTATCACAGAAGTTTGAACCAAATCTGCGATTTCCACCCCACACACTTTCCTTGTGAGAACTTGAACACGTGAAAAATTTTATTCCAAAAAAGGGTTTCGAATTATCCCTCAGGCGGAGTTGGAGGTCTTGGTCGGAATAGAGGAAAGCAGATGCGGTTGCGGCAAATGTAGTTGCGAGGACAGTCTCGGCTGGTCACGCAGGAGAAGTACGATTCTGAAGGCTTTCATGTAAGGTTCGCTCTTTCGAATTATAGGTTTTTTTTTCTGATTTTTCTAAAGTTTCCAGGCACCAAAAGATTACTATAAAGAGGATCAAAAATCACTTCTCTTGCCCTCGACGTGATGAACAAGGCTGAGGAATGCTATAATCAGAAGAAAGGAGGGAAAAATCTGAAAGTTCCAAGGGATGAGGAATTTTTTAAGGGATGACCAACCTTCCGAAGCATCTTCGATACTGGAAAGTGACTTTAGAATTCTTTGTTTCAAGTATTCAGTATCCCAAAGCGCAATTTTTTAAATAATTTTATGTTGATTGATCGGTGGGAAACGGGAAATTGAATATTTTCGTGCAGAAGGGGAAGAATGCCAGTCTCCATGAAGGCCCAAAAGGTAGAAATGGAACTTCAAGTGTGGTTAAATGTCCTTAGCATCTAGAAGCTGTTGTTTTGAGCATTTTATAAAACTTGTGTAGAAAAAAGGGAGAGATTATCTGTAAAAAGCCCAAAACAAACAATTTCTTAAGCCTTTTCCGCCCAACTATAGAACATTTTTTTACCCCCCTCGGTTGAACTTTTTGATGAAACTTTGTTGAAGTGTACTTAGGACCTCCTGATTCCATAAAAAGAAAAAAAAAGCTCGTGATAGATTTGGTTTCCGAGTTAAGACGCTTCAAGATTCCAAAACAACGCCTTTTTTGCCATAATTTGCGTGAACTTTGAAGCTTCATAACTCGAAAACGAGACCTATCACGGGTCATTTTTTTTCTCTTCTAGAATCAGGAGGTCCTAAAGTATACTTCAGCAAAGTTTCATCTTTCAATCTGAGGGGGTGTAAAACGTTCTCTAGTAAATATACCTTCTGGTGAGGTTGGAATACCTCTTTTTTTGGAAGCTCTTGCTGAAATTTTTCTGACAGCATCTTACAAACGTTAAATAACACTTACAAAAAAAGGTACTCCAAGTCATCCCTATGACGTCATCTTGCTTTTTTTTACAGAACTGGTCCCCCCTTCATCGGTGCCTTCTCAATCCTCCACCTCTGTCTTGGTAATTTGTTTTTTTTTTGCTCCATTTCCAACAAGAACATGTGAAAACTTCATTCAAAACATTGTTGAATGAGTTTCGATTTATCCCCAAAATGGGTATTGTGGACGTGGTTGTGGAGTCGTTCGAGAGGTGCAGACAAAATTACGGCAATAAAAGTTGAGACGACAGTCGCTGTCCTTCCAACAATTGTAAGGCCAATCTGAAGACTTCCTTTAATTTTGGATCTTCAATTTTTCGTTTTTTTTTACTTTTCATGGTCTCACGGCGTTCCCAAACGTCTCAAGTACGCAGGCAAAGACGATCGAACAAATGAGTTAGTAACGTTGAATACTCAGTGTAATTGGTGACGTCATATTATCCGCAGCGCGCACTAAATCCTTTTTTTAAATTCCCCCCTCACCCCACTAGGAACGCCGTGTACCCTCCCATATAGAAATATGATCATGAAAACCAAAAAATCACTTCTCTTGCCCTCGACGTGATGAACAAGGCTGAGGAATGCTATAATCAGAAGAAGTGAGGGGGAAATCTGAAATTTCCAAGGGATGAGGGATTTTTAATGGGATGACCAACCTTCCGAAGCATCTTCGATACTGGAAAGTGACTTTAGAATCTCTTGTTTCAAGTATTCAGTATCCCAAAGCGCAATTTTTTAAAATAATTTGATATTGATTGATCAGTGGGAAACGTGAAATTGAATATTTTCGTGCAGAGGCCTAAAAGTAAGGCCCAAAAGGTAGAAACAACTTTTTTAAGTGCGGAAAAATGACACGAACATCTTGAAGCTCCTTTTTTTTGAGAAAATTACAATACCCGTGTAAAAAAAGAGAGAGGTTATCTGTAAAAAGCCCAAAAAATCTCTCGAACTTCTTCCGTCTAAATATACCTTCTGAGAATGGAAAGGCACTTTATTGATTTTTTTTTTTGCGGAAACTTCTTGCTGAAACTTCTTTAAAAGTGAACACTTTCGAAAAAAAAAAACAATCGAAAAAAGGCAAAAATTGAGAATGATCTATTCAGACCGTTATTGCCGCGATTCGCAAAAAACGCGTTTGAAAAAAAGAAAAATTTTTTTAATAAAAAAAAGTTGATAATTGTTAAACTAGGCCTAGTGGAAATAAAGCAAACAAAAAACTTTATTCTAATTCAGAAAAGTTTAAAAAAAAACAGCTCAAGAAGTGCGGGACGCAGAAATATGTGCTGTTTTTGGAATTTTCCTTACTTCCAGTTAAATCGCAAATCGCTACTCCGAGAAGTCATTTTGAAATTTTTTCTCCGCCTTTTTTAGCGGAAATGGTCTTCCCCACGCTTCAGGGGTACCTTCCCGATCCTCTACTCTCTGTCTTGGTGAGTTCTTTTGCTTCATTTCCAACAAGAACATGTAAAAACTTCATTGAAAACATTATCAAATGAGTTTCGATTTATCCCCAAGGTCCGTATGGGAATTTTGGACCTGAAGGTCGTGGAGCCGATCGAAGGGTGCAGACGTGATTAAGGCAATAAAAGTTGGGAGGACAGTCACGGTCGCTTTTGCAAGTGTAGAACGATTCTGAAGACTTCATTTTTGTTCTTCGATTTTTCGTTTTTTTTTTTTTACTTTTCAAGATCTCACGGCGTTCCAAAACGGGGTGGGAGACGTCAAAAAAATTCTGATCCTGGCGCGAAAATAGAAGTCTCAAGTACGAAGGCAAAGACGATCGAACAAATAAGTTATTAACGTTGAATAAGTGTAATTGGTGACGTCATATTATCCGCAGCGCGCACTTACTTCTTTTTGTAAACTCCCCCTCACCCCATTAGAAACGCCGTGTACCCTCCTATGTAGAAGTATGATCATGAAAACCAAAAACTTACTTATCTTGCCCTCTACGTGATGAACAAGGCTGAGGAATGCTATAATCAGAAGAAGCCAGGAAAAAGTCTGAAAATTTTGAAGGATGAGAGATTTTTAATGAGATTACCAACCTTCCGAAACATGTTCAACGTTGAAAATGATTTTAGAAGGGTCTATCCATTGCTTCGAACATCTAGGATCCCAAACCGCAATTTTTAAGATAATTCAAAATTGATTGATCAATGGGAAACGTGAAATTGAATACACTTTGGTTAGATACTCATTTCTGACAAAAACATGGGAACAACTTTATTTTGAAATTTAGAAAGTCACGGGGAACGGCAGGCACCGTGAATACAGAACGACAGCAAAGGGCAATCGTTGTCGTCATTGCAAGAGAAGAAATTGGAACGTCTCCATCCTGGAAAAAATTAAATTAGCCGCTTCATTGGGCAGTTTTTTAATTGTTTTGACGAAGGTTTTCTTTCTTTGATGGCTTGGGTAGCGCAACAGGTTGTGTGTCTGTCTACGGTCCACAGGGTCACAAGCAGTAAAAAATGGAGTTTCAGGTGAAAGCAGTATCTTATACAGTTTTTCTTGGCGAATCGAATGGTGTACTAAAAAAAATTACAGATGTGACAACTTTAGAAGAAAAACGCGATTTTACTTTCCCGCTTTAATTTCGAAAAATGCTTTGGATCGGTATACGGACAATCGAAACCTGTTTAAAAGCATCATTTTTCCCGAGAAAAGCATTTTGCGAACAAAGTTCTCAAATTTCTTATAATTAGAAACTTTTGAGGAGGAAAAGAATTTTAGTGACAACAGAAAAAATTAAAAACTAAAAGAAACGAAGAAAAAAGCGAAAATGCGAAAAATGGCGAAGCATGTTGGCCATAGAGCAACTTTACTGCAAAACGCCTTTTTGGCGGAAACTCAAGCTTTCCTTTCCCCGACTTTGAATCATTTTCTCTCCAAAACTAGGAAGTTCGCTATATTTCCAAGTTCACCGTTTGATTCGCAATGAACAGCTCTACAAAGAACTGCTTTGAACTGAAACACCGTTTTTTACAGCCCCTATGCCTTTAAGTAATCTTAATTTCACCTTTGTTGGCTTCGACAGGAAGAACAAGGCTGAGACAAGCGATGATCACAAAGAGCGAAGTGAAAACCTGAAGGTTCTGAGTTATCGGTATATTTTTTTGAAGTCACCGACCTTCCGAAGCATCTCTGACGTTAGAGAAGTACTTTCCAGCAAACTATCTGTTATTTGAAACGTTCAGTTTCCCAAATAGCAATTTGAAGTATAAATTTGACTTGATTGGACACTGGGAAACATAAAATTAGATACCTTATTAGACACCTGATTTTTGAAAACATTCAGGATCCCATATAGCAATTAGATACCTAATTTTTGACTCATTCTCGATCCCAACATTCAAAAATTACAGAGAAAAATAAAATTTATCAATAATCAATTGATTAGGATTTTTCTCAAGCCATCGGAAGTGTGCAGACGTTGTCAGTACAGGCCCAAGTCGGAGGACAAACCGTGTCGTCTTCACAGGAGAAGAATTCTGAACTTTGGTGGCGTTAAAATTGCAATAATCTTGAAAACGCGCTCCTCCGGACAGTGGTTTTTACTCAGGAAAGCCAAACGCGCTCCGGACGTTTATGGGCATTTCCGGTGACCACTTTAGTAGCGTCAGCACTCTTAAGTGATCCCTAGAATCGCCCAGAAGGGTCCGGAGCACGTCTAATGTTTGAGCTAGAACCTCGGTAACGGAAAACGAAATTTCTGTGCAGGGATCACTTAAGAGCGCTGACGCTACTAAAGGGGCCACTAGCAATGCTCTGACAAGTCCGGTTCGCGCTACCAAGATCCGAGATCCTTTAGTAAGATCTTCTGGAGAGAAGTGTGAAAATATTTTTCAAAAATTACTTCTCCCTCCTTCGACAGGAAGAACAAGGCTGAGGCAAGCGATAACCACAAAAAGTGGAGTTAAAACCTAAAAGTTACAAATTCTAGGGGTTTTTTTAGCCGCCGACCTTCTGGAACATCTCAGATTCTGAAGAATATTTTTTTACATCAAACTTTTTTGTTATTTAAAAAAATTTCAGGGTCTCAAAAAAAGCAATTCCCAAAGTAATTTTGTTTCTATTAAACAATGGGAAACGTGAATCTTGAGATTTTGCGTCTCTAGAAGAACTACAATAGCGAAAGATGCTTCTGAAAGTGAGTTGTTTGATTTTTACGCAGCAATTTTAATATTTAGATCCTCCTCACGATTATGGTGATACTTATTGGATGCATTGTGACGTCGGAAGCTAGATTACGTTGGTTTTCCATCGTGAAAGACCGAATTTCTTTGGTTTTCAGCTTCGTATTTCCCGTGCTTAGACAACAGGGACTGTCCTGTCCTGTTCTTTTGCTTCGATCATCTTTGCAAACAGCCTCAATATGGCTGAACATGCCCTTTTTTCTTGCCCGTTTGAAATAAATGTTAAACTTTCAATTTCCAATGGGTTGCGCCCTCTTCATTGGGAAATAAAAAATCGCCGCGAAATGCAAAAAAAGCTTCAAACAAAAAAAGGAAGATTATAAACAACTCCTGGGCTATGTCAAACCGTTTCGCGTTTTGATAAAATACCGGTTTGGCACACTGTAGGTTTTAATTGTGCATACACCGATCGCTATTTTTGGGCGATATATTCGTTAAAAACAAGTTTTTTGCATGGAAAATGAACAAACTCGAAGAAAAACACAATTAGAATTTTTAATGATATAAGTTAAGTTCAAACAATTAAGTTATTGCAAACAACAAGTCTTAGAAAATTGCATAATCTGAGGAATCCTTTTTGGAGAGCAAAAAATCGTATTCTCTGTAATTTTTTTTTGGAAATCCATCTATCAATGTCAAAAACAGCCGTGTTAATTTTATTAGACAGAAGAAATCATCTTGCCAAGAAATCAGCGTATTTTCTCCATGGAGCGCGCTTGCCATTTTGAACCTTTTTATGCTCCTTCAATTTGTTTTCTCACAAGCCGTTCAAAGTTAGCAATTTATGATAATTTCTTTACTTTTCAATCGAAAATACGCCCTTTTAGAAAACACTTGAATCGAGAAGTGTGCATTTTCTCAAATTTATTCAAGGTAGCTTCAACTCTGATTTTGTGAAATCATTTGTTTCTCGAGATCTCGACTTTATCAACGCTCTTCAGTGCAATTTTTCCGTTTCTGTTCTCAAAAAGCTTTTTGGGAACAAAACTCTTATCTTGATATGCCATGAGAACACCAAAACATGATATTTCAAAAGTTACATTATTCTTTAAACATTCCTTGATTTCACTCATCGACGTCGTGTTTACTAAGAAGCGGAGGAAGAATGATATCAGGGAATGTGATGTAGGGCTGGCACAAGTACCGGATGCAAACGTGGAACCAAGGACAGTCGGAATGGCTAGAGCACGATTGAGGACTCGGACCAACTGGAAGTCAAACATTTTTTTTTTCTTCATTGATTTTAAAAACATACATGCTTCGACTCCTGTACAAGAGTGAAGAAAAACCAAGAGACAAGGGAAGAAAACCTGGAAATAATCAGCTTTTCAGAATTCAGTAGTGGAAAAAACTCACTTTCAGAAACATTTTCCGCAAGAAAATGTTTCTCTAGTTTGTTTCCATCCTTTTATGCGCTTTTTCTGCGTCCCAGCCAATGATTAGAGGACGTTTTCGAATCAACTTTTAGGTGTATGAAAAAAAAACTGTGAAAATTAGGCAAAAAAAAAAATTTAAAAAAAATTTTTCGTCTTGTATCTTTTTAAGGCTCAATGGACTTCAATAGACGGTAAGAATTTTCATCAAAAACTTTTGTTGGAAAATATATCCCACATTGCATACAATTCTGAACTTTTTTCAAGAAAGAGTCTACTGACAACAAAGAACAATGAAAAAAAGAACTTTTTTTTTCGAAAATCTTGTTTAAAACGACATAAAATAGTGAATTTCAACATTTTTTTCAATATCTTCGAAACTTCATCATTTTTTTCCAAGAAAAAAATTGGCAAAAAAATAAATTGAACCAAAAAGGATTCGAACTTTCATCATACGTTTCACAACGCAAGGCCGCTAGCCACTACACCACGCCGCCTGATGGCAGCTAGAGTTAGCCGCCGCAACACATTCTCTTCCCTCTACCAATGCATTTTTTGCGTGCAAGCTTGGAGGCGCCCTGACTCGACTAGAACCAAAAAAGCGCACTTTTTTTTCAACTGCTTTGGATCCAGGGTGTTCGGAAGTACCTATATAGCAAATTTCACTAAATTCCAATACCGCGACCTTTTGCACTTCCCATGTCACACGGCGTTCTGCGTAGTGGAAGAAAATGTACAAATTTTGAAAATGCGGAGCGGCTTCGAAACGTTGCTCCACCTAGATTTACGGTAGACAGCTTGCGCGCGAACATTTGAATTTCTTGTTGCTCAAGTGCTTCACGTGATTTTTCATGTTTATTTCAGTTGTATCTTTATCTATTTTGCTCTGATTTACGGTAATTATTTTATATTGACAGCAAAATGCGAAGGAATTTTTTTTTCAATTTTCAATATTAACTGCTGGGTTTTGACAAAATTTCCCCTTTAAAGCAAAAAAAAAAGCCTTTCAGCAACATTTTCAGTGTCCTATTAAATTTTTTATTCGAATCAATCAATCTCTTCATTTTCGCAACATCAGAATGGTGTGGCGATGTTGCAGAGGAGAAAAAATACCACTAGGTGGATGAACTAAACTAAATCTGTAAAGAAAACTTTTTTTTAAATTTTTAATAAGTGGGAAAAGACACATAGAACCACAATAAGTCATTTTCGGCACAGAATTCCACGTTTTTCACTGGAAAAAGGACTTTAACTAATTATGAGGGTGAAAGGTATAAAAGTATTCAGAAAATAAGAAAAACTTTCACCCAAATGTTCTTTTGTCAACTAGAAAAGGAATTGTGAAAGGATCAATTTTTTTCACGTCTATAGTTTTGAAAAAAACGCTATTTTTTTCGAGGATTATTTTTCGAATTAAATGAGTATGCGAACGCCGTGGTCAGAAGACTAATGGTTAAAATTTCTCTCTTGCTTTCAAGTGCTCACCAAAGTTTCAATTTGATCCGCGTAGAAAGTTTAAAAATCAATTAAAAGGTTATAAATTCGAACATCCACATTTTTAACGTTTTATTCAGTAAACGGTGAATAGTCCATGGTTAGTAATTATCAGTAGTCAGTTGTGGTTTTCTCAATAGAGGCTTCATTGGTCTGGGACTTCCGTCGGTGGCGATTGAGTAGCCGTGCTGGGTTCCACCAGCTCAAAAACGTTCTGCAAAAGATTTTGGCTCAAAAAGTGGATCTCTTGGGGTTCTCCTATCAAGTTTTCGACGAATTTCCAATTTTCCCACCCTATTTTCATACTAAGCTAAGAAATAAGAAATTGGCCACGACTAGAAACAGAGTGGTCGCACTGGGAATGGCTCAACGCTCCTTGACATCTTCACGCGCACGCCGTTTCAAGTCGGGGTTTCGTTTTGAAGGATTCGGAATGTTTAGGGCGTTTCCCAGTATGGCTTTCGGGTCTAAATGCACGAGAGAAAGATTCAATCAAAAGGTCACCTCTTTGGGAACGCTCGGTTGCAAACTGTTCAGCATTTTGCTGTTTTCAAACTCCATTTGGCACTCCTCTCCCGGAAAATCCTGTAAAATAATCATTTTTGAAAAGAAAAGTTGGATTTCTAACCTCTTTCAATCCTCTGACTACCTTGTTGAGATATTCAACAACCTGAATGTTCTTTTTTATTATCACATCCTTTTTTGAGAGCTTCAATCTACTGTTTTTTTATTCTGTGATTAATAAATTGGATTTTTTTCGAGTATCCTTTTTTTGAGGAACGAAAAAGAAACCGCAAATTTAATTATATATTCAATGTTTCCCGACTTGAAAGGCGAGGGAGGCGGGGCAAGGGGCGGGACGCGTAGCGTGTGCGTTCGCGGTCCTTGGCACGTGTTCAATTCAACCGCCATCGACTCTTTGAAAAGCCCGTTTTTCTGCTCTTTTTCATACCTTTTTTTCAATTATTTATTGATTATATCCATGTTTGCATCAAAAAATAGGAGAAAACATTGCAAAAAGAGCGGTTGCCCAGCTTTTTAAATAGTCGGCGGCAATTGGATTGAACTCGTGCCAAGAACCGCGAACGCACACGCTACACGTCCCGCCCCTTGCCCCGCCTCTCTCGCCTTTCAAGTCGGGAAACATTGACTATAAACCGCATGACCGTTTTTTGATAATTAAAGATTAAAGGACTGAAAATTTTTCTGTAGAGCATTTTAACTTCTCGAAAGGGTAGCTCAGTGACTTTAACTCAAATACAATTTTAGGGAATACAGATTTTTCAATTTTTGGGGTTATTTCGTGTCGCACTGAAAAAAGAGGCTATACCCTATACATGGGCGGCCTGTAGATCGGGTGGTAGGCAAACAGACTACTCTCCACGTAGACGCGAAGAGCTTCAGGGGCACGACTGTGCACTTGAGGAAACTGCCCGGCAACAATCTGCAAAAATGGGGAGTTTTTTTCGTAAAAAATAAAAAACCAACCGCTTTGCGTGCTTCCGAATTTTTCAAATTAGGATACGGCTCCTGACATCGGTTAAAGACTTGGCAAACGAAATGCTATAATAAGTTTTCAATTTAGCCATAGAAAACTAGTTCTGAAGAAATAGCCTCCAAAAAAAGATCAGAATGTTGTCAAAATGCTCCAAAATACTCAAGACTACATGCTGTACAATTTTTGAGAATGCGAACTTGGCCGCAGAAAAATGGTTGTGAAAAGAATTGATATTTATAGAGGTAATGGTTGCCAAAACACCCAAATTCGCATTTCATTTTATTTCGATACTCTTATTGAAGGACGTTCGAAATTTCGGTGGGAAGCTTCCTGAAAAATGGCTAGAATACTGCTAGACGTACCAAGTGAAGGCCCCGAAAGTTTCAAACTGCACAACTCTTCAGTTTTTGAGAAACGGAGTCGAAGACAAAATTCAAATCTTTCTAGTTTTTGTGAAACTCAGACTAGAAGTGTCAAGAGTGAGAGACTTTCAGGCATCCCCTCTGGCACATCGAGGAATATCCTGAGCAATCACCAGATAGTTCTCAACCTTCCTGGCCAGATATGAACAAAAGGAAAACCCCGAAGGCGTAAACGTCGGATTGAGTATTGAAGGCAAAGTCGACCAAGCACTCGGGCGCAAGATACTTCGTTGGAAGGTTTTCCGATTGGACCATTTGGTAATACAAGCCCTTCACTGATAGCCCAAAGTCGGACAATTTGGCCTGAAAACGTGTGTCAATCAATTTTTGGCAGGTTTTATGGAAATACCGTTCCTGTTGCGTCTAACAGACAGTTTCGGGCAGCGATGTCGCGGTGCAGGATTTTAGACTCGTGGAGATAGAGTACACCGCGGGCGGCGTCAAGGCAAATCCTTGTTAGGTAGAAATTCGACGCCTTCTCAGATTGAGTGGCCAAGTAAGTGCTCAGAGCACCGCCTTCAAAAATGATATCAAATGAAAAATTAAAGGTCGTTAAGCTCAAAAGAACAAGACTTCTACTAAAGCTTTCGGCGGAGAATGACCAAAAATCAGAATTTCGAATGTTAGGCAGTCCAAAACAGATATTAAACACAATTCCAAAACTAACACGTTTTTTGTTTGAAATGAATTTCCAAAATACGCGGTACTGAAATCTCGAGAGCTGTACGAAAAATTGGGTCCGACGAGCGACTTTTAAGGGCGAGTTCGAAACCTTGGCAAAGTGTACATTAATCCAAAAATTGGGACTTAGTGCGCTAAAGTCGCCATCTCGTTGTGGGACCCAACTTTTCTCACAGCTCCCAGAGTTTTGCATAATCACTTCGAAGGAAAAACTCATCATTTCTCAATTGTCAAAATTACTTGGAACACGGTATAGTCAATGTTTCCCGACTTGAAAGGCAAAAGAGGCGGGGCAAGGGGCGGGACGCGTAGCGTGCGTGTTCGCGGTTCTTGGCACGTGTTCAATTCAACCGCCATCTACTCTTTGAAAAACCCGTTTTTCGCTTTTTTCATTCCTTTTTCAATTATTCATTGATTATGTCCATGTGTGCATCAGAAAATAGTAGAAAACCTTGAAAAAGAGCGGTTGCCGAGCTTTTTAAGTAGTCGGCGACATTTTAATTGAACTCGTGCCAAGAACCGCGATCGCACACGCTACGCGTCCCGCCCTTTGCCCCGCCTCCTTCGCCTTTCAAGTCGGGAACTATTGACTATAATGATCCGATCAATTTCAAGATTTTAGGAAGAAACTGACCAAAACTCGGTTGAGATATCGAAAATCTAGGCTCTCCAATTGAAAATATCTATCAAAGTTTCTTAACTGGTCCTTCTCATAATATTTTCATAAAGATTGGAAGACATGTCGTTAGGAACCCTCACCTGCACAAAATTCCAAGACTAGTTGAATTGGACTGGAGTCAAAACAGAATCCGTAAGTGCGGACGATGTTGTTGTGCCTCAAATGTGTTGATATCCGCCCTTCTATAAGAAACTTCCGCTCCAGTTCGAGCTTCTCCGGGTGATTTTTCTTAATCTGAAAACCATCAAATTACGTTTTTTGTCCTCACAAGTGAAGTGTTTTTGGTGGCCGGTTGAACTTTTGATGAAACTTCACTGAAATGTACTTTAAGACCTCCTCTTTCCAGAACACGAATAAAATTACTCGCAATAGATCTCGTTTTCGAGTTATGAAGCTTCAAAATTTACACGCTGATTAAGTGCTGCAAGGCAAGAGGGAATGTGGCTCGCGTACGATTCCTCTACTCTAGTTGCCAGCGTGGTGTAGTGGCTAGCATCCTTGCACTGCGGGGTTTATGACCGGGGTTCGATACTTTTAGAAGAAATTTTGTTTTTGCCAAAACTTTCCTAGGAGCATTTCATCGACATTGTTGAAATCAATAAGACATTTATTTCCGAATTACCATTTTTTTCATTTTGATTCGGTAAACCGATTAAAAAGCTTTCTTCCGCTTATAAACATGATGAATTGTCCCTTTTTTTTTGGGTAAAACAGCTCTACATGTCTTTTAATCAGCGTTTCAGTCTAGTTGATAATTTAAAAGAAATCAAATAAAAACTTACGCCACACAAAAATGAGTAAGTCTCCTCTAGAATCTTGAAAAAAAAAGTATGGTTTGTCGAAAGTCTTGGTAAATCGAGTAAAATGTGAAAAGTTGTTATTTTGGAAAGGAAGTTTCGGTCCATTTCCCCAATTTCGATGAATTCCTCCTAGAAAAGTTTTGGCAAAAATGAATTTCTTCAAAAATTTTCGAACTCAGGTCATAGACCGCAGTGCAAGAACGCTAGCCACTACACCACGCTGCCAAATGGAGGAGAGGAATCGTACGCGAGCCACATTTCCTCTTGCCTTGCAGTTGCTTCAGCGTGCAAACTTTGAAGCTTCATAACTCGAAAACGAGATTTATTGAGAGAAATTTTATTCGTGTTATGGAAAGAGGAGGTCTTAAAGTACATTTCAGCGAAGTTTCATCAAAAGTTCAACCGGCCACCAAATTTTATTGTAATCTACGACTTTGACAGGACTAGGATCATGTTAACTGAAAAAAAACGCATCTGAACGGTTCTAGTAATCACTTAAGAGCACTACCGCCGCTAAAGGGATCACTAGGATTGCTCTGAAGCGTTGCCGTGATCCGAAGTCTTCGAAACGTTTGCTCCCCATTTTGAACAAGTTTACCTCCAAGAGTTAGAACTTCTACCGTTCAAAGCACTAGAAAATGCTCTAAAAAGGGGCGATTTCATCTTAATTTTCATTTCATTCGCCGATGCCTTGGGAATTCCTTGGATTCACAAATCAACACTTTTTTTAAATCTCGACCAAATAGTTATCCTACACTTTTTTCTCTTTTCATAAAAAAAAATTCGTTTTTCAAAGACCTACTGTCTTGATGGCCGCCTTTGTGCTCTCAAATGCCGGATGGGCGATATCGGCCAAAGCGACATCGCCATAGGCTCCGCACCCGAGCTGCAAAATTCGGAAACGATAATCTCTAATTGGACAGAAAATTGAATACTTTGGCTCTTGAGTTTTTGAAAAAAAAAAGATTAAATAATTAATTTTTGCCGTTATATTTAACCAAAAATAATTCTTGTTTTTAGTAAAGTTTTCTTCGAAAAGTCCTCACTATAGACAAAATCTTTATTTGGGACGAACGGAACGAGCCATACTGACGATTCACAGGGTTCCGAAGCCAGAACTCTTGTGGTTCCTGAAAAAAGGAAGGGATAGCTGTGAAGATTTGAATTTAAAAGTTCACGTAAGCCAATTTCTTATTTCATCGGCAGAGCGCAAGTTTGATGGCTGTTTTCTTAAAGTATTGAAAAGTTTAGCCGTGGAGCGCAAAAGATCAAATTTCGACGGCGTTTTTTTTAAACTCTCTATTTTCATTTTAAATGACCACTTTTTTGACCCTTGATGTTAATTTTGAACGTTTTCGAGACTTTCAGAAAAAAAAATTGAACCCCATGGGCGTTTTTTCTCAATTTTTAACTGACTCACCTCTAGATTGCCGAAAAGATGGTACGCCAGGAGACATTTAAGGTTTGGAAAATATTTCTCCTCGTCAATGGATACGCCGTTTTCGTCCTCTTCGATAATGTAATGCCGTACAAGAACTGTCTTTTCATCTACCACTCGAGGCTCGGATTCCAAAAGCGTATTAAACGTGTTCCTCTTGCCTGAAAAAAAATCAGATTGAACTTGAAGATATTTTTTGATATTCCGGAATTTTTTTGGTTTTTGTGGCTCAAAGTTAGGGCTACGAAGGACATTTATCCAATGTTTACATCGTTTATCTTGAAATTGAGGAACTTTTGAAATTCCCCCTGCATGCTGTCATTCCAACTGCCGCAAGAGTCAAGCTCATTTTTGGTCGCATTTGGAATGGCTTTTTTCTTGACTTTCTCGTAGCTCTTCGTAGGCGATTCTAGCCATTCCAAAAGTTTTTTTCCAAAATTGTTTTGAAATTCAAACCGCTTCTGGAATTCCTTTTTTGATCAACTCTTACGAAATGAGAAACTGATCTTTTCTGAATGCCACCTTGCTTTCAAACGATTCTCAATGTGAAAAGATGGTCATTTCAAATGCATCTTTCTTGATTTGAACTAGAAATTGCTTGGTTTTTTCAGCTCAATAGAGCATTTAGAATGTCTTTTTATCACTAAGACTATATAACAGTTTTTTCCCCAATAGTAGAAAACTTCATATAAATTCCATGTTTCCTCACCATCTCCCTCTTCTTGTTTCTGCTCGTTCATAAAAACCTTCTTCCAGCCTCTCCGTTCGTTTTCTTGCTTGTCCCTTAGCTTACTAGACTGCTCGAACGTGAGTCCAACGCTGAGAATTACTCTAACTTTATCGTTTTCTGAAAAATGTCGATTTTCGAAACTTGATCCAACATGTTTCCACCGGATTACCCTCTACAAAGCGTAAAAGGAAGTCTCCTGCAAATGTCAAAAGCTGGACTGTTTCAAAAGCTGGCAGATAGCTGAATTTGATAATTTTAGACTTTTTTGGAAATTAGTCATCAAACCCATGGAAAAAAGGTAACGTGCGCGCAAAGTCTGAGGCTGACAGAACTTTTACTACTTCTCGTTGTGGAATCTTGGGAAGCGGCACGAGAACCTCGTGGATCGTTACTTTAAAAAAGTTCAGTTAGAGACCTCAAAGCCCCTTTTCAGGATATAATTTTGGCTCGGTTCGCAACTTCCGTACAAACGCAATATTCAATTATGCCGGAAGAAAATTGGTGGAAATATACAAGAAACCTTCCTCTTTCATCTTATTTGTTAGTTTGGATGGGTACCAGCGGATTGTCGTACGAAAAACGACTTTTTGTATAGTCAGTTTTTCCCGACTTGAAACGAATCAACGCAACCACAAGTAACTTGACCCAGGAAAAAAAATTTTGAAAATATGGTCCCTAATCATGTCGAATAATCATTTGAAATGTCAAATTTTGATCTATCAAAGTGTCATTATGAACCCAATAGTCCAAGTTTTGATCTTTCAAAATGCTCGAAAAATCATTTTTGCAGACTCTAGAAAGAACACAGTGTAAAAAAATAATTCTTAGATTTTCGATTTCAATCGAGAAATATCATTTCCCACTTAGTTACCGTTTTCGCGGTTTTTTCTTTGGAAAAAAATTCACCAATCACAGGCGTCGGGTGTTTTGATTCTGTAGGATGACGGCTCGGAGGCTTTTTGGCGCTTTTCGGCTTGAAATTTTTTGCCTGAAAAGTTTTTTACATATCTTAAGGATAGAAAAAAAGGGATTTTTTTAAAATATTTAAGGATTTCGGGGAATCCTAGATATGCCCCTAACAACCTCGAATCAATAGCGACTTAGCTGGACCCCTCGCGGGCTTCTTATTGTTGGAAAAATCTTATTAATTTCGCAACGAGTTTGAACGTTTTTTGAATTTTCGTTTTATTTTTCAGAGAGACAATTATAGAAAAAAAGGGCTCTAACTAGGGCATGGTCTCCGCTCGACAACGAGTTGAGAATTGAGACTTTGTCGAAAGTTTTCCAGCGCGGATATGGCCGCGCTCGGAGCCTTCGGCAAGCAACTGGCGGCGTGGTGTAGTGGGTTGTGGTCTCGTGCAATATCAATATAGTGACCATGGTTCGAATCCTTTTTGGCGGAAATCGTTCTTGCCTGCTCATATCTTCATTCCTTTCACATTTTTTTGGGATATTTTTTTATCAAAAAAATTTACATCAAAACTTGAAAAAAATACATCAAAAATAAGTTTTTTTCTTCTCGTGTTGAGGAACTGTTGAGCAGGTTATTCTCAAATATTTTTGTTGGATGACAGGCGATCGGCAGCATAGTTATTGAAGTTAAGCTTCTTACGCCCAAAATTCTGTTGGAATCTTCGAAAATCGCCATATCTTCTGACACTTGGAACGCGAAATCGAACGGAAAAGTTTAATTTTAGTTGTTTTATCGTGTTACTGTGTTTTCGTTTAGTACACACGTATCCAAAAAACAGATAATCGCTTTTTAAAAAAGCTCAATGTTTCATAGCATATCTACTCGACGTGAATTTTCATAAACAGATCGTTTTCTTGATCGTTTGCCCATGAAGTAGAGGAAAAAAAAACGAAAAAAAAAATTTCAAATCAGTATTTTGTTTTTTATTGTGATTTTTGTGAATTTTTATTATAGATTTTTGAAAAATATATCCCAAAAATGAGAAAGGAATGAAGATATGAGCCGGCAAAAACGATTTTCGCCAAAAGGATTCGAACCCTGGTACAATATTGACTGTGCACAAGACCAAAACCCACTACACCACGCCGCCAGTTGCTAGCCGAAGGCTCCGAGCGCGGCCATATACGCGCTGGAAAACTTTCGACGAGCTTTTCCTCGGTCGCCTGTGGGGTTTAGCAGAAATTTATTTTTGATTCCGAGTATTCTCACATAGGCCTAACCATGCACAAAGTCTCAATTCTCAACTCGTTGTCGAGCGGAGACCATGCCCTAGTAAGAATAGTTTCAAAAAACTCAAGAAACGTTTACCGAAAGTTTCAGACTGAAGTAAGAACTACAAAAATTGAAAGCCTTCTTAGCTATCTAGTCCTCCGAAATGGGCCAGGGACAGTGAGATTACGAGTTAAACAGCTTTTTATAGTTAAATGACAATGATTCAACCTAAGACCTCATCATTGAACTATCAACTAGATCGTATTACCATGTGAGGAGCCCAGGGTTCCCCCAGCCCCCAAGTGATCACCCAAGTGGCGCCAGGGCCCCTTATGTGATCACTCGAGGAGCCAGAAACCTCCCGCAGGCTCCTACGGGATCCAAACTCACCAAAAACGACATCATTGAACTGCTTCTTAAGAAAACGTTGTTCTCGAAACGTACTTTTCAAAGGCTAGATCAGCTTAGCATTCCGTTTATATACTTTCATCCCATTCCCTCGTTTCGATTCTACGTCAGCAACTACTTTTTCTCGATTTCAGGTCATTTCGATTTTTTCAGGTCACCCCTCGTTTCAGTTCTACGCCAGCATCTACTTTTTCTTGATTTCAGGTCATTTCGATAATCTTCACGTACTAAATTAAATAAAATCCACGTCAAAAGAAACTTTTAAAGATTTTTGCTTTTTTTTGAGTCAACTGATGACTCAACCTTTTTACCCCTGATTCTAAAAGTTGGAAAACGGAACGAGGGTCCATATTCAGCAACTTTCAGCCCGCCCGTTTTCAGCCCAGAAGTCTTATTTTTCTCTGGAAAACAGGACAGTTCAAAGAGTTAGTTGGATTTTTAGCTTGAGGTCTTCAGATTATCGGAACTATTCATAAAAAGCGAAAATGCTTTACAAAAAAGTTTTCAATTCTGCTTGATCTTGAGGTGCCGTTTGGAGGTCAATTGGATTTTGGTTTTCAGGTTTTTAAAACTGCGTAAATTATCGAAACGACTTTAAATTATAAGAAAAAAGACGCTGACGTGGGAATGCAACTTGGTAATAGAATGATAGTATATAAGCAAAGTGGTGAGCTGATCTAGCCATTGAAACAAATCGTCAGCCAACAGCTTGCAGTTCAATATCGACCAGTGTGAGTTAAGATCCCGGCAGAGCCTGCGGGAGACGTCTGGCTCCTCGAGTGATCACATAAGGGGCGCCACTTGAGGGACCACTTGATGGCTGAGCTCCTCGCCTGACAGTACGATCTAGTTGATAGTTCAATGAGTTGTAGCCTAAAGAATCTTTTTCGTTTGAGAATACTAAAAAGCTGTGTAACTCGTAATCTTACCGCAGCTTGAGGCAATTCTCGGAGCAATGGATAACTTGAAAAAAAAGCTTCCAATTCAAAAAACTACCTTGAGAATTTTCGGATAAGCTTGTTGATTGTTCTCATCAACCGTATGTATCCTAGAGATGAATATTTTTCCTTTTCGGCATTTTTTTAAGCTTAGATCTCTATCCACCCGTATTTTTGGGCCGAAATTCGGAACTTCAGGGTCATATTTTTATTTGTTCATTTTTTTCATATTAATGAACCAAAACCGAACCTTAAAAAATTTTTTTCCAAATGTCGAAGTTATTTAAAAATTACGCTTGGTTTTCACGGCCCAAGGCTTTTTGAACTTTTTTTCAATTTTTTTGAGAATTCAGAAACCTAGATTTGCAGAAAATTTCATCCATTTGAAATAATCTGTTCTGATATTTTCCATTCCTTTTTTTTTGTTTTCGTTATGATGAAATTCCATTTGGAAATGGTGAGTTTTCTGTTGGAACCAAGTTGAAAACAAAAAACTTTTGGATATTTCAACTTGGGCTAAGAATATTTTGACAATGAATGAACTTTTCTCTTGTGTTTCTTTCAATCAAATGACTATTTTTCAGCCACGGACGCTTCGCCAAGAATGAAGTGGAACCGTGCTGAAGGTTTGCCAATTTTCGTACTTTTCCGAGTTCAATGCTTTTTCGATTTCAGGAAAGTTGAACCTCAGGCTGTTGCTCATGATACCGATGCTTTACGCACTTCCTACTACTGCTATCCGTTAGTAACTTTTTTTTTTGTTCTTCATGACTGTAGCTCGGATTTGCTCACTTTTCTTCGAAAGAAACTCAAAGTGTGATTGTGATGGTTTTTTTTTCAAACAGTTTCTGTTAGCAGTCCTTATATTGCATTAACACATTCTTCTATGATTTTTTTCACTTTCTTTTTTTGTTACTGATATAAAGGAGATTGATCTCGTGTTTATTGGAAAACGAGACTCCTCGTCTCGTGCTTGTCTCGAGGAGAAATTCACTTAACGTGTCTCGTCTCGATTCACCGAGGCAGATTTTGAAAATGTCTCGTCTCGAAAAAAGACAAGATTTCATTTCAAACGAGATATTTTCGAGAGATAAGCAGTACACATTTTTGAATATTGAGTACAGTTTTGCTTTTCTAGATTCTCGCAAGTTTTTGAAGAACTTTGATGTTTACTGAGAGACAATGAATGTATTTGAGTGAAAAAAGAGACAAAATAGCTTTTGCAAAATAAACCCCAGTTGAAAATTCTGAACCAATACAGACACAATATGAATTGAGCAAGTAAAATTATCACCTAAAATTTCATGGAAAAATTCGTCTAATGCAGTGTCGAAAACAAAAAGTTAAAAAAATTTTTTTAACAGCACTCCTATTAAGAAAGTCCAATTTCTCAGAAGATTTTCGGAGAACGCATCTTTTTTCACTCGATTTTTCAAAGCGGGTCTTGAAAAATTTCTCGTCGCGAAATTTTTTTTGGAAAAACTCTTTAGTCTCGATCTTGTCTCGGTTTCAAAAGTTCCATCTCGCACAACTTTGCTTAGAATTCGTCGTACTGAAAGTAGACTAGCAGGAGCCCTCAAGTCCACTGAAACACCGAAACCAAAAGCCTGTGGAACGACACAGTTTTCAAAATCATTTCTTGCTCTATCGCAAGCATTCACTACACCAAACCCTGTTCTAATCAATGAAGTTCCTGAACTTGCAGAATCGTGCTGCAAGAAACCAATTGTCGCGTACTCAGATGTAGACGCTATCCCACCTGAATGCCGTTCACAGGTCCGATGTACTGACGCAATGATCTACGCGGACCATGCTCGATCTCGCGGAGACGTCTCCTTGTTTTTGACCGCGGCACTGAAGACCAGTACAATAACCTTAATTGGAGGCCCGACATGGTTCAATGTTGATCCGGAAGAAATCGTTCACAAGGGGCCGGGTACGTTTCATGCTGTACTGTAATAATGGAATTCTTTGTATCTGAAATATGAATTCATAAAATTATTGTACTTGGCCTGGCATGTGGGAATCTGGGGTTACATATCTTCTTTCGTGTTTTCAGACTGTTAAACTGCTTTCTCGCTTTCCATTTCTGAAAAAATCTCCTATTTGAAGGTCCAGCGATAACGTTGGTGAACGTCAGTTTGGTCCTGACTTCTTTTACTGCTTTAAAGTCGATCGAAGTCCCTGACGTCTCGATATTTTGCAACGGCCGTGTCAATTTGATAGAAGTCGTGGGAAAACAGCCCAATGAGATACTGAATCGTCTTTATAAAGTAGGAAATGCGGTGCGTTTTTTTCCTTGAAAAAAAAGAGAATTAAAATGTTTTAAGCTCTTTTCAGAATTGAGAGTTGAGTTTTCCAGGGAAGGAGAAAATTAGAAAGTGCGAAGTAACACACAATCAAATCAATCAAAATCAAAATGTATTATTTCTCACAGACAAGTACTAAATTTCGCGAAATAGATGTAGGTAGATTTTGGGAACTTGTGGTGATGGAGGGAAAAGGACTCGCGGTCGTTTTAACCCCTTACTTGAGTAAATTGGAATAACCTTAAAGTTATTATTTTTAAATGTCGATTATGTAGCTTTCATACTTTTGTTGGATCAAGAGTGTTTAGTTCTGTAATGTTGTTTTCAAACCATTTCTCAAGAACTTATTTTTTTCAGATTCAAATACTATGTTTCTATATAAATTGTTGGCGGCCCCTATTTTTAGGAACATGAATCATTTTTTCAAAGAATAACGCAAAACATTTTAAGAAAATACGATTTTTTTTTTTTCAGACCCTCAAGCCCTGCAAGTCATGGAAGGCGACTACTCAGGCGTCTGCTCTCGGCGCGACCCAAGGAGCAGGCGTCCCGAGCTCGAATTCTTCTGCGGTGATCTCCCGAATGTGCACCCAGAAGACAGACGCCGAAGAGGAAAAGTGCTCTAGCAACAGTGAGTTTGGACGAAATTGAGTAATAAAAACACTAGAAACACGATTTTAGTGAGAAAAATTGGAAGTTTTGGGATAAATGATTAATCGTCTTTGATTGGTTTTAAAGGCTGTGATTGTAGAAGTTTTGCGGTGCATAAATAGAACCAAGCCTTTTTTTTCATTTTTCACTCGATATGAGTCCTTCGAATTTTCCACATAGCAGAGTTATTTGGACTTTAAACAGACACGCTCCTCTACATCGCCTGTGGAGTAATAGTGGTCCTTCTGATTGTGAGCGTCGTTTCGACGATCATCGCCCTCAAGCCCTACCTCTGCCGCCACAAAAAGGACCTTGTCCAAGCTTCTTTGGGTATTGGTTTTTGTGATAGAAAAATTGAGAAGCTTGGTCTTCCAGTCAAACCGCAAACCGCTACTCCATGACGTCATCTTGACCTAGCACTTTGCACACGCAGCAATAATGAATTTTCGAAAAAAAACGAATTAACCATCTAATTTCGCGTGTTTTTGTGGGCGCAATTTTACTGAAAACGCACAATTCAGGCTCATCCCTTTCTTTCAATTTCAACTTTTTTCACGTAAAATAATGTATACATGAACGAAATATTTTGATTTCGCTTTCTTAAGTTCTAAGTGATGTGATAAATGCAATTTGAAGGTAGTTTTTCAATTATAGTCAATGTTTCCCGACTTGAAAGGCGAGGGAGGCGGGGCAAGGGGCGGGACGCGTAGCGTGTGCGTTCGCGGTTCTTGGCGCTAGCTCAATTCATTTGCCGCCGACCATTTAAAAAGCTCGATAATCGATCTTTTTCTGTATTTTCAACTATTTTTTGATGCACACATGAACATAATCAATAAATAACTGGAAAGGGAATGAAAAGAGCGGAAAACGGGCTTTCCAAATAGCCGGTGGCGGTTGAATTGAACTCGTGCCAAGAACCGCAAACGCACACGCTACGCGTCCCGCCCCTTGCCCCGCCTCTTTTGCCTTTCAAGTCGGGAAACATTGACTATACCGTGTTCCAAGTAATTTTGACAATTGAGAAATGATGAGTTTTTCCTTCGAAGTGATTATGCAAAACTCTGGGAGCTGTGAGAAAAGTTGGGTCCCACAACGAGATGGCGACTTTAGCGCACTAAGTCCGAATTTTGGGATTAATGTACATTTGACTATACCAAACATGGATTTTGAAATTTGAGCTTGAAACTTTTGGAAAAGATTATTACTTAAATCAATTCAGTTCATTTAATGTTTTGTCTTAGTCATAGATATGTGTCGCCTATGCGGTGAACAAGAACTTTTGAAGCTATAACGATCAACTCTTTCTTTTTAATAAATACTTGAAATGAATGAAAGGAGAAACCGGCTTTGGCGAACTTGAAGTTCAAACTTGTATTTGATCAAGTTTACGGTCCTTCGCCTCGTTCTTCTGCACGTAGTTCATCCAGTTGAAAGTTCATCCAACAAAAACCGTGCTTTAAGCCTAGGAATGAGAGCGGCCACTTCGAGAGAACACTTCACACGGAATCGTTGATATTACGTTAAAATTTTTTTAATAAAAAAACTTTTTTTAAGTTTGTAGTTTGAGACTTCGAGGCTCTTCTAGTACATTCCTAGTACATTTTCTGGCCAATCCTCAGAAGTTTCCTAGCCGTAGATTAAAGTTATCTTTCCTGTTGACGCCTGAAAAATCATGTTTTTTTTTTCTAGCTTCCTACGCCGCACAAATGATCGATTTAGCCATCTACCAGCTTTGCGAGGCGCATTGTCGCATGTGTTAGTTTTTTTTTCTCAATTTACCCGGTAAATGCAATGAATTTCAGTAAATCTAACAGAATCCGATGCGCTCGTGGACGTGTCCATTTTTGCGCGTAAGTTTTATCAAAAAACTTCGATGAGCTGGTTGAAAGAGAAAAGAAGTTTTAACTTTTTCCTAAACCTAAATTCCTTGAACTTAAACTTCTTCACAATATATTTTTTTTCTATGATGATCCAATGAAATTTCTGGCACAAAATTATTCATTCTTTTTTTCAGACAAAAAGTTGGCTAGAGAGAAAAAGTTAACCGCTCGTCGTTTTTGGAAAGTCCAGAGAGGCTCTAAATTGGACCCCGTAGACTTCGATAGCGCGTCGAAAATCGATATCATCAAAATAACGCTTGAAGACGTCCACAAAATCTGCAAACCGCGCCCCATGTCCGAAGATGTACAAGAAGCGCTGCAGAAGTACGAAGAAATAAAGACGAGTATGGTTAAAAATGGAAAATTCGATCCACCCAAAAGTCTGAATCCCATATCGGACACTCGTCAGCGCAACCACGCGTTGATGGTTGCGATGAAGACATCAGCTTTGAAGAAGGTCAACCCCGGTGATCAATTTCATAAGGATGCTAAGATGCTCTTGGACCGGGATCATTTAAGCAAGGATACTAGGAAGGGGCAGCTTCCGAAGAGATCAGAGAACCAGTCCAAGGACAAGCCGAAGTCTCCGCTCCCTGTCTCTAAAGACAAGGGTCCCGCTTCTCATACCGACCGCAAGCCTGCTGGCGCCGATGCCGCCCTCAGCAAAACCTCCCCGGCAAACGACGTCTCAAAGGTGCCCGTCGGCAAGTCTACGACTCAGGTTAGATTGGTAAAAAAAAATTAGAATTTTGGATGTCAAGAAAGCTTGTCTATCTGTTAGGAGAATGCTTAGGCGCTTCAAAGTTAGGAAACCTTTTAGAAAAAACCAAAAGACGAAAAATTGGGAGCCTTTCGAGTTAATTTCGGTCACAACTTTCAGCTCACCGCCCACAAGGCTGCTGATCAAGCTCCGACCCAAGGTGCAACTTCCGCTGAAATACCGCTACCGCCGGCGAAAGTCAGAGAGTCGGAGGTCGACCCCAAATATTCTGGAAAGATACCAGAAGAAGTGGGTCCGCCAACTCTATGCAAACCGATGCGGATCGAAACGTCTGCTTTCCCAGAAATCTCGAAGAATTTCGCCGGAGAGCCCGACGATCTGAGTTAATAGCCTCGAAACGAAATAACACAAACATTTGCCGTTTTCAGGGCAAAGCTTCACGGCTCTCACACTCATATGCAGAAAGCTCGAAGACGTCCTAAAACTCCACAGGGACGGTAAATAACTATTGTGTGACTACAGCGTTGAAACTTGCTTTCCCCAAAAGCTAGTTGCTCTTTAATTATAAAATTCAGCCTCGCACCTGATCCTCAAAACGACGCAAGATGCGGCTATGGCCAAGCGCGGGGACTGCTTCGAACAGACGGTTCTCCGTGAGCGAGAGGCCGACCCGCGAATCCCTCTGGTCCGAGATTGTCCGTGCAAAGACGGCGGCCTCAAAGGCTTGGACAGCCAGGGTGAGCAACTATTTTTTTTTTCTCTTCAGAATCCGTTTATTTTTTTCCAGACCTTCTGAAGGAACTCGAGACTTTGCGCACCAACGGCGGAGGCGCTGACGAAGAGCTTTACAATCTGCTCGAAAACGAAGAGCGCATTCGCGCCCAGAAGTTGGGAATCTCCGGCAAAAACTACACATATTTTTGGGACAGTTCGTTTTTTACCCTTATAATAACAATTAAAGCATTGAAGGCCCAGGGGCAGTAAAAACGGGGTGTCAGGTGAAAGCAGTATCTTGTATAGTTTTTCATTGCAAATCGAACGGTGTACTCAAAAAAATTATAGATCTGACAACTTTAGAAGAAAAACGCGATTTTACTTTCCCGCTTTAATTTCGAAAAATGCTTAAAGCTTTAATTTCGAAAAACGTTTTGGATCGGTATACGGACAATCGAAACCTGTTTAAAACCATCATTTCTCCCGAGAAAAGCATTTTGCGAACAAAGTTCTCAAATTTCTTATAATTAGAAAATTTTGAGGAGGATAAGAATTTAAGTGATAACAGAAAAAATTGAAAATTGAAAGAAACGAAAAAAAAAACGACAATCCAAAAAATGGCGATACGTGTTGCCCATACAGCAACTTTACTGCAAAACGCCCTTTTCGGCGGGAACTCAAACTTTCTTCTCTCCGACTTTGAATTATTTTTTTCTCCAAAACTAGAAAGTTCGGTACGTTTTCAAGTTCACCGTTCGATTCGCAATGAAAAGCTCTACGAAGTATTGATTTGAACTGAAACACCGTTTTTACTGCCCCTATGCCTTCGAACCTAAATTGGACATTTTTCAATAAAACGTGCTTCAGAGAAGACGCGTACGGTCGAGGCGATCCTTCCGGGAGAGACATTCGAGAGAGCTATTAAGCGGAAACAAGGTGGGATCCGTTTTTCATCTAATAAAAGTTGGGTGCACTCCGTTTAGCTTTAAATGCCTATTAAAGTACTTATTCCGTACACGATTTCGAAGTTTTTCCTTGCCCAATGACACACCACTGTCTACAGTTTCAACCTAGGCTGTTAGGGTAGCTCAGAAAAAAAACTTTTTATTTCTGACCGGTTGCCCCAAGGGTGCCCGCCATCCTGGTCCAACGCGGTGTACACCGAAAACATCAACGAGAAGTTCACTTTTTTCCGGAGTTTTTGTCAGAGGCGTTTAACGCCATACACGTGGAGTTTTATTTGTCAGAATTTGACTGAAAAGCCCGAAAAAAAAGTTCAAATCAAGTTTTTCAGAAGAGATGGACAACCTTGAGAGAATTACTGAGTTGTACAAAACTCGGATGTGCCGTCTCCGAGCAACCCGTAAGAATACTCGGGGAGGCAAAAAGGAACCCCGCCGGGAGAAGAAGGTCAAGAAGGACGACAAAAAAGTCGCTGGTAACCAAGAGAAGAGGGGAAAGGAGAGCGAGGAGAAAAAAAATGTGAAGGAAAAAGAAGAAAGTAAGAAGGAAGAGAAGATCGAGGAGGAGTCCAAGGAGAAGAAATGAATTCTCCGTTTTTTACCTTATAGCCTCTACTACTGATTGCCTTTATGGCCCAACTCGCTAAATAAAAATCGATGATTTTTTTCTCTTTGAAAATCGCGTTGTTCGTTTTTGGGCTATTGCAAAATATTCTTGGCTTACTGTTGACTGCATAGACTGCATAGACTGCATACACGGATCTCGCGACTTGAACTGAAAACACCCCGATTGACGATTAAATGGTTTTCTGGTACTTTTGCTGTGGGCGATTTTTCTAGGTATTTTTTTTTCTCTTTTCAGACGACGTAGGCCGTTTGTGAGCGAATATCTGAGCATCTAGAAAATCTATCAAAAGGTCTCGCATGTTTAAAGGCATAGGGGCAGTTAAAAATGGGGTTTCAGGTGAAAGCAGTATCTTGTATAGTTTTTCTTTGCGAATCCAACGGTGTACTCAAAAAAATTACAAATGTGACATCTCTAGTAGAAAAACGCAATTTCACTTTCGCGCCTTTAATTTTGAAAAAAGCTTTGGATCGGTGCTCAGACAACTGATTACAGTAGCTGTGCACGCGATGTTGCGGACGTCTCATTAGACTCGCATTTTATGAGAAATAACCGGATATCTGCATCAAATGAATGGTTTCTTCTCTGAAAAATGGATTAAGAAAACAGAAAACACCCATTGATAATAAAGAAAACACAAATTAACGCTATCCCAATCGAAACCTGTGTAAAATCATCATTTTTCACCAGAAAAGCATTTTTGCGATCAAAGTTTGCAAATTATACATGAATAGAAAGCTGTTGTGACGAAAAGAACTTTGGTAACAACAGAAAAAATTGAAATTTGTAAGAAACGAAGAAAAAAGCGAAAATCCGGAAGATGGCGAAGCCTGTTGTCCATAGAGCAACTTTACTGCAAAGCGCACTTTTCGCGGGAACTCAAGCTTTCCTTTCTCCGATTTTGAAGTATTTTTTCTTCAAAACTAGGAAGTTCGGTACGTTCCCAAGTTTACCGTTCGATTTGCAATGAAAAACTTTACAAAGTACTGCTTTGAACTGAAACACCGTTTTTTACTGCCCCTATGCCTTTAAGAGTCTGAGGGGGCCGGCGGCCGGTCACTATTTCGAACGTACAACTTGAGCCCTGTTTTTGATTTCAAAATTCAAAAAATAATCTGAGAATATGCTTAAGTGAAATGTAATTGTAAAGTGAGGAATAAGCCATAAAGATCCCATTTTGGGTATGGATCTTTGCACTTTTTTATAGAATTTTAAGACCTAAAAAGTTTAATTAAAGGCACAGGTCTCCCGTCCTGCTCCAAGCCGAACCACAAGCCGTCGCTGATCGATATCTCCACAGTTACACAGGACTGAGGTCGTAGGTGCTCCAGAAGCTGAATATATCCAGATATACTTCATTTCGCCTAATTAGGAAGTTTAGACGAAAGCGACAAAATGTAACTTTTGACTTCAAATCACAGCGCGACCATAACTCGTTAAGCTATTCTCAATGCGACCAGGGCCTTATAGGGTTCACCTTTCCGGCCCCTGTCGGGCTGTTTTTTCCCTTAGCCACTATAGGGACCGCTCTGGCGTTTTTAAGCGCATTATTCCGTTCCGAGTAAACTTTTTTTTTTCTTGAAACTTCTGCTTCCGGAAAGACCACGGCGTTTTTGTTGGCAACGCCCCGCCCATATTTTTTTCCGCAAAGTGTAGTGTGTCTTGTGCATGCACCTCGGCGCTCTCGAACATGCCACGTTCAAAATATTTTTCGCAGAAGCATAAATTTTGTCTCAGTTACGGAAATTCAGTTATATTTTTCACTCTCTAGTGGCTATTTTGAATGTCGCGGAATTACTTTCAACACGGCATGTATTTAAAAAAAAAATTAAAACAAAAAAAATTGCGTTTTTTTTAACGGAGAAATAGATTCGTCTCATGGACTTTTTATGCGCCTTTAATGTTTCCTTTTTTCATCATCATCATTTATTCAATACGAATAATAATACAGTTCAAGGGCCGAAAAGACCTCTAACAGAACCAATTTTCTAAAAGGAAAATTTAATCATTTAAAACAGCAACAAAACCGTTTAAAAATTAGAAGATAATTTGAGAAAGTCAGCGAGAAGATGGGGGTTGTTTTCTAAATAGATTTTGAATCGCATAGAGTCATAACATAGGTACGCGTTTTTTCCCATGACGTCACATGGGAACGGCGAAGGTTTAGACCACGCCCCCTTGGTTTTTGGTTTTCCATTTTTTTTTTCACTAACAAAAACGCCGTGCGACCACAATGTATTGAAAAAAACGCAATTAAAAACGAAAGTTTTCTAAAAATTTTATTTTGGGAGTTAATATAGCAAGATTTTATCCTCCTCTGGACAAAATGCACATTTGGTGCATGCACAAGCTTGCAAGTAGTTCATCGAACAGTCCGATTTTGTGATGTTTCGAATGTTTCACTGATTTCATTTCATTTCTAAAAAGTATCCAATTAAGAAGAAAAATTTATCGTTCTGTTATTTTTAATCATTTTCTGGTGATTCCAGAGACCATCAATGTCCGAAAAGGATGGTATGAAAAAAAAAGCCAGCAAAATTTCAGAAGGCGACTTTCCCGATTTCTTCGTATCGCTAGGGAACTTTCCGACAGCCACCTTTCCGCCGAATCTTTTTCCGACTTTCTTCCCTATATTTTTCAGTTTATAAAACATCTATTAACATTTTTTTTTCCTATTTCTTCGTGTTTTAACCATGAATAGCTTGCCTACTTCATATAGAAAGATTAAAAACGAAAAGTCCATCGAGAAAAAAAGTCGGAAAAAAGTTTGGCGGAAAGGTGGCCGTCGGAAAGTTCCCTGGCGATATAAAAAAAATGGGAAAAGTCGCCTTTTGAATTTTCGCTGATCTTTTTTTCATACCACCCCGAAAAGAGCTGTAAAATTCTGAAAAGAAGTCAAATTTCACGGTTTGAATGCTTCCTGTAAGCCTCCTCTTTTTTTAAGCATTTTTTCCGAAGTTTTCGTATCCATCATTCTTATTCCTTCTTTCTAAATCCTAGCAAATAACTAGAGAAAACTTATGTATTTTTATTTTTTTTAGATTGTCTAATAACAAAAGTTTGCAGCTTTTCTAATGAAGCGCATTATTTGATTTCAAATCATTTTTCTTGTAAATTTCTCTAGCTCCAGGAAAGACCACGAAATGTTTATACAACGGAGTTAAAAACAGATATTTTTAAACAATTTAGCATTTTCGGGACCAACATAACGTGAAGTAATCATTAGGATGAACCAATTGGAGGAATACCGGAGCCCGGGCCTCCGAAGTACAAAAGACACCAGTTCTGAACGCACAAGTGGAACATCGGACAGTCCGATTTGTACTTGCACGGCTTAAGACTAGCTGAAATTTCAAATAAATTAAATATTTTCGTATGTGGAAAACTTTTCCCTGCCTCCACTCCAACGAAAAAACTGAGAATAATAATCAAACAGAGCCAAATAACCTGAAAACGTCTTTTTTTCAGAAAAAAAGGATGGAAGGAACTTACTTTCGGGAACATTTTCCTTGTGAGAAATATTTTTTCGACTGTCTCACTGCTTTTATGCATATTTTTTCAGTATCCCAGACAACAATTTGGTAGAATAATGTTATTTTAATCATTTTCTGGTGTTTCCAAATTGGAAAGGACTTTAATGTTTACGAAAAATGCTGTGTCAAATGTGAAGTTGCTAAAGTGCGTAGGAATTTTAGAGTATCCCTATAGGGGTTAGGGGAAAAACACGGCCCGAAAAAGTGGCAAATTTTCAAGTTCTAATCAAAGTTTTCGACTTGATTGTCCCAAGAAAAACCGTACATTTTCCTGAATTATGTCTTACTTATTTCGTCATTCTTCAAACTCAATCAACAAGTTTTCTAGATTTAAAATTTTTATTCAAAAAAAATAACAAAAATATGTACAATATCAAGTTTCCTATGCGATTCTTCGTGCTTCGAACGTATTGCCGTTGTTCTCCTCTGTCGCGATCACCTCGTAAGTCTGAAAAAGTCTTGGCTCAGTCAGTTAGCTCTTCCGATGTCAATCAAAGGGTCAAGGGTTCGATTCCTCTCACCGTTTTTTCGCCTCCCTCGTACACCGGACACATTGATTCGCAAACGTCTTCGAGTTCTTGGCCGTTCTGAAGTTTAAATTTCGTTTTTTTTTCCATTTTTGATTAAAATCACCTTTTCACTGCACCAGGACTCTTGATAAACGACTTCCAAAGTAGTTACAGTACCTTGTCGGCTTCCTTTCACTACCTGTACAAATAATTTCCTTTTTTGGTGTTTTCAAGAAGAAAAAAACCTCAACAGGAACAATATAACGGCCTGGATTTCCTTCATTCACTTTAGTTGAAGCGGCTTCCCAAGCAAGGCCCTAAAATCAAAATTCGAGCCTTGAAATCCGAAAATCTTTATAAAACGCACCAAAAAGTCGTCGGCCAGTTCTTCAGGCACGGGAGCACAGAAAATTGCGGAAACCAATGAGAAAATGATAATGGCGTTCATAATTAACTGAAAGAAAAATCATTAGCCAAATTTAGATAATGGCAAAAACGAGTAGAGGGATTGAACCAGAGCCCTAGGACTTATAGATGAACGATAAACCGCCTGAGCCATGTAGAAATTTGAAAATTAACAAGATTTTTGAATAACAAGCTCTAAGAGACTTTGTTGAAGTAGAAAAATAGCCAGAAATTTTTTTCTCCGAAATGAATACGATTTTTTTGAATATTTTGATTAAATAAAGTCAAAAGAGTAAAGTAAGGTCATACCCAACACTAGCGGCTATTTATACTAGCCTGAAATTCGCCCCAACGCACAAAAGTCGGTCAATTATCGTCTCTCCCTTCAACACTTGATTTGTTTCACGTCGAAAACCTGTTCCCAATTTTATGTCTACTTTTTTTCGGTTTCAAATGAAATTGGATGATTTCCAACAAGAAAAGGCAATTAGTTTCAGACCATTTTCAGTTTTTGACCTTTGTGTTTTCGTGATTTCTTGAACCAACTTGATAATTGAATTAGAAATTTAATATTTCTTCCCTTTATCGATCATTTCTTTCAGAGATAAATTAAAAACCTCTTTTCAGCGTCAAGAAGCAAAAATTATCGATAGCTATTTCCGGAATCATTTTAATAATACACGGTCTTTTTCATTTCCAACTTTTTTCTTTTTGTCAATTTGGCGCCATTACAAGTTACCAACACGAAATGGCTAATCGAATTAATGAATTAAATTTGATTCGATAGCGCTTCAGTGGAAAGAAAAGTCAATTCTTGACCTTGCCGATTTATAGTTTGATTTTGCTGGACTTTATCGATTTATTGAAGAAATTAGAACTTTTCAGAATATTCCTTTTTCACAAAAAGCCGATATTCGCTATGTAGGCCTTACTGTACAAAGTTTATCCGCATTGCGACTTCGCTTGCTACAGTACTCTTTTTTCAAATAAATATTTTCTTTTTAATGTTTTGTTGTTTTCCTTTGCCTATTTTCATTTATTTTATGATTTCGCAAAACAAATCTGATTATTCTAGGCCATGTTGTCCGTGGCCAACCCGTTATACTTTTTTACAAGTAGCGTGGAAGCGCCAACGCCTCTTTCTCGATTAAGAATTGCTGGTTTGTTATTTTTCTTGCTCTGAAATGAATATCGGTCTTTCCAGATGTTATGGATTTCTTTTTTGTCGTTCATCCTGACTCAGGTCGAAAAGAAGGCGATGAGCACAAGAGAATAATGTATTTCAATCCAAAAGTAGAAGCCCTTGATAAACAGGTTTAAAAATTTTTTTCTCTTTTTTTGGTCATGAAATAATTTTTAGACAGAAATTACTGGCTTTGCTGAGGCTGTGATAAATTTCACGGACAATTTTTCTAAGCGGGAAGCTGCAATTTCTGCGAGAAATTGAAGAAGAATTTGATTTCCGGACCGTTTCCACACAAAAAAGCGATCATGTTTATATTCAGGTTTCTAAACTATATGAATGCTAAAATTTATATATTTTAGGTCGAAAAGCAAAAGTTCATACTTGGAATTTCCCTTTCAAAGTAAGCTCACTTTAATTGGAAGCGGAAAATAATTTTTTAATTTTTCTCATGCTTGAATTGCAGACAAATGGCTTTTCATTCAAACTATCCCTTGTACCTACCGGCCGTCAAAAAAACGTCCTCTGTGATTCCTACAAGACTTTTTCGATTATTTTTTTCGGCGATTTTTGGGAGTTTTAGGTGGGAATATACCTTTAAAAACCTTTAAATAATGAATTTTTCAGGGAAAACGACGAGGAAAAGTTCAAAGAAAGATTGGAATTATTTTTCTCTAGATTCTTGCCATTGTTGAAAGTCCAAAGGGTATGTTTTTTTACTGAAAAAAATTTCAGATTTTGAACTCTTATCTTTTTGCAAATGTTTATGGTTTGAAAAGTTTCCAGCTGCCAATTTTGGATCAACTCGGCGGCGTTGAATTTTTTTACCACTTTCCGGTCCGCCTTACTTGAATGTCATAACGTTGATGGACGAACTGCAGGAGGAATTTCCTTTGATTGAAAAAAAGTCGTGTTTTTTTATATCAGGTTGGGATTTTACCTGTGATTTACTTTTTCAACTACATGAATTCTCGTTTTTCCGACTTTTTTTCAGTATTTTGAAAATCGTTCTCTTGTTTTAATATTTTTTTAACAGGGGAGTGTTCAGCAGATTTTCGAAACGTTTGTTCACATACTGCTCGGAATAAAACGTTTTTCCTCTGCTCTTACTGCAATTTCGAATGCTTTTTTCAAAGAATTACGAGAGATTTTTCAAGAAAAACTCCCGCTTTCTATGAAAAAAATTTAAGCAAAAGGGAAAATTCCCTTGGTTTTAAGGATTTCATAGTTTCTTCGAAAATAAAACTTCAAAAAAATTTTTCAGGGTAAACTTCTGTATTATTCGATATCCAAACAAGATCTACCTGTTCTATTCCGATATTTGACGCAGAATTTATTGCCAACAGCAATCGCGCCCGAGTTGGAACCGACCAGGTAAAATAAACTCCGCGTATAAAAAGACCAAAATTCTGATTCAAAAAAGTTAAGCAGACCAAAATTTAGGTTCTAGAAAGTTAAGCAGACCAAAATTCAGGTTCTAGAAAGTTAAGCAGACCAAAACGTAGAATCTAGAAAGTTAAGCAGACCAAAATTTAGAATCTAGAAAGTTAAGCAGACCAAAACGTAGAATCTAGAAAGTTAAGCAGACCAAAAATTTAGAATCTAGAAAGTTAAGCAGACCAAAATTTAGGTTCTAGAAAGTTAAGCAGACCAAAATTTAGGTTGTAGAAAGTTAAGCAGACCAAAAACGTAGAATCTAGAAAGTTAAGCAGACCAAAACGTAGAATCTAGAAAGTTAAGCAGACCAAAATTTAGAATCTAGAAAGTTAAGCAGACCAAAAATTTAGAATCTAGAAAGTTAAGCAGACCAAAAATTTAGAATCTAGAAAGTTAAGCAGACCAAAAACGTAGAATCTAGAAAGTTAAGCAGACCAAAATTTAGAATCTAGAAAGTTAAGCAGACCAAAAATTTAGATTCTAGAAAGTTAAGCAGACCAAAATTTAGAATCTAGAAAGTTAAGCAGACCAAAATTTAGAATCTAGAAAGTTAAGCAGACCAAAATTTAGAATCTAGAAAGTTAAGCAGACCAAAACGTAGAATCTAGAAAGTTAAGCAGACCAAAATTTAGAATCTAGAAAGTTAAGCAGACCAAAATTTAGAATCTAGAAAGTTAAGCAGACCAAAATTTAGAATCTAGAAAGTTAAGCAGACCAAAATTTAGAATCTAGAAAGTTAAGCAGACCAAAACGTAGAATCTAGAAAGTTAAGCAGACCAAAACGTAGAATCTAGAAAGTTAAGCAGACCAAAAATTTAGAATCTAGAAAGTTAAGCAGACCAAAAACGTAGAATCTAGAAAGTTAAGCAGACCAAAAACGTAGAATCTAGAAAGTTAAGCAGACCAAAACGTAGAATCTAGAAAGTTAAGCAGACCAAAATTTAGAATCTAGAAAGTTAAGCAGACCAAAATTTAGAATCTAGAAAGTTAAGCAGACCAAAAACGTAGAATCTAGAAAGTTAAGCAGACCAAAATTTAGAATCTAGAAAGTTAAGCAGACCAAAATTTAGAATCTAGAAAGTTAAGCAGACCAAAAATTTAGAATCTAGAAAGTTAAGCAGACCAAAAACGTAGAATCTAGAAAGTTAAGCAGACCAAAATTTAGAATCTAGAAAGTTGAGCAGACCAAAAATTTAGAATCTAGAAAGTTAAGCAGACCAAAAACGTAGAATCTAGAAAGTTAAGCAGACCAAAATTTAAATTACAAAAAGTTGGGCGGATTCAACTGAAAAAAAAACGACCAAAATTTAGAATCTAGAAAGTTAAGCAGACCAAAACGTAGAATCTAGAAAGTTAAGCAGACCAAAATTTAGAATCTAGAAAGTTAAGCAGACCAAAAATTAGGTTCTAGAAAGTTAAGCAGACCAAAATTTAGGTTCTAGAAAGTTAAGCAGACCAAAATTTAGAATCTAGAAAGTTGAGCAGACCAAAATTTAGAATCTAGAAAGTTAAGCAGACCAAAACGTAGAATCTAGAAAGTTAAGCAGACCAAAATTTAGAATCTAGAAAGTTAAGCAGACCAAAAATTAGGTTCTAGAAAGTTAAGCAGACCAAAATTTAGGTTCTAGAAAGTTAAGCAGACCAAAAATTTAGAATCTAGAAAGTTGAGCAGACCAAAACGTAGAATCTAGAAAGTTAAGCAGACCAAAAATTTAGAATCTAGAAAGTTAAGCAGACCAAAAATTTAGAATCTAGAAAGTTAAGCAGACCAAAATTTAGAATCTAGAAAGTTAAGCAGACCAAAAATTTAGAATCTAGAAAGTTAAGCAGACCAAAATTTAGAATCTAGAAAGTTAAGCAGACCAAAATTTAGAATCTAGAAAGTTAAGCAGACCAAAATTTAGAATCTAGAAAGTTAAGCAGACCAAAATTTAGAATCTAGAAAGTTAAGCAGACCAAAACGTAGAATCTAGAAAGTTAAGCAGACCAAAATTTAGAATCTAGAAAGTTAAGCAGACCAAAATTTAGAATCTAGAAAGTTAAGCAGACCAAAACGTAGAATCTAGAAAGTTAAAGCAGACCAAAAATTTAGAATCTAGAAAGTTAAGCAGACCAAAACGTAGAATCTAGAAAGTTAAGCAGACCAAAAACGTAGAATCTAGAAAGTTAAGCAGACCAAAATTTAGAATCTAGAAAGTTAAGCAGACCAAAAACGTAGAATCTAGAAAGTTAAGCAGACCAAAACGTAGAATCTAGAAAGTTAAGCAGACCAAAAATTTAGAATCTAGAAAGTTAAGCAGACCAAAATTTAGAATCTAGAAAGTTAAGCAGACCAAAAACGTAGAATCTAGAAAGTTAAGCAGACCAAAAACGTAGAATCTAGAAAGTTAAGCAGACCAAAATTTAGAATCTAGAAAGTTAAGCAGACCAAAATTTAGAATCTAGAAAGTTAAGCAGACCAAAATTTAGAATCTAGAAAGTTAAGCAGACCAAAAACGTAGAATCTAGAAAGTTAAGCAGACCAAAAATTTAGAATCTAGAAAGTTAAGCAGACCAAAAATTTAGAATCTAGAAAGTTAAGCAGACCAAAACGTAGAATCTAGAAAGTTAAGCAGACCAAAATTTAGAATCTAGAAAGTTAAGCAGACCAAAAACGTAGAATCTAGAAAGTTAAGCAGACCAAAAACGTAGAATCTAGAAAGTTAAAGCAGACCAAAAATTTAGAATCTAGAAAGTTAAGCAGACCAAAAACGTAGAATCTAGAAAGTTAAGCAGACCAAAATTTAGAATCTAGAAAGTTAAGCAGACCAAAATTTAGAATCTAGAAAGTTAAGCAGACCAAAATTTAGAATCTAGAAAGTTAAGCAGACCAAAAACGTAGAATCTAGAAAGTTAAGCAGACCAAAATTTAGAATCTAGAAAGTTAAGCAGACCAAAATTTAGAATCTAGAAAGTTAAGCAGACCAAAATTTAGAATCTAGAAAGTTAAGCAGACCAAAATTTAGAATCTAGAAAGTTAAGCAGACCAAAACGTAGAATCTAGAAAGTTAAGCAGACCAAAAATTTAGAATCTAGAAAGTTAAGCAGACCAAAAATTTAGAATCTAGAAAGTTAAAGCAGACCAAAAACGTAGAATCTAGAAAGTTAAGCAGACCAAAAATTTAGAATCTAGAAAGTTAAGCAGACCAAAATTTAGAATCTAGAAAGTTAAGCAGACCAAAATTTAGAATCTAGAAAGTTAAGCAGACCAAAATTTAGAATCTAGAAAGTTAAGCAGACCAAAATTTAGAATCTAGAAAGTTAAGCAGACCAAAACGTAGAATCTAGAAAGTTAAGCAGACCAAAATTTAGAATCTAGAAAGTTAAAGCAGACCAAAAATTTAGAATCTAGAAAGTTAAGCAGACCAAAAATTTAGAATCTAGAAAGTTAAGCAGACCAAAATTTCAGGTTCTAGAAAGTTAAGCAGACCAAAACGTAGAATCTAGAAAGTTAAGCAGACCAAAATTTAGAATCTAGAAAGTTAAGCAGACCAAAAATTTAGGTTCTAGAAAGTTAAGCAGACCAAAAACGTAGAATCTAGAAAGTTAAGCAGACCAAAATTTAGAATCTAGAAAGTTAAGCAGACCAAAAACGTAGAATCTAGAAAGTTAAGCAGACCAAAACGTAGAATCTAGAAAGTTAAGCAGACCAAAATTTAGAATCTAGAAAGTTAAGCAGACCAAAATTTAGAATCTAGAAAGTTAAGCAGACCAAAAGTTAGAATCTAGAAAGTTAAGCAGACCAAAATTTAAATTACAAAAAGTTGGGCGGATTCAACTGAAAAAAAAACGACCAAAATTTAGGTTCTAGAAAGTTAAGCAGACCAAAACGTAGAATCTAGAAAGTTAAGCAGACCAAAATTTAGGTTGTAGAAAGTTAAAGCAGACCAAAACGTAGAATCTAGAAAGTTAAGCAGACCAAAATTTAGAATCTAGAAAGTTAAGCAGACCAAAACGTAGAATCTAGAAAGTTAAGCAGACCAAAATTTAGGTTCTAGAAAGTTAAGCAGACCAAAATTTAGGTTCTAGAAAGTTAAGCAGACCAAAACGTAGAATCTAGAAAGTTAAGCAGACCAAAACGTAGAATCTAGAAAGTTAAGCAGACCAAAATTTAGAATCTAGAAAGTTAAGCAGACCAAAACGTAGAATCTAGAAAGTTAAGCAGACCAAAAACGTAGAATCTAGAAAGTTAAGCAGACCAAAAAGTAGAATCTAGAAAGTTAAGCAGACCAAAACGTAGAATCTAGAAAGTTAAGCAGACCAAAAACGTAGAATCTAGAAAGTTAAGCAGACCAAAAACGTAGAATCTAGAAAGTTAAGCAGACCAAAACGTAGAATCTAGAAAGTTAAGCAGACCAAAACGTAGAATCTAGAAAGTTAAGCAGACCAAAACGTAGAATCTAGAAAGTTAAGCAGACCAAAAACGTAGAATCTAGAAAGTTAAGCAGACCAAAATTTAGAATCTAGAAAGTTAAGCAGACCAAAAATTTAGAATCTAGAAAGTTAAGCAGACCAAAACGTAGAATCTAGAAAGTTAAGCAGACCAAAATTTAGAATCTAGAAAGTTAAGCAGACCAAAACGTAGAATCTAGAAAGTTAAGCAGACCAAAACGTAGAATCTAGAAAGTTAAGCAGACCAAAACGTAGAATCTAGAAAGTTAAGCAGACCAAAACGTAGAATCTAGAAAGTTAAGCAGACCAAAAATTTAGAATCTAGAAAGTTAAGCAGACCAAAAACGTAGAATCTAGAAAGTTAAGCAGACCAAAAACGTAGAATCTAGAAAGTTAAGCAGACCAAAACGTAGAATCTAGAAAGTTAAGCAGACCAAAACGTAGAATCTAGAAAGTTAAGCAGACCAAAACGTAGAATCTAGAAAGTTAAGCAGACCAAAACGTAGAATCTAGAAAGTTAAGCAGACCAAAACGTAGAATCTAGAAAGTTAAGCAGACCAAAACGTAGAATCTAGAAAGTTAAGCAGACCAAAACGTAGAATCTAGAAAGTTAAGCAGACCAAAACGTAGAATCTAGAAAGTTAAGCAGACCAAAATTTAGAATCTAGAAAGTTAAGCAGACCAAAATTTAGAATCTAGAAAGTTAAGCAGACCAAAACGTAGAATCTAGAAAGTTAAGCAGACCAAAATTTAGAATCTAGAAAGTTAAGCAGACCAAAATTTAGAATCTAGAAAGTTAAGCAGACCAAAACGTAGAATCTAGAAAGTTAAGCAGACCAAAATTTAGAATCTAGAAAGTTAAGCAGACCAAAATTTAGAATCTAGAAAGTTAAGCAGACCAAAAAGTTAGAATCTAGAAAGTTAAGCAGACCAAAATTTAGGTTCTAGAAAGTTAAGCAGACCAAAATTTAGGTTCTAGAAAGTTAAAGCAGACCAAAACGTAGAATCTAGAAAGTTAAGCAGACCAAAACGTAGAATCTAGAAAGTTAAGCAGACCAAAATTTAGGTTGTAGAAAGTTAAGCAGACCAAAACGTAGAATCTAGAAAGTTAAGCAGACCAAAATTTAGAATCTAGAAAGTTAAGCAGACCAAAACGTAGAATCTAGAAAGTTAAGCAGACCAAAATTTAGGTTCTAGAAAGTTAAGCAGACCAAAATTTAGGTTCTAGAAAGTTAAGCAGACCAAAACGTAGAATCTAGAAAGTTAAGCAGACCAAAACGTAGAATCTAGAAAGTTAAGCAGACCAAAACGTAGAATCTAGAAAGTTAAGCAGACCAAAACGTAGAATCTAGAAAGTTAAGCAGACCAAAACGTAGAATCTAGAAAGTTAAGCAGACCAAAACGTAGAATCTAGAAAGTTAAGCAGACCAAAATTTAGAATCTAGAAAGTTAAGCAGACCAAAACGTAGAATCTAGAAAGTTAAGCAGACCAAAACGTAGAATCTAGAAAGTTAAGCAGACCAAAACGTAGAATCTAGAAAGTTAAGCAGACCAAAAACGTAGAATCTAGAAAGTTAAGCAGACCAAAACGTAGAATCTAGAAAGTTAAGCAGACAAAAACGTAGAATCTAGAAAGTTAAGCAGACCAAAACGTAGAATCTAGAAAGTTAAGCAGACCAAAACGTAGAATCTAGAAAGTTAAGCAGACCAAAACGTAGAATCTAGAAAGTTAAGCAGACCAAAACGTAGAATCTAGAAAGTTAAGCAGACCAAAACGTAGAATCTAGAAAGTTAAGCAGACCAAAATTTAGAATCTAGAAAGTTAAGCAGACCAAAATTTAGAATCTAGAAAGTTAAGCAGACCAAAACGTAGAATCTAGAAAGTTAAGCAGACCAAAATTTAGAATCTAGAAAGTTAAGCAGACCAAAAATTTAGAATCTAGAAAGTTAAGCAGACCAAAACGTAGAATCTAGAAAGTTAAGCAGACCAAAATTTAGAATCTAGAAAGTTAAGCAGACCAAAATTTAGAATCTAGAAAGTTAAGCAGACCAAAAGTTAGAATCTAGAAAGTTAAGCAGACCAAAATTTAAATTACAAAAAGTTGGGCGGATTCAACTGAAAAAAAAACGACCAAAATTTAGAATCTAGAAAGTTAAGCAGACCAAAACGTAGAATCTAGAAAGTTAAGCAGACCAAAATTTAGAATCTAGAAAGTTAAGCAGACCAAAATTTAGAATCTAGAAAGTTAAGCAGACCAAAATTTAGAATCTAGAAAGTTAAGCAGACCAAAAACGTAGAATCTAGAAAGTTAAGCAGACCAAAAATTTAGAATCTAGAAAGTTAAGCAGACCAAAATTTAGAATCTAGAAAGTTAAGCAGACCAAAAACGTAGAATCTAGAAAGTTAAGCAGACCAAAAATTTAGAATCTAGAAAGTTAAGCAGACCAAAAACGTAGAATCTAGAAAGTTAAGCAGACCAAAACGTAGAATCTAGAAAGTTAAGCAGACCAAAATTTAGAATCTAGAAAGTTAAGCAGACCAAAATTTAGAATCTAGAAAGTTAAGCAGACCAAAATTTAGAATCTAGAAAGTTAAGCAGACCAAAACGTAGAATCTAGAAAGTTAAGCAGACCAAAATTTAGAATCTAGAAAGTTAAGCAGACCAAAACGTAGAATCTAGAAAGTTAAGCAGACCAAAACGTAGAATCTAGAAAGTTAAGCAGACCAAAATTTAGAATCTAGAAAGTTAAGCAGACCAAAATTTAGAATCTAGAAAGTTAAGCAGACCAAAACGTAGAATCTAGAAAGTTAAGCAGACCAAAACGTAGAATCTAGAAAGTTAAGCAGACCAAAATTTAGAATCTAGAAAGTTGAGCAGACCAAAATTTAGAATCTAGAAAGTTAAGCAGACCAAAACGTAGAATCTAGAAAGTTAAGCAGACCAAAATTTAAATTACAAAAAGTTGGGCGGATTCAACTGAAAAAAAAACGACCAAAATTTAGAATCTAGAAAGTTAAGCAGACCAAAACGTAGAATCTAGAAAGTTAAGCAGACCAAAATTTAGAATCTAGAAAGTTAAGCAGACCAAAAAAATTAGGTTCTAGAAAGTTAAGCAGACCAAAAATTTAGGTTCTAGAAAGTTAAGCAGACCAAAATTTAGAATCTAGAAAGTTGAGCAGACCAAAATTTAGAATCTAGAAAGTTAAGCAGACCAAAACGTAGAATCTAGAAAGTTAAGCAGACCAAAATTTAGAATCTAGAAAGTTAAGCAGACCAAAAATTAGGTTCTAGAAAGTTAAGCAGACCAAAATTTAGGTTCTAGAAAGTTGAGCAGACCAAAATTTAGAATCTAGAAAGTTAAGCAGACCAAAACGTAGAATCTAGAAAGTTAAGCAGACCAAAATTTAGAATCTAGAAAGTTAAGCAGACCAAAATTTAGAATCTAGAAAGTTAAGCAGACCAAAATTTAGAATCTAGAAAGTTAAGCAGACCAAAATTTAGAATCTAGAAAGTTAAGCAGACCAAAATTTAGAATCTAGAAAGTTAAGCAGACCAAAAACGTAGAATCTAGAAAGTTAAGCAGACCAAAATTTAGAATCTAGAAAGTTAAGCAGATAAAAAAACGTAGAATCTAGAAAGTTAAGCAGACCAAAAACGTAGAATCTAGAAAGTTAAGCAGACCAAAATTTAGAATCTAGAAAGTTAAGCAGACCAAAATTTAGAATCTAGAAAGTTAAGCAGACCAAAAATTTAGAATCTAGAAAGTTAAGCAGACCAAAATTTAGAATCTAGAAAGTTAAGCAGACCAAAAATTTAGAATCTAGAAAGTTAAGCAGACCAAAATTTAGAATCTAGAAAGTTAAGCAGACCAAAACGTAGAATCTAGAAAGTTAAGCAGACCAAAATTTAGAATCTAGAAAGTTAAGCAGACCAAAAATTTAGAATCTAGAAAGTTAAGCAGACCAAAAACGTAGAATCTAGAAAGTTAAAGCAGACCAAAAATTTAGAATCTAGAAAGTTGAGCAGACCAAAAATTTAGAATCTAGAAAGTTAAGCAGACCAAAACGTAGAATCTAGAAAGTTAAGCAGACCAAAATTTAAATTACAAAAAGTTGGGCGGATTCAACTGAAAAAAACTTCTTTTTTCTCAAATTGTCCCTTGTTAACTTTTTCTGTTGAATAATCATATTGGTTTTTTTCCAAAGCTCCCTTTTTATTATTATTTTTTTATCTATAAAATCTTTCAGAGCAGCGAACAAGGGCCGATTTTTTTACGTGGGCCGGTGAATTTGGCAAGTGAAGCGCCGCTTTTTGGGCGATGAGGCATTACCTGTAGTTTATCTGCACACGAAGAGGAATCCCGACGATGTTGAGCTCGATGATGAGGAAGAGCTTTTGGAACGATATCAGATGGTTTTTACATTTCGTTCGTTTTTATAGGGATTATGGGGTTTTTGAGGACTAGTTCATCATTTTTGAAATTTTTCAAACATTAGTGATGAAAAATGTAACTTGGAAAGTGCGTAGGAAACAGTTGGAGCTATATTTTAATTTTGGAAAAATTTTTTTTCGTCCTGTTCATTTTAAACCGAATAACTATCCTTCTGTAACTTTAATTGTTCTGAAAATAGTTTTTTTTTTTGTGGAATTTTGAAGCTTTCAGATCGTCTATCGCTGTCTGAATGCGACAGTTTGCATGTTTGTCCGGTTTCCCGACGTTGAAACGAGTTCGAAAGAGCAAATTGTGAGCCGGCGGATGCTCCGGAATATTGACGCCTACTTGGAAACGGATCTGAGCAACTTGGCCAGCAGGATAGGCGATGAGTTAGTGATATGGTTGCATATTTTTCTCAATAAATATTATTTTGAGGATCGGCGGCGAGAACGATTTGAGGCCAGAAGCGACGGACTTCCACTACGTCTACTTCAACCCGGCGTCGCTCTCCATGACGTCATCTTTCTCTTCGACGTCTTCTGAAGGCTTAGATGGGACGACGGCAAGTGTCGGGGTGGCCAAGGCGCCTCCGCCGCCGGTTGACGTCAATAGGTTCATTTTAAATTTTTTTTTTTGTTACTTCGAAATGAAAATCTCGTTGAAGTTCAGGGTAGCTAAATTTTGAGATCTTTATCTGTTAAAAATCAAGCTAAAGTCCAATTGAACCCAGGAAAATCACTTTTGGGGTCGTTCCTCACGAGTTCACGGTGACATCCCATTTTTTAATCGTTTTGAAAAATTCCTTGTTGATGAAAATGAGCAATAAACGCGAAAAATATTTTCCCTATCTCGTTCATTTTTTTTCGAGAAGTTTACTGATCCTTTCAAGAATGACGCCAATTTAAAGATTTTTTTAGTTAAATATAAATGAGCTACAATGTGACCAAGCTGCTACATTTCTATGAAAAATTATATTTTTTTCTTTACAAAGTCCTTTTTTTAAAGTTTTAGCCGTAAATATATCTCTCACTAGAAGTTATGGCATAAAATAAATCCTTAACTTCATTCTATAGCCTTACCTGTATCCTTAACTACACGCTATAGCCTTATCTGTATCCTTAACTACGCGTTATAGACTTACCTATATCCTTGACTACAAGTTATAGCCCTAATTATTTTCTTAACGGGGAGTTATAGCCTCAACTATATCCTTAACGGGGAGTTATAACCTTAATTATATCCTTAACTGGAAGTTATAGTTTTACCTATATTCTTAATTTCAAGTTATAGCCTTAACCATATCATTAACTAAAGTTTGAACCCGTAACTATATCCTTAACTTGAATTCGTTGTTGTTATTTGAGATTTCCTCTTAAGACTGATTTTTCTCAAAAAGTTCCTTCATAATCAACAAGGGCAAAGAATAGAAAAATAGAAAAAAACACCCCTCCGTATTTTGCGCGTTCTTCGCATCGGCAGACCAAATTAAGAAGCAAATCAAAGGCTAATGCATCGTCGTTGCTGGCCGCAGTAGTTTCACCCTAATTGCTTCCGTTCGAGCGCCCAGAAGTCGTTGGTCTTGAGGCGCAGGTGGCGGCAGATGAGATCGAACCGACATTTATCAAATTGCAACTTTAATTGCGCTTTTCATGTACCTTTATTGGGCATTTGGGAAGGTGCTGTGGAGATTTAATTTTGTTCAGTCTTCATAGAATCGTGAAATGATTCGAGATTTTTACGGTTAAAAAAAACTGTCGTTGATCAAGAACGGCGTGTAGATCATCTCGTCCTTCTTGCGGTAGTGGGAGTGGTAAATGATATTAATTTATCAGAAGAAAAAAATCACCGACATCAAATCGAGGTCTCATTTTTGGGATCAATCTTCGTTGATCTTGAAAATTATCAAAAGATGGTTTTTCTAAGATTGATAATGATTTTAAAGAGTAAAAAGGGGAAAAAACTGATTTTATTGATTTGAAGTAATAATCATATCGTGATTTAAAAGGTCTCATTTAGAGCATCTATACAATTAAGTGGTAAAAAGCTGAAAGCTTGCTTGATGTTTAAAGATCAGAGTTTAAAAAAAGATGTCGAAGTTTAGAAGCTTCGAAAAAAATTCGTTTTTTAAAAATTTGATAATGCAATTTACTTTGTACGTTGTCATGTACGCTCCATGGATAACTCAACTTTTTTTGTATCTATTTGAAAAATTTATACGTTGGTTTCATTTTTTTCAAAGTACTAATAAAGTCAATCAGAAGCCTTCATGTCCGGTTTTTTTCTCAAAAATTTTTCCCTAAAAAGGCAATTTTTACATTTGTAACTTGTTTTTTTAAATATTTTTTTCCTAACCAATTCACGGTTGAAAAAAATTCAGATCCAATAGCTTGAATTTTTTTGATTAATATTTTCAGTTCGAGAACCATTTATTACGATTTCAGATTGGTCTGCGAAACACTGTCGGGCTTCGTTTCGGAAAGCGAAGAATTTGGCGAATGTTTCGCCAAGTCGGAGACCGACTGGTGGGTCGTCATCAAAAAGGTGAATTTCGGAAAAATTCTGATCTATGATTATTTTTATGATAGTTTTGAAAAATACTTCATACTAGTTTATTTTTTCCCGAATTTCCACCGAAATTCAAAAAGGCAGAAGTGTGCGTACACGTTTCCTTGAAGTGAAACGGCAGTAAAAGTAAAGTCGGAGACGAAACGAAATTTGATCATCCTTCACCGCTCACTTGAGCGCCTCCCACCTCCCTTTTTCGGTCGCCTGCCCTTTGCTAAACTGAGCCGTCTTTTATCCGGATATTCAGTTAGAGAAAAGTCAACCCCCGTCATGAACTTTCGCACGAGATTTATTGGCAGTGGAGCGCGATTTTTGAGCCCAGAAAGAGCCGCAAAGTGGCTTTTTCCACGATTTAGAAAAAAATCTAGAAAGTTTTGGAAAATTCGGCTAAGAAGGAAGAACAAAAAAACCTCTTTAGTGAGATAGAGCGCACTTTCAGTTACAGAAAGACTGGCTCCAAAATTTTCTACCATAAAACTTAAGAACTTTGAAATGATCCCTACAGGGGTCGAAAAAGGGATCTCTATAGGGGTTTAGGGTCTGACCCCTGGGCTCCTATAACGACTACCCTCATGTTCCCTATAGGGACCACTTTGGCAAGCTTTGTGACCCCTAGAGGGGTTGGTAAAGTGGTCCCCAGAGAGTGCCCTCCGAAAGCCCCTAAGGTTGCCCCTATAGGGACCGCTCGGGAGTCAATTTCCAAACATTCGCGCCCCAAATCAACTTCTCTTATGCTTGCCAGGGGTCATCGGGTAAACCTGTAATAAACCTTTGACGGGTGTTGAGCACGCTTTTTTTTAGGCTTTTTGAGTTTCATTTGGGGAAACACGGGCGGCAGAAGAAAGGGGGGACTCAGCTAGGTTTATCTCGAAAATCTGAGACCCACCTGAGCTTAAAAAGCCTAAAAGTTTTACCAAATGGACTTGTACGGGTGTATGACGGGCGCACCCGCTGAGACCCTGTTCCAGCTCGGCGGGTCTACCCTCATCACTATGAGAGTTCAGAAAAACCCCTCGAAATGTAGTGAAGACGTGTTGATGCGAGTTTCGCAGAGTTTTTAGGGCGAGAGCTTGATTGATGGGGGTGAATATATTAAAAGTTGTTGACGCTTGTACCCGTTCTGGCCATCAGAAAACAAGTTTGTTATATGGAGAGTGATCACTTTAGGGAAGACAAGTTTTGTCTTTTTCTAGGGTCTTTGTGAAGACTGGTATAGAAGTAGACTCCAGTAAGTGTTTTTATCCGAAGTGACCTCTTAAATAAACTTTAGATAGATTTTTGAGATATTTTAACACTTTGATATATAGGGGCCTCTGTGAGCTTTGAATCCAAGATTTCAAAAGTTTAGGAAGTTTTTGAGCCTCCAAATCCATGCTAAGAGTTTTCGAATATTCTAAATTTTTCCTTTTGATTTCCAGGTGAACTCCCGACTTCTGGTCCTTCTCCTACCTCCCTCATCATATCAACAATCGTTGGCCGATGTCCAGTCAAGGACTCAAGTCATCGTCAAATCTCATTTCAAAGCGATTTTCTTCAATTAGTTTTGAAATCAACTTTATTTTTTAAACAACTTCAAATTCTTATCTTTCATTTTTCCTTTAGTTTTTGCTTTCCCCATAATAATTTTCATCTAATAAGATAGACCCCTACACTCACCTTGATCACTTGACCTTTCCAATCTCATTGTTTTCCCATTTCTTTCCTTGCCTCAATTTTCCAAACTTGCAATTGTGATTGAACCGGGTATTCTCGTATATTCCTAATGCTTGTTTCATAAAGTTTTCCAATGTTCTCCGAGCCAGAAGCTCTTTTTTCCAAAGCGAATAATTGGTTGCAAGTCGTTAAAAGCTACTTTTATGGGCTCTTTCCGCATCCGTAGTTCTTTTTTTTCAGGCCGGATTTGTTGGATTTCCGATTCTCCGTATAACCAACAAGATGAGAAGATTTTTCTCCACTCCGAATAAAATGTTGGTTTTCCAAATTTATTTTTGGAGCGAACTTTCAATCCTAGCCAGGCTTTTCAACTGATTCCGCTCGTAGCCGACTAATAGACTACAAAATATGAATATATCTCTCTTCCAGAGGCTTCTCAGGATTGATAAATGTAGAGAAACCATAAAATTTTCTGTTGCCATGGCGAATTTTTTATTTCCCGTCTCTCTTGAGGCTAAAGTCTATGGAAAAATAGCCATCTGCTTCTGGCTTCGCGGCTTTTCGTGGATCTCTTTGAGATTTTCAATTTTTTCACACTACAATCGCTCTAAAATCTCCATTCTATTAATTTTTAGGGTGGAAGAAAGTTTGTTAATATTTTTCCTGTTATTGCTTCTATGTAGTTTTTTTTGGTCTAGACAGGGATTTTTGCGAAATTGTGGTCTTCTTAACTTTTTAGAATCTGAAATTTGGTCTGCTTAACTTTTTAGAATCTAAGTTTTGGTCTGCTTAACTTTCTAAATTCTAAATTTTGGTCTGCTTAACTTTTTTTGGAATTTGAATTTTTGGTCTGCTTAACTTTTTTTAGAGTTTAAATTTTGGTCTGCTTAACTTTCTAGATTCTAAATTTTGGTCTGCTTAACTTTCTAGATTCTAAACTTTTGGTCTGCTTAACTTTCTACATTCTAAATTTTGGTCTGCTTAACTTTCTAGATTCTAAATTTTGGTCTGCTTAACTTTCTAGATTCTAAATTTTGGTCTGCTTAACTTTCTAGAGTTTAAATTTTGGTCTGCTTAACTTTCTAGATTCTAAATTTTGGTCTGCTTAACTTTCTAGATTCTAAATTTTGGTCTGCTTAACTTTCTACATTCTAAATTTTGGTCTGCTTAACTTTCTAGATTCTAAATTTTGGTCTGCTTAACTTTCTAGAACCTAAATTTTGGTCTGCTTAACTTTCTAGAACCTAATTTTTGGTCTGCTTAACTTTTTTGGAATTTGAATTTTGGTCTGCTTAACTTTCTAGATTCTAAATTTTGGTCTGCTTAACTTTCTAGATTCTAAATTTTGGTCTGCTTAACTTTCTAGATTCTAAATTTTTGGTCTGCTTAACTTTCTAGATTCTGAATTTTTGGTCTGCTTAACTTTCTAGATTCTAAATTTTTGGTCTGCTTAACTTTCTAGATTCTAAATTTTGGTCTGCTTAACTTTCTACATTCTAAATTTTGGTCTGCTTAACTTTCTAGATTCTAAATTTTGGTCTGCTTAACTTTTTAGAGTTTAAATTTTGGTCTGCTTAACTTATTTGGAATCGAAATTTTGGTCTGCTTAACTTTTCAGTAAAAGCTTTTGAAAACTAAATTTTGGTCCGTAAATTCTCAGGTTTCCTGGTGATCATATTCGATTTACCTGTCCCTTTGCGTAAAGACTATTCTTTCGGGCAATCACCTTTCGGCCAAACCAACAAAAAACATCGAAGAGTCAAATGATGTCCCAACATAAACATGGACAACCGGCGGCGGTGGATAGGCGGAGCCGATAATTGCGCGCGATTTCCGGATGGCCGGCTCTCCATCGCTTTCCGCCCGCACTCTTCTCCACCACGTCGTCCTTCTTTTTGAGTTATGTTCCTATCAATTGCCCCGCAGTCATCCTCACAATCATATTTCTACTCTGTAGGTGGTCATTTTCACCTCATCGCCCCTGCTCGCCGGTGGAAATGCGTTTCATCTCTTTTATAAATCTCATTGTTTTGAATCTCTTCAATGCGTCACAGTATCACAACGGATTCTATCATTTACAACTCAGTTTTTATTTCCTTGTTTGTTGGAGAAAGAACGTCGCCTCAATGGAGCGAAAAGCGGAGCAAAGCAGAAAATTTTTTTTTCCGACGAAGCCGACCTATTTTTTACCCAAAACCCCAACCAATTTCTTCACGCTTCGCTTATTTTTTTTTTCGTTTTCTTTTCTTCTTTCCATTTCGCCGTTCCTGGCGTTCATTCTTTCTAACCTTTGTTCTTTTTTTTTTGAAAGAATATGGTAGTAATATCAGCTGAAGTTTTGCTCATTTTTTTCATCCGGAAGTCATATTTTGCCTCCAATCCGAGATGCTTCTTCAAAAAAATAAGATTTTTTTAATAATTTACTTTTTTGCGTGTTTGGCATTTGGCTTATTTTTGCTGCCCATTTTTTTCGCTTCATCGGAGAACCCTCAGCCGGCGGCCAAATTAAATTCCTCCCCATTCGCGCGGTTTTTTTCACGCTCACTTGCCATCGTCTTGGTGTAGTGGTGATTTCTTGCAACGCTTTTTTTGCTTCCGGGATGCTCTAATTACTGATTTTTCGATTAATTATTTTTTGAAGCCGTGGTTCATTTTAATTATTTATTTTCGTAATGGTCTATGAGTTGGTAGAACTCCTATTTTAATTTTTTTGAATTTTTTAAAGCTGATTTTGGGTCTGATTGTTTTATTTTCGAACTTCTCAATTATTCAGATTCTGATATTTTTTGATTTTCTTCAGATACTTTATTTTGGCCTGCTTCCTAGAAGTTCAATAACTTTGGTCTGCTTAAATTTTTAATAGTTCATTTTTTAAAACTACCTCACGAATTTCTTAATTTCGATCCATTATTTTTAATTGCTCATATTATTTTCTGTTCTTTGTCTCTACCTTTTTCAAATCTCCCGATGACGAATAGAAAAAAAAACTGCGATTAAGCCTATTGCCTGCAATTGACAAGTTATATTAGTTTGAAAAAAAGAACGAACGACTTTTGGACGCATTTTTTTCAAAACGGAGAAGTTTGCAGTGAGCGTAAACAAAAATACGAGAATGCGTAATTCTCTAGCATGAGCAACACTCTCTCCGCCCACTCAAAATCGCACGCGTAAAGCTTCCATTTTTCATTTGGCAGGCACTCGCCCCCGAAATTTATGCAAATCCTGACAATTGGTTGATTATTTCGGGCCGTCGATGGAGAGTTCCCACGTCCTTCTTGACTATATAGTTCACGGCTCTGTTTTCATTTTCCCGAATTTGATCATTTTTGGTTCAAGTCCAACATATTGTCCGGTCAATTTTTCAACAATTTTTGAAATCCTCTTCAAGCTCTTTTCAAATTTGTCAACGTTCCATGGACTACGCCTTGGGGGATTCGGTCTGTGTTTTTTTCCCCCCTCGGTCGACCCATCATGTTTCTGTTCGCAGAGCTTTTCGTCGACTCGCCATTTCCCAAAGCACTTTTTTTTCCTGAGTAAAACAAAAAGAGAGAAAAGTAATCGTCGTCAGGCCTGGAATTCTCATATTTCGAGGCCCCCGTCGTCTTTGTTTTCGGTCCTCCTCAATGGATTAATGGGCGACGGCAATTTTCAAGCAACGTTTTCTTTTTTTCTTAAAGCCGGCCTTTTGATTGTTTTCAGAGGAGGTTGCCGAGATTTCAAAGTCTTTTGAGAGCCTTACGACTCTGGAGTTTTTTTTTGGTATGTATTATATTTGGGCAGGGAGAAATTCAGATGGTAGGGAATGCATTGGACTTTCAAAGTATTGAACTGTGGAAATTTCAATTTTGGTTCTACTAGTAGAATAAAAAATGTTTCTGCTCAAGATTTAAGATGTTTTTCTAGTTTTTCGTAATGTTTTATTAGGTTTAGAATCGTTTAGTTGGAGTGGACTACTATAGTGACTGCTTGGAAGTTCCCAAAAATTTTTCCAGAACATCTGAGTGAACGATTAGAACCTTCAAATGATTTCTAAAATCTCAAAAATACTGAGAAAAAAAAATGCTCAAAAAATGACCAGGACTACTTGAATTTCTGTTGAATTTTGTCGTTGCGAAAAACTTGATAAATCTTTTTTTTCAAAAATTTTTTTAAAAATTTTTTGAGGGAATCATAACGAGCTCATATCTATGAAAAATATATGAAAACCCTCCGAACGAACTCCAAAAAAAACCTCCCAGAAGCTCATTGGTATGCAAGTGCTCACCCACTTGAAGCTTCTGACCCGTCGGACAAAAAAAAAAGGGACGAAACAGAAAAAAAAAATGGAGAGTAGAAGAAAAGCTGAAAAGTTCTGCCCCTGCGGCAACACTGCAATTTCTCTCACTTTTCCTGCTTTTTCGCAATATCTTTCCAAGGTTTTTTCCAGCCGCGAGTGAGTTGAAGTGAAGAATGGGCGTGTCTTTCCGCCTTTTTTCTCCCCTTGCGGTTGAGTTCGACGTCGTTGACGCGCGCCGACTTTTTTTTTTGCTCTTTTCAGAGTTTCGGAGCTGAATTTATGTTTCTTTTTTGGGAATCGGACATTTTTTAGCTTTTTTTTCGAAGAATTTGTTATGGGCTTTGAGACGAAAGTGAGGTTTTTGAACTATTCAGTCTACTAAAATCGGAATTTCGTAACATTCCACTGGATTTTTTCGACGTCTGCTAGCATAATCAAAGACGGAAAGGGTGGAAAAAGGCTCCATAAGAATTTTCCCTTTTTGCTGCCTTTTCGCGCCATTTTCTAGGCCCTTTTGTACCATTTTTGCTGTCTCTCCCTTTGTTCATCATTTCTAGAGATTTGGTTATCCTAGAAAAAGGTACTCTCTTTGCTGCCTTTTTGCAGCCTTTCTGCAGCCTTTTTTAGAGCTTCTCCTTTTTAGCAGCCATTCTCCACAATTTAGACTTTGTCCGAATGTTAAATTTTTTTCCACACTCGAAAATTTCCGATTTTTTTTTGCTCCATTTTATGACTTATGGTCGCATTTAGAATGGATCTAAACATCACGGTCGCACTGCGGTTGCATTTGAATATATAGACGATTCCAAGACCTGAAACTATTTGATAACGGAGCGCGAAAACCGTTTAGAATCGGGCGAATTTTTTTTGTGTCTATTAAGCCATTCCAAATGCGACCATCGGCTTCACTTAAAAGGATTCGTTTCACCTAATTTAGTTTCCAAAAAAATAAATTTTTCGATTTCAAAAAAACTTAAAACTCTCTTTCAATTTTTCGATTCTATAAATTTCTGATTTAACTTCCCACCTTTTTTTCATTTTTTTATGTTCAAATTATCTACCTATTCTCATATTTTTTTCCTTTTTTTCAAAAAAAAGTTCCAGACTATCATTATGCTTCTCGCTGGAAAAAAATAAACCGATTATTTTTTTGCTATTTCAATGGAGCTTAATCACATTTAGATTCATCAAACGAGAAATAATTTTTCAAAAAGTAATCCAAAATATTTTTTTCTGTCTTGTCGCCAGACGGCATGCCTTAATTAAAAAGCCGACACCGAACTTGTCGTTGCACTTTTTTTGTGGCAAATAAAAAAAGTTCGGACGATGTAATTAGGCTTTTTCTCTTTTTTTTTTTTCTGTTTTTAGTTTGAGCTAAAAAAATATTTTTCATTATCAAACTTTTAGAACAAAAAAATAGAGGAAACGCCTTTTAAAAAAATTGAGTTTGAGGAAAAAAACGAACGCCATCTGGCGTCAAATTATGAATAATTTCCAAAGTCTGTAGGATTTTTTTAATGAGTCTCTCTTTGATGGGACCAAAATAAAGGATAGGTTTTATGTTTTTCTAAAAAAAGACCTGGGGTTTTAAAACTTGAATTTTTCTTCAATTTTGAATTTTTAAAAACCCCTTCAAGAGATTTTTAGTTATCCAGGAACAATTTTTGAACTATCCAGAACTATCTTCTCAAAATCATTAGAAAAAGACTTAAAATTGAGCTTTTCAATAATATTTCCTTCTGAGGCGAGAGGATGAGAGACTATGTCAAAAGAAGAGAGTTTTCTCTGCAACCCAACGATGAAAGGACTATAAGACATGTCGAATTTTTCAAGAAAATCTTTTTTTATTTGATTTTTCATCTCTAAATGTCAAATTTTTCAAATTTTCAAAGAAATCGCTAGCCCATCTTCAAAATCTTTTCATCTTTTGCTCTCTATCCTTTCCCCATTCTCTCTCCAAAGTGAGAGAGAAGAGAGAGGCCGGAGAAGTCATACATAGTTCATATCGGCTCACGCCTTGCCGGGGCGACTTTTTGAAATATTCACGATGGTTTCGCCTGCCCCGCATGTACATACATCTATCTCATTGCGAGCCTCAGCTTGTCCCCTTCTCGACTTTTTCGTAGTTTTTCGAATTTTGTTTTTTTAGGTTCTCTTTGGCTAGGAAATGTGAAGAAGTGCGATGAGTGTGAAGGTTTCGGTGATCGTAGCGATTTTTCAGTTTTTATCAGGTTTGTTTGAGAATCTAAGAAATTTTAGAGTACCAATAAGCTTGATGTTAAAGTGAAATAGTGAGAAATTTGAAAGTTTTTGGCAAAAACGGGGTTGGGAGGAGAACCTGTGACCCTCTGGTAGTTGTAGACAATGAAAAAATGACTTAACTTTTTGAATTTTGATTTGCGCTTTTCAATAGAAATCATAGAAATCATAGAAATGGCAAAAATCACGATCCTGCGTGGGAATCGAACCTTTGACCTTCTGAGCGTGAAAAAATAACCCAGAATTCTGAAACTCTGACTAAAAGTTACACATTATTCGTTTTTTTAGAAATGAGTCGGCCTAAAAATGAAAAAAATAGTTATAATAAGATAATAAAAGGCTTAAGAAGTTGATTTTTTTTTTACTTTCTGAACGTTCTTTAAAATATATTTTGTAAAACTTTCTTTCATAAAAAAAAATCGATTAATGATAAATGAAGGATTTACACTGACAAGGAAGGTAATTTTTACCTGTAGATTGATAATTTGATAAAAAAATGACCAAATCGTTTTTGAAAAAAAGGGACATTTTAAGTCAAAGAAAACCCTCGAAATTTGATGAAATAACCTATTTTGAGGCTTCGTTCCCTTATTTTTTTCGAGAAACTGGAAAGGTTCAGGCTTACAGAAACTTAATTTTTTTACATCAAGAATTTTCGAATTTTCAAGAATTTTTGAACATTTCAGGCGCCTCATCGCTGTTTCTACGGGTTGAAACTGGTCATCAGAATATTGCCATCAGTGGTCGTTAGTTTTGATTTTTTGATTTATTGTATTTTTCGTTAATTTCGAACCATGAATATTCGCAGGAGATCCCTATTTTGGACATTTTACACGGATTCATTTTCAAAATTTAACTTGTGTCGCCGCGATTCACGTGCATTGCCTGAAGCCGTTGACAGGTGCCGAGGAAATGTGGGTTTTTTATTTTAAACTTGGTAAATTTGGGAAAAATTGGACAGAGGGCAAGTTCACTATACTTGTTTTTACGTTTTGAAGAGATTGAGAAGATTTTTTGGTCATTATATGAAATAATCTCATTTCTCATTTCATCACGTCGACTAGTCGGTCTCATTGCCGCTCTCTCATGAGATAATATTCCGACGCCCGTCAGCCCTGGACAAGCTGGGCGCCGTACTGTTCCAACATGGAGAAGCAGTTTATTTGCTGGTACTACCAACGGTCCCACATTATTCCCCAACGCTCGCTGTCACGTCGGGACTTAATGGACAACGATTGTGAACCGCAACCCGTGCCGACGACTAACTCTTTGATTAAACCATGATTCAGCAGAGATTTCTTCTACATCTTACTCTGAAGACTGAATAAATTGTAAAAAATTGTAATTATATGAAATAAAACTTGAGAAAAGCTGAAAAAACGCTCTCAAGTCGGAAATTTTACACATATCAAATTCAAAAAGAAGAAAAAAAATTGTTTGTTCCATTTGAAAACCTGATGGTATCGTTTTTATCAGCTTGATCGGCAAGTGCAAAAACAAAACAGCCGCCAATTCGTAAGTGAAAAGTCGCCCCACCGGGAATTCCTAGAAGCTAGTAGATGATGATGTTTCGAGAGAGGCTTAAGGCGTTCTGATAAATTCGCCCCACGGGGCCGGTCACTCTAACCGCAACTTGTTTCGGCTACTTTGAGAGAAAAACCTCACTTTTACGATTGAATTCACGGAATATATCTTAATTCCTTATTTAAAAAGTTCAATAAGTAAAAAAAATCAGTTCTTTTGAGCTTCTAGCTAAGTTTCAGAAATGAGCGAAACAAAGTTGCGAAGGCCTCGAAATTAGTCAAATCAGTAGCATCATTACTCGTTTTTGAAACGTTTTCCTGTCTGATTAGCGCTCTTTTCTTGAAAAAAGACGTCTTCATAGAAAATCCAGCAAGTTTCATGAAACTGAATTCAGTGACCTCGTCTACTCGGAATGTTCAAGAGGGCAATGGAAAGTGGCGCATTATACAAATTCAAAAAACTATTTCCGGTTAAAAACGGTTTGTACCTTTTTTTTTACCACATGTCTCGTGAAAAAAAAAATTAAGAATTTCTAATAAATTAAAAAAATATTCATATTTGCACTAAGAATAACTGACGAGATAAACGCGAGCTCGGTGGCGGTACATTGACTAACTCGCAAAAATGTCGCTTTTTTCTAGGCGCGATCCCGCATTTCTCTCGGCGCGACCTCGCATTTTTCTCGGCGCCATCTCGCATTTATCTTGCATTTCGGAAATTTTTCAAATTGCGAGAGAAATGCGAGCTCGCGCCTAGAAAAGTGCGAGCTGGCGCCCAGAAAAAAATGCGAGACCGGCGCGAGAAAAAAAGCGAGATGTTTGCGAGCTCGTCAATGTACCGCCAGTGTCTCGCGTTTATCTCGGCAGTTATTCTTAGTGTGTGCGTGAGGTGCGTTTTGTGCATTTTCACGTCGGTGCCCACGCACAAGCGTAACTTGGAACCTTGGAGCGAATTTGTAATTTTTGGTCGACTTTTTATTTAGAAGTTTTTGAAGTTCCTCAGGCACTGGTGCGCGCACGCGCGGGGGTACTGATTCTTTTTTCGTCTTTTTTATTGAAATACAGTTTCGAAATATAATTTCTTTATTTTTGTAGTACTACCCAGTGCCCCTGCTCACGTTTAAAAGTTGTTCCGAGCACTTTCGAACAAACTTATGAAAAAACATTGCCAAGTGAAATTTTGGCATTTCAAATTTTTGTGCGTTCTAATTGTTATAAACTGAAACAGAGCAATTGTAAGAGATGAAAAAACATGAAAAATATGAAATTCATAACTTTTTAACCAGTTAAAAAGCTAAAAAATAAAAAAGACACCCCGCGCGTGCGCGCAGCAGGCGGCGCGCTCGCGCACTTTTGGCAACAAACACGCGCCGTCAGTGCCTGAGTCTCTTTCTAATTTGATTTGATATGATTTAGGATGTTTTTATTGAAATAGTTCTAGGTACACGCTAATTTTTTACTGAGTATCTACAAAGTTTTCTTCGTTGTCGTTCAAACTGTGATATTTATTCTCTCTGTCTTTTTTCTTCGTTAATAAAAAAATTATTTTCAGCCGATAAATGTTCAAAGGTTATCAATTTCGAGCAGAAAAGAACTCTCTGTTATCGACGTCCAGGTGGAGTCCTGTGCTGCTACAGTTTTGCCGACGTATGTTTTTTTTCCGTTTTTCAATTTCTGTTTCATGTATTCTTTTAAAATAAAAGCTTAATTCAAAAACTCCTTAAAATTTTATACCCAAATTTTGAGAAAGTATTGCAAAATTGAAGTTAACAAGTTTTCGACTCATCTAGGAATGTTTTTTGTTTATTTGAATTAATTACTTTGTTACATTTGATCCATAAACGTGTTTCAGAACTTCACCTTCGTGCCACAACGCCGTGAGAGGTCATGTTCACCGGCATGGCCGGACAGAAGGGACTTTGAGAGCGACAGATGATGTTGCCGATGAGTCTCATTCCAGATTTCGAAGGCCAAAACGGTTTGTGTAAACTGGAAATAAGCTTCTTATGATTTCATTGTTTTCCTTTTTTTTCTCGGATTTATTATTGAAATGTGTTGAGGCTGATGCTTTTTGCGTTTTTTTTTTTCAATTTTATCAGTCTTACAGGTCCGCCGAACCAGAAGTTTTTGACAGCGGTGTTCACATTTTCCATCAACAGCTTGAAATTGGTTCCGATACTACAGTTACTGTACTTCCTGGAACAATTTTGCGGTTCGCCGAGGATGCTGGTATCTCTGTCAAAGGTTTTTCTATTGGTTTTTATAATTTTTTTTACGATTATTTCAGGACGACTCCTGGTAAATGGAACTTTCGAGAGACCAGTTATTTTTGAGCCAATCGATGGGAGTTGGAAAGGAATCGCTTTTGAGAATGGTTTTTTATTTTTTGAACTATTTTTTCTTGGATGGCTGAGTTTTGAAAAGTATGTTTACGTCTGCTTAACTTTTTGGAAGTAGAATTTTGGTCTGCTTAACTTTTTGTAATTTAAATTTTGGTCTGCTTAACTTTTCAGAATCGAAATTTTAGTCTGCTTAACTTTTTTGAAATTTTGGTCTGCTTAACTTTTTAGAACCTGAATTTTGGTCTGCTTAACTTTTAGAAAGTAGAATTTTGGTCTGCTCAACTTTTTTGTAATATAAACTTTTGGTCTGCTTAACTTTCTAGAACCTAAATTTTGGTCTGCTTAACTTTTAGAAAGTAGAATTTTGGTCTGCTTAACTTTTTTTTAATATAAACTTTTGGTCTGCTTAACTTTTTAGAACCTGAATTTTGGTCTGCTTAACTTTTTAGGACCTGAATTTTTGGTCTGCTTAACTTTTAGAAAGTAGAATTTTTGGTCTGCTTAACTTTTTTTCTTAATATAAACTTTTGGTCTGCTTAACTTTCTAGAACCTAAATTTTGGTCTGCTTAACTTTTTGTAATTTAAATTTTGGTCTGCTTAACTTTCTACATTCTAAATTTTGGTCTGATTAACTTTTTTGAAATTTTGGTCTGCTTAACTTTTTAGAACCTGAATTTTGGTCTGCTTAACTTTTTCTTAATATAAACTTTTGGTCTGCTTAACTTTCTAAAAACCTAAATTTTTGGTCTGCTTAACTTTTTTTGTAATTTTAATTTTGGTCTGCTTAACTTTTTTTAAAAAGTTCAATTTTTTTCCAGAAGCTGCCTGATCATCTTTCAATTTTTGAAAGTTTTCCAAAGTTTCCATTTTCATCTATACCTTGTCATTAAATCACAAGGTTTTCCAGGTGCTCGTGGCTCTATTATTTCCCACGCGAATATATCCAGAGGCGCCATTGGAATCGCCATTTACGGTGGAAATGCGCCATATTTGGACCACGTGATAGTCGATCAAAATCACGTTGGAATGGATATAAATTTGAATAATGTAAACGGAAAACTCCTAATCTTGAGATAATATACATTTTTAGCCTCTCGCCATGGTGAAATTGAATAAAGTGATTGTAGTGAATAACGCGGCGGCCGGTATTTCGTCGAATGGAAAGGTTTGAAGCCGCTCCGAGTGGTCACTTGAGGGTTCTTGCTTGACCCTCCGATTTTTCTCTCTCTCTTTCTCTCGTCATCCAACTATCTCACATCGAAGCATGTCTCCTCCACTTGATTCATACTGGTATCAATGATTCATTGATTAAATATTGATTATTTCGCACTCAATAATTGATTTTTTTTTTTCGTTGCTTATTCACCCCGTATGTCTGTCCAACGTCCTTCTTGACACTCAATGTTCACAGATGATTTGTTCAAAAAACCTTCAATTTCGAGAAAAAGCTTCTCACGACACTCATATCAATCGCTTTCCAACTTTTTTGTACCAATAAATGTATCTCGATTCCGTTGTATTTGTATATTTTGGTATCAATTTTCGTCGCCGTCTTTGCACTAATCTTTTTTTCGATCAAAAAGAAGAGAAATAAAGAATATTCTTTGTTTATTCACGCATGGTTTGCATGGAAAAGTTGATTCGAATCTGATTATCATTTGAAAAAAGGAAGAAAGGTGCAGGTAGAATCATTTCAGGGAAAGTTGACTTTGGATGGGTGTATCATTGGTTCAAACGGCGGGAATGGACTGGTCGTGGAACACCTGGATAGTTTGGTACTCAGGTAAGGTGTACTGTAACGGGAATAGTTACGGAATACCTTGAAATTTAGGAGAACCGCATTTTTTATCAAGGTTTTTAAAAATTTGTTTACTGTATCTAGGAACTCCAGAGTGGCCCTATAGGTCTTAGGCGCCTTTGAAGAGTCCCCTCTAGGGACCACTTTACCAACCCCTATAGGAGCCACTATACTTTCGAAAGTGTTGGCTACAGGAGACATTCTAGTCGATAATTGATATGAACTCTAAGCGAAGAAAAAATCTCATGGGGAAAAATGAATATATAGCGTTTTTTGAATGAAATTGAATGACTCCTATAGGGTCCACTTGAACTCTAATCCCTATAGGGACTACTTTTTCGGTCCATATAGGGGTTGTTTTCCACCATAGCCCCTATAGAGACCACTCTGGAATCCTTAAGTATTTTATGGATGGACATCAAAAAAGTAGCTCCCATCTTCAGTCCAAACTTGAAATTGTCTGACTTCTCTGCTCCCTCTTTTTCTTCTTTGACCTTGCCAGAAAAGAGAGCGCAGACAGGTCAGACTGTTTTCAGTCCTGATGACGTTCAGGAAGACGTCAGTCATCTCCAACGGCGGTATCGGGATCCTGACCTACGACCTGGCCTCCATGACCCTTGAAGACGTCGGCGTGAGCTCCAACGCCGCCGAAGGCATCATGATCGCCAAGTTCGCCGACGCCAGAATGACCTTCTTGGTAACGCCGTAAATCAGTCGGATGACGTCATCTCTCGCTTCAGATGTCCAACGTCAACATATCGGCGCACAACGGCGGCGCGGCTCTTCTGATGAGCAACGTCGCCAACTCGAAGATCGGCCTCCATGGATGCCACGTCAGTGACAACCGGGGAGGAGGCGTCAGACTTGAAGGCTTCGCCGAGGAGACGTCAGTCACCGTGACGTCATGCAACTTCACCAGGAATCGAGGGCCGACTTTGCTGATTCCGATGCTCCGGAAGGCGTCGATTCTGGTCAAGAGGTCGTCATTCAATGAGAACACCTATGACGTCTACAAAGACAAAGAAGGCGTCATTTCGGTGGATACCGATGCGAATCGGGGTAAGTTGAAAATACGTTTCTGACGATTTGAATCAATATTAAGCAAAATTCACAGTACAAAGTGTACATATAGCCGATTCACGACTAGCTTGGGGCGGGGCCTGTCTGCGCTCTCCACCAATCAGGCACTGTCTCGTTTATTATCGTGTCAGGACCCTTTTTACGGTTTAAGCCAATTGTGAATCAGCTATATTTGTACTTTATAAGGCACTGAAAAAATTTAAAAAGGGTTTTTCTTCATTAATGAATCTGAAAAATTGTGAATTCTTATGCTTCAATGTCCGAATCTGAGGTAGATCACAAGTCTTGAGATTTATTTTCGAGTTTTAAGAGCAGATTATCAAGTTTAAAGCTTTCTCCGGAGCTGAAACAATTAACTGAGGCTTTAAAATACGTGTGTTCTAGCTCGCGCTTAAAAATATTAAAAAAAGCTCTGGAAATTTTTTGTCTTAACTTCAATTAACTAAAACCCTATAGGGATCACTTTTGCCAACTTTAGCGGTCCTTATAGGGGTTTGTGAAGGGGTCCCTAAAGGGGCTCTCCTGAGCCATGATCCTTTAAACTTTCTTAAAAACGATTGAAAAAAAAACCTTTTTCAGCCTCCTCCATCCTTATCACTGATTGCTGTTTCGAGCGCAATACCATGCATCAAATCATCAGAATCCGACAAGTTTCCGGTATACTGTAACTTTCTTTCACACCGTAATTTTTCTTATTAAAGGCACATCGGTGCCGACGTCGATATCCCGCAACGAATTCCGCGCAAACCTTGCTCAGACTGTACTGCTGCTGGCATCGGATGCGGTCAACGCCAGTGGCAATTTTTTCGACAATCCTAGGGTTTTTGTTTTTTGATACCCCTGTCGGGGAATTTCTAGTGACCACTTTAGTAGGGTCAGAACTCTTAAGTGATCCCTAGAATTAATTGAAAATTCCGGAGTTTTCGTTACCAAGGCTGAGCTGACAAAAACTCGAACTGTCAGACTTCTCTGCGCTCTCTATTCTCTCGGTGACCTTATTGTGTTTACGTCCTATTTTTGATGACGTCATGGTTAAGAGGGTGCAGAAAGGCCAAACTGTTAAGAATTCCACGAAATATTGATTTTTTAGGCCTCCTGTGAAATCACGTCCCATGCTCCACGTGTCGTCTTGACTTCAGACGCGTCTCAAAATTTTTTCGGCTATGATCAAGAATCGGAGGTTTTCTACAGTAACCCACAGTATTTATTGATTTTTGTTCAGATTTTGAAGAAAATGTGCGCCGGAAATCAAACCTCCGGATACGTTTCGCAAGTCGAAGCTTTCGAGAATCGATTGAGGGATCCGCCGGTTATTGATTTATTGATTGAAAGTTTCCATACACGAAATTAGAATTTCGTGAAGTTTGAGCTTTCGAAAATTGGATTAAAATAATATTTCAGTAGAAATATGGTTTTTGGATTTTTTGTTAGTGGTACTATAGCATAATCTAGTCACAGTTTTTAAGTGTAGCTACACTAAGAATAACTGCCGAGATAAACGCGAGACACTGGCGGTACATTGACGAGCTCGCAAACATCTCGCTTTTTTTCTCGCGCCGGTCTCGCATTTTTCTGGGCGCCAGCTCGCACTTTTCTAGGCGCGAGCTCGCATTTCTCTCGCAATTTGAAAATTTCCGAAATGCAAGATAAATGCGAGATGGCGCCGAGAAAAATGCGAGGTCGCGCCGAGAGAAATGCGGGATCGCGCCTAGAAAAAAGCGACATTTTTGCGAGTTAGTCAATGTACCGCCACCGAGCTCGCGTTTATCTCGTCAGTTATTCTTAGTGTATTGACTATTTTTTCACTATTTTTATTTGTATCAGAGCTTCCTTTCGATACGCTCGGTCTGTCCCTGCGCATGCGCCTTTAAAAACTGAATTTTTTAGGGTTATTTAGAGGCGCATATAGAGAAACAGACCGCGCGCACCGAAAAAAAAAGAAATTTGTAGCTTGGAAAAAAAAATTTGCGACAACCTGTTGGGATATGTCGAAGCATTTTACCATCACTGTCTGATTTTTCAGAAGTTTTTTAGTTTGTTGATTTTTTGAAAGAAAGGAACTGTTCAGGATTCAATACCCTTCAGGAACTTCAGAGTGGTCCCTATAGGGGCAACCGGAGAGGATCTTGGAAGGTCCTCTCTAGGGACCCCTTTACCAACCCCTTTAGGGGTCTCTTATAGAAAACATGCTAGTCGATAATTTTTATGAGCTCTATGCGAAAAACTAGACAAATAACCTTTTTGAATCAAATTGGAAAACCCCTATAGGGGCCACTTGAGCTTTAGAAGCTAAGGCGTCAGACCCTGAACCCCTATAGGGACCACCTTGAAATTACCGCTATAGGGACCACTTCAAAATTCTATCAATGGAAAAGTACAAAAAGTAAAAATTGAAGTGTCTATCGAAAATCTCTTTGTTAACTAAAACCGGGCGTTTCTGAGCAATTCTAGGGGCCACTTAAGAGTTCTCACGCTACTAAAGTGGTCACTAGAAATGCTTCAACAGGTCCTGTACGCTGAATTTTTCTCATCCCTTTTTTTTTTTGTAGATTTCTACCTCATCCACTCTCCAAAATGTCCTCGACATCGATCCCGAAAAGCCGTCCGTCAAGATTTCCGCCTCTCAAACGCCATATTTGTAATATTCCTTCTCGAGTAATGGAAATATTTGTTGGAGTTTCAGTGTCGCCGAGGAAATCTTCGTGAAAAGCGGTCAAACCTTAGTTTTCGAGCCGGGAACTGTGGTTGACTTTGGGCCAGGCGTTGGTGTCACCGTTCAGGATGGAGGTGGTTTTTAGGAAATTATAAAAAAAATCTTTCATTCGGCTCGAAACTTGAAGGTATACATAAAATTTTGCAACAAAGATTCATAATGGAAAAAAAAACTTGCAATTTTATCCACTACTTGGAATTGAAGTTTGAAACTTTCATAGCACATCCTGTGGCAGATTTTCATGATTTTATGTCTTCCGAGCTTCAGAACTCTTTCCTTCGATTCGCGTGACCTGTTTCTGTGCATGCGCCTTTAAAATAACGTAAATTTTAGGCTAAATTAAAGGCGCATTCACAGAGAAAGTGCCGCGCGTATCGAAGAGAAAGGTTTTGTGGTTCGGAGGAAAATATTCCTTCTGGATGTATGATATTTTGATAAAAAAATTTTGTTATAGCCCATTCCTGGCCAGCTTATCACGATTTTTTTTCCTTTGAGCTAAACAACCCTTCCCTTCGATTCGCGTGACCTGTTTCTGTGCATGCGCCTTTTAAAAACGGAAATTTTAGGCTAAATTGAAGGCGCATGCACAAAGATATGCCGCGCGCTTCGAAGAGAAGGGTTCTGTAGCTTGGAGGGAAATTTTCCTACTGGATATATAATATTTAGATAGGAAAAAGCTTTCCAATTTTGTTATAGCCCATTCCTGCCCAGCTTGTCATGATTTTTATGTCTTCCGAGTTTCAGAACCCTTCCCATCGATGCGTGTGGCCTGTTTCTATGCATGCGCCTTTAAAAAACGGAAATTTTAGGCTAAATTAAAGGCGCATGCACAGAGATAGGCCGCGCGTATCGAAGAGAAAGGTTCTGTAGCTTGGAGGGAAATTTTCCTACTGGATATATGATATTTAGATAGGAAAAAGCTTTCCAATTTTGTTATAGCCCATTCCTGGCCAGCTTATCACGATTTTTTTTTCCTTTGAGCTAAACAACCCTTCCCTTCGATGCGGGTCACCTGTTTCTGTGCATGCGCCTTTAAAATAACAAGAATTTAGGCCAAATTAAAGGCGCATGCACAGAGATAGGCCGCGCGTATCGAAGAGAAAGGTTTTGTGGTTCGGATGAAAATATTCATTCTGAATATAGAATAAAGCTTTTCAAAACTTGTTATAGCGCATTCCTGCCCAGCTTGTCATGATTTTTATGTCTTCCGAGCTTCAGAACCCTTCTCTTCGATTCGCGTGACCTGTTTCTGTGCCTGCGCCTTTTAAACAACAGAAAGTTTAAGCTAAATTAAAGGCGCATGCACAGAGAAAGGGCCGCGCTCATCGAAGAGAAGGGTTCTGTAGCTTGGAGGGAAATATTCCTTCTGAATATATAATATTTAGATAGGAAAAAGCTTTCCAATTTTGTTATAGCCCATTCCTGGCCAGCTTATCACGATTTTTATTTTCCTTTGAGCTACAGAACCCTTCTCTTTGACGCGCGCGGCCTATTTTTGTGCATGCGCCTTTAAAATAACGGGAATTTTAGGCTTAATTAAAGGCGCATGCACAAAGATATGCCGCGCGCATCGAAGAGAAGGGTTCTGTAGCTCGGAGGAAAATAAAAATTTTCAAAAGCTGGTGCAGAATAGACTATAATCACTATATGTATATTTTTGCATTACAATCTAGGAAAGTATTTTTTTATGTTTTTCACGAAAATCATAAAATATAGTTTTTCAATGAACTATAAGCTTTGTTTAGTTCAACTTCAACAAGTTCTTATAAAAAAATATAATATTTTTTTCCAGGAAAGTTGATTTTTCGACGGGAATGGAGAAAAACCGGTGGTTTTACGGGGATTGGAAGGAAATACCTGGCGCGGCGTTGTTGTTAAGCCCGGTGATTTATTCAACCTTTCTAATCAATTAATTAGTTTTTTTGAAGGTGGGAAGCTGGAAATGAGCGAAACGGTGATTGAAGACGCCTCGATCGGGCTCTGGATCGATTCGGAAGACGTCAAAGTCGCTGGCGGAAGGATTGTCAGACCTAATGTCAGGATCTTGTCAATTCAGTGAAAAATTGATGATAAAAACAACAGAAAATCTAGGAATTGCAGAGGGGTCCCTATAGGGGTTAGGGTGGAAGACAGCCGCTATAGAGGCCGAAACAGTGGTCCCTATAGGGGTAAAGTCAAGGTGGCTTCTATAGGAGTTTGGTCTTTTTGTCCATGAAAAAAAGCAATTATAGAAAGAAAATAGCTATCGAAAATTCGGAAAAGTTTTAATCCTAAAATTTTAATATTCTCATCGGAAATCTTTAAAAAAAAAAATGGCAAAAAAAGTTAGCGGCAAAAGGATTCGAACCTTCCTCACACGCTCCGCAGGCTAACAAGCTAGCCACTGCACCACGCTCCTAGCTGCCACTCAGTGGTTGGTGGCGCGGTCAGATTCCTTCCAAACGGCGTCACATGGTGAAGGATAAAAACTTTGAAAACTTTGCATATCTTCAAAACAAAAAGTTTGTGCAGGTAGTGACTATGAGGGATCGATTCCCAGTCCATCAAAGATTGTTTGAGCAAATTAATAAAAAATTCTGAACCCTACGCTAAAATGACCTCCCATGTTAGCCCCTATAGCTCAAGTGAACCCCATAGGGGTCTTCCAAATTCATTAAAAAACGCTTATTCGTTCAGTTTTCTTATGGAAATGCTTCTTTCATAGAGTTCGTAAAAATATTTCCCCTATAGAGGCCACTTTTGTAAGCTTCAGTGACCCTTATAGCGGTTTTTGAAGTGGTCCTTAGAGGGATTCTTCAAAAACCCCTATGGTTGCCACTTTAGGGAACACTCTGGAGTTCTTAAGAACTATTTTTGTAATTTTTTTCAGTCTTTTTCTCGAAGAATACTTGTGAATTTAGAATTTTGTAAACCGCGATTTTTCAAACTTTAAATTTTTTTATAAAATCACCAGGTCAAAAAAATCGTTCTTCTTGAAATATTCTACAGGTCCATGGCGTGGAAATCACCCATAATTCGAATGACGTCATCGATTTGGGCGGTCTGATCATTGAAGAATGTGCGGTGACGGCGATTGGCGTCGATGAACGGCGGGATGATTTATTGATTGAGTTGGTTATTTAACTTGAATAAAAAAATTTTTTTAGGATCCATTTTCAGATAAGTTTAAGAGATATGCGATAGACAGTCCTGGGGGGCGGGGGGGGGGCTCAATTTTTTTAAATTTACTTTTATAGGATCCAAGAGAACATAAAAAAATTTAATACGTATTTTTGTTCGTACCAAAATAAGCCTTCAGTAATTTTTCTGTACACAGAATGTTATAGTGAATCCTTACCGACTTGAAATTCGAGATGGGTGGATCAGCAAGTGAGATGCGATGCGTGTGCGATGCGGTTTTTTTGGCGCGAAAATTGAGAATTAAAAAAAAATTTTCCTTGTTTGATAGATTTTCAATAACTTGGGATTATTTATAGTTCAAAAATTATAGCTGATCTACGGCTAGCTTGGGACGCTAAAGGGGCGTGGCCTGTCTGGGCTCTCCACTAGCCAGGCACTATCTCGTGCGTTGTCGTGTTAGGACCTTTTTTTTGATGGCTCAAGCCAGCCGGGAATCAGCTATAATTGACCTACTAAATTAATAAAGAGCTTCTGATTTTTTCCATGATTGAATTTGAACTCGAATTTCCCGCCAAAAGCCGCGTCGCACACGCAACGCGTCACCTCGGTCAACCAAGCCCCTCGCAAGCTGGCCAAGTGTCAACGGGTTTTCCCGTGTTGAGCCCGTGTTTTTGAGGCTATTTAGCTCTCAGTTGTGCTAAACGGGAGAACAACGGGTGTAAGAATAAATAGGTGTCCCAGCTGTGTTCATTGAGAAAATATGAGGCCTTACTGGGTTACAGGATTTGAAACTCCAGTTAGAAGTTTCCAGCTAACCTGAGCAAACCTTAGGAACGTCAAGATTCTGAACGGTTTCGGCAGCGGTATCGACTTTGTCTCCCCGACTGGAAACTTGCAACTCAAGAATGTTGAGGTTGATTTTGATATAATTTATAAGATTCCTGATTTTTTCAGTGTGGTATCAAGTCTGAAAAAAACTGCAACACGATTTCAGATCGAAAACGGCGGATCCCATGGAATCCACATTTCGGAATTTCCATCAGCCCCTCTTCAATCGATTTCTCTGAACAATGTCACCGTTAGAAATCAAACTAGAGGCAAAAAAAGGAAATGCCCAGAATATTCTCGAAAAAAAATGTTCCAGGTCATTCCGGAGTTTTGATCTCTGGTGGTTGGATCCAAAATGTTTCAATTTTCAACTCAAAATTCGAAGGAAACTCAGTCCCGAGCTTGATCCTCAGCTTAGAGGTTTCTTGCTCATGTTACCTGATAATTTATCAATATTTCACTTCCCAGTGCAACGACAACGCTGCCAGAACGATTCGGATTGAAAATTCGACTTTTGCCGAAAATGATGACGTCATAACTGAGGTTGAACTCGGCAGCTGTGTTAATCTTGAGGTTCCCCAATTGGCTGCGCATCAACTTATCGATTTTTAGGTCCAAGGAAATCGATTTGAAAGAAATAATAGGGAAGGAATGGGTTCGGCTTTAGCTATAGAAGCAGATCCAGCGGGAAAGGTAACTCCCTAGAGTGACCCCTTGAAGCTTTTATAGTAGTTTATGACGTCATTCACTTTCAGAAGACGTCAGGAACGATAAAAGTCCAGGGGAACCAATTCTTGGAAAATGATGGGATGTATACCGTAACCCTGGATGCGACGACACACGAAGCTTTGATGACTGATAATACTTTCAGCAGTGAGTACATAGGCTACAGTAATCTTCTTGAGAGGGTACGGTATCTTACAGTAACCTTGTTGATCCTTTACGATATATTGATGATAAATACCCTGTATAATATTCCACTACTTAGAGTTTTAGTAAGCTTTAGCTCTTTTTTTAGTAGTGATACTTACCGTAATCCCTTGAGGAAACTTACCGTATCCTACAGTGACCTCAAATGTTCCATAGACCTTTTAGGAAAATTTCGACTGAAATTGCTTTGTGATGTCCAATCTTTAGGAGAGCTACAGTATCCTACAGAATCCCATTCAGACAACTCTAACACTGGAGCCGTCGTGAAGGTGACGTCATCGAACGTTAGGATCCAAAATAATCGATTGGACAATCCCGAGGCCAAATTTCAGTTGTCGGCTCATGGCGATTCGGCTGGAATCCTCTCTGGGGTGGTCTAATGACGTCATCTAATAATTTTATGACGTCATGTTTAGATAATTGACGCGACAAACAATGATTGGAGTACTGAAAATGCTGAGCGAATCCACAATTTTATCGATGCTCCTGATGGTTAATCTATTGATTTTTTTTTGATTTTTTAACAAATTTTTTTAGGATCGATTAGAGTGCATCCAGTAGCAGCCAAGAAACAGACTTTCACGCCGGCGACTACAGTAATGCCGAACGTCGATGACGTCACGATAATTTCTGACGTCATTTGGAGCAAATGCGCGCATCTGAACAACTGTTCCAAGCATGGAAAATGTCAAGGTGAAAAAAACTTTTAGGAACTGAATTTTATGAAATTTTTGGCATTTTATTATCAATAGAGCGCACTTACCAACGGCTCAGATTTTTTTTTTTGGTTTTGGTTGAAAATCATATTTTTAAATAATGTTTGAATTTTTTTCTCGAAAACAGCTAAGAAAGTTTTTAGTGACCACTTTAGTGTTTCGACCTTTTAGCGGCCACTAGAAGAGTGGTCACTTAAGCGCCTTCTTCAGAAGTCTAAATGGTACTAGTAGACTCCTAAGAACCACTCTAGTGGCTTCTGAGACGCAAAATAGTGGCTTCTATAGAGGTGGTTTTAGTGACCACTTAAGTGTCCTCTTAAAGTAGTCCTTGAGTGACCGCTTCAGGGACTACTAGACGTTTTCCCAAGAGCTTGATTCAAATATTAACCGTGAAAAGACTTGGAAAAAAAGTTTATTAAAAATTTTTTTATTTATCCAATTTTTTTCAGTTTCTCTTGTATTTTTAAACTAAGAAGCTTCTAGAAACCCCAATTTTTTTAAAGATTAGATGAGAGGATCAACTATGAAGACGCCTATGTATTATAAGAACTGAAAAAGAACGGCTTTTCAAGAAAAAATCATAAAAAATTGAAAAAAGTCCTGGACTTGATATAAATTTTCAGACGGCCTTTGCCAATGCCAGCCTGGATTTATCGGCTTTGACTGCTCGGTGCCGATGATCTGCAACTGCTCGGGCCATGGATTTTGCGACATTTTCAACAAGTGCAAGTGTCAGGATGGTATGGATGGAATACCAATAAAATTTTTCCAGATATCCAAAATGTTCTGTGAACATTTTTATTGGTCACTTTAGGGTTATGAGGTTTTAGTGGCCACTATAGTAATCGAATAAGTGGCTAAATGTAGTGGCCTTTTTAGGAGTCGAAGTGGTACTTCTAGACCTTTAAAAACTACTCTAGGGGCCACTAAGACGCAAAATAGTTGCCTCTTTTGAGTGTACCACTTTAGCGTCATCTCCAGGTAGCCCTTAAGGGATCTCTTAAGGGGCCACTATAGTTCTTCCCTCATGCTTTCGTTTTCGTCTCAATGGAGCGCATTTTCGATATCAACCCTGTAAAAAATCAATTTTTTATTAATTTTTACGCTGTTTAGCATCAAAATCTACTGCATAACGTTACACTATATTTTTCAGATCACCATCTTTTTTTTTAACCCAATTTTTATAGTTTTGCCATTTTCTAATTTCAAGGTTGGTCCTCCGAAGACTGTTCCGAGCCAGTTTGCGTTGAAAATTGCCAGAATCACGGGAAATGCATCGCCCCGAACACTTGCGAATGCGGTCCTGGCTGGCAAGGTTTTTTTTCCCCAAAAGTACAGTAACCTTCGATTTTTCGTTCCAGGACCATTCTGTGAAGTTTCTTCTTGCGGCAATCGAACATGCCTCAATGGGAAGTGTGAAGATGCGATTTGTGTTTGTGAGGATGGTTGGAAAGGCTCCAGGTTGGGGTTTTTCAGTTGTTTTAAATCTTCAAAATGGGTTTTGGGGCGATTTTAGGGCTATTTTTCTGAATTTTCCCCTCAAAAATCCAGATTCTGAGTATCAGAGGTTACGTCATTGAACTCTTCTAACGTTACCGGGAATTGAGTTTAAAACAATAAATACTTAAAAAAAATCAAATAACCCAAAAAAATTTCAGATGCCACATCCCGATCTGCAAAAGCTGCTCCCTCAATGGCGTCTGCACCGCTCCGGGTTACTGTAGTTGCTTCGAAGGTTACGGTAGCGAAGATTGCTCGAAATGCGTTGAAGACTCCTGTGTTGGCTGTGATTTCGACTGTGACCACGGATTCTGCGATCCGGTTACAAAGTGAGTCGGAATTGAACCTGGAACCTTTTTGGTGGGGGCCGAGAAGCTTAGCCAGTTGGCTATGGTTGCAAGAAAGTTTCTAATAGTTGACGTGTTAGTAGAGAGGGGCTTGTAGCTTCAAGAGGAAGCTGACTGGATAGCTCAGTGGGTAGTGCTTTTGTTTTACATTAAAAGGGTCGTTGGATCGAATCCTAAAAGGCTTCAGAACCTTTTTTGCATTTCCTTTTTTTTCAAGTAGATGAGAAGCTCAGGTAGTTCACTATGATAGAGCTGCTGTTATGTGTCCTTAGCTCAGTGGGTAGTGCTCTTGTTTCACATTAAAAGGGTCGTTGGATCAAATCCTGAAGGCTTCAAGAACTTTTTTGCATTTTCGTGTTCCTTTAAGCGGAGGAGGAGAAGCTTAGCTAGTTCACTATGATAGTTAGCTCAGTCGGTAGCGTTCTTGTTCACATTAAAAGGGTCGTTGGATCAAACCCTGGAGCTTCCTCGATTTTTTTTGCATTCTTTGTTTCCTTAAGTGAAGGAGAAGAAGCTCAGGTAGTTCACTATGATAGAGCTGCTGTTATGTGCCCTTAGCTCAGTCGGTAGCGCTTTCGTGTCTCATTAAAAGGGTCGCTGGATCGAATCCTGGAGCTTTCTCGATTTTTTTTTTTGCGATTCTGTGTTTCTTTGAATGGAGTAGAAGAAGCTTAGCCAATCAGCTATGATGAGGCTGCTGCTATGTATTGTTAGCGCAGTGGGTAGCGCTTTCGCGTCTCATTATAAGGGTCGCCGGATCGAATCCTGAAGCTTTCTGGAATTTTTTTGCTTGCTTTTTCATGTGGAGGAGCAGCTTAGTGTGTGAGCTATGTATCACTAGCAAAGTGGTTAGCGCTCTTGTTTCTCACCCAAAAGGTCCCTGGTTCGAATCCTCAACAAGTCTGTTTCATTTTTGCCATTTTTCAGGACCTGTTCCTGCTCGAAAGGTTGGAGCGGCGCCGCCTGTGACCTTTGTGCCTCTTCAAATTGCGTTTATAATAGTCGGGTTTTCCCTGGATTTTTTACGGTTTTATATTGATTTTCTCAGATTTTATACATCCAACCATCGACCGGAGAGAAAGAGGACGATAACTTGGTGGTGAGCGTGTATGGGCTGGAATTCCCAAAGTTGGATTTTATTGGCTTCATGAGCAATAATTTTACTTTCAGAACAAAAAATGGGACTTTCACCTGCACATTTGGACAGACGGACGTGGAGGGACAGAGAATCTCGTCGTCTTTGATTCGATGTGAGAGAAAAAAAAATAAGGGGGGGTGCGCCGATTTGAGGAGGGGGTGCACTTTTTTGAGGGAGGGTGGACTTTTTTAGAGGAAAGGTTAGTTTAATAATTGCAAAGGAGTGTAGAAAAACTCACAATGAGAAAGGATTAATGTCCTGAAGTTTTTAATTATAGTTACCAATTAAAGAGGGAGGGGAGGGTGCGCCTTTTTGCGGGTACCCACCAATTTAAGATTGAAATTGACTCCTGCAGGTCCTGTTCCATCCAACATGACCCTAGGACGGCACGTCTTCAGCGTCTCAGCTTCTGGACCGAATGACGTCATCGCGACGCCAGATAAGCGACCGGTGACGTCATCTATCTCTTCAAAATGACGTCATCCTTCTGCAGATTCACTTTACTCTCTACGAAGGCTGTATTCCATCGCTCTGCCAAGGCTCCTGTATGGGACCTTTGTGTATTTGTCCGAGTGGAAAAAGTGGAATCCTCTGTGACGTCATCGGTAAAAAAAAATCCCCGGAAAATTCCTAATGACGTCATGAATCTCCAGAAGTCGTCCCGACGATCGACCGGAGATTTTTGGAGAACCAGAAGCTCAACGAAGCCACCGAAGGAACGCCGTACATCTTGTCGTTCCCAACTATGGTAATATGAGCAATAATGATTCAATATCAGATGTTTTTCAGTACTCAACGGTCCTTCGTTTGAACTCGACGATCGCAGACTTGGACTTCATCTCCTGGAAAGGAATCGTGGCCTGGGAGGATCCGATCGGATCCAATGAGCCGTACAACATCACGGCGACGGCTTATTCCCCGGCAGGTACTGAACCAAGGACCTTTGGAGCGGGGGTTGGGAGCTTAACCGACTGAGCCAAGGCTAAGAGTTTGATGGGAGCAATGGTTATGATCTATAGTCTGTTAGAATGCTTGAACTTTTGAGTTTTTTTTCTAGATTAAGGTGTAGCTCAGCTTGTAGGAGGCTTGACCAGTCGTTTCGAGGTCCTTGGATCGATCCCGCTTAGATGTTTTTTTTTTGCTTCTTGACACGCATGTCTGCGTCTCTCTGTTCCCTCATAGGGGGTCAGAGAAAAAGGAAATAGTATGGAAAAATGGGAGGGTCGCCGAGAGACGAGGAGGGCGCAGAGAAAGAGAACAGTCGCGAAAAAGGGAGTACAGCATGGAGTTCAAGCAGAAGTGACTTCTTAAGGGAACTTATTTTCCTATTTCCACCATTCATTTTTATCATTGATGGACCCTAGAGGGGCCACTTTGGGCTGGATTTCATAAATTTTGCATAAATTTTCTATGTCTGCGTCTCTCTGTTCCCTCACCGGTGAGGTCAGAGAAAAATGATGAAATAGCACAGCAACATGGGAGGGATGTCGAGAGATGAGGAGGGCGCAGAGAAAGAGAACAGCCGCGAAAACGTTCAGGCAGAAGTGACCTCTTAAGGGTACTTGTTTTTTTAATGGACCCTAGAAGGGCCACTTTGGGCTGGATCTTATAAGATCTGCATTTTTTTGAGTACATGATGTTGTATAATCCGTTTGAAAGAGGCGAGACTTCTCTGCGCCCTCTCATGTTTGCGTGCTATTCCCGATGAGGGAACAGAGAGACGCAGACACGCGAAAATTGTCAAATCGCGGCGGACGGACTATAGAGCTCGTTGTCCAGAGAAAAATTCGGGAAAATAAAATATTTTTAGGAGAAAGCAGTTTCACCTGGAATCTGACAGTGAAGCCGAGCTATTCAGCCAAAGTTGATAATATCGAAATTCGTGATAAAGTCGCTGTTATCAATGGGCGGATCATTGGGAATAATGTATTTTCCTCCCCAATTTTCGAGCTCAAAATCAAAAATTTGAAGACAAAACGAGCATTGCCCGTGACGATTCGCATCCGAAGGGGCGGAGCCAATGACGTCGACGAAATCCTGGCGAAAAGTGACGTCACCGGAGCGATTCGATACGAATTCGTTCCCATCGCCGGTGGAGAATATCATGTTGTAAGTTTTTCCAGAAATTTCTCAAGTTTTATGAAATTTAGTCAATCGCGCACCCTGGAGTGGCCACTCAAGAAGAGAAAACCTTCAAAATGAACGATTTGAATTTGAATTTGGCGGGCATTTCTCATTCGACCGAGTTGGAACTGACAGTCGATGGGTCCAATGATTGCGAGGCTCGAATTTTGCAGCCTCGAAATTCGGGCAAAAATAAAGTTGTCAAGGTTTTGAGATACTGTAGAACGTACAGTAAGACTTATTCAGGGCCAAGAAACGATCGTTTTGGATTACGGTAGCGAATATCATGATGAAGTCATCGCCACGATAAAATGCACCAATTCTTCCTTGGAAATCGTCAGGTTAATCAAAGACATGGATTGCTAACATGAGCTAACATGAGCAATGCGAGTTTCAGAGCGCCCCCAGAGCCGAAATCTTCAGTGGCCGTGACACCGCGAATGCTCGCTTTTTCCGATGAGACCGATTTTTCCAGGATTTATGAGGTTTTTCAGGGTACTGTAGTCAAAATGAAGTTATTTAAAGGTTACGGTAGCCGATTGGTCTGCAAGTTTGGTGGCTGCTCCGTCCTTGAAGTCGGTGTTCGTTGTGGGAGCCGATAGGGTTGTAGGCGAAGGTTTATAAGTTCTTTACCATGAGCAATAAACCGTTGTGACGTCATAGCCGAAGATTAAATGACGTCACCTTCATTTAGAAGTTGAAAATTCCAGAAACTCGGTTTTTCTTCGCCGTTGATCCAACGAAAACTCCTGCCAATGGCACGATCGATTTTTTCAGCGCTAAGAAGGTTTTTTTCTTTTTAGGAGTTCTTAAAAATCAATGAAAAATGAAATTCCAGTTGATCGCCAGCGTGCCGTTCTTCCACATGGAAAATTCGTCGAAATACGTCAATTTTAAGGTTTTTTCCTTGTTGCTTCACCTTAGAGAGATCTTAGTGTGGTTATGACGTCATGGCATGTTTTATTATGACGTCATGACATTCTTTGTTATGACGTCATGATTATTTTCGTACTCTGGAATTAAAATGACGTCATCCGGGCTCTTCAAGTCGAAATTATCATGATTTCGAATGCCATATTTTTTTCCTTTGAAATACTATGACGTCATAGAATGATTAATTTTTGACGTCATATTTAGCCTAATCACTTTTTCTCACTGTGAAATGTTGTCATGTAGGTAAAATGGGATTATTAATTATTTCCGGTCTTTTATGACGTCATTTAACTGCTTTTTCTGACGTCATAAAAGAGAAAAGAAACTCTCCGTTTTATGACGTCATGAAAAAAAAGAAGCTCTCCGTTTTTATGACGTCATTTCGCTTATGCAGATTTGTGCACGAGATGAATGGGACGGCCAGGAGTCTTCTTCTCTGACGTCATCAGAAGTCGTGACGATATCCTTGACGAACCTTCAGAAGGGCGTCGACGTTGCCAAAAATAACGTCCGCGTCAATGGTAGGGTTTGATCCATTGACCTTTTGGCTGATGGGCAAGAGTTCTACCCACTGAGCTATGCCTGTTACTGTCGTTCGTGTGATAGGTTGACATTGCTGGGAAGGCTGGAAGATTCTACTTCAGATTTTATGTGAATAATAGCTTCTGAGCCTTCTAACCCTTCAGTGAGAAGGTCACAGGTTCGATTCCCACACCCGTTTTTGCCATTTTCAGTCCAATGGGCCGATTTTACGGTTCTCCCCGGCTTCTACCAGCTTCAAGTTTTTTCGGAAGATCATGAGCCGATTTCAGAAATTATTGAGGTTTTGGAAAGTTTTTCTAGTTGAAAAATATCTGTTCTTTCCAGTTGTCAGCCTTGAACTCGACGTTTTGTATCCAATTGACGTCATCAAAGGCCAAATCCGTACCGACGGTCCATTGTTCGCATTTTACAGCCGATGGATGTAGTTTGGCGTTGGGCCCGATGGCTGGCGTTGAGGTGAGGGTCTTTCAGAGGGGTCACTTTAGGGTTTTAAGGTTTCTTTTTAAATGATTTTCAGGATTATGCTACTCGAAAAAAAATGAATTAGGAAAATTCAAAGTAATTATTGAGTATTGGTTGTTTTCTAGAAAGGAAGTGATCACTAAAGAGGCTTCTACTTTCCTCTTAACACGCGTTCTCTGAGAAAGTCGATGAATCTGAAGCAAAATTAAAAAAAAGTTTTTTTGATTTGTCTCAAAATGTGATCACGGCTCACACACGTGCTTCTGATTATTTAGCACCAGGTTCCAGGTGGCTCCGCCCCTTTTAAAAGATACTGTAGACAGTGAGCTGAAAAAAATTAATTTTTTTCCTGTTGAGAATTTTCATTCAAAAACGTTCGGAAATGTGAGAAAACACTATTTTGAGTATTTTTTCAGTTGTAACTTTTTTTCTAACTCGACTTCTTCGGGGAGAAAAAAATCGAAATTTCCTCAAAAACAGCGATTTTTTCAGTTTTTGAGCCATAACAAAAGTGAGAACCCCCCTATGGTACGACTTTTATTTCTGATTATGAAACTAGGAGCCTTCTTCTTCAAGAAAAAGTAGTTCTACAACACATCCCTGGGGTGGGATAGTTGACCTCCCTTCGACCGAAGATGATCAACTCGAATCGGCTCAAAATTCAAAAAATCATTTTTCTTCTAATTTGAGGGCTTCTTCCTTCTTTTTGTTTTGAAACAAAAGACAACACTCACGTTCATGTTCTCCACCATTTTGGTGCTCAAAGAAAATTTTATTCCGAACTTCTCGAGACTTTTCGAATTTTCGGACTTTCGTCGATTTTCGATTTTTCCGTTTTCAGGTAGTTTTTTCTGTAGGAACCCCCGAATGTGGTCATCATCTTTTGGTAAATGGAAGAGTAGGTCTTTCTGGATAAGAAAAAATTAGTCCGGTAAAAATCTCTGGGGTTGCCCAGTTGACCTCCGACCGCCTGAAGGTGACGACCCCAAAAATGGAATTTTCATAAAGGCTCGGAAAACAACTTTTTTTGTTTCCATTCTAACAAAAAGCTTTTTCAGTGAGACCTACATCACTTTTCGACATGAATCCGAGTCTTTTTCGGCAAGATATAAGTAGTTTTATTCAAATTTGAGGCTTGGCACGCTTATCTTCGTTTTCACCGTTCTTACCTGCTCTAAATTGCTGAAGTAACCTGAGAACCCATTCAAAAAGATTTTAGGGTAACCCAGCAAATGTTTGATTTTTTTTGAACACCTAAGCAAATGAAATCGGGGTTAAGAAAAGGCGAAAAAAGCTTTTTTATCAACTTTTTCGAGAAATAAAAACACCTTATGACATTCAATAATGTCAATTACTCTTTAAAAAAACAACTATTGATGAAACTTAATAGAAAGAAAAAAGAGAGATTTAGTAAACTTGACTTTAATCTGGAGGATGCATTGAAACTCTTCTTAGGTAAAAAAATGCATTTTTTTTTTTAAACTTTTTTTCATTTGAGTTGTTCTGTAAATGAATGAAAAACATTAATAAGTGTCTGTATAAACGTTGCAATACAAAAAAAGCCAGAATCGTATTACAAGAATTTCTAAAAGCTTCAGAAACCTCAATTTCAGGAGAAAGGTGTATGGATAGAGTCGATTGAAAAAAAGTAAAAAAACTGTAAGTTACTGTATTTTTGGCGAAAAAAATAATTTTTTTGAGAATCATCGACATTTTTGAATGCCATAAGGTGTTTTTATTTCTCGAAAAAGTTGATAAAAAAGCTTTTTCGCTATTTCGAACTAGCAAGTGTTCAAATCTTTGGGTACTAAAATACTTTGAATGGAGTTCTCAGGTTACTTCCTCAGCGGGCAGATTCTGCACAGAATGAAGGTGTTTTCCGAGCCTTTCAGCCTGGTCGTCAATCAACAGGCAACAGACACCGGACTGGTACAACATCCCAGATGCTCCGACCTGTTGTCGAGGTCAGGAAAAATGAAAAATCGAAAATCTGGAGACAAAACACTGCTGACTGCGGTGTGAACATGATGACAATCTTTGTTCAAAACAAAAACAGAACACAGGCCTGACCATTCAGCCGATCGAGACAACAAAGTGTTCATATCAGAAAATCTTACTGTTCTCACACGATATGGCTCAAAACATTTGGTGATCTCCCGAAAGTCGGATGAAAAAAGTTGCTGAAAAAAATACTCAAATGTGTTGCCATTCCGAACGTTTAATAATCAACAGGAAAAATTAATTCAGCTGTCTAAAGGGGCGGAGCCACCTGGAACCTGGTGCTAAATAATCAGAAGCACGTGTGTGAACCGTGATCACATTTTGAGACAAATCAAAAAAACTTTTTATTTTGTTTTGCTTTTTATTACTGAAAAGTCATCGATTTTCTCAGAAAACGTGTGTTAAAAGGCCACTTGAAAAATCAGACGGTTCTTTACTTGAAGGTCTTCTTTTCTTCTGGATAAAAAGTCGAATAATCGATTTTTTTAGGATGAAATTTCGGTTGTATTTTTATTTAAAGAAGTAATACCTTGTAACGAAAAATGGCGATATTTCTGGCGGCAGGCCAAAAAAAAAATCCTACTATGTTAAATTTTTTGCGAAGAGTAGGCCAATCATAATCGTCCCCAGGGTCTCGCACGGAATTCAGCACAGTGTGCCAAAAACCACCGTATCCTGGAACAGTCGGGCTTCTCGTTTTCAAAAAAAAAAAAATCAGTTCATGATGAAATGAAATGCAATTATGAATACTCTTTCAAGGTCATGTTTTAGGAACAACTTCCAAGAATCGAATTTGAGCCTTCGGTTGTAAAATTCCATGGACAGAAGGTTCTGGCGACGGTTCGGGGCTCGATTCGGGGTTCTGTCGGATTTTGGAACTCCCAAAATGAGGAGTTTTCTATCGTGAGTTTGGAAATCAAAAAAAAAAAAGCTGAGAAATATCAAGAAAAGGTGAAAACAATCCTTTTTCCCTTCAAAAACTACCAGAATAAAGCCCGACGTTTTTTTTGACGAAATCCATGTTTTTCCGTGAAGTTTAGTGTGTCGTGTGCATACACTGCGACGCTGTCGCGCATACTGTATCAGAGTAATTTTCGCGGAATTCCGTTATATTTTTCACTCTCTGGCGGTTATTTTGAACTTTGCGGAATCAATTTGAACGAAAAAATTGCGTTTTTTTAAAATTAGGAATCGATTCTTCTCATGACCCATTCAACATGCGCCTTTAATATCCCCTGTAGTTTACGCGTGTTTCCCATGACGTCACATGGAAACGGCGGAGTTTGGTTCCGCATTTTCTTCCACTAACAAAAACGCCGTGAAAGGAGCTATCTGTTAAAAAAAACTACGTGAACATCAAACTATCTACAGTAACCCGTCTGACAGATCCATTCCCGTCGAACCGTCGGTATCAACGAATCCTTCTGGACGACTCTCGAATTTGCCCAACCGGCCCCATCTGAGAAATGCAACGTGCGCACGGTTTCCATCCCATTCATCTTTCTGCCCGACGGTTCCGACGTTCCGATTCACACATCTTCGGACATCCTCGTTCAATATTCGGATGACCTCGACGTCGTCTGTGACGGTAGCGATTTTTGGAATTATTGATTTGGAAATGTTTGGGAATGGCTCTAGGCGCTGTAGTTGAGGTTCATAATGACTATGAAAAGTTGCGCTTATCCTGATGCTAGCATGCAAAGACGCGAAAGTCGTTTTATGGTCGGGCGAACCTTTATAGCGGCCGCTTCGCAGCTCAGCCAATTCTTGAGGCTTTTCACATTAGAACTGTATCTCATACTTCATTTAGCACTTCTTGAAACGAGCGGGTCGCATTGAGAATGGCTTGACGCGTTGCGGTCGCATTACGGTTTGAAAATGAAGTCAAAAAGTACATTCAGTCGTTTTGAACTTGAACGATTCTTCGTGCGACCATGGGTCTTTCCCCACAAAGGTATACTCCATCTAGCACTTCTTAAAACGATCTGGTCGCATTTGGAATGGCTTGACGCGTCGCGGTCGCGCCGCGGTTTGATAATGAAGTCAGAAGCCACATCACGCTTCGCGGTTCAGCCATTCTTCTTGCGATCATAGGTCTCTCATTTCAGAGCTATAACTAGCCTATCACTCCTTAAAACGATCTGGTCGCATTTGGAATGACTTGACGCGTCGCGGTTTGAAAATGAAGTCATAGATTACAATTAGCAGCTCAGCCATTCTTCGTGCGACCTCATGCTATCCAAGTTATAGCTGTACGTCATCTAGCACTTCTTGAAAAAGCTCTGGTCGCATTTGGAATGGCTTGACGCGTCGCGGTTTGAAAATGAAGTCAAAAGTTACATCTAGTCGCTTTGTATCCTAGCCGATCTCTTGCGCGCCTAAACTTCCCAAATGAAGTATTGATCGATGAATTTAGCTTCTGGAGCACCTACCGTCACCGCCAGATCGACCTCAGTCATGTGCAATTGTGGCGATGGAGCGCGAGTAAAATGCCGTCGGCGATATCGATCAGCGACGGCGTGTGGTTCGGCTTGGAGCAGGATTGCTGATGATACGGTGGGGATACAGGATTCAGATGAAAATTGAATGAAGGATGATTTTTGAACTGGGAAATCTGTTTTGAATACTATTGAAAAAAATCCGTCAGAATTTCCGGATTTTTTCGTTTCATCGGCAAAGTTTGTTGGAAGCTATAGGTTTTCCTGAAATTGCTTCTAGAATTTCTATATTTTTCTTGTTTTTGTTATAGCCTGTATTGACCTTTTTTGCAACCTGTTCTTTTATTCTACTGTTTTCAGGCCTTAAAATTCTATTAAAAAGGAAAGGAGCAATAAAGGAATCAAAAGTGGGATTTTTTTCAGCTTTTTTTCTCATTTGAAACTTCACCGAAGCATATTTTTCCGATTAACTTTTTCTTAAAGTTAAAAAAATAAGGCTCAAATTGTTATTTTTCTTCGTCTGGAGGAATAAAGAATCACTTTTTTTGATTTTTTTCCAGGTCTCCCTGGAAGTCCTGACCGGATTCCTACTCATGGTTTTCGAGTGCCATGACGTCAGTGTCCATTTTGATGAACTAAAGGAAGTTCTTCTGTTGGTTTCTATCTACTTTCACACAATATAACAGATTATCAGATGTGTGGCCTCGATTGAAAGCGATTGTCCAATAGGGAGAAGAAGATCGAAAAGGCAAGAATATCAGAACGATTACCCGGTCGGACTTGTTAATCATGTGAGTTTCGGAATTTTTGATGAGCCTGAGAAAATTTTTAGTGGCCACTATAGTAGTCAAATTAGTGGCCACTTAAGGTCTTGAAAATTAGTGGTCACTATAGAAGTCTAAGTGCTACTACTAGACCACTAAAATTTCAGTGGCCACTTTAGGGGTCAATGGATCAACATAACTGGTCCAATCTGTTTGTTCTAAAATTATAAGAGTTACCGGAAGGAATACTGGATGAAAAACTACTAAAGTGGCCACTAATACGGAATATAGTGGCCACTTTAGTGTCCTCTCCAAAAAGTCCTTGTCGAGCCTCTATAGTGGCCACTGAAAATTTTCCCCGATATTATTTTTTCTGACTAGGAAGGTCATTTTGCTTTGTAGTTAGGACTTTATAAAATATGCTTAGAATGTACCAGATAAAGTCCTGAAAGTCTCAATCTATTTTTCCAGAAATAAGGCCCCAAAAATGGCCTATTTAACGAATTTTGAGGTTTTGTTTTGAAGTTTAAGGTTTCTTCTTTCAAAAAATAGGAAGTTTTATAGGTTGAGATTTTGAGAATCTTCTTTAAGTGAAGCAGGGATAGTTTCAACCGGTTTTTAGGAAATTCCCAGTCACAATGTATGTAAAATGACCTCCTTGTGAGCACTGCTGTGTTCAGCTTCCAGTAGATTTTCAGTTCGAAAAAAATAATGGTTCCTTTTTTTTTTTATTACAGTTATCAGCTCTGGATAGTCGACTCGGAGTGACCCTGAACAAGGTCATGCCGGTCCTCAACGCCTTGGACGTTCAAACCATCCGAATTTCCAGCCTTTTCATTGATTTCATCGATCGATTACAGGTTATATCTGAATTTGGCAGGGAAAAAAAGAATATATTCATAATATTTTTCCAATAGAAAACTGTATTTTTTTCGGGTTACAGGTTCTGAAAGAAAATTTAAAATGCGGAAAAAACCAGCTTTTTTTACCCTTTTTCGAAAATTTTCTTTTATAGGCTTTCCCGAAATTATACTTCCATTTATCAGGAACATATAAAAAAATCAGCATTCATCTGAAAAATGAAAGAAAAACTTTAAAAATAAAAGAAAATTATGATGATGATGACAATTACGACACTCCACTTGACGTGCGCTGGCGCGCGTTTTGCTATAATTTTTACGAAAAAAAAAAATATTCCATCAATTATTTTTTCATTTCGTTTATCGTTTTGTTATTTTATATCAAATCAGCATTATTTCAGAAAGTTTTCCCACCGGAAATATTAGAAGATACGGATCGAGATTCCATTGATTTGTTCCTGACTTCGATTGCTGACGATTCAGACGGCGGAAATTTCGTTTCCAGTGAGGAAGAAATAAAATTGGATGGTTTTTTGAATACTATTAGCGCTGATTTTTGATTTTTCGTTTATAGGAAAAGTTGAAAGGCTTGTCAATGTTTGGAACGCAACTGTGAAGGCTTGGAAATCGGGCAGGATTAATGGATTGACGGATGATGAAGGCGGAGTTCCCTACGCGGATGTGAAACAACTCGTTGTTGCTTCTGATCGATTGAAAACTATCGCTAGACAGGTTGGTAGAAATATATGATGTAGAGAGATCATTAAAGTGCTATGAAATCAATTTGAAAAAAAAAAACTCCCAGATTTTTTTAAAGATTTTTTTGGAGCTTTTGAGCTGATTTGATTGCTGAAAAATAATGCTATATTTGAAAAAAATATGCTTCGAAATAGATGAAGAATACATTGCTTCATATGAATTGATGAGAAAATGTTTTTTTATATTTAATTTATAGTGTTCAATCAAACGCGCTAAAAAGAGGTTATATTTTTTCACTTTTCAAGCATTTTACAGCTTGAAAGAACTTTATTAAGTTTTTAACGGCGTTTTCTGACGGCTCTATATTTTTTCGTAAAGTGTAGTTTGTCGTGTGCATACACCGCGGCCCTCTCCCACATACCTTGTTCAAAATACTTTTTGCGGAATTCAAAATAATCCCTGAATATCCGAAATTAAGTTGTGTTTTTCACTTTCTAGCAGCTATTTTGAGTTTCGCGGAATCGCTTTGAACATGGCAACAGAAAAAATTTTTTTTTTCAAAATTAGAAAACGATTTGTCCCATGACCCATTGAACATGCGCCTTTAATATTCCCTGTTTTTTACGCTTTTTCCCCATGACGTCACATCGGAACGGCCGAGGTTTTGACTCCGCCCCCTTCATTTTTGGTTTCGCTTCTCCTTCCACTAACAAACCACCGTCAATAAGCATGAAAAGCTCAAAAAAAAAGGCTCCTCTGGCGCCCAAAAAGTGATAATTTTTTTTTCAGAACGTTGCCCCGAATCCATTCGCAATGCTTCACGACTACATGGCCACGATGCTTCAAACCAAAGAAAATCAGCAATCGGTATTTTTATTTCAACACATGTTTCAGAACAATGTAAAAATAATGATAACGCTAATGTTAGTAATTTCGAAAGATTTCGCTTTAATATAATCGAAAAATTCTCATTTTTTGCTCTAAAATAGTGAATTTTTTTAGGAATGCGCCAGGGCCACCGTACAAATCGATGATGAGAATGTCGAGGAAGGAACTCAGATGAGAATTCGGGCGTTTTTCGAGAATAAACATGTGAGTTTGTGGGAATAAGTACTAAAAAAAATGAACTTTCCGGGTAGAAAACGACAAAAAAATTTAAATAAACAAATTGTGACATTTTTTTACCGAATTTCCTTGTAAGTTATGTCTGGCGGTGATTGATTTGAAAAAAATTCAGGCTTACTAGAAACTTATGAAAAAATTCTTTCTAAGTAAATTAGTACTTATTTTTTTCAAAAAAAGTGAGAGTTTTTGAATTTTAGACTACCATCTTAAATAAAATCTTGATGATAAGAATTCAGATTTTTCTAGAAAATCACAAAAAAACCTTTTTTTAAAAGACGACAGTACGTAGTCATCAGAACATACTAACTTTTTTCTTTTCAGATTGTTATATTTTTTCGGATTGTTGAAATTTCCGGTTCACTAGACACTCACAAAAAACCTTTTTTGAAGAAAATGTCCATCTTTTTCGGAAAATAATAGCTATTTCCATTTCACAACACCACTTTAACTAACATGTTGATCTTAAAAAAAGTTAGGCTTTCTATACAATTCAAAAAAATATAACTTACAAAAAAATCTTTTTTTCTTTAAGCGATTTAGTTCACAACCTCCAGAAAAAAAAATTTTTTCATCTAAGATTTTTTTATTTTTTTCCAGATTTTTTTGAAAAATTCTGATTGAGTAGACACTCACAAAAAAAACCTTTTTTCGAAGAATATTTGGGCTTATTCTTCCAAAAATAATAAATTTTTCTACTTCAGAACACCACCTTAACAAATATTGGAGTCACGATGAATTTCGTTCGGGAAGATCCGAACACTCCAAACGTCGATTTTAACGTCGGGCCCAGTTGGTCCGCGGGAATCGCCAGTTTGAGCGGATTGGTTGGAACTTCTAACTAGAAAATGAGACAAAAATCACTTAAGGGAACACTTCCGGCCTCGGAATCTTTCGAGATCCACTGGACTCGTTTTGTATCAACGCCCAGGAGGTTGACTCGAATCGCCAAGTTTCAGGTTTTTAATTATTTTAATTCATAATTAATTAATTAGCGTTGATTTTCAGCCCATAATCATCCTGGCCTTTGCGGTAGATGGTCGTCAAAACCAACAGAAACTCTTTGCGCCACAAATTACCGTACACCCCAAGAGAAGCGTCAGGGTACTGTAGTCCTTGGCGCGAATTTTCTTCAAATTCAAATTTTGAGGTCTTGAACATCATCAAAGATGATTTATCACCCAAAATCGAGGATGTTGAGGATTTTTCGGTCCTCACAGCTGTACTTAATCCAGGGTTAGATTTCTATGGCGTCATTTATTGATTATTGTGACGTCAGATATTCGCCAATCGACAATCTCCGAGTGAACTTCGACGGGCTCAAAATCGAGAATTTCGAAGAGAGTTTTGAAGTGGAATCGACGTCGATCGACGGAAAGAGGCTAGGTGAGCAAGTGGTTAAGCGCTTGGAATGGCAGTTGAGAGATGCGGGTTCGATCCCTGTTCGGGAAAGTTTTGAGATTAGGAATTTTGCAGAGTGTCCAATAGATATTGTTCTGTGTACTTTCACGTTTTTTGATGGATTTTGTCGTGAAATGCGTTAATTTTCTTTTTTTAGGCGTAAAGCTTTGTTGAGCGTTTTCCTAGTGCTTCTTTGGCTTCTAGAATTTGAATTTCATGATGAACTTGTGGTTGAAGAGTTAGATCAGTGCTCGATAGGTCACTGGATCAACCCCACTACGCGTTTTTGTTTTGGTGAAAGCTTGAATTTTTTTTTTGATGGTTGATTTTTGGAAAACGAAGCTTTTTGTGTTGGTTTTTGCACGAAAAAATGTTTTTTCATCAAAGTTTGGAGTTTGTAAGAGTTAGATTAGGGCTCGAAGGGTCACTGGATCAACCCCACTTCGTGTTTTTGCTGTTTTCTAACGCGTAGAGCTTTATAGATGTTCGAACCGATCTTTTGCTTCTAAATTTCGAATTTCATGATGAAATCGTGGTTGAACAGTTAGATTAGTGCTCGAAGGGTCACTGGATCAATCCCTCTTTTTGTTTTTGTTTTGATAAAAGCTTGATTTTTTTTTTGAAGACATTGATTTTCGGAATTTGAAGTCTTCTGTGTTGGTTTTTGCACGAAAAAATGTTTTCCGTCAAATTTTTGAGTCTTAAAAGATATATGAACGTGTCGGAGGATTTCTAGTGACCTCTTTAGTAGTGAAAAAACTCTGAAGTGGTCCCTAGAAATGCCTCGTCGAGCTCCGAGATTGTATAAAGTTGGTTCACAGCTAACTTGAGCCATCGAAAAATGGGTCCTGACACGATTAGAAAAGTGATAGTGCTTGGTTGGTGGAGAGCGCAGGGCACCCGTTTTTGGGTGCTAAACTATCCATGAATAGGCTATAAGTTCTTTGCTATGATTTTTTCCGGTTTCGAGCTCAAAGAATGGTCCGAAAGGTCACGAGTTCAATCCCCATCAAGGCCAAACTTTTTTTTGCAGACTCTCCAACCCTCTCGCCGCAACTCAATCAACTACCATCAGGCGGAACGAAAATGATCAAAACCCGGATCAAGTCGGGACAGGCTATGGTTATAATAAAGATTATAAAGATTACAAACATTAAGATCAATTTGCAGTCAAGAGTATCCAGAGTGAATTTGACGTGCTCTTCCGATGGCCGACTTCTGCCGTTAGAAGCCGTGGACACTTATGCGATCCGGGCCGTCGCCCCGTCTCATAATGGTTGGCAGGCCGCGCCGCAACGAAAACTGATTTTTGAAGGAATGCTATTGGCGTCCCCTTCACAGTCCCGTCCACTGTTCTTCTTCCGACCTTCTGGCGGCACAATGACCAATATCATCCAGTTGGACTATTTATCTGTTCGTTTTACTCTTTTTGTCGTTCGAAAATGGTTTTTCCTGGCTTTTGAATGTCTTTTTATCGATTCTGATATACCCGTTTTCTAAAAAACACATGAAATTTGAAAAAAAAAACTAAAACTATAAATAACAGGAGCACGTGGGAAAACGCGCGCCAATGCTAATTTTTTCGGCTCCTGGTCTCATTTTTCTTTTGGTTTTCTATAGCCCAATAAGTTTTTCATTGTCAAGCTCCGCCCCTAATGGCACGCTAAACCAAAATGACGTCACTTGGTATTTGGAATATGGACCAAATTACCTCGAATGACGTCACTTGAGATTCGAAATCAGGACCAAATTACCTTGAATGACGTCATTCGAGATTCAAAATTTTAATCAAATTACCTTGAATGACGTCATTTGAGATTCGAAATCTGGACCAAATTACCTTGAATGACGTCACTTGAGATTCGAAATCTGGACTGAATTACTCGAGAAATTCAAATTTTTGGCCTTTGGGACTGTTGGAACGGAAAAAATGTCTCGAATTTCATATCAAACATTTTTTTTCCAGACCCAAAATTCGACATCCAACACGGTCTTTGCAGCTTTTCGCAACCCGTAGGCCTTTTTTGATTGTTCAAAAGAAAAAAATTATTCGCTTCCAGGGAATCCACTGGTTTCTCAGGAGCCTTGTGGGCGTCGATGCCGATGCCGAAAATCCCGAAAAATCAAAAACTCGTTGAAATTATGGACAGAAGAGGTCAGAGGCCCAGGACGTTGCAACCTGTCACTTGGGTGTCGGAAGATGAAATGGTGGGTTTGTTGGTTGGACGCTTGGAAAGTGCGGACAGATTTGAGGGTATCGGAAAAATATAAAGAGAATGATTACAGATTGAAAAAAAAATTTTAAATTTATTTTTTGTGTTCTTATCAAGTCAGTTACTCTGCTCTTTGAATTTATTAAAAAAAATTTGGTCAGTTTCATAAAAATCCAAGGAAAATAGTCTATATAAGTTTTTAAAAATGGACAAAATTATTTTTTAAATTTTTTGGTTGGATGGTTAGAAAGTGCGGACAGATTGAGAGAATCGAAATTTTTTAAGAAAATTATAGAGAGATTCGTTAGAAATTTAATAAAATTTGATCATTTTTTTTTTGCCAGGCAATTTTTTTTTTGGTAAGATTGGTTTAAGAACTAATTTTTGAATTAATAAAATTTTTCTTTTCAGTTTTATTTTCGGGTTATGAGTGGATCATTAGTGAGTAAAGATCGACAAAAAGTTTGAAAAAAATGGAAGATTTTAAGGATTTTTAGGAAGTTTATTCAAAAAAATTTGATAGTAATTTATTGGTTTGGAACTTCTCAGTGCATTTTTTTCTTATTTCTGAAACTATTATTTATAAAATATATGACTCGATTTCGAAATGAATTGGATTTTTTTATTGACCTTTTTTTCCCCAGGGAACCCAACGCCTGAACTGGATCGACTACGGCGCATCGCTCCCAGCTCAAGTTCTGACCTATGAACTGATTTTTGGCGATCCTGAAACTTTTGACTCTGGCCCACTTTTCGATCAATCCCAGTACCGTGTTCAAGTTTACCGAAATTCAGTGAAAATTCAAAAAAAATTTTTGTAGATCCCGCCAGACTTTTCTCTATCAATAGGAACCCTTGTCGGTCAAATCTCGGCCGAAGGAGAGAATTTGGAATATTCTCTTTTTTCACCGGATAATGAGCGGAGGTTCACGGTTGACCCGGAGAATGGTTGAAAAATCATAAATTTAAAATGAACTTTGAAACATTTTGAGGCCAAATCTTCTTCGATTTCGACGATTTACCATTGGAATCGGATGAATATTGCTTGATTTTGGAGGCTCGAGATAGTCAGGGGAAAACTTCGCGTGTCCCGGTTGCTGTGAACAATGGTGGGTTTTGTGGGGGTGCGCTATTTTCCGGGGGAGGTGCGCGTTTTTGAGATTGGGGTGCACTTTTCCGAAGGGCTATTGGTTTGATAGTAGCGATACGATTTATAGAGATCTGGATAAGCTTAAAAATAATTTTTTTCGAAAGGTGGGTGCGCCTTTTTGAGGGTAGGTGCGCCGGTTTGAGAGTGTCCCCTCAATTGAATTCTTGATATTTTTTTGAAGGGAAGGTGCGTTTTTTTTGAGATTGGGGTACGCTTTTCCGAAGGGTTCTTGGTTTGATAGTAGTGATACAATTAATAGATATCAGTTTTTGTGGGGGTGCACTTTTTGGAGGGTAGGTGCGCCGGTTTAAGAGTGCGCTCCCAAATTGAATACTTGATGAAGTTTTTTCAAAAGGGTGGAGCGCGTTTTTGAGTGGAGAGATTTGGTGAAGATTGATTTTTTCTTGGAGGGTATGTGCGCCGTTTTTGAGGGATGGCGCGCCGGTTTGAAAGTTTGATCTCAAGTTGGTTTCTTAGTGATTTTTTTGAATGTGAAGATGGGCGTTTTTGAGATTGGGCTGCACTTTTTCGAAGTGTTCTTGATTTGGTAATAGTTCATAGAGATCAGGATGAGTTCAAAAACTATTTTTTTGGAAAGGGTAGAGCGCCTTTTTTAAGGGATGGTGCGCCTTTTACGGAGAAAGTTAGCTTCGGAAAAGTCTTGAGAAGAAATATTTCCAACCTTTTTTCAGGCGGACCTCGGCGTGACTGCGTCCTTTTCAGTACCGACGGCCTGAGCTCGATGGTCCATTTCACGTCTTCTGAAACTTCGACAGGTGATTCTGAAGAATTGACGGTGATTCTGAAGACATCTGCTTTCAGAAGCTACGACAGGCACTTCGGGATGGACGACGTCCGAATTTGTAACTTCATCGGCAGGATTCACGACTTCAGAGCCGGAAGAAGAAACATCAACACCTTCTGAATGGATGACGACGTCAGCTTTAGAAGAAGTCACGTCGTCAGAAGTTACTACTACTTTGACACCTGAAGAAGTCACGTCATCCGAAGCGACCACGACTACAGAGACTGAAGAAGGGACATCGGCCCCTTCTGAATGGACTACGACTTCATTTTTTGAAGAAACCACGTCATCTGAAAGAGAAGTGACGTCGACAATGACGCCTTCTGAAGAAACCACACCGGAAGAGGTGTCGTCAACGTCAGTGACCACATCAGGATTCACCTCTACAGTACCTGAAGAAGCTACGTCATTTTCCACGCCTTCTAAAACCTTTTCCAGCGCGTCAACTGAATCTCCAAACGTCTTCACAACTCCAGGAGAACCTGAAGACGATACGACGATGATCACATTTCCTGATTCCACTCTTTCTTCCTGGACGTCTTCTGAAACTACAACGACTTCAGGAGGGGAGTCTTCATGGCCTCCTGAAGGAACAACGTCATCGACGACTTCAGAAGGCACGTCCTCATGGCCTTCTGAAGTAACTACGTCATCAACAGCTTTAGAAACGTCTACATGGTCTACAGAAGGCACAACGTCTTCTGAAGACACCACGACGATGATAACGTCACCAGACTCGACTCCAGGGTCGATAGATGAGTCGACGACGATCGTGACGTCGCCAGATTCCACTCCGCCAATTATAGACATTCCAACGACAACAGTAGATTACGGCAGTACTACTGTAGGCTGGATTACTGTACCCACTGATGGAACTGGGAATACCTGGAGTACAGTAACATCAGGAGAGTATGGTAGCTCTACAAACCCTACTAGTGAAACTTGGAGTACAGCAACTTCTGGAGAGTACGGTAGCTCTACAGTTTCCCCAGATGGAAGCTGGAGTACGGTGACTCATGTGACGTCACCTGACGCGACACTGGCTACAATAACCCCAATGGATTACGGTAGCTCGACTTTATCAACGTCTTCTGGTTCTGCCACGGGTTCCACGGCTACTGCAACTTCGAGCACTTCTACAGTAACCTCTCCGGGTTACGGTAGGACGACGGAATCGATAGAAGCCGTGGAAGTAGATGCCTGTCTCCACGCCGACCAATCACCTATTTTGAAAATTGTCTGCGATTTTTCACGAAATGCCGTTCCCGTTGAATCATAATTGTATGTATTTTTCAAATTTTTTTGTGTATATTTGTAAATTATAAAGAATTTTTTTGACCTTCTTGTGTATTTTTTTCTACTTGAAGGTCGGTTTCTTCCCATTAAAGTGCCAAGTAAAAATGGGCAAAAAAAGACAGAAAAAAAGGTTTAAGCCGGATGATCGTCGATGTCGTCCGGACGTGAAGGTCAAATATGTCGCCGAATTTCGGAAAGGTAAAAAAATTTCGCCATTTTGACCAAAAAAGTCGATTCTAAAGTTTAAAAAAATGATTTATTTCGCATCCGGTGATGTGTACGTTTCATATTGATTATGAAATCGATGATTCGAAAATCAATTTGATTACATTAAATTAGGGATGGGGAAAAATTTAGTAAACTCGGAAAACTTTCAATTCCTCAAATTTACTTCAACTCTTATAAAAATAGAAGAATTTGAAATTTCTCATTTTCATTATGAAATCGATTTTCGATTCTGGAAAAATGGTTCTAACCCTTTTTTTTTATATGAATCGAATGCTACTAGAAAGAGGTTTTTAACTGAAGTGGCTATTTAAGGGGAGAGAAGTTGAATTTACAAAGCCTTGAGTTGTATCTGCAGGAAGAAGCTTTATCGGCATATTTCTTTGCTAATTTTCACTTAAAGGGTCCCTCTAGTTTCAAACTTGCCAATCGAAAAATCTGAAACAGATTTTCATGCTCCTTGCTATGGAGAAAAGCTAAACAAAAATCAATTTTCAAGTGGTCCCTAGAGGGACGAGAAGATTGATTAATATTCGAATTACTTCCGCTCAAGTGCTCCTTGAAGTTAATAGAAGCTATATTTAATAATTTCCGTTTTTTTCATTCCAGTTTAAATGAATTCCGTCAAAGGAAAAAACAGCAAAAATAACTTCGGTTGAAAGGATTCGAACCCTGGACGTGGTCTCCACAGTGCTAACACGCTAGCCACTATACCAAGTGACCAAGAGAGGGTGACAGCGCGTGCGCGACACACAACCCATCTTGCTGCGTTCCACTCAGCTCAAGCGCAAATTTCGAGCCGTCTCGACTACAAAGCAAAAATCAAGAAATTTAATTCTTAATTTGGAATCAGCAAGTCTTAAAGTATACCCCTGCAAAGTTTCGTCAAAACAGTGTCCTTGTAAATGTATTAATTCTCCATTTTTCCCCTCAAATGGTCCCTCTAGTTTCAAACCTGCCAATCGGAAATGCCAAAACCCAAAACAAGGTCGTTGAATCGAAACGAATTGAATGAAACCGAAGCTCGACGGGGGTTGCGAAAAAAGTGGGCGTGGCCTGGGTGCGCGAAATTGCACGGTCGGCGGCGGTTTCTGTGTTCGGTGGTTTCGGGGATCAGGTTGATTTTGGCGCACCTTCCCCCGGCCGCTCTACCTGCACCTGTCCGGTAATTGTGCCCATAATACACGTGTGTTCTCTCATTATTGACCGTGTTCATTTCGGCTCCGCGGCTCTTTTCCCTCCCCATTTTTCCGACATGACGTCGAGTATTCTGATTCTGATTCCGTTTTTGGTGATTCAAATGGTTCTCGGGCAGATGAGTGAGTCTTTCAGAAGCTTTTTAAGTGACCACTTGAGGGAGAAATGTTGTAGGAGGCTTACCGGAAGCACTGGGATAGGATGGAGGTTTTTTTAAAGAGGGGGGATGATAGATTTTTCTGAGAAGCTAGGCGGGTCTCGAACCGAAAAATAGGTGTAGAGGAATTTTTCAACCTATAAGGAGTTTCGAAATTTTTTGAATGGCCGAAAATTGGGGAAAATCCGAGAAATTCACTAAAGCGACCCCTTGAAAGATGCATTTTAAGGAATGTGCGAAGCGGACGGCTCTTGCCGTCACTGCGCCGACAACCGTTACTCGTATTACCGGTGCAGAGTCCAGGTTAATTAAAATGACGTCATCATTTGTAATAATAATGACGTCATATTTCCAGGACGACTGCTTCATTGGCGAGACCTGCGACGACGGATTTTGCTGTCCGAATCCGCTGCCCAACTTCTCCTTGCAGCGAGAACGTGGGATTTTCTTGTTTTATGACGTCATTTTATTGATGATGACGTCAGAAAAAAGATTCTTTCATGGAGTCAAGACGTCATTAGCTTGGTTGGTGACGTCATCATCATTAAAATGACGTCATAAACTGAGAAAATTCCGACGATGAGTCATGGCGTCATTAGTGTTAGAATTTATATAAAAAATTAAAAAAAAAATCTTTGAAAAGCCTAAATTAACGCCTTCATGTGATGAAGTTGCTTGGAATATGGCTTACTTTTTTTTTCAAATTTTAATTTTTTTATGCTTCATTTAAGTTCTTTATAACCTTAATTAACGCTGCTAACGCTTCTTACTAACATTTTCTAAACAGAACCGAAAAATGGAACCCAACCGCCAAATGATACCGATCAATGTCCCGATGGGTCGCCGTGGAGCAAAAGGTATGGTTTTTCGACTTTTTAATAAAAAAGTCGATGAAATTGGTAGAACTTCCTCTGAAAGTTAGTTGAGTAGAGTGCTGGTAGAATGGTTGAAGTGTCAGATTGACAATTTGGAGGTTCCAGGTTCGACTCCCATAGGCGTCAACTTTTTTTGCCGTTTTTTTCTGGGGATTTTTATATTTTTTCAGGTTTTAAAACTCTTATGTTGTCTTTGAACTTCCAACTAACCTTTAATCGTACTTTTTTTACGGAAAAATGGATAAAAATTGTGAAATTAGATGATTTTTCTTTGGAAGTTAGTTGAAAAGAGTGCTGGTGGAATGGTTAAAGCCTTAGATTGATGATCTGTAGGTTCCTGGTTCGACTCCCATAGGCGTCAAATTTTTTTGCCATTTTTTTCCGGGGGTTTTTATATTTTTTCAGGTTCTTAAGATCTTATGTTGTCTTTAAACTTTCAATCAAGCTTTAATTGTACTTTTTCTACGGAAAAATGGATAAAAATTGTGGAATTAGATGATTTTTCTTGGAAAGTTAGTTGAAAAGAGTGCTGGTAGAATGGTTAAAGCCTTAGATTGATGATCTGTAGGTTCCTGGTTCGACTCCCATAGGCGTCAACTTTTTTTTGCCATTTTTTTCAGATGGTTTTCTATATTTTTTTCAGGTTCTAAAGTTCATTTGTTGTCTTTGAACTTCCAATTCTGCTTTGTTTTTCAATTTTCTACGAAAAAAATGGATGAAATTTGCGGAGTTAGATGATTTTTTTCTTTAAAAAAATTAGTTGATTAGAGTGCTGGAAGAATGGTTAAAGCCGTAGATTGATGATTTGGAGGTTCCTGGTTAGACTCCCATAGGCGTCAATTTTTTTTTTGCCATTTTTTTCTGGGGATTTTTTGACTTTTCCAGTCTTTTAAACTCATTTTAATCAATATTTAACTCACTATTCTGCTTTTTTTTCTAATTTAAGAATAATTTTTTGCAATATGTCACCTTTTCAGTGTAAAAGACTGTATTATCTTTAAATTTTTGACAAATTTTAGGGTTTTCATTGTAAGATTTTTTTTGACAAATCAATGAAAAAGAACATTATGAACGATCTTTTTTTAAACTGAAAATTCTTTATTTTCCATTTTTGAAGATGTACCCGAGACGAGGATTGTTTACCGGGCCGACGTGAGGTCTGCGCCGAGGGAAAATGTTGTAAAAGTGAGTTTTTTTTTCCATTTTCCTGGGGGTGAAATCGTTCTTTTTTCTCATGCAAATGTTGTCTTCAATGTCATTCGACGTCGTAAATAGTTGTCTAATCCCTTCTTTTTCTTTCTTTTTGTGACTGTGGTTTCTGGGGGAGACGGGAATCATCAAAGGTCATATGCGGGGGGAGTTTACGCAGAGTAGATTATTATAAAGCTGGTAAACTTGAATTTTTAAGTTTGGTATGAAAACTTTGTAAATTGATCGTGGCTAATTCAAGAAAAAATACAAAAAATACCCTTTAAAAATCTATTTACGGAGCGTAAATGATTTTGAAGCTAGTAAACGAGAATTTTTGATTTTCGCATGAAAACTTTGTAGGCTGGTAGTGGTGAATTCAAGAAAAAATACAAATTTTCCTCTTTAAAAACTCATTTACGCAGCGTAAATCATTTTGAAGCTGGTAAACTTGAAATTTTTATTTTAATGTGAAAACTTTGTAGGCTGAAAGTGTTAAATCGAAGAAAAAGTACAATATTTCCCTTTAATAATCATTTACGGAGCGTAAATTATTTTAGAAAAGGTAAACTTGATTTTTAAGTTTGGTATGAAAACTTTGTAGGCTGGTAGTGTTGAATTGAAGAAAGATACAAATATACAAAATCAAAAAATCATTTACGAAGCGTAAATTGATTTGAGAAGCTAGTAAACTTGGATTTTTCAACTTTGGTATGATATCTTTGTATGCTGGTAGTGTGAAATTAGAGGAAAATTACAATGATAACTTTTTAAAAACTCATTTACGGAGCTTAAACTATTCTGAAGCTGGTAAACTCGAATTTTTAAACTTGGTATGTAGACTTTGTAGTCTGGTAGTGTTGAATTGAAGAAAGATACGAATATACATAATCAAAAAATTATTTACGCGGCGTAAATTAATTTAAAGCACGTAAACTTGGATTCTGAAGTTCGTTATGAAAACTTTGTAGTCTGGTAATGGTGAATTGAAGATTGCAGGTTGAGACTTTCATGACCTATTTCTGGTACATAAGCGATTCTCTGGGCAACTTTCGGGAGCTTCTTCACGGAAAGCGAAATCACCTTCCTTGTAGGAACCTTTCTATTACAACAAATGCAGAAAAAAGTTTGGAACTTTTATTATTCATAATAAACTACAAACAATGGTGATAGTATCCAACGGTGTTTTGGTGGAGGAGGAGGAGGTGTACCGGAAGACGTCAGACTGAAAAAAAGGAAGTAGTTACTTAAGGGATTTGGGGGAGGACAATAAGAAGAGGTTTTTCGAGGTCCAGGTGATTTCAAGTCCGAAAAACGAGGCTCTAGATTCTCGGGCAAAGTCGGAACGGTGGATAATGTCCGATAGAAGAGGGAGACTCCAAAAAAGCTGCAAAAAAGCTGCAAAAAGACAGCAAAAAGGCCCCAGAAAGGCACCAAGAAGAATCCCTTCATCAAGCCTTCCAATTTTCTGGGATCTTAAAGGCTCAAGAATTGATGGAAAAAGGGAGAGGTAGCAAAAAGGGTGCATGATGGCCGAGAAGTTGGTGCAAAAAAGCAGCAAAAATGGAGCCTTTCCGACTTTCCTTATGTTGTTCTAAAGACATAAGAAGTTACCAAAAGTCCAATTTAAAAAAGAATAGTTTTGGCTTTCTGGAGTGGTAACTCAAGGGGTTCAGAAGACGTTACTCCTGAATAATGATCATCCTCAAATTTTCAAAATAAGTAGAAACGGAAAATTTTAATTTCGCATAGTATAATTCTGATGACGTCAGGAGTATAAAAGATCAAAAATTTCGGGGTCCAGGACAGAAAATAATTGTTCTACATACGAAAAACTGTACCTCGACGTATACAGTACGACTGCCCATATTTCGAATCATACGGTAGTAGGGAGTACGGCAGGCTCCGATTTTGAAGGCTGAAAAGAGATTATTCAACATTTAAAGGGAAAAAATACCTTCATAGTGCATTTTTCGAACGATTTCCACGTCGCTGACATTGACCAACGTGTAGAATGATACGCCTTTTAAGGATTTTTCAGTGGAAAAGTTGCCCAAAAGTTGCTCGGCTCTGGGAATGACGTCATTATATTTCATAAGTGACGTAATTTTACTGATGATTTTTTGGCAGAGGAACCGAATTCAACTCCACTTTTTATACATATAATGATTCTCTTTGAGATCGAATGACGTCATCTACTTGAAAAAAAATGACGTCATTTACTCCGTAAAATGACGTCATTTAATTCATAAAATGACGTCGTTGCCTTCATATAAATGACGTCATTTACTCCATAAAATGATGTCATTTAATTCATAAAAATGATATTATTTACTTCATAAAAATGACGTCATTTACTTCATATAAATGACGTCATCTACTTCACAAAAATGACGTCATTTGCTTCATGAAAATGATATCATTTACTCCATAAAAATGACGTCATTTAATTCATAAAATGACGTCATTTTCTTCATATAAATGACGTCATTTACTTCAAAAAAATGTCTCACAAAATGACGTCATTTAATTCATAAAAACGACCTTCTTTACTTCGAAAAAAATGACGTCATTTAATTCTTCAAAATGACGTCACTTATTCCATGAAATGACGTCATTAAAAATTGATTAACCTCTCATCAGCATGGCTGATTTTCAAGTCGATTGTCGTAATTATAACAAAAGAATCCCTTGGAACGGCTACTGTCGATAAAACCATAGTTGGCATTGGATAGCAGGCGATCAAACGGACGTTTCCGTACATGGCGATTTCCATTTTCAGCACCTGTAAGAGGCATATATGGGCAAGTTGAGAACTTAGTTAGGCCGTGAGAAAAAGTTGGCCCGCGAAATTTTTGGAAAACTTGGAAAAAAATCTTTTTTCAACCTCAAGGAGGTATTTTCGGCCACATTAGTACAAGTTCCAGCCTCAGGGAGGTAGTATTAAACTTCAATTTAAGTAAAGTTGAGAGGAGGGGTCGGACTTCAAAAACAGCCTGCCCATGTATGGTAAAAGGCTGCTTTAGTAGAATTTTATTCGTTTTTTTGGGATAAGAGTGAGAGGCAGCAATGCGAAGGGATTTAAGAATATTGAAATTTTATTAATAAACTTGAAAAGTTGCTTTTTGATCTACAAGATCGTTGGATTTTTGATATTTTGGGTCTCGGAAAAGACCTTGGAATTTCTGGATCGATTATATTTAATTTTTAACACAATGATTACTGTGAAATCAAACCTTATACAGACTATAATGCTCAGAAAATGTAGTTGAAAAAACCCAAAAGGAATACTGCGGGAAAAACCCCTATAGTGGTCACTAAGACCCAAAAAATGGCCACTTTAGAGGCCTTTCTAAGAGGTATAAGCATAGGGGTCCCAATTATTTTGAAGAGGATCTCGAAAAAGTTTCTATTTTTGACTCTCGTTTAGTGGCCACTTTAGGGTTTTGACGTTCAAGAGGCCACTAAAGTGATCTTCATTAGTTGCCAATTAATGGGTCAAAATTTGGTGGCTCTTTAGGGGTCTGAGTGGTACTTCTAGACCATTAAAAACTGCTATAGTGGTCACTGAAACGCAAAAAAGGGATCTCTATAGAAATGGTTTAAGTTCCAATTAGTCCTTGCGGAACCTCTTCAGGGGTCACTAAAGTTTTTCCCAGTATCAAGGAAAAATAGTTATCCTCAATAGTTCCAAATCGCGCCCAATACACCAATTTATAGATACCATAACCCTCAAAAAAAATGAACCTTATAACCAGGTGAAGCTCGGATCGTATCCTTATTGGCCCGTTTTGTTAGAGAAGATTTCAACCGAACATTGCACATTTGGGGCCAGTTCAGGCCGCAGTAATGTAGGGCCTTAAATGGAAATATTATCTTATAACTTGCTAGAATGTGAGGTTGGCGAAATATTCAGAAAAAATACCGCTTTGAACTGCTCTAGGTCGTCTTGATGAATGTACTCGAAAATCGCGTTCCCCGTCATTTCAACCTGAATTTTTAAATTTTGAGGAGAAAACGAGAGGGTTCTGGAAGAGTAGGGCGTCTTTTCATACTCAAAATCACATACTGAGTAAAAGCATTTTTCTTGAAGGAAGAAGCGCGGGAGGTTCGCCTTTTTCAGGGGTGGTGCGCCTTTTTCGGGGGTGGTGCGCCTTTTTCGGGGTAGGAGCACTGTTTGGATATTTAAAACCTGTGACAAGCCCAAATAAATGCTGATCGTCTCGCTGACGTATAAAACATCGCCTCGTGGGTCCAACATGACGAAAAAGCAATCCAAAAGCTGAAAACATTTTTTTCTTAAAATCAAATAATCTTCCTGCTAACTTCTAAATGGTTGTTAGTCCATTGGTTATCGGTACCTGGAAATTTTTCCTGTTCGAAGTTAATTAAAAAATGAGGTACAGTAACCTCGAGTACCGTAGTAGTCGATAGGTCGCGGTGCCCCGAAAAGGTGGTGTAGTTTGATGAAAGCTGTCGCCAGACGGACCATCGAAGTCTAGAATTTTTGGTTTAAGGGTTACGGTAATCTGATGGCGATTTTTGATGATAAGTTCATTCAAGGACCACTACAGTATCCCAGCTTATGGTACTTTCAAACGGCTTTTTTAAAATATTTTTACTGAGTCTCTAAGTTTCATAAGAAAGGGCTAGTGAAAAAAAAATTGAAAATTTGGACTTTGTATCTTTTAGATCGCTGCGCATCAACTGACCTTATCAATATGTTGACCACTGATGGCTCGGGCCAACAGGGAGTTCCCGGGCAAGTTGGGCGAACTCATAGTTTTTCCAATTGCCTTCGGTGTTGGGCTTGTGACTTGGCTGGGTTTTTCTGGAATTAGAACGTTTTTTTAAAGTGCGAACAGTTTGAAACAGCGTACTGCTGGGCTGGATGTTCTTTAGAACGTTTTGAAAAATTACTCAAGTTTTTTTGGAACCGGGGGTGCAATATGAATTTATAAAGTTTCTAAATGAAATTTTTTTCAAAAAAATCAACCTCGATTGGAGCTTTGACCAGAGAGCATCACGATCTAAGGAGAAATGAATAGACTTACCCAAAATAATTGACTACGGTAATCAAATTGCGGCAACGAAACTCGAGCCGCATGCAAATGTTCCCGATAATTACCCAATATGGTCTGAAATTTTCGGGGCTTTTGGACGATTCTTGGAACTCTTTCTAGATTAGTTTGAAGTCTTGAGTAGTCTTTCAGAAAATGAGAAAAAAGCAAAAAACACGTTGAACGCGTTCGAGTTGGAAGTCAACGGGATCACCCAAATCTGGAATTCGTGGTTATTTTTTCCTAGCACAAAAAGACTCATTGAGCAGATAAAATTTCCCTATTAAGTGGGTTCTTCCTGTCGAATACCGCAAAATCCAAAAAAATACACGATTTTCAATGAAAATTTAGTAGTTTTTTTGAGATTTTTTCAGGCCTGAATATTTTTTTAAGTGTTTTATTGTACCATTCTAGTTCAATAATGCGAAAAATCAGTGAATTTCAGCTTTTTTTCACTTAAATTTTTAGAATCCTCTGAATTTTCTTGTTTCGAATCTTTTTAGCTCTGAAAAAGGAATTATTAGGGTCGACCATCACTTGAATAACATTTTAGCGCAAAAAAATGGACGGAAATATGTACAGTTTTCTTATTTTTATCCATCAAGTGATGCGCTCACATTTAGCAGGCAGATGTACGCTACCGTATCTCCAAGCCTCGCCCTCTTTTTTCGCTGCGAGACCCGTACACTTTTTTCGCTTTATTTTTTAATTAGCTTTAAAAAACTAACTTCTTTTTCGTTAATTTTCTTTTTTGTATCAATACCTAGTACATTTTTAAATCAGCAACTTTCCGCGAATCATGAAAATTATTTATTTTTAGCTTTAAAAGTTATTGCAAAGCTTGAAATCAGTCGTAACTTGTAGTTTTAGTGGCTTTTTGAGCTTTTGTGATTAATTTAGGCCAGGAAACTTATTGATTGGTCATTGTACCTTTCAAATTTTGAGAATGCAAGAAAGATCAATGGATAACAGCTTTTTCTAACTAAGGTTTTGAAGTTCTCCAAATTTTCTTGTTTCAAATCTTTTTAGCTCTGAAAAAGGAATTATTAGGGTCGACCATCACTTGAATAACATTTTAGCACAAAAAACTGGACGAAAATATCTACAGTTTTCTTATTTTTATCCATCAAGTGATGCGCTCACATTTAGCAGGCAGATGTACGCTACCGTATCCCCAAGCCTCGCTTCTTGCTTTCGCTGCGAGACCCACGCACTTCCTTTTCGCACTTTTTTTTCAAATAAATTAAGAAAGAGGGTTTCTTTTTCATGTATTTTCTTTTTTGTATCGATACCTTATTTATTTTATGAGCAGCAACTTTCGGGAAATCATGAAAGTTGTGAACATTTTGACCATTCTGACAAAAAAAAATTCAAAAATAATTTTGTACACAAAAATGTTCAATTCGTCCCTGGCTTTCGTTCAAAAAAAGTTTCATTCGATTTGGACGATACACTTTTTTGGTATTTCCCCTACCGTGACCCTAAAAAGGGGCGGAGTTTCTCAAAATCCTACGTAAAATTTTCAGAATCTTGTGTATAGTCTGTTCAGTATGTCAAGTGCCACGACGTCATCAAAAAACACTCTGTGTGTTGCTCGCTCTCTGATTGGTTTATCGCATCATTAGGGGCGGAGCTTGAGCGACGACTTGACATTCAAAATCTGAACAGACTATAGTTGTGGTGACAACATTGTGAGCTCAGAAAATCAGTCTGAAGTTATGGTATAATACTGTTTCGTCTCAAGTTTTAGTAAGTTTCGGATAGACTTTATTTTTTCCGTTCAGCATGCCATCAACGACGTCGGGAGTTGCTCAACGAATTGAGAAATTTCGAAATCCTCGGCCAGGCGATCCCGCAGTGCGTAGAGGACGGAGTATTGTTTAGAAAAAGGTAAAAAAGTTCAGAAATGCTTTTTTTGAGGTCTGTGAAGTATTGAAACCATGAGCTTCTCAGAACTTTTGAAATTCCGGTGTTTAAGATTCTCCTCGTGGTTGCGAGCTTTCTAAAATTGACTAGGCAGTTTAAAAGTTCTGAATTGTGGTCAGAAAAAGGTTCCTAAATGTCTCAACTAGTATAAATCCCTAGTTTTTTGAGAAACAGTGCTTAAAAGTCCAATAGAACCATCAAAATACGACAAAATGAACTTTTTGAGATTCCTCCAGAGCACATAAGTCCAAGTTGAAACTTTCAAAATCTCTCTGTTAGTTTTATTTGAAGTCTCGGGGCTCATCGGTTTGACGAAAGGGGGGATCCAGCCGACGTATGGTATGACTTCACATTTTCAAAGCTTTCCGTTGAACTTTTGAAGAAAAGGCATCTCCTTTGTGGCCATTCAGAATTGGAAAATATTCGGAAGTTAAGGAATTTTAGAGTGGTCCCTACAGGGGCTTGGAGGGTCCTTTCTAGGGACCACTTTACCAACCCCTATAGGGGTCACTAAGGATTTCAAAAGTGGTCCCTATAAGGGTTTTATTCAGTGGCCCCTATGGGGGACTCTTACGCGAACAAGCTTTCCCATTATCATTTTTTGAATATAACTCAAAGACCCCTATAGGGACAACTTACGTTTGAAAGGGGTCAGACGCTAAACCCCTATAGGGACCACCTTGATTTTACCCCTATATGGACCACTTCCTGTTTTGCCGCCCAACCCCTATAGGGGCAACCTTCGGGGCTCTTGAAGGTTCTACTCTAGGAGCCATTTTACCAACCGCTATAGGGACCACTTGAGCTTTAAGGGCTAAGGGATCGAACCCTAAACCCCTATAGGGACCCCCTTGATTCTACCCCTAGAGGGACCACTTATTAGGCCCCTATTGGGGCTCAATCTAATTTTTAAAATTTCTTAAGACATGAAGGAATTGAAAACCTTTAAAATTTTCAGACAATGCCTAGCTGGAACGGACGTCTGCTGGTGCGTCACAAAAAACGGACGACGACTTTCGCGACGCGAATATCGCAACGAACGCGAGTGCGAAACCGTCCGACGAAGACAGGAGAACATGGCGCTGAAGGCGGCGGCGTTGCTCAAGGAGGAGTTCAGCGAGGAGAAGAACGGCGGCAAGGTACTTTATTCGCCGAAGCTTGAAGAATTCTAATTTCTCTGCGCTCTCTTCTTTACGTTGTCTTCACGTTTCTATGACCTCCTCTACTCTCTCTTCTTCTACGTTATCTTTTCACATTTCTATGACCTCCTATTTTCTCTCATTTTTACGTTCTCTATGACCTCCTCTGCTCTCTCTCATTTTTATCTAATCTTTTCACGTTTCTATGGCTTCCTATACTCTCTCTCTTCTTTTACGTACTATTTTCATATTTCTATGACTTCCTCTACTCTCTCTCATCTTTACGTTATTTTTTCACGTTTCTATGACCTCTTCGGTGAGAGAAAAGAGACGCAGCCAAGTCAGACTGCTTCAATTCGTCAAGAATGATTTTTGATCAGGACCTCGAAAAAATTTTCTTTTGACTCTCGGGGAAATATTTTAGTGGTCCCTTTAGGGTTCTGACATTTCAGTGGTCACTATAGTAGTCGTGTTAGTGGCCACTTAAGGGACTGAAATCTAGGGGCTTCTTTAGGAGTTCGATTGTACTACTGGACCACTAAAAACTATAAGTGGCTTCTATAGAGATGGTTTTAGTGGTCACTTTACTTTTCCTCTCCAAGTAGTCCTTGCAAAACCGCTTAAGTGGCCACTAGAGTTTTTCCAAGCTTTCAACTTCAAAAGCTGCAGTTTTTTTGAATCCTTCTTCTCAATTTTCTCTATTAGAAGTCTTTGAGATAGATTGGACGATATAAAACCAATAAAAACCCTTTTTCAGACGTGCTCCATCAGACACCCTGGAGAATGCCCAAATCATACCGCCGACCTGAAATCGCTGCCACATTGCCAGTGTGATTCGGACTGTGGAGTCGGAAAGAAGTGCTGTCGGAGCACTTGCATGACGACTTTTAGTAACACCTCTACCACCAAAGTCCAACCGGAAAGCATGACTAACACCACGGCGACGCCTAGAACTACTAACAAATGTACTAATCTTACTAATAAGGGCTTTTTTCAGTTTGGGGGCTTTTGGGACAGAATTTCTTTGAGAAAGGCATTACAAGACTTTGAGTGGCCACTTTATGGTTCATGACTGTATAGTGGTCACTTAAGGGGTTAAAACTTAATGGCCCTTCTGAAGGTAACTATCATAAAAAAGGAAATTTATGCCAAAGCCAATCTAAGACGTACTGCGAAAATTCGTAGTGGCCATTTTAGGGTTCATGACCGTATAGTGGTCACTTAAGGGGTTGAAGTTTAGTGGCCTCTTCTGAAGGTAACTATCATAAAAAAAGGGAAATCATGCCAAAGCCAATATGAAAAGTGCTGGGAATATTTGTAGTGGCCACGTTAGGGTATTGACCTTGTAGTGGTCACTTAAGTGGCTAAAATTTAGTGGCCTCTTAAGAAAAAGAAGAGAAAAGCGAACCGAAAAAATGAAATAATTTCTATGCCAACGCCAATATAAGACGTACTGAGAATATTTGTAGGGGCCACTTAGGGTTTATGACCTTATAGGGGTCACTTAAGGGGTTAATATTTAGTGGCCTCTTCTGAAGGTAACTATCCAAAAAAAGGAAATTTATGCCAAAGCCAAGATAAGACGTACTGGGAATATTTTAGTGGCCACTTTAGGGTATTGACCTTTTAGTGGTCACTTAAGGGGTTGAAATTTAGTGCCCTCTTCGGAAGTGAAAAGCTAGCAAAAAATTAACCAATACATTTTTTCAAGCGATATCGACGAAAGCTAAACGTCCTGAGAAAAATTTTTGAAAAGTTACAGAAAGTTTTTCTTTAATTTTCTGGACTCACAGACCAAATTTCAAAGGACAACCTAGAAATAAATCTATAAAGCTTTTTTTGGGCGATTTTTGAAGCGAAAATTTTTGAAAATGTTAAAAAGTATCATGAAGCTTTTTCTTTTGTTTTTAGGGAGTTCTAGACAAAAAAATTTTTAGTACCATCAAAATTTTTTTAACTGATCTGTGTGGCATAGAACTACTAAAAATATGTCACTGATAATTTTTTTAGAGAATTGAAGGTTTTTAAAAAAATTGAAACCATGCGATGTATGAAACTTATAGATGAATGAAGACCTTCTAAAAAAATAAATATCTAGCATTTTTTCAAACTAGAAGAGAACTAAATTTTCTAAATTAGAAAATAATTAACAGAGTTCAAAAAAGCGATTTCCAGTGCCAACGACACTCTCACTGGTCTGCGGGGCCAACGAGCAGTATTCGGCCTGTTATTCGCCTTGTCAAGCTTCCTGCGAAGATCCGACGACGATGCCGTGTCCGTCGCCCGGATGCTCGGCCGGTTGCATTTGTCTGCCTGGTACGGCTTTTGGTTTTTTGGAAGCTGAAGTATTAAAGAACCATAAAGAATGTGTGGGGTTGTACAGGGGTGAGAATAAATATTGCACGGCCTTTAAAATTCCGTTACTTTCAAGTGGAACGGATCGAGACAAGATTGTTTGAATTTTATATCGGCAAAGTATCCAAGTTAGCACATATAATTCAACTTTCGCTCCGACTTTCATTGGCCTCACTGAGCGCCTTGACTCTCTCGAAAAAATATTCGACCTTTGGACACAGATCGATCTTGTCATCCATTCTTGATGATGGAGACCATCAGCAGGTCCCGGTTAAAATAGAGTTTTGTCCAGGCCTTCAACTTCAAATATTAATATGCAGAATCGTCAAGGGATTCGAATCTGGTGAGTAGCCGGTCTATTCCTTAACCGTGTTGAACGAGCAGATTGGACTCGAACGAGTCTTGCTCAGCTCGGGGCTTGCAGCTAGACCTAAAATCTTGGTGGAAGAACCAGCGACGGTTCGCAAAGTGGAAAATAAAAAAAAACAGATTGAAATACCATTGGCAAAAAAGATAGTTGGAATGATCGAAAAGTCCGTGCAATGTTTATGAGTTGGCTCACAAAATTAACCAAACTAATTTCTACCCACCAAGACCCTTTTCTTTAAGTTCATCACATTTTGCTCAAAGGTATGCTCATGGTATCATAGTCTGACCTCAGACCCGTTCAGATATGTCCCTAAAAGCCGTCATTTTCGAGGAATTCTCTGAAATTTCACCAGAATTTTCCTGGATGTACCCGAGACAAGCCGTGAAAGTCTCAACCTTCACAACTTCTTAACTTTCGAGAAATGAATCTTCAAAGCTTCAGAATAGCATATTTTAACGGATTTTCTTCGATTCTGAGCACTGATTTCTCGAAAACTGGGAAGTTTTGTTTGCAGTTTTCAGGAACGGGGGAGGGGTATCAAGATGTGTTCTGACAGATTTTCAGGAAATTTTGGACCGTCAATTGAAATGAACTTCTTTGTTGGCATTCACAGCAATATCCTTTCAAAGATGCTTGTTTAGCGATTAGAGGTGGTGGTAGCTGTAATGTATCAGTTTTTCCGAAATTGCTTTTGAAATTCTGATATTTGAGGCTTCATCCGTCGAGACGGCTCGCCAAGATCGGCCTGTGTGCCCCGAGGGCTTTGCGCAGCTTACGACACGACGATGCGCTGTGCGGATGACCGGCGCCAGTATCAGACCTGCGGATCGGCTTGTCCGATCAGTTGCGATACGAGGAACTCGCCGAGGTGATCATTATGGAAGAGGACCAGAGCTACTGATGGGACGGACGTCCGCAACGCGCCTCGACACGCGGAGCGGTCACTTATTTTCAACTTTAAGGGTCGGGTGGCCCCGGGGCGACCACTCCAAAGCCCGGGCGCGGCCCTCCAGTAGCTCTGAGGAGAACAGTCCTCATTTAGGGATCACTTTAGGGGCTGTTTACCCTCGCGAAGTCGGATGGACCCTCCAAGACTTCCTCTAACTGTTCAAATTTCTTATCAGGATGGTTATTTTTTTTTGAAAATTGAGAAAAATTTGCAATCTTTAGGGCCTTAAGTCGATTTTAAGGACTGTTTCCAGATATTTTCTCGGAAAAAATTTTCTATATTTCTTCCATATGTACCCTTTTAGACTTTATTCACTTTCTGCCTTTTTTCACCCTTACTTGAGCCTGTAATAATTCTAGAGTAATAAAGGCTTTATAAAGGGTGCTAAACGGGTCCTTTTAGTGGCCTTTTTTGCGCCCGGGACTTTTAAATGTCTTAAGGTTTAGTTGAAGAACTTTTCCAAAGAAAACGTTCCATTATGCTACCTTTTTGCGCCATTTTATCGCCTTTTCTTGAACCTGCCGTATAAAAACTGAAAGCAAAAGTTTCTTACAAGCGCCGCCAAGTGCTTTGATACATATAGGTGATTCACGGCCAGCTTGGGACGCTAAGGGGGCGTGTCCTGTCTGCGCTCTCCTCGAGCCAGGCGCTATCTCGTGCATTACCTTGTCAGGACTCTTTTTTCGATGGCGCAAGCCGGCCGTGAATCAGTTATAGTTGAGCGTTAAAACTTTGATTTGTCTGATTACTCTTCGCCCTCTCTTCCTTAGGCGTAGCTCTCAAGCTTCTATAACCCAGCCGGTGAGAGAGAAGAGACGCAGACGAGTCAGACTGTCTGTCATCTTAAGGCGAATAGACGATTATTGCAATTTCAACTTCACTAGAAAAAAAAAGTTCATGTTTTAAGATGCTCGGAGAAGTGCGTGAGCGGCTGTTTCTGCCGGATCCCATTCGTCCTGGAAAACGGTCAAGATCCACTCCACTCCAGGTGTATCCTACCTTCGGAATGCCCGATTCCGAAAACGCCGCCACCGCCGCTCGTCGCTCGCCAGCCGGCTAGTTTCGACTGTCCCGACTTGAACCGACTTGTGTCCTTTTTAGGCGTTCGTCAGTCTCCCCGGTGGCTTCGGCCTCACGGCGACGTCCACCAGTACCCCGGCCAAAAATCTGCCGACTCTCATCCCGGAGACGAAAAATCAGTGCTCGGACCCCTTGAAAAACTACCAGAGCTGCGGATCGGCGTGTCCTGGTAAAATAATTGATTGGGTTCATTTCTACCGAATTTTCTTGCAACCGTTCGAGATACGTTTCCGACACGGATTTTGAAGTTCCCGCCAAATTATTTTGCGATTACCTTGAAACATACTTCTTAAAGTTCTTATATCAATCGATCTACAAAAATACTCCTTGGTATTTTTCAAAGTTAGCGCCAGAAACGCACCGCGACCGCTTCGCGCGCGAAATGAGAATGGTTTGAAAGGTATTAGTATTCCTAGTGACCCCTTTAGTAGCGTCCGAACTCTTAAGTGATCCCTAGAATTGCTCAGAAACGTCCGGTGTTACCAAGGTCCGAGTATAGCCTACTATTGTTTTTCTCTGCGCCCTCCTAGTCTCTCGACGACTCTTTCATGTTGACACGCTATTTCCGAGTTTCTCTGACCTCCCCGGTGAGGGAACAGAGAGACGCAGACGCTCAGAGACATCCAAGTCACCGTAATCGGACTATGCCAAAGAAAAAGACGAAAAGATAAATTCTCAATGGGTAGAATCCTATCTCACTTTTCAGAAGCCCTATCTCAATCAATATAATCAATCGATATTCATTTTATAGTCATTGAAACGGGAAAAAGCCATATTTTTCAGTGGCCTGCAACTCAAACGCCTCATCTTCCTCGTTGGAATGTGCACTTTCCTGCGTTTCCGGCTGCTTTTGCCGACTTCCCTACGTCATGTTGGATGCAAATGTAATTGTCTATACGATAAAGAAATTGAGATAGTAAAAATCAAATTTTAGGAAAGGAAATTGGTATCAGTATACCTTTTCATGCTGGATAGAAACCCAATATTCGAATTTTATAAAAAAAAAATTAGTGACCGCACTTTATTTCTTGCCTTTTGTAGTTCTGTGGAAAACTCAAGTGGTCACTTGAAGGGTTCCCCAAAGACTACTTGGATAGGACCCTTAAGTGGCCACTAGAACCACCTCTATAGAAGCCACTAGTTTTCGTCCCTTTTCGTCAATTTTGATCCCAATTCTGCCTTTTGTAGTTCAGGGAAAACTCAAGTAGCCACTTAAGAGAATTATCAAGGATTGCTTGAAGAGGACACTAAAGTGGCCACTAGAACCACCTCTATAGAAGCCACTAGTTTTCGTTTCTTAACGCAACTTCATTTTCCCTGCCAGTGGGAAAACTTTGGACATTTTAGTGGCCACTAGAGTGGCTAAAGTTCAGTGGCCGCTTTAGGAATCTAAGTGCCACGAAAAACTACTATAGTGTCCACTAAGACGTAAGATCGTGGATTCTATAGAGGTGCATTTAGTGGTCACATTAGTGTCCTATCCAAGTAGTCCTTAAGGAACCTCTTAAGCGGTCACTAAGGCGCAAGTTTGAGGCTTCTAAAGAGGCGGTTTTAGTGACCACTTTAGCGTCCTCTCCAAGCAGTAGTTGAGCAACCTCTTAAGCGGCCACTAGAGCTTTCCCGAGTAACATGCCTCAAGATCATAATTTGAATCGAAAAATCGAATTTTAGGACCCCCAATCTGAATGCGTTCTGGCGCAACAATGCCCGAGAAAATCCTCAAAACCGACGAATATTTCCATCGCTTCGAGGGAATCCTGCAGTGATCCCAGAAAGGAGTGGACCAGTTGTGGAGCTAGGCAGTTTATTGATTAATTTGATGATTAATTGATCAATTTATTGATTGAAGATGCGCTCGATCTTGCCATAATCCGCTCGGCCGATGCCCAGAAGGCCAATGTTCGCCCGGCTGTGTCTGCCGTGAACCTTACGTTTTACAGGTTTTTTAAAAGTCATTTAATTGAAACTTCTTTCGATTGACTTGGATTGTCGGTAGGGAAATATTTTTGATAGTCTCTGAAAAAAATCATATGTTTTTCTTTTTTTGAAAACCCGTGACTTTTAAGGGATTTTTTTCAATAGGTTAACTTCATTTTAATGGAAATTTTTCATCTTTTTCATAAAATTTAGCTCTTTTGGTCCACTTGGAAGTAAAGAGAGATGAAAATTCAAATATTTTTCTTCAAAAAAATCGATATTTTTTTATCGTTTTTTTCGAGCTTTATCTTGTCACTTTTTACTGAGCCAACTCATTTTTGTCAGGGATTTTCTTTGGGTTTTTTTCCTTTTCAAGGGATTGAAAAGAAACAAAGAAAAAGAGATATATTTTCATCATTTTTGAACATTTTTTCGAAGAAAGGTACGATTTTAACACTCAAAAATGGGGAAAAAAAAGTGAGAAAAAACCCGGATTTTATCCCTTTTTCGAAGATTTTCAGCAATTTTTGGAGCGAATTTTTGAGTGCTGTGACAATTTATTGAAGGTTGATTTTTTTTGGGGGCTTTAATAGCTTCAAATAAATATTTAAACACATAATTCGAGACAAAAATTACTTTTCAGTAGTTGAAAAATACAAAAAATGTTAATATTTCTGAAAAAATACCAGAAAATGAGCATTTTTCAAGGTTTTTTCTAGGTTTTCTGAATAAGAAGAAAAAAATAATCCTCAAATGCCTAAATTCGTTTCAAAACTACAAAAAATCCGCACGCTCTGCGTCAAAAACGAGCGCAAAGCGAGCTGCAAGATGCCACCCGTCGCAAGCCGGCAAAAGTCGGGCGCACGCCAACGGCGGTGTATATAAGCGAGCGGCGCGTGGCCACTCTGTCAGCCATTGCAATCGTCCATGTTTTTCACGTTGTCAGGAGCTTTCCTGATGGACTAGTCTGACGTCGGACGTAGAGCAGCTGGTCCTGCCCTCCACAGTTGTACTGCCCCTTCTCTTGCAGTACGATCACTTCCGGGGAGGCTCATTTTTGCCGATCTTTTGTAGAATCCTTCATAAAGTGGCTATTTTCTTCAGTTTTTTACCGGTAAATTGCTTCGTAGACGCTTATCAACATCAAAAATTAACTTCTTTTTTTGAAATAATATTCATGAAATAGCCCTTTTTTTTGGGTTTTCACCTCTGAATTGTTTTTTTGTAGACGCTTTTCTATCTCTCAGAAGAGGAATTTTCGAAAAATGTTCGAAATCTAGTCAAATACAGCCCTTTTGAGAAGTTTTTCACATCCAAAAAATGATATTATTCTTGAAAAAACTCATTTTTTTGACGATTTTTTTGTAGAATTCTTCATAATCTAAAAAAAGAAAAATTTCGAAACTTGTTCGAAAAAAATGAACTTCAGCCCTTCTGAGAAGTTTCTAACCTTTTTAAAATCGATATTATCTTCAAAATAGATCATTTTTGCCAATTTTTGTAGAATTTTCAATAAATTGGCCGTTTCTCTCGATTTTAAGCCCTTGGTTGATGTTTCTCTACCGTTAAAAAAAGGAAATTTTTTTCGTTTTTTTAGGTTATGAAAATACATCCCTTCTGAGAAGTTTGCACCTTTAAAAAAAATTTTGTTATCAGAAAGGTTTTTTTTTGGTTGATTCACAATTTTCGAGTTTCTATATGATTTTTCTGTCCAAAAAAACTCGAAAACCCTAATTTTTTTGGTTTATCTCACTTCCTTTGAAAATAATCTAAAAAGACGAGATTTTTTTTGAAAGATGATTTTTCCTGTAGTTTTCAGATATTCATAATTTTTTTTTTGTACTTTTTACTTCAAGTAAAGGTTAAAAAATCTTGAAAAAGTTTAGAAACGTTGATCAAAGTTAGATTTTCTTTGAAGCTTCTATGACATCTAACTTTAAGGGAGCTTTTTGTTGTAAAAAAAAATATCAAACTTGGAAATTTATAAGAAAAATGACCCAGGACTCGAGTGATCCAACGTCTCGATGTGTTCTACCAACGGAATGTGAGAGAAAATGCGATGATCCGGCAAAAGTTTGATCGATAATAAAATCAATAAATCGATATTTCCCAACAGGAGTACATTACCTGTGGATCATCCTGCCCGATGGGATGCGATAATTTGCACCCGAAAAATTGTGCGCCCTGTCAAGCTGGTTGCTTTTGCAGAAATGGTGATTTTTCCTAACTTTTCAGCTTTGAAACATGTATTTTAGGCCTGGTTTTCCTCAATTCGAGCAATTGGCAAGCGTCCAACTGTGTCCGGCTGGAGAACTGCCCCCCTACAACCGTAGAAACCACTCAAGTGGTCACTTCGACCCTGCCGACTGTTTTCACACACACGCAGCTGGAAATGACGAGCCAGCCGATTGAAGGATTAGAGATTGCGAAAGGTGAAGAGGCCACTTGAGGGAAAATTTTGAAGTTTTCAAAAAAGTGTTGTTGTCAAAGCCTTGCCAGAAAGTAAAATCGACTGGGGAAAACTCTAGTGGTCACTTAAGAGGTTAGGAGAACTCTAGTGGTCACTTAAGAAGACTAAAGTGACCACTAAAAAAAAATCACTCAAGGGCTCACTAAAAATCTAAACCCTGAGGGGCAAACCAAAGTTTTTTCAAGAAAATCTAAGAGGCCACTTGAGGGTAGTTTCGTTAGTGAACACTAGAGACGTTATTGAATTATTGATTTTGTGTGGATCACTAGATAAAAAATTAAGATGTCAAGAGGTCACTTGAGGGAAAATTTTGAAGTTTTTGAAAACTTGTAGTTGTATAAGCACTTTCAGGAATGAAAATTGAAAATCTAAGGGGCCCCTTAAGGGAGATTTTGTTTGTGAATACTAGAGGGGTTATTGAATTATTGATTTTGTGTGGATTACTAGATAAAAAATTTAGATGTCAAGAGGTCACTTGAGGGAAAATTTTGAAGGGCCTTCCAACTTGAAGTTTCATTGAGCTTTGTCAAGAACGAAAATTGAAAATCTAAGGGGCCACTGGAGGGGAATTTCGTTAGTGAACACTAGAGGGGTTATTGAGTTAGTGATTTTATGTGGATCACTAGATAAAAAATTTAAAGTCAAGAGGTCACTTGAGGGAAAATTTTGAAGGGCCTTCCAACTTGAAGTTTCATTGAGCTTTGTCAAGAACGAAACTTGAAAACCTAGGGAGCCACTTGAGGGGAATTTCGTTAGTTAGCACTAGAGGGGTTAGTGGATTATTGATTTTGTGTGGATCACTAGATAAAAAATTTAGGTGTCAAGAGGTCACTTGAGGGAAAATTTTGAAGGGCCTTCCAACTTGAAGTTTCATTGAGCTTTGTCAAGAACGAAAATTGAAAATCTAAGGGGCCACTTTAGGGGGATTTTGTTAGGGAACACTAGAGAGGTTATTGAGTTGGTGATTTTATGTGGATCACTAGATAAAAAATTTAAAGTCAAGAGGTCACTTGAGGGAAAATTTTGAAGTGGAATATTATTGCATAATCACTTAAGTGGTCACTCCGGACTTTAACAGGATGATTCAGAAAGTCTTCAAGTGGTCATTTTAGAGTTTTATGTCATATTTTTGGAAATGATAGTTTTTTCTGTGGAACCGTTATCCTGAAAAAATCATGAAAAAATGAAGTTTCCATCGATTTTTAGCACTTCAAGTGACCATTCTAGGGTTCGTACCTTTATCAAGATTTTTCAGAAGGCTTTTGAGGGATCATCATATGGTTTTTCCTTTTTTTTTAAGTCAAAGTTTTGTAATTCCATCGATTTTTATGATGATTGAGGTCTCATATAGAGATAAAGAAGATTTTTTTTCCTCTGAATTTTGAAGAAAATACCCCTGGAGTGACCACTTGAACCTCTTTCATTCCAGAAAAACGACGGCAGGACCAGTGCCCTCCGACGACTTTTGACGTGGGCGGTCGGTCGTGCTCCACGGACACGGACTGTCCGGTGGAGCAACGTTGCTGCCGACCGATGATCGTCGCTCTCGGCGTCAGTCCGCAGAGGTCCGGTGCTTCATGTAGCCGATTTTTGACAGTTTTTCTCTTCTTTTTTTCGCAAATAATACCGTATCGAACCGAATTTAACCAAAACTCGCTTCGAGACAAATACCGTAGGGGACCAAATTTACCTTCGCTTCGAGACCTTCTTTCAGTTTTGTAGAGCAAAAGTGCAGGAAAAAGTGTTTACGGTAGCTTTTGTCCTACAGAAGCCCGGAATGGACTATAAAAAAGCAACTAGAAAGATAGTGAAGAAAGAAGGAAGTTCAGATGCGTCTGTCCGGATCCAAAAGCGGTTTGGTCGGCCTGCGGAAGCGTCTGTCCTGAGTATTGCGGTCAGCCGTCGGTGAGGAAAACTTTTATTCGTAGGAAAATCAGAATCCCGAGAGAAAAACTCCAAAATTCGGCTTTTCGGACCAAAGTAAAATCGAAGAAAGCTTCAAGTTTGCCCTCACAAGGGAAGTCATTTCACTTTGAAGTTGTAAATTTCTTGAAAATTGGCCACAACGCTCCTAAACGTACCTCATGAAGATCCTGAAAGCAGTAACCTGCAAAACTTCCAAGTTTTAGAGAAATGTGGGCTCACAGACCTGTTTTCTCAGACCTTGGTAACGCGAACGGGACGCGAAACGGACGTGTCGGGGCATTTCTAGTGACCACTTTAGTAGCCTCAGAACTCTTAAGGGATCCCTAGAATCGCCCAGAAACGTCCGGAGCACGTCCGTTTCGCGTTACCAATGTCCGAGTTAACGATTTTTGAGGGTCTTCCTCGACTTTAAGGCGTCCTTACTCGAAAAATAGCAATTTATGCAGTTTGAGACTTTCAGAATCTTCTTCTAGTGCATCAAGAAGTGTTCTGAAGAATTTTTTTGGATGATAAATTTCCGGGCAGCTTGCCAGAAGCCTTCCAGAGTTAGCAAGCTTCCAGAGTGGTCCCGGTAGGGGCAAAGCCATCAAGATTTCCCTGAAGGGATCACTTTTCCTCTCCCTATAGGGGTCACTAAAGCTCGCAAAAATGGCCCCCGTAGGATGCTACTCCATTATTTTAATGAACTTTACAAGAAGAGCCTATAAGGATCACCTGAATTTTACCCTTGAGGGGTCATTTTTGTCCCTAAACGTCCGGCCGGCGAGTGGAAGATTTCTTGGCAAGATTTGCTTGACCAGAAACTTCAAAAATTCATGACTAAAATAAATTTTTCCGAGCTGCTGAGAGCATAAGTTGGTCTTGAAAGACTCCAACAGTTTGGAATTTCGATCAAGGAAAAAAAGAAAATTGTTCAAGGTGCCAGTTTGCTCCTCGACGTGCAGCGCCGGCTGTCATTGTGCTCCCGGATTCGTCAAATCTCGAAACGATCTGACCGCGCCGTGTGTCCCTCGCGAACAGTGCTCCAGAGTCTCTCGTGAATTTTGATTATTTCAGTACCTTCCGAGAAAAAATATCAATATTTTTGCTCCTATGATAGTTGTGATGTTACTCATGAGAGTGGACTGAAAAAATGGCCTTATTTTTGAAAAATACCTCTTTTTCTCGACTTTTCTGATGAAGTATGATCATACAGGCTTTTTTCCCTCCAGCCGGAACATATGACTTCAGTTTCAGCGAGCCATGACCAACCAGAAGCCCCGGATTCGTCTCTCAACGGCTTCCGAGCCACAATCAAGGAGATCCCGCCTGAGAACCCATTTTTGGAGGATACTGTAGCCGTGGCGGTCCTCGTCGCCCGGGATAGTTCAGTGATGGGCCGATTCACCTTCGCTGAGATCTCTTCCAATACCATGAAGATCCGGGGTGAATATTTCAGAGTACTAAAAACGCTGGAATTTGATTGGGATGTAGGGTTTTTTTGCGTAACCAGTTGCAAGAACTAGGAAGTTCCATGAAGCTGCAAACAACCTGCAACCTAGCTGCAAATAACCCTGTGCAGGAAGCTTGCAGTTTGCAACCAGAAGGCGGCTGAGTGGCAGCCCTGTACAGGGTCGTTTGCAGGTAGTTTGCAGGTTGTTTGCAGGTTGTTTGCAGGTTTTAGGAAGCTTGAAGTTTGCAACCAGCAGCTGGCTGAGTTACAATTCATGAATCTGCAAACAACCTGCAACCTAGCTGCAAAGCACCCTGTGCACTAAGCTTGCAGTTTGCAACCAGGAGCTGGCTGAGTTGCAGTCCTGTAAGAGTTGATTGAAGCTAGGTTGCAGGTTGTTTGCAGATCTATGGAACTTCGAATTCCACATGTGTCTTGCAACTGCAACCTACCTGCAAATGACCCTGTGCAGGAAGCTTGAAGTTTGCAACCAGGAGCTGGCTGAGTTGAAGTCATGTAAAGGGTCAATTGCAGCTAGGTTGCAGGTTGTTTGCAGATCTATGAAACTTCGAATTCCACATGTGTCTTGCAACTGCAACCTACCTGCAAATGACCCTGTGCAGGAAGCTTGCAGTTTGCAACCAGAAGCTGGCTGAGTTGCAGCCCTCCACAGGGTCATTTGCAGCTTGGTTGCAGGTTTTGCAGATTTAAGGAAGCTGGCTGAGTTGCACCTCTGTACAGGGTCATTTGCAGCTAGGTTGCAGGTTGTTTGCAGATCTATGGAACTTCGAGTTCCGCATGGGACTTGCAACTGTAACCTTCCTGCAAGCAACTGATTTGCAACCTGCAAAGTAGTCACTTGCAGCAGCTGCAAAGCTCTTGCAACTGGTTACTCGAGTTGTTTTATGACAAACATGGGTTTTCACGATTTTAGTCATGTTTTAATGTTTTGAAAAAAGTTCTCAAAAGGTTATTTGAACGACTGGAAAAGCTTATGTCTTCAATAATATCTGACTCCAGGAGAAGTCTTCGGATTACCGTCGGGAGGCCCTCACGCCGTGGTCCTGCACCAGTTTGGCGACACCTCCGACGGATGCAGCCGAATCGGACCGCCTTATTCGAGATCGGCCAATCGGACGCCGTCGATGGGCGATGTTACAGGTACTTTTCGAGGACATGCGATTTTATGGTCGCATTGGGAATGGCTTGAGTCTGGTGGCATGGAAAATTGTTGGAAATAACGAAAATTTTGGTTTTTCTATGAGTAATTGAGGTCAATGAAAACGGAAATTGAAAAAATCTGCTCCTCTCATTTTTCCGACGGACCAGAAACGAGTTTCGCTAACAGCGATAAATGTATGTAAGAGCTGACACTTCGGACTTGGGACTAGTGAGTTGGGAGCTTGGACTTGGGACTAGCGAGTTGGGAGCTTGGGCTTGGGACTAGTGAGTTTGAAGCTTGGGCTCGGGACTTGGGACTAGTGAGTTGGGCGACGCGCCTTGAGCCATTCCAAGTGCGGTCATGGGATTCGTAAAATTATAAAAAAAAAATTTTTTTTTCATTTTTTCCATTATTTCTAGGTCAAGTTCATTCATAGAAAATGAAAAAAAATTGAATTTTTCTAGAAAATGGCGTTTTCGATAGAGTTGTGGATTGGCCAGTTTCGGACGTCGTTGGTCGATCTGTCGTCATCTACAGGTTCATTCCAACCTTTTTCAACGTTTTCAAAGTAAGATGTTCAGGTTTTCGACCTCGGAATGGACTGAAAAAGCGCAAGGCGAGAAGCCTTTAGCGTGTGGAACAATCGGGCTCACTAAAGTGGCCACTAACTGAGAGCAACCGCATTTTTTTGACGTAATTTTCTTTTTCTCGGTCCTTGAGTGACCACCGGTGATGTAAAAACTCGATTCTGAAAAGTCCGTCACTTAAGGGGACTCTTGCCTTTCATTCTACTTGAAACACCGCCTAAAAAGTGACCACCACTAAAGTGACCACTTGCGCCTTTCAATTGTTGCTTAATTGCCTCAACTTGCTTCAATTTATGCTCATTATTTTCGTTTTTTCGTTTTTTTTTTTATTGTAAAAAGGGGATGAGTATGGTTTTTTGTCTGAGCTAGATGAGTAGGTTGAGGAAAAGAGTCAAATTGGAGTCCTACTGAATTTCTCTTGATTTGAGAAAATGTAGAAACTGACTCTTTTCGTTGCCGCTCCCTGCTTAGCGGTGTTGTTGCCTGCCACGCGGGTCTTCCTGAGTGAGCGTTGAGTGCGGGTCGGACAGCGATCCGTTCAACCTCAAACTTGGGTAATTAAACCTTTATCATAAATATTCCGCGAACAAATTATAACGATAAAGCAATAAATTCAAATAAACAATAAGAATGGAAGAATGAGTGAAAAAAAATGAAAAATAATGAAAGAGGAGAAATGGTTTTGGGGGTGAACGACGTGGTTGGCTAGACAGGTAATGGAATGGCTCCTAATGGGCCTTTCCCCTGGCGAGCCAGCCACGTCATCCTCTGAGTGGCGGGGAGGCATCTACCTTTGAGTCGGTGTCGACACTCCCCGCCTGAGAGTTGAGATGAATTAGGATGGATGAGGAATGAAGTTAGAATTGAATTTTTAAAATGAAAAATATGAGTGAAAAAGTATGAACGGAAAAGAGACAAATAATTGAGAAAAATAAATGAATAAAATGAGGAAAAAAAATGAACACAAAAAATTGCTTTTCCGCTTTCCTTAGCGTTGTTCTCTGAGTTTTATGAGTGGTCGTCGTCCGACGGTTCCCGCCTCGGATTGAATGCTTGTTGAGGTTGCGTTGATTTTTGTGGTTGGGTGACTGTTTTGATTGTTGGTATGATGGAGTTTATGGATCTCGAATGAATGAAGTGAAGAAATTGTTGACAAATATGTGTAGAAGGCGCTTTGGAGTGAATTTTTAGACCATATGACGTGGCATTTTTTCGTGTCCGGAATGTCTTCGGCGCCACCCAAAAAAATGACACATGATGGTTGCTGGTTTGACTAGAGTGACGTTGACTATAATTTTTAGACTCCATAGGATGATCTGGAACCCAAGAAAGCCAGTTTTAGCCATTTTCCTCACTAGTCCTGGAAGAAGTGGTATGATAAAGATGTATGAAATCGCCAGGGCTGCTAGAATGGCAATGAGTGTGACCATCGTAGTTTTAATCCACGTCTGATAAACTTCCATGATATGCCTGAAGTCTGGCCATGTGATTTCGTTGAGATTGATCTTTTCTCCTTTTAAAAGCGCTTGGACTGTCTGAAGAGGAGATCCTGTGAACTTTAGGACACCAATTACTTCAAACTGATTGATGTTTTTTCCTCCACATTGAATTGTGCAGTTTTCTTGGAAATGAGCTTGATCGACGTAGAATCGAATCTGTGTTGTTGAGCCTGTTTTTGAACAGGGAACCGTAAATGCCGTTTCCGAGCATTTGATTTCGCCCATTAGTTGCTTGGTTTCTGAGAAACAGGTGACCATTGTTTCTGCTCCTTTTTTGCATCCATAACATCCCGAAACGTGAGTGGTTTCAATCTGACAGTTGTCTTCATGTCTGATGATCGTGACGTCGATTTTTTCCGTCGTTCTTAATGTGATTTCGGTTGTGGTTGCTGAGTCGAAGTACAGTTTCGGTCCTTTCTTCGCTGACTTCATTGTCCAGCTCGGAGTGTTGATTGGAAGTTGGTTTCCAAATGAGCTCATATGGGCTGAAATGTTGAGATTTTTGCAAGTGCAACGCATGATTGTCTCTGCAGGTGAACATCTGCAATTTTTCAATGAGTGTGCAGTTCATGTTTTTCTGCGGCTAGCCAGTCTCTGCACCTGAGGTCGGGCCATTTCTCCTGCGGCCAAGTCGCGATGCTTTGATCGGTTTGTATGAACCAGGAGTTCGTGAAGGGCACGTTTGGAGTATGCAGGGAACTGAGAGTTATTTTGGCATGGCGAGTAAGTACTTCAATGTTTGGACGAAGTACTAGTACTGTTGATGTGGACGCTGGCTTGTAGGAGTTGATTTCTGTCGTTGTCCATTTCACGAAGAGTTTTTCTTTCCACTCTGAGCAGCGGAACAGAGTGTGAATTTTATTGTTGACTGGTTTCATGTAGATCCTGTAGAAAAGGCATCCGGAACTGAGATAAAAAAACAGTCGCAACCTGGTCCTCCGCATGATTCGGAGCATCCAGTTATTCCAGTGAAGTTGTTGACTTGTGCAAGTTCTGGAATCAATGATTGTCTGGTTATGTTGCTGCATTTTTCTCCAGAACAAGAGCCCATTCTGGGACACCTTTTCACACTCAGAACGTTGTATTCGGCTTCTCTCGTGAATGTGAGTACTTCTTTGGAGCACTCTAGCGTCAAATTCAGCCATTCTGCTCTGACTTCTCTCAGGGTCGTGTTGTCGTGAGTTATTTGAAGACAAGCTTCTCGTTTGAATGGATTCAAATGGAAAACTTCTTCTAGTTGAACTTCGCAGTCGTTTCCGTTGCAGATCTTCGAATGATGGGACATGACATCGATTTCTTGACAGGCCTGATTTCCTGCAATCAATGCCATCAGAAGTAGTGAAGTCGTAGAGGTCGAGATGTCTTTCCACATTCTTGTTCTGGTGTTTGAACGTCTGTTCTCTTTTTTCCAGCATCTGAAGAGAGTCTCGTAGACGACCTTTGTCATGAATTTTAGGACACTCCAGATTCCTTTCGCTATGAGAGTAGCTATCCATTTTATTCCTCTGAGTGAGCAAACCAATGGAGCTCCAAACCTTTATCATAAATATTCCGCGAACAAATTATAACGATAAAGCAATAAATTCAAATAAACAATAAGAATGGAAGATTGAGTGAAAAAAAATGAAAAAAAATGAAAGAGGAGAAATGGTTTTGGGGGTGAACGACGTGGTTGGCTAGACAGGTAATGGAATGGCTCCTAATGGGCCTTTCCCATGGCGAGCCAGCCACGTCATCCTCTGAGTGGCGGGGAGGCATCTACCTTTGAGTCGGTGTCGACATATTGAATGATTTGATCTCAATTTTTTTAAAAGAAAGAAAAGGGGAATTCGCAATGGAGCGAACTTGGCGAGACAAGGATTTTAAGGGACCACTTGAGGGTTTGAATCTTCCGATAAACGACCCTTAAGTGGCTACTTCCAGGCCTGTAGAATTTTTCAGTTTCGAAACTTTTTCTAAGACACGATTTTTCAGATTTTTTCTAAGTGGACATTTAAGAGGATTAGGAATCGATTTTGTAATTTCCCCTCAAGTGTCCACTTATTTATTCCTTCAAAGATCTACTTGAGTAGATTTAAGGGACCACTTGAGGGTTCGAATCTTCAAAGTCCTTTTCAATTATCGACCCTTAAGTGGCTACTTATTTATCCCCTTAAAGATCCACTCGAAAAGGTTAATTTTGAATTATGTTGTCTCATGCAAGTACTTTCGAATCAAACCAAAATCGGCAATTTTTTCGATTTCTCAAATCTCAAATGGGAAAATCGCAATAGAGCGAACTTGGCGAGATAGAAATTGAATTTTTCAAAGGGACCACTTGAGGGTTTGAATCTTCCAATGCCCTTAAGTGGCTACTTCTAGACCTTTCCAATTTTTCTATTTCAAATTTTTTTTCCCAAGACATAATTTTTCGGATTTTTTCGAAGTGGACTCTTGACTCGCGTCGTAAATCCTTTTTTTTTTGTTTCCCCTTAAGTGGTCACTTATTTATCCCCTTAAAGGTCTACCCGAGTAGATTTAAGGGACCACTTGAGGGTTTGAATCTTCAAAAGCCGATAAACGACCCTTAAGTGGCTACTTTCAGGCGCATGCTCAGAGCCTTCCAATTCTTCAGTTTCAAAACTTTCTCCATTAGGCAATTTTTCGGATTTTTCTAAGTGGACCCTTAAGAGGATTAGGAATGGTTTTTGTAATTTCCCCTTAAGTAGCCACTTGTTTACCCCCTCAAAGATCTACTTAAGTAGGTTGGAGTAAAGTTTTCTTTTCAAGTATTTTCGAACCCAAAATCCACATTTTTCGATTTTTTTTTTCGCCTAATGAAACGAAATACCGTGTCTTCGAACTTATAAATATCAAAAATGGCTCTTTTTCAAAGAAGGAGTCTATAAATTCCGAAAAAAGGAAAGAACAAAGAGATGTCAAGAACCTCGTTGAAAGAAAGTAGAAAACGGCGGCTCCTCGGGGGAATCCCCGGGCCCATAATCGGCTCGTCATCTGAATCGGCCTTCAGAAGCTGTCAACGCCCCACGTCTTCTTCTTTTCCCCCTTTTTCTTCCCCTTCATTTCCCCACCTTCTTTGGAAAAAAATTAGAATCGGAAAAAACTTCAGAATCTTGGAAGTGGATAAATCATAGAAGGTTGTAGGATGAATAGTCCCGCGGGACTCCCACTTTTCATCTTTTGAAATATTTCTGGTCGTCCATTTTTTTTCCCTTGGCTTTTTCGAGCTGTACCTGGTGCCGTTTCTTTGAAAAAAATTTTTCTGAAGGGAGATTTTTGGCTTGAAAAGGTGGGATAACCTTATTTTTGTGATTTAAAATCAAATTTGATGATGAAAATCTGGCATCTTTATGAAAAAAAAGTGTATGACTTGAACAAAAATCTTCTTTTTCCTACTTTGGATAAGTTTTAGTGGTTCAATATATTCATAAAAGTTCAAGGTATAATCCGACGTTACCAAAATGTTCGATTTTCAGCATAAAAGTATAACCATTCGATCCGTCTCGTCGAGATACGTACGAATATCATAAAATTATTTGGCGCTGACCACTTAAAAAAAATTTAAGATGACATTTATTAGTTTTCAATCAAGTAATTATTCTGAGGAATAAAAGTGTTTGCTTTTTCTTTTCATGCATTACTTGAGAAAATAGGCTTAGTTTTAAGACTTCACACGGAGGCGAAGCGCGCATAGCGCGAAGCCGACTGTGGCTCGCTTCGAAAGAACTGAGCCACAGTGAACAATTCGTCAAATAAATGAAACAGCTGACATAAAAAAACATGTAGTTTCAAAACGTGGGCACTAAAAACACTATCAGGTAGCTATAAACGATTTGCAACTTGATACGAGTAGCAAAAAAATCTGTAAAAATATTTTTTTCCCAAAAAGAAAGAAAAAAATATTAAAGGAGCATACTGTGCGTAAGCGTGGGCTCCGACGCGGTCGGTTATTTTTTTACTGTGATTTCTCATTTTTCTTATTTTTGCATTGTTTTTTTCAAATAATTTTTCAATTTTTCTTATTTTTAAAAGATTTTTTTCTTCTCATGGCGTAGTAGCGATAGTTGAACCGAATCAGCGTCGAAAAATGCAGCGAAATTTTTGACATTTTTGGAGTTTTTTTTTCTGGTTTTTGCACACCATAAAGTTATTTCTCCTTACTAGCGCCCAATAATTTTATGATATCCGTATGTATCTCAATGAGACGGATCGAATGGTTATACTTTCATGCTGAAAATCAAACATGTTGGTAACGTCGGATTATTCCAAGTTCAATATTCTTGAAAAAACAATGGCAAAAAAAAGTTGGCGGCCAATGGATTCGAACCTTCATAGTAGGTTCCGTCGACTGTCGCGCTAGCCACTGCACCACGCTCCCAACAGCCGTTCAATGGTTGTTGGCGCGGCCAGATTCCTTCCAAACGATGCCACATGATATTGGATAAAACTTTGAAAATCCATATCTCCAAAACTAGAAATTTTGCGCAGATAGCGAGTATGTGGGATCCATCAAAGATCGTTTGAGCAAATTCATAAAAATTTCTGAACCCTACTTTATTTTTTCGAACTTTTTTCGAATGTAAACTTTCTTGAACTTGAAAAAAACCCAATTTTAATATTTCACCCTATTTTTGGAGCCTCAAATTCGAAACAATATTTCAAAAACCAAAAAGCTTCCAAGAAAGTGAGAAAAAAATAATTAATCACGATTATTATTTTTTCTTGGCACCGACCCCGAAAATATAACATATTGACTCGTGTCTCCGCACATTCTGTGGCCTTATTGAAAGGGTTTTTGTTTATGGCAATTCAAGCAATCGCAATTTCATCAGAGAGAAAAAATGGCCGTGTCGCCACTAATAATTCCATGTCGCCCCCCTTGGTTTTGGTCTTTTTTTGATAAATTGTGGAGCAAATAAGGATTTTTATGAGTTATTAGGTTTTTGTGCAGTCGAAGACTATGTGGAAAATATTTTCAAGGGCTTAAATTGAGCAATTTTTCGAATTTTTTGGTTTTGAGAACTTTTATACCTCTCAAATGACCTTCAAAAAAGTTGGAGCACTTAAAAGGTCACTTTGAAGGGTTTTCTTCATTTTTAACCCTTAAGTGACCACTTTTTCCTTTCCAATGATTAACCGACCTATCCATTACTTTTCTCATTGTCACAGAAAAAAGGGCCAAACAAAAAATGATTGAGCTACGTCGGACAGGAGGGATTAGGCGTGTGAACCCGTCCATGTGAGAAATGGGCCAACTTTCACGTCAAACGGCCTTTTTTGTTTTATTGATACCCGTTTTTCATTATTTTTCGGGTCTTGAGACGAAAAATTTTGATCCAACGACGCTAAATTTTGGAGCAATAGTCTTAAAATTGCGCCAAGAAGCACTAAGATTATAAATAATACTGGGAAAATTTTTAGTGGCCACTATAGAGTCTCGCCAAGGACACTAAAGTGGCCACTATAGAGGTGCTTTATTTAGTGGCCACTTCAGTAGTTTTTCATCAAGTATTCCTTCCAGGAACTCTGATAATTTTAAAACAGATTGGACCAGTTATGTTGATCCGTTGACCCCTAAAGTGGCCACTAAAATTTTCAGTGGTCTAGTAGTAGCACTTAGACCTTTAAAGTGGCCACTAATTGACTACTATAATTTTTAATGGCCACTAAAACGTTAAAACCCTATAGTGGCCACTAAAAATTTTCCCAGTACAACTGAAGTCAATTTTTCGAAGTTTCACAGCAAAAACACGGGCAAGGATTGAACCTTCGATTCGAAATTTCTGAGGAAATATTTTGCCACTGCGCTAGACAATATTTTCACATGTTGAGGAAAATTTATCCAAAATCAACTTTTTATTTATTTTTGAAACCTTCCTCTCCGATTTTTAATGGCAAAAACCTGGGCAGGAATCGAACTCACGAGGGCTGACTGCAAGAGGAATTTCTTGCCACTGCGCCAAGAGTTGTTTTGTGTAAGAATTCGTTTGTTTTTGATTTTTATAACGATCCAGAATCCATTTCTTTGCATAATTTGAGGTTTAGTAACCAAAAACCTGGACAGGAATCGAACCAGCGACCCCAGATTTATAATTTTATTTTTTCCCACTGCGCCAGGGAACATTTTTATCAGCTTTTCTTGAAAACAAGAGTTCTTTTTTGAATCCTATAACGATCTAGGACCCATTTCTATGCATAATTTGAGGTTTGGTAACCAAAAACCTTTGCAGGGATTGAACCAGCGACCCCAGATTCATAAGTTTATCTTTTCCCGCTGCGCCAAGAAACGCTTTAATGAGTTTTTTTGGAAACCGGTCATTTCTGATTTTTATAACGATCTATTATCCATTTTTTGCATAATTTGAGGTTTAG